TATTTAGAGCTAAAGTAAGATTACTGCTATAGTAAAGTCTAATACGTTAGTTAAGACTATTACTAGCTTTACTAGATTAAAGTGCTAGAGTATAGAGGCTTCTATAAACTTTAATTAGATAGAGAGAAAGGCCTTATAAACCTTATTAGGCTAACTCTATAGTTAATACTATTTTATTAAACTCTTTTAAGTTTTTTTTAGGTTTTTCTTTTCTTTCCTATCTACGCTAGCTTCTGTAGGAGCTAGTACTAGAAACTAGGTAGCTATTATATAGTCTACTAGTAGGTATATAATACTAAAGTAGTTATAGATAAATCTTCTATAGAAGTTTATAAAACCTAAGAATACTTAGATATTCTTATATTCCTTAGGCTCTAGCTACTCTCTAATAGTTTATACCCTTACTAGGTCTATAACTATACTACTAGAAGTAACTATAAAGCCTAGAAACTCTATAGATTTTGTTAAAAAAACGTATTTACTTACCTTATAGTATAAGCCTTACTTAATAAGCCTATTAAGAATCTCCTTAATATAGGTATTATAATCTTTCTTATTCTTAAAGTAGATTAAGATGTTATCTTGATATACTACGTAGGTATAATCTACTAGGCTACCTAAGGCTTTATAGATATAGAATTAGAATATTACTAGTATATTTACTAATCTAAAGAGTATAACTAGGTACTTAAAATAGCTATACCTTATTTTAAAGGCTATCTTCTACTTATTACTCTCTCTAATTTATAGCCTATAATAGGCTTTACAGAGGTTAAGCTTAGAGAAGATAGCTACCTTTAATAATTAATCTAATATCTTACCTATAAGTAGAATAAAGTATTAATTCTTAATTATAACTTTGTTTAGTCTATAATAGTTTACGTAAAGTCTTATTATTTTATTAGCTTTTAGTATAAAGAGGATTAGAGCACCTATAGGTAATTTACTAGAATAAATCTATTCTTTCTCCTAGGCTGTATTAAAGTAGTTCTGTAGGATTTCTAGCTTACAGCTAAAGAGGTTATAGATAAAGAGATTTAAAACCTTAGTCCTTAGCTCTAAGTTAATAGAGTAATTATACTCCTTATTAGGTTAAAGTATACCTACTTAATACTTACTAAATATAAGCTACTTATAGTATAGCTTCTTTAGTATAAATTTTAATTTATTTAGATTAGGTATATTATCTTTAACTACTAGATATAGAGTATCTATCTTAATATTATTAGTTAGGATATAGGCTACACCTAAAGGCAGTCTAGCCTAATTAGAGTTCTTATTATATATACTAGTAACTATTTAATAGGCTACTATTTCTAGTAGCTAGGCTAAGTCTAGATAGTTCTATATATAGTAGTAAAGATAATTAATAATCTCTAAGGACTTATTTTTTAACTAGAAAATCTTCTTTTAGTAATAGTACTCTATATCTTAAACTATATCTCCTTCTAGTTATACTCTACCTATAGGCGTAGGCATTCTAAGATCTCTTTATAGAAGTTTCTTACGTAGGGCTTTCTAGCTACTAGGTAGAAGCTTATATACTAGATTACTAGGGTAAAGAATATATACTCTTTTTTCTAGACTTATATTATTTAGTAGTTATTTTATAAAAAGTAACTAAATTCTATTAGTATTATCTGCTTACTATTTAAACTTACTTATTAAGAAGTAGATCTTTAGATCTACCTTTTATAGCTAAGGGTACTCTAGTATAAGGTTATAACCTATAAAGTTTACTGCTTAGAATATTTAAGGGCCTACTTCTTTAGTAGTTTCTCTTATATTACTATATAAGAGTATAAGTTTATATAGTTTAAGAATATTTAAATAGTTACTATTAATAAAGCTTACTACTAGCTTCTAATAAAATAGATTATAAAGAAGATTCCTCTCCTTAACTATATATTAGTTAATAATATTAATCTCTATACCTAAGTTATATAGTATATAGAGAAGTATTATAGACCTATTAGACCCTTATAAGATTATAGTAACTTTAATATAAGTTTATTTCTCTTTTAACTCTAGCCCTAGCTATAATTAGAAAAGATTTATAATTAGGGCTTCTCTTTTCTTAGGCCTTAGCTCTTTAAGTCTTAAAGTTAGTTAGTATTAGTTTTCTAATTTAGTTTCTACTAACTCTTTTCTTTATTATTTTAATTATTACTAGTATTTACTACTTACCTACTACTCTAGTTCTAGGCCTAAAGCAGGGTACTAGTAAATTAGTTCTAGTACTATCTTAAAGGTTTAGAGTTATATCTTTTCTTATAGCTACCTTAAGTTAAAGAGGTAGCTATTTATTTAGGCTTTATAGAGTCTAATAGTTTTAACTCTATCTTTATACTTATAGTAGTCTCTATATTATAGAGAGCCTACTTAAACTCTAACTATTTAGTAATAGTTTCTAATACTCTATTATACTAAATCTCTTATTAATAAGCCTTAGGGGCCTTTACCTATACTAAGAAGATCTTTAACTTATTATCTATACTACTATTTATAAGCTTAAAGAAGCTTTAATAAAGTAAAAATTCCCTATAGTTTAGGTATAGTAAGAATATATTAACTAAGTTATTAGTATACTACTTAAAGTTCTAAAACTTTAAGTAGTTTTTATACTATATAAAAACTAGGTCTTATACTAGCTTCTACTCCTCTATACAGATATTAGCCTAAGTATAGATTACCCTCTTATTAATCTTTTATTAGATTAATTCTTAGTATACTCTATATTAGATAGTACCTATTACCTAGTAGGTTCTAGTTATAAAGTCCTTTAGTACCTAGGTATACTTAAATACTATATCTATATCCTTAACCTACTAATCTACTTATTAGAAGGTAAGAATACAGAATTCTATACCTAATTTAGGCTTAGAGTTTACTATATTAAGTACTCTAATTAGCTTTTCTACTATGTTAGATACTAACTAGAAAGGCTCTACTAAGGTAGTAGAGTATCCTAGGCCTAAAAGCTATAAGGTAACTTAGAGGTATCTTTCTAGAATTATAATATATTCTAGGCTAGCGCCTTAAAGTTATTCTTTTAGAAGCCTATCTAAGATTAATTAAATATACTACTTACTACTTAGTAAGGCTGCTTATATATAGACTCTTAGAGGTAATTTCTAAAAAGGTTATAAAATACTAAACTAGTAGATTACCTCTAAAACTTTATTAATACTACTTCTTAGCTATATTCTAGAGAGAAGTACGTAGCTTATTTCCTTAAGTAGCTAGTTCTCTATTAGAAAGTAAGTTACTTCCTACTTAGAAATTTCTTCTTCTTTATCTAGGCTCTCTACGTCTTTAACGTAGGTAGCTAGGCCTTACTTTAGAGCTAAGTTACTTTTAGTCTTAGATAAGGATACTATTAGGCCTTTCTTAGGTATAACGTTTTATTCTCTTTAAGAAGGTATTATTTTTTTATTAAAGAAAATAGCTCCTATTTATCTTAAATTAACTACTCTTTCTAAGAAGAAGTATAAAGGATTTAAATTATAAAGGCACTGTAAATAGGTAATTAAGATATAAGATAAATAGGTATTTATTAAGAGATTAGATAAATCCTTAAAGTATAAGCCCTAGGAATTTATAAGTACTATATACTAGAGCTCTAAGGGCCTTACGCCCTTAGCCTAGAGGTCTACTAAAGGTAGGCCAATAGGAGCTTAGATAGAAATACCTATAACAGTATCCTAGCTATAAATAATTAATATTATATTATTATAAATCTTTAAACTAGTACTAAGTATAGCTATATAGTCTTTATAATATTCTTTTTATATTATACTAATATAGTAGGTTACTTAAGTAATAATACTACTACTTAGTACTTACTTAACTATAGTAGAAACTTAATTATTATACTTTTTACTACTAAGTATAACTCTAATAGTATTATTTTCTAGCCTAGTATATTTAAGTTAAGTAAAAGCTTTTTTATTATTAACTAGTATAAAGTTATATTTTAAGCTACCTATAAATAGTTTATTTATAGTAATATAGCCTTAATATAGTATTTAATCTATTAGGTACTATACTAAAATATATAATTTAGTTAAAGCTTAAAAGAAAAAGGTAGTAATTATATAATAATTATAAATAAAAGTCTATTTTTACTTATTTTACTTTTTTTTGTTTATAAAGATTTCTTATATAGTAGTAATTTAAAAGTAATAAAGTATATAAATCTTTTAATATTAGTATAAATTATCTAGAATATTAGGTAAATTTAGCTAGATATAGTATAAAAGTATAAATTTACCCTTATATATAGTGTAATTTTACCTAACCTAGTGTATTTTATACTAATGCGGTACCTTAGTGTTTCTTATTAGTATTCTAGATAGTTAGAAGCCTGCAGGGTAGTGTAGGAGAAGCTTAGATTATCTTCTTTTGCAAATAGACACATTCTAAAAGTACCTCAAAGCTTAATGTTATAGACTTAAAGAAGGTTTTTGTGTTTACTTAGAAAGATTCCTGTTTGTTACAATTTCTCTCCGCTCTTCTGCCCTTCTTCTACTTTCCAAGACTTTCTACACCTCGACACTAATCCCTCTGATGAAAAACGGAAACAGCGTCTCTACCGTGTTATAGCTATCTTCCGGAAACCGAGGGCACATTGGCCATAGTGAGCTCATGATACAGCTCACCAACAACGAGCTCTCGATTTCAGCTGTTGGATGAGCTCGTGGTTGAGCTTGCATTGTAGGTTCATCCGTCGCCTGTATTCTCACTTCTCCTTCTGATCTCACTCCGCTCACCTCACTGCTCCAATCTCACTTCTCTAACCTCACCGCCTCCAAACCTACCGCTTCTAAAATCTCTCCTCTTATGTCAATCCTCCCACTCGACTTCACCTGCACCACTCCTCCCGTACCGCACCTCTAATTTCGCGGCTGCCAACTTCGCAACTCCCAAGCTCATTCTTCCACCCTCGCAGCATCCAAACACCAATCCAACAACACTAACAATGCCACGACAACTGTACGTGTCTAGCCCTCACGTTGCGCCTCTCTTCCGCACTTTGTATTCCTACAGCTATTTCCCGCCTGCCGTTGCTCATGTTCTAACTCGACTTAGGCCAGCATGGTAGATCTCTCGGCTCCGATTCTCGCCAGCGCCCCCCACAGCCGCTGCCTGTCTCTGCTGGCGTTATCGTAAGCAGGTACCTTGACATCAGAGCTGCTGTCCGAGAAGATGATCGTAAGGCCGGAGACCCACGCCAATAATACCCGTTTGTCCCCGTCACCGCCAGCGCTCCCCTCCCGTCCATTCTCAAAAACACCGGAGGTCCGCATTATATACCCACGTTTGGAAACAACAGCATGATGTCATCGTTCACACACTCGGTCGATGATCTGGATGTGGAAGGTTACGAGATCGTACCCATCGGCCATATCATTTTCGAGCCAACCATGCCTATGACGCCCTCGGAGACCGATCTCCCTATCGTTGTGCAAGACGGCGAGCAGGTCCCCCACGTTGTCTATGCTGAGGCTCTGCGCGACAACAACGGTGGTGTTGGCGTCGACTATGACAATCGTATCGTCGTCCGCCTCCGTACAGTTGGCTTCCGACCCGACGGAAAATCGTTCGCGTCCAGCACCCACCTCAAGAATGGCCGCCAGTACACTGGTGTTGTTGTCGCTGACTGGAGCATCCTGTTGGGAGATGCATTTGTGCCCAGCATACAAATGCAGAAGACGACAATGCGCAGCGTCTACAGCCAGGTCCTCCGTCATGTCGTCGATGACCTGTTGGTGCACGAGTGGTAATGGTGGGGGCTGCATGTAGTGTTTGGTTGACTATACTTCACATCTGCAATTATGATGGTGTGTATGGTGGCATATTTCAATGAAGCTGGGAATCTATTTCAATGAAGCTGGTGGTATATTTCAATGAAGCTGGGGATCTATTTCAATGAAGCTGGCGGCATATGACAACGAAGCTGGCGGCATGTTTCACAGACAACATCGAGCATGCTCCATATCTTCATAGCGACAAAGAATGTATTCCATGTCTCCAACAACAGCTACTATGCTAACGCTACTCTGTTGAGTATGAAGTCACAAATATCATCATGATGTGAAGCGCCACCACAGCCCGATCCCACATGTAGCCTACGCTTGTTCCTGCTCCCTCGCACGCCGACAGACCCGTAGATGGCGGTCGTATGACACTGATCCCTCAAACACCAAACCACACGGTCTGCAGGACCCACCAAAAGACCCGCTCGCTGCAGCACCGCCCATCGGAGTCTGCACCCGGTGGCTGGACACATGAGAGTGTGTCTTGGCGTAGTCCGAACTGCTGCCGTCGATGATCAGGACGATACCGCAGGCCCCACACTTCACATTCGACAACAGCCTTCGCTCCGCAGAACCCTCTACACCAAGGGAGACCATGTATCGAACAACCTCTCCAAGTCCGTGCTTGTCGGCTAACGCCTGAGCACAGCTAACCGAAAGATAGATCCTGAGGTCAGTAACTGCAAGAGTTAGCAGGGCACATGCAGTTGTCGCGGACAGGAACACAGCCTAACTTACTGTCGTCCACTATCACCCTTGCACCTTCAGTCTGTTTCAAGAGTGCCCCCAACTATTGTTTGGTCCGAGAATGCTGGGCCGGCAGAATAGTTCGAAAGAGTGGCACTGCACGTATAGCATCCGACTCGAAATAATAACGAAGGCGATTTCCGGCATAGTTTAGTATCACTTGTTTATTGTCTTCCATGATAGCCAGATTTCCTTCCAACAGTGCTGCGTCGTAGACTCTCGGAGTTATTGGTGCTCCTATGTAGTTGAGGTCTTCGGGCTGACCAGGAGCTGGCGACGGTGATGGTGCGTTGGCTTTCTTCTTCTTCTTCGCAGCGGACGGTCGGACTTCGAGATCGTTGTCATCCTCGTCGTCGGAGATGACTGGCCTTCGCCTACCAGGGCGCAGCACCCTTGAGCTTCCTTCTGGCAATGTCAATGCTGCACCTTCCCGTGAATTGGTAGTGGAAGTTGATACCCCCTTTGGCGCTGGTTTGGTCGAGGGTCCCTTCCGTGTCATGGTTGCTGAGAGCCCTTTCGGCGTCGCGGCTGCTGCTGTCCAGTCATGCATGGCTGACTGCTCAGCTTCGAACAAGTCGGCTATTTCGAGCATCGGGACGAAATCGTCGTCTTGCTCGCGACCTTGAGGCACGATGGTGGAAAAAACACGTTGTAGTGAGGACGGTTTGGCATGACGAGCCTTTTTCGGGCATTTTGTGGCTGTGTGGGGAGGGGATGCGGTCTCATGACAGTACCAGCATGCTTTGTCCTGTGTGAGTTGGGTTTTCAGGGCAGCTGACATTGTCGTGTACGGCCCGACATGGCCAGACGTCTTGGGTCGTGGTGTCGGGGCACCGCTCGCTGCCAGGACCATGCTCGCCAGGGTGCAGTGAAATCATGCAACAGCTGGACAACTACAACTAAGTTTAGTGTAGGAGTCTTGTGCCTGTATTGAGAGCAGTATATGCCTTGCGTACGCTTCAACAACTTTTGATTGTGTAATTTTGCGGCTTGTAGGAGCCACAAAGGATGTAGCTTACTTCCCGCTTTTACAGTTGACGAAGAGAGTACGAGGTGTAGCCGCGTCATGTACTGTGTGGGTGTCCGGTGTCCCGAACGTGTATGGTGCCGTGAAAGCAATTGAAGCGGCGAAGGTCGCTGAGGCGGGGGGGGGGGGTACCTGGGGCGGTGAGAGTTCCTGGAGCGGGGAGGCCTGGATGAACGGAGAGGCCCGGGGGAGCGGATAGGCCTGGAGCAGCGAAGCGGCTGGGGGGAGCAGATAGACTTGGATGAGCGAAGAGGCCGGGGGGGGCAGGTAGGCCTGGAGCAGCCAAAGTATCTGCTGCCGTGAAGGTGCCTAATGCGGATCGTGTGGAGATGACCGAAGTTGGCCGCATTTGTGCATATGCGTGAACAGGGAGAGTATTTGTCGTTGACGTGTTGTCTTTCGATCGGATAACGAGGACCCCAGTTGCAATGAGGTCTTGGATAACAGGGAACATGACTTTCTGTTTTGCTTTGAGACCCGCATTCTTGCCAATTAAACCCCTTGTCATCCAATTGCAGTAGTAAAAAGCTTTTTGCTCCTCTCATGTCCTCAAATTGGAGCGTTGCGAGTGATGATATCTCAGTCCTCAAGCATTTCTGAATGCATTGCAACGCTGTACGTGCATATCAGCAAGGTAAAGGACGACACGGTGATTGATAAATGTGGAAAGAGCTGTGCATCGTGTGCGACCGAAGAAAGGATCGGTGAGGTGGGGATGCAGGTGAACAAGGGGGACTCTCTTACATCTGTCTCGGGCGGTTGTCTTGTTTTCGGTCGTCATCTTGTTATGGTTTTGGTGAGGGGCCGAGCGGGGATGACAGCAGCGGTGGGGTCTGACGCGACGGGCAGGCGGATCGACACGAGTGGTGAAGTCAGACAGGCAAGCTACGAAGTCAGACTCGAGCGCAGATGTGAAGACTGGGTGAGGATTTACCAAGACAGGTGAGCTGGACCAGTGCGAGTGTTGACGGAAGGACTGTGAGGTCAGTGACGAGGACTGGTAGGAGGATCGGCGAGGATTGGTGTGAGGATGGGGTCAGAGGCGAGGATTGGCGTGAGGATAGAGTCAGAGGCGAGGATTGAAGAGAGATGGTTGATGAGAGGGTTGGCGTAAGGTAAACGAGGTTAAATAAAGACCGATGTGAGCACTGACGTCAGATGATGTGTGTGTGAGGCATGCAGATGGGGGCAAACGCGAAGGAGAGATTGGCGTCAGCCAGTCAAACGCCGACTGAAGTGAGAGCAGGCGATACCAACACGAATGAGAGGAAATCCCGCTCGGTCGTTCCTGGACGCGTGAGGTCAAATACAACCCGACATAAGATAGGAGAATGAAATCTTACTCAGCCGCTCCTGCCCCTACTTCGACAACTCGGATCATTCTGGTCTAGCGCAGCTGATGACGGCGCGCCGTTTATAAACCTCCTTGATGCTCCCACCGATTTGTCTTCTTCTTCTTCACCGCCCGGTCGCTTTTCCTCCGGTATGACATGCCGCGTCGTTGCAAAATCAGCGAAGGTTCGATTGAGCCTGGCCCTTGTGCCGTCTTGCCATTGCTCTTTGGTTCAAGCAGCCGGGAGTGGGGGCGAGGATATGAAGTGCTGGATGGGTTGAGCGACGTGGGGACAGACACGACAACTTATATAGAACAATCATGTCATCACACCTGGGTTATCACACCCAAGTCATTGTAAACCTGGAGTGGCAAACTGTGTCAAGGTTATCATATGCACTGCGAATCTACCTACGCCCCATCTCTGCTTGACGGCCTCAGCCAAAGCTGTCACGAAGATAACAAGTATCCGGGAGAGTGCGATTGCGTCGTCATCAGATACGTGGGTCTTGAAGGCTTGTGTGTGAACGACGGATTGTGCTTTGTCGATGTTGACCTGCGAAGAACAACACCGCGGGGATGAGGGTAGACGAGCCGTCCTGGTACTCGATGTAGAGCGCGTAACGATCCTGTATAATCTCACCTTTGGGACACGCCCGCTGCATCAGCACCGACTCGTCGTCGTGTGAGGATATCAGCTTCACGGGCATGACCAGTTTCATCCCATACGCGGACCCAGCTGCCGATAGCGCCCCAGCAATGAGGGCGAGTGAGTCAGCCCTGCAGGCTATGTCGTGGAGCTTTCTGCACATCCGCATATTGACATCACTATGACTGCCTATGCTGTCTCTGTATATGGTGTTAAGATCATAAACAGCGCGAGCAATCTCCACGACAGAGTCTAGACTATACGTGTTCGCCGCATACTCGTCTACACTGCTTAAGTCGAACGACAGCGTAAGTGGCGTGTCATGACATGTGCGAGGACTGGTTTTGGTTCCCTGGGATGCTGCATGTCGTCCAGCACTCCGACTCCCGCGAAGTCCCCTTGGTGTTCCGTGTCGCTGAGACATGGTATAGGATGTGTCCAGTCTGCTCGGTCTAGGGGAAACGTCTTGTGGTGTGGTTGATATGCGATCTCGCCCCACAGAGATGCGAGCTTCTCGCGGGCCTGTGATGTACTCAGCTCTTCCTCTTCATTTAGCCGACGCCTGACTCTTGGTGATTGGGAGTCCGCTCGAGTCCTCTTGTGTCCAGATTGTGACCCGTCCATGTCTTGCGTGATGATCTACTCTCTAACATCTGTCTCAGGCGGTCGTCTTGTTGTCGGTCGTTATTCTGTTACGGCCTTAGCAAGGGGCCGAGCGGGATGACAGCAGCGGCGAGGTCTGACGCAGCGGGCAGGCGGATGGTTAACATGAGGGAAGGCGAGCTGGGAGGTCAGACTCGAGTCTTGATGTGAGAACTGGGCGAGGACTTACACGATGCCGATGAGCTGGACTGGTGCGAATGTTGGTGCGTGGATTGTGAGGTCAGAGGTGAGGACTGATGTAAGAGATGACGTGAGGCATGGAGTTATAGGCGAGGATTGATGAGAGGGTTGGCGTGAGGTATGGAGGTGAAATGAGGACCGATATGAGATATGAGCACTGACGTCAGATAAGACTGGAAACAGTTTATATAATAGTAAGTACCTAATCTCACTCCAAACAAAAACAAGAGATTCTCCCGTGCCTATAGAGTAAGAATAGTCCCAACGTCTTCGATCTAGTAACGCTTTGCCGCTCTCTCATAGTCTAGGATAACAATGTTCTCAATTCCTCTGGTACTAAGAATACTCACTGGGTAGAGGATTATCCGCCTCTTGCGTGACGATGTCAATGTCGTTTCCGTTGTGTAGCTAGCCACCGAGTTCTTCATTTATGTACGTAGCCTCACGTAGGACTAAGCCTCACCCGTCGCCGCAGCTCTCATGATCGCATACGCGCCATCTCAAATGTCTGTTCAGGATACAGATCTGGGACAATCTCGAACAGAACAAGAACAAGGTATTCTTTCCATCAAAAATTGTATAGTTGCGATACGTCTATCACAAAGTTGCTGCACATCTGTGCTATGTAGAACCTTAGAGAAAGATGAACTAGCGCGGTTTCTCAATTCCAAGTGATTAAATGTACGTCCGTTTCTCCGGACCGCTTGATTGGCTGTCGTCCTCCTCTCCAGTTCGCAGCGTAAGCGACGTGGGGTATGACTCGTCGTCGGATAAGACAGTATTGAAGGTCTAGTGAGCACCGACAAAGCCACTGTCCTAAGCATACCCACTTCCCCGAGGGAGATTCCAGCCCTCAATTCCATGGATTTGTAAAACTTTGTCTGGAGGACATCTTTACACAGACCACAAGAGACGCTGTGACTTGTTGACCCTGTTAAGTTTGAGCCCCTGCTTGGCCATTTCAAACTCTTACTCGAGCAGAAAATAGGCTTTGCACGCCCTCTGTATTAGCTCCAAGCCTCGCTACGCCACAAGAGACTAGCGTAGGATGAGAAGGATTCCGAGGGGTATACCGATGAGGGTGTCAAAGAAGGACCGAGACCGAAAACGGAAGACAGAACCGCAACCCCAGATGGTGAAGATCAGCGACGCGTCAGCTTGAAGTTTCGGCGTACCTCCGGAAATATAGCGCATATCGTACAGTTGTTGATAGAACCGTGTGCCCAATAAACCAAAGTCAGAACAAGCAAGACATAGGAGAAAACGGTAAGATTAATGGATGAATTAGGCTTCAATCACCTAAGTAGACTTTCCAAGCCAGGTTCTCCCTTATCGACCCGCGTCGTCGACCCATGCTGTCGATCCAACTCCGCATAGTAGTCATACGAGCTGTTTGGTGTCAGATCCCCCATACTCTCGTGGCTTCCTTGCGCAGTATTGGTAAGATTGCGTTCCGAGTCCTGACTATGGCGCGGAAGCGTAGGATTACGACCAATGACCCGCCCAATAGACGATGAGGCACTGTGTTTAGGTTCATGGTTGGAGCGTTTGGACGATAACTTGCTATGCGATCGATGAAAGACTCTTGGTAGCGCATTCAGTCTTTTTGAACGTGCATCTTGCGGTAGGCTATTGCCTACATTCTTGCCATTGTTGTTGTCGGGCCAGTCGTCCGAACTGGTGAGCTTGATACCTTGTGAGGAGGAGCTGAAACTGCCTTTTGAATTTTCTTCAACGCGGATGATGACCTCGTTGACGACCAGGATTCTGTTGAACGCGAGAGACGTCAAGATGGGCCAGAAGACAGGGACCGAGGCGCATAGGATGGCAATGTTGATTTCGAGGACGGTGAAAAGGTAGATTATGGTCGTGTGGTAGGTCATGTCGATGGTAGGAAACGTGCCAGCACGGGTCATCACAAGGGAGATGACTCTGCCAATAGACACCGCGACCACAACAGTGCCTAGGATGAACAGTGTGATCAGCCCCGCCCTCCTCTTTCCAGCAAGCCGAAGGACCTTCAGGAACGGAATTGGGAGTAGCAGGATCAGTACGTCCAATGCCATATTGCTGGCTGAGTGGGCTGCGTAGGTGGGAAAAAACACGAGCGCATCTTTGGAACCAAAGCCAAAACAGCTGCCTTCAAGGTATATGTTCCAGTTCTTCTCGATTGGGTGGCAGGGGAAAATTGCGATAACGACAAAACTTCCACCCCAGAGAATGGTAAGGACAATCGTGGATATGATGATGCGGCGTGCAAGACGATACTGAGATGTGTTTGTCGAAGCAGCTGTCTCAGCAAAGAGACGTAGATATTGGAAGAGAATTGCCAGTTTGATCAAAGTTGCGCTGGAACAATAGATGACATTGCTGATATAGACGTCCTGTGGTAGCATGTTAGTTGAGAGATACTTTGGGTCTGTGAGGCCATTCGGGGAGGATAAACGTACCTTGAAGTACGAGATTATAAGAGCGCTGTCGAGGGTCCAAAAATGAAGACCCAAACTACCGTTGGTCACTGTCTCTCGTTAGCCGACGAAAGTGACGTGAGATGACAGCACAAACGTACTCATGCAAACAAGAATGTCTCCTGTAGTATTGGAGATAACTGCCAGGCCCAGGAAGATGTCGTCCCATCCCCAGGTGCGATCCCGGAAACGCACCCATAGCCGTAAGCTGATGGCGATGGCAGCGATCAACTACAGGACAGTGTAAGCATATCGTGTCTAAGCCTTTTTGCAAGGACACTGATATACATACCATGAAGGTTATTGTAACCCCCAAGATTGTCTCTGGTCGATTGATGGTAGGTAGATTCGCATTGTCCGGATTCTGACGAGGGTCCGAATACAAGTAGGCCGACACGCCTGACATGATGGCGGTTTTTCTGTCGTTGTTTGTAGTTCCAGTTCGCTATAGTGGCCGTACGAATTAGGTCTCGAAGGAGTGTGAGATGGTAGTGGTAGGACGCCTCAAGTCGACTAGGCACATGATCTGAGCTTTGGCCGACAGTTCGAGGAGTCGAGTAAACCAGAAGAAGACTGAAATCCCAAGTTGCCACCGTACGAGCGACTGTGGGGCAATATAAGTGTAGGTCAACAGCAGACGATCACCTCCCACAAACGTGATGCTTCCTCAACGAGCCTTAAGTCCAAGCCAGCACCGTATGCACGTAGCGTGCCTCGCCACGATCAACCAATTGACCATTCCCCTACCCCCACAGAGAATCGGTGTTTTATCGTTTTAGCTTACCCTGACGCAGGGTGGAGCGGTCATGCATGGTTACTGAGTAGGTAACGGTTGATGGGTTGACGGCCAGGGGCATCCTTGCCCCTGAGTCGAGTGACGTGAACTTAAACACTTCCGCAACGCTTGACCAGCCTGGACAGGTTTCGTCGCTTGCGGCAGCCCCGAAAGAACGAACGATGCAAGCCGCGTCTGTGTGGACAACTTGACTTGCTCTATTGGAAATAGGGTTCCAAACCTGACCAATGAGAAGCAAAAGCAAACTCAATAGACTGTCCAATGATCAGGTCCCCCAAGTATCCCGCTTTACCGCTGTGAAACGATTATTGGAGTAGTGTAGCGAATCCAGCCAGAACATCAAGCCTTACACGTGTGCAGATCAGGTAACTGTAAGGTTGAAAAATCGAACAATTACAAAACATGGCCACGCGGTCCTCAATGCGCGCTTCTCCGCCGCCTCTCATGACAAGAGCACTTGGTCCCAGCTGAAGCCTGCCAGAGTTTGACAACTTCAAGAAGCGGACGTCATGCCGGCTTCTCAACGTTGCCGCTGGCCAAAGACCAACGTCGAAAAAGCAATGGCATGGTTCCGCTAGGGTAGTAGAGTTGACCTACCGGCTCTTATCCCTAACACGGATACTGGCTGAGCTATATCTGGTGGTTCGGCCTTTTTGTCGTGCATGCAGCTTGCGGCCTCGTGGAAGGATTCTGTCTAACCCGATTATCGATGATCCGCAGGTTCGACATGATTGGCGATAACAGTCCCGTGTGTCGACGTCAAAGGAGGTGGTCTTGCACAGGTTCACTAACAGCATCGTCGACGAAGTGTCGGACTAATCATGAACCTCTTTGTGTCTGTAGACTCACGAACTATACGGACCCTTACGAAGCTGGTTCGTAAAAAGCAAATCCAAAAGCAAATTTTCTCCCGAGGACCACCGACGTCATGCATCATGAACCCTGAGGTCGGACCTCCATCCCCGTCGAAAATCAAACAACCTACTTGGAAAAGAATCCTTCTCTCCCCCTTCAAACCGAATCCATCCACTGTTTAAAACTCGTCAATCTGCTGATATTGAGCCGCGTACTCTTTGTTAATAATCGCTCCTGTGCCCCGCGGAAACAGCCACCTCGGTAAAACAGTGTTTCAAACTAATCCAGCTGCCGACGTGAGCATCGGCAGTGCAGGAGCGAACCCACTCCTACGCTCACATTCTACACTTTCTGGTCGCCTCAAACCTATAAAGTCCTGGCATTGTATCATCTGTTTCTTTTCTTTGCAGACCTTATCTTGGCAGTATGATTGGTCGATGTCTCTACACGCATCTTGTCACGTCTCGTTTCTTTTCGTTTGGTGGCATACTCAACTTGAACGGAGTAGGAGATCCTCCCGTCCGCCCGCCGGTACGCCGCCATGTCGAAGACAAGGGATGCCTGGATGGATCACCAACGAATAGATATGTGGTAGTTACTTACTATCGCCTCGTACCATTACGGATACTAAGCGTTTTCAAAGAAGTAGCGTTTCAAGTTGTAAACTGTGTTACGTTTATCTGCTTGAAAAACAGGCTTGATCAAACTGAAGACGATCGATAATAACATAGCACTTATATGTATCATGCTACTTGTCGTATACTCTTCCTAGGTATGACCTAGATGGGTATGGTACGTGTGTTGTAATCTAAATCTCCTCAATAGCAAGTTGTCTGTCTACTTCCACTTTGAGCACAAACATGCTCAAACAACAAGCAAACCGACAAAACTATGTGGTATGCTACTGTTATCTAGGGTATTCAACCAAAAAGAGTTTGTTTCTACATAAAATACATTTGTTCAATGCACCGCTTCTAGATACCATCTCCGCACCAGGTGCCGACTTGCTTGACTGAAAGACTAAACTACAATTCAGTTTTGCCAGCTGCCGTACGAAGCAATATCTAGTCATGTACACGCATTTCACAGAACACTATACTCGTGCGCAGAAATATCGTTTTCAAAGATATAAGCAAGCCACATTTTGTTTGACTACAATGTTACATTCGCGCGTCATACGACTGGTAAGTTCTGCATCAAGTCATCAAAGGGAATGTGTAAGTGACGCTGGAAACGGACATTTCATCGATGATAAATGCATGAGTAGAAAACAACCCCACCAACGTTCATTGAGGGCAACTTTAAAAAGACAAGAGAGTCTCGATTACTAATTCCCTCTCATCCCCTCGCCCAGCCTACCACTACCCCCAAACCATCTCCAAAATGTCCAACACGCACAACTCAACGTCCCACAATCTCGCGACGGCGACAACGAACTTTCTCGCCAAGAGCAGTGGACACGTACACACCTCAGCCATCCCAACCTACTCGCGCACTGGTTCCAGTCCGTCCTCCTTATCTTTGCCTTCAGACCCATTCACCTCATAGTGCAAAAAGCGTACCAAAACAGACCAAAACGCCCCGATCAATACCAGGATAACGACTGGCGCCGACCCTGGCAGAGGAAGACTGGGCTACATTCTGCAGACTTATCGTTGCTAACGAACAGTCCTGAAGCAAAGCTCGTATTGGATTTGGCCAGCGCGCGTGCGGTCAGTTGCTCGAGCGGTGGAACGATGCGGAGGGACCGTACTGTAAGCGTTTTCTAGCCGAGGGAATCATACCGTTGAGCGTTGTGTATGGTGGCGTGACTACAGGCATGTCGCTGTCGTCGATGGACTAGCCGAAAGTGGACATGAGGTTGTCGTTGCCGGAGGTAAGGAGATGCTGCTGTCTATCTCGGTTGGTGAGGCGTGAGGGGGTCGGGGCACCGTGCAAGATTGGGACAAACAGGTAGTGCTTATGAGGATCTCTAATCTGCTGGTTGGCTTCCTTAGTCATGGCTTGGATAGGGACGAGAGTCGTAACTTCAATGCTAGTAGAGCCAAGTGCTGGTGCGGGTGACGACATGGCGGAGTACACGAGTAGATAAACTCTCAGCTATTCGAGAAACCTGGACCTAAGCCGCAGTGAGATCTTACAACAGCTTAACAACTACAAGTGCAAGACCATGCAACTTACACGACCCCAGAATTATCAGTATACGTCTACCCGCGCATTTTCCTTGGAATATCTAATCTTGTAGTCTAGGGATATTGTCTTGCTAGACAAAACCTATCTTGATATCAGGCTCCCCGACAAACTAAGCGGTGGAGTCGTCTGGCTCGAGTTAGCATGAGCGACGGCAAGCGGAAGATAGTTGTGAAAGTTCAGCGAGGAGAGATGCGACGCGCGGGCTGGGCATGTACGGTGGTAGTGGTGGTATTGGTACTGCTGTGCGTGGAGAGTGAGCTTGGAAGCAGCGGAGTTGGAGATGCAATGTAGAAGAGGTAGAGCAGGAGGATTGATAGAGGAGTGGGGTTAGAGGGTAGGGTTGGAGGAGTGAGTTTCGAGGCGTGAGTTTCGAGGCATGAATTCGGAAGCGGTGGGCCCGGAGGACTGTGTTGATAGATGTGAGATCAGAAAGGAGAGTGAGAGACTATGGATAAGTGTACCCAACCGCCGACAGACGTGCCATACACCGTACTCCCGTGTCTACCAGAACATCTGCGCCTATGAGTCAAACATCTCTTGTCCGACAGATCCTGGAACCAAACAGTAATACAACAAAAGTAGGTAGTCCTACGATCGGCTAAACACACTGGAACGAACACCAAGGCTAAATGACATAGTAACCTAGTTTTTCTGTGATGATGATGGAAACATCAACCTCGCCAAGTCAATCCATGGCGACGTCAAGTCGTCAAATAGTAACGTCCTCTGAGACACAAACTTCGGCTTGGGGACGAGAGTCTCTTGCATTTGGATGGCGTAGATTGCGGCGGACTTGGATATATGTTTAGAGCAAGTTCTGCTTTTGCAACTTAGATACTCGTTGCGAATCTAATGGTATCTGCAGTAGCATCGTCGCGTGGAACGTGTCGCACTTGCATCAGATTTTGGGTGGCCCAGACACGGGACGAAGAGAAATGATAAGTTTTGTTCCTAGCAGAAGAAACGTACTTTGGGGTACATGGTTCAGATCGTGTGTAGTTTGCGTTATGCTGATATGGTTATCGTTCGGGTCGAGTTGAAGGATTGGGGCCGTTATGAGTTTGATCGATGGGCGTACTCAGTTTCACGTAGGGAACTGTCACGGGATACTTAACCAGTGGGGGCTATAAGCACAGCAGCTGAGGCAGAAATCAGAGCTTGCTGAATTGAGTTGGAAGGTTTACGATGAGAAGAGTTGCGATGTGTTTAATATATGTTGCCACGTTTTCCGTAGTCATATCCAGATATCGGTACGACTAGCGTCATTTCAAGCTGTGCTTCAGCCATGCACCCATCCCTTCCACTTGAGACTTCCAGCTTAAATCATCGTCTTGTTGGGTCCACAGGCCGATACCTGGAGTTAGATCCAAGTGAACCCTCTCCAGTGCCATTTCTTCATACTGAGCTTTCTCAGCCGGATCAAGCCACCGCACACGACGAGCCCGCGCTTTAAGAGTATGACGAGCAACACTGCGTCTCAGCATCTTCGCCAACTCCGACGTCTGGTCAGCAAGTGGACTGTCCGTCCCAGCAGTAATGTTCCAAACCGGCAGACTGAGGTTTACCCCCGCTGGAGGATAGCTGCGAATGTAGGCCCGACATCTTGATAAGACGGGTAGTTCTGTACTGGCTTTGGCTTTCGATTTGAAAGGTGTGTAGTGGCCAAGAAGCATTTGTGCCTCCATGTCAAGCTGATCGTCAGGCTGCTCCGAGGCCGAGACGTCGTCGCTTGGTGGATATATCAGTTGTGCACGCGGAGAGCGGAAGAAATGTATGGGAGAGGCGAAGCGGTCAAAGAAGTCCTCGGGTCCACGAAACAGAAAGTTACGCTCTACAGAAAGCTTTGATGTGGGCAGCACTTCGTTGTCGCCGTGTAGCTGCCACGCAGTTGGAGGAGGCAATTTGGGTGCTCGTTTTTTACGAGGTTGACCAGCCTTCGAGACAGGTTTGGTCTTCTCAGGAGGACTTGTTGGGTCACCCGGATCCTCGTCTGCAGGAAAAGAGGTCTCATCAGGAGAAGCAGGTTCCGGTAGTTCGGAAGGATGGACAAGGGGTAGATCGTCATGAAATACCCAATCGGCGATGGGGTTGTTGACTGCAGCAGCAGCGATACGGCTCTCTTTATTGCGACACTCGGTCAAAGCCAACATGGTCGCGATCGAACCGCCTACCAGTTCTCCGCATACCCCAAGACGTGCAAGATGGGGTCGTTTAAACTCATCGCGGAGCAAATTCTCACTAATCCAGTCGTAACCGAATAGTGCATCATGATAGGGAGTCGGGTATTGGTGTTCAGCAGACGCACGATAGTTGATACGCACAACTGTGGCATCACTTGACGCACGCAGAGTAGAAATGACACGCCCCTGTTCTTCGGAAGAGTCAGGTACCACAGGGCCCGGAGGCAAGTAGATGAGGATGGGAGCCGATGGTGTGGAGGCATGGAAAACACTAGGAAATACTCAGCCACTGAACGAGAGATGGCTGTCTAGTCCATGATGGGCGCGCCGGACGCCTTGGGCTTTGGATCAGAGGGGGTAGCATTGATTGAAGTCATGATCAGACAAGCACCGACAAGACGTGTTGCACAAGGACCTGACTGCAGCGGACTGCAACACGACATGTCGATTTCAGGCCGTGCACACCGCCGTCGCGTCACCTTGGGGATGTGATGCGATTGTAGGGAAAAAAGGAGGGGCGAGACGAGGCATTGGGCTGTGAGACCATCGCGCAGTGGACAATCAACGAAAAGGCTGCAAATGCAAGAGAAATGACTTTGTTTGCAAAGTTGTAGCAGAACGAAGAAAGAAAGACTTACTCTACCCTCACGGATCCATTGGAGCGACATGGGACGTCAAACTGCTCGAGTTGAGGAACAGCTGTGACGACTGAGTATTGGCGTTTGGTGAGGGCATGTCGCAAGAGTGGCCGAGCAGTGCAGGCATTCGCAAGCAGGCGAAGCGTCATCAAAGTTGGCGGTGCAAGTCGTTGCTGATGCAGAAGGTGAGGCTTCAAGTGGCGAATGAACACGCTCAGGTGATGCGCCAAAAGCGGGAGGAAGGCGCAAATTTGGGGTTGTCGCGGCAGCCTGAAGCACGCCTGTAGTGCAAATGTCAGTTACTAGAATGAAGGTGAAGATGACAGATTCTAGGCCTGGAACAGCGTTGTTGCAGGCCAGAAATGAAAAAGCGGTCGTCGTGGTCGTGTGCAAGCTATCAGGGGTCTAGCCACGAGTAAGGCGCCCATACCATGTGCCTAGGAGATTAGGACCCCCAGACCCGTTTCTACAGCTCGTTGTGCCGCTCCTTTGCTTTCTTGTTCCTCACGTCGCTCCTTGACCGCCTGCTGCTTTTCTTCCCCGCCTTCGTATCGACACTGGTGTTGGCTGTTGGCCCCGAATTAGTACAGCGCCTGCCCGCCGTCTGCCCGCATCGTGAATCGCACAGCCTCGGGAGTCGCATACAGCTAATCGACGTGCATGCGCCTGCATACTCCGCCCTAGGACCATACATAGCAACCTACGCACAGGGTCATTCACCGGATTCGCCAGCGCTCTTGCGCTTCGTCGGCCTGCGGCACAGCCCTGACCTCCCCCACAACGCTCTCGACCGCCTACACAAAGCTATCGCCAACCCGACTACAACCACTTCGGAACGTCAACGCGCGATTGCCATTTTGACTTTCCCCCGGTAGCTTTCGCGAGGATAACAGCAAAGGGGCTAGGCTCCAGCGGCACCATCAACATGGCGGAAAGATCAAGGGCGCGGGCCGTCTTCATGCTGCTGAAGAACTTGACATTGGCAGCGCTGCTGTACGCGACGATATATGGCGTGATAAACTTGGTGAGCGATCCTAGTGTCGCTACCAAGGGGAAGCTGGGCATTCCTGCCTTTCTGGAGAAGGCTGGCCCGACGGAGCTGATCAAGACTACCAAAGCCGGAGTCGAGGTCAAGTTCACCGGCACCACCAAGACCGTCACCATCAACCCACACGCCAATGTGTTCAATCGCCCCGTCATGGCCGTGAAGACAAAGGACGACTACATGGGCCCCCGCCCCCACGTCGACACCGAAGCGGACATGCACATGCTGGTGGAGGAATGCAGGGGCACATACGCTGGGCTCGAGAAGATGAGGAATGTTTTCGACTGTCTAAAGTTCTTTGCCGACCAAGAGCATCGCTATTACAAGCTGCCCGAGCTAGCCAGCCGGTCCAGCGCCCAGGACCCCCACAAGGCCGAGTACGTCAACGCAGACGGACACGGCAACACACTCGCGAGATATGTACCTGTGGACGAGGCTGTGGCCGCCAATGGATCGAACATTGGCACATGTTCTGGCCCTATCATACCGTATCACGTCTACTGGACTGGTCCTGCTACTTGGCGAGTCGAGGTCTTCATCAAGAGCTATCTATACACCCAGAACCTGGCATGCTCTCGCCTTTGGCTATGGCTCGACAGCGACCGCAGCCCTAACGCTGTAGAAAACATGTTGAACAAGGACGCCCTCTTCGCACGTTTTCTTCCCTTAGTCGACCGCGGTGATATCGTTGTCAAAGCCTGGAACTTCCCCAGCCGCATCCCACTCCCCAAGGACGACGAGGACAAGAACGGATTCGGATATTACAGCACTCCCGGAAAGCCAAACATCAAGGGCGAAAAGGCCGTAGCCGAGAACATTGTCGAGGACGGAAACGGCCAGCAATGGCTAGTCCTTACTCCCAAGCAAATGACATTTCTCCCCGTAGCCGTCTCCGACGCCGTACGATTCGTCGTCCTACATGTCCACGGCGGCGCCTACTTCGACATGGACGTGCTAATGCTCCGGGACATGCGCCCCCTCCTCCTCCCAAAAGAGCACGCCTTCGCCGAGCGATGGGCAGCCCACTCCCACCCAGGCGACTACAACACAGCCATCATGTCCCTCACCGCAAACTCCTCACTCTCCTCCTACCTCCTCTACGGCGGCATCCGCATGGGCCTGAACTTCCACCCCCGGGTCCTCGGCCGCATGGCGTGGAAAGACGGACGCGACCAGGAATTCCTCATGTTCGAGACCGCTGCGTTCGACCCCATCTGGACGGAATTCAACTGGGACCGCGCCGGCCGGTGCACGGTGCCGTGTATCCGCGACTACAGCGCCGTGTTCAAGGGGAAGAAGGACGCGCTCCGCGACGAATGGGAGAGCTACGACGGCCCGCAACTCGAAGCTATAAAGTCGACAGATACACAGACCAGGGAGCTCAAAGCACGAGGCCGCGAAGATCAAGACAACGTCCCTACTTCATCGGCAGCCCCAGCAGGCAAAGAACACGCCGACTCCTTCCAAGCCACGCTCGACGAGGAAGTCGAACTACGCAAAGCAGGCGTAATCCTCGACTACGCCCTCGCAGAGGATAAATTCCCGCCCAATAATCGCACGCTGGAGAACTTCTTCCGTGGCGCGTGGACGTACCATATTCATAACCAGGTGAGTTTTTGAAGGACCCCTCTGCATTGTCCCCTCAACCAACCCATCAACCAGCCTATCCAATAAAATATATATGCTAATATTTGATGGCAGTGGCTTAAACACCCCGAACCCTCATCCTGGCTCTCCGTCCTCGAACAAGCTCAAGACGGCTTCTTCGCCGGCGCGCGCTCGAACCCGTATGCCGAGATGTGGACGGGGCCGAGCTTGATGCCGTATAATTACTGGCCTGAGTTTGTCTGAACTACCTAATCACCTACTACTTGTCGGATGGTAGGTAGTACGTCGGTGCGTATATTGCGCGGGACGGGTGTGCGTGTGCTCGTGTTGCGTTGCACGGCTGGGCACGTCATGTCACCAAAATCTCAAGGCGTATGGGTTTGTGCTTGCACTTTTTTACTGCTTTACTTTACTTTTCCACAGGAGCCACGGCGGGCTGGCTGGCGTTATCTGGTCCCTTTACCTTACCTTACTTTTTCCCTCCAACGCCCCCCCGTTTGCGGGCTTGGAATACGGCGTTTTGGACATGATGGCATGTATGGATGGGATGGGATGCTACGGCTGAGCAGGTATTGTCTATTTAGTTATTTGAGCTATGTATGTATGTAGTGCGTATGTATATCATGGCAAAGCAAGATACGTTACGAATTCGTTCGTTCGTTTGTTCGTTTCTAATGGTGAAGTGAAATGTCAAGACAAGCAAGCAAGTAAATGGTATCATTCTCTCTTCTTCTCTTCTTTCACTTCCTCTCGACTCTTCTGCTCCCATTCCTTTCCACTAATTTCCACGTCCATATCCCCATCCATCCACCCGCAAACAACCAACCACCCCTCCCCACCCCACCTCTACAAAAAAAAGAATATAGGCTACAAATCAATCAACGGCTCATCCACAACCTTCTGCTGCTGCGCGGGCAGCATATTCTGCGGCGCGCTGGGGAAACTCTCTGGTCCGTAGCCGCCGGTTGCATAGGGTGCGGGCTGCCATGGGGCGGGTTGTTGCTGTTGCTGCTGTTGTTGTTGCTGCGGGGGTTGTTGTTGCCACTGCTGCTGCTGTTGCTGAGGTGGTTGTTGCTGTTGCTGTTGCTGTTGCGGCTGAGGCTGTGACTGCGGCGGCTGATACCCCGGAGTGTACCACGCGTTTACGGGCTGTGTGGGGGGCGAGACGGGGGGAGCATGGGCGTACGGGTCAGGGGACGCGGGTTGTTGGGGAGCGAAGTGTTGTTGTTGCTGTTGAGCCGGTTGTTGTTGCTGTTGTTGTGGCACCGGGGTATTTTCTCCATAGTAGAAACTCGCGCTCTCGGCGTCTGATACGTTGGCGGGTGGTGCTTGTGGCGGGTAAGATTGCGGGGGATATTGCTGATTGGATACTCTGCGTTGGAGTTGGGGGGAAGCGGGTTTTTGATAGACTGTGCTGGGCGGGCGTGCTGTGGCGGTGTGATGTTGGGCTAGGTTCGGGTACGGCTGTGATGGCTGCTGGTATTGGTCTGGTGGGGCGCAGGATGGTGGTGGGACGGATGCGCGGGCGTATGACGGTTGGGGCGTTGACTGGTAGGCGCTGGGGTAGTGTGGTTGCGGTCGTCCGTATGCGTCTGATTGCGCTGTGTTTGCCGTGTAGTAGTTTTCGCTGCCGTCGGGAGCACTGGATTGGATGCTGGGGTAGAGGTTGGATGCGGGCCTTTGCATGGGCGGTGGAAGACCGTATGCAGCGGCGCCGGCTTGGTTGTAGGTGCTAGACAGTCTTTCTTCGAGCATTCGGTCGTAGTATCGGACAACGGTGGAGAGCTTAGCGTGTAGGTCGAGGAGAGTGTCTAAAAAGTCAGATTTGAACATTACAAAACCTCAAGGGACTCACCATGCTTGCTCATCGTCTCGCCATAGGTACGAGCAAGTTTTGGTCGCAGCTTTCCGATACTTTCATATAGCTCCTGTATCTGGGGTTCTCGTAGGATAGTCCCTGGAGCTTGGTGTTGCAGTCTGTCGACCAGAGTCGAGAAAAGATTGATATTCTCCGCCTCGACTGGAGTGAGTTCGTAGTCGTTCTTGGGCGCAACAAAAGACGTCCCGTTCGAGCTGGTGGTCTGTTGGCGGAATGTTGTGGTGTACCTGCTCTTCTGCTCCTCCATGTCGGCCAAAGAAGCTGCAATGGCAGCCTTGAGGTCAGCATCCTCCTCTTCCTCAGGCTCCTGCTTCGCCTTGCCGTTGGTGGCGGGTTTTGCTTGCGGACGTATTTGTGACTGCGGCACGAACCCTGAGGAGCTATTCCCCTTTGTTTCTTCTAGACTCATCTCCAACGCGCGCTTCAGGTCTGCGTCAAAGCTGTCCTCGACTCGCGCACTTCTTGGCTCCATAGAGCCTTGGTAGAGTGTTTTTGTGAGTTTAGGGGACGTGAAGATGTTGGGCATAGGTGGGCCACGAGATTTCTCTGTAAGCTTTTCGTGGCAGCCATCGTCGACGCGCACAGGCTCCATGATGCCGAGATGAGGGAGCGGTATGCTTTTGCTCGAACAAGCTCCGCAGAAGACGTTTCCGCAGTTACGGCAATGGTGCTTGCGGTTTGTGAAGGTGAAGGCAGTTCGACACCGCATGCAGACGTCGGAGTCTGTCCATTCTGGAGGCTGCATCAGAGAGTCAGCGTGCCCTGTATGGCGTAGTGGGGGTGGAGGCACGTACTGCGCTGCTGTCCAACATGCTGCTGGCGATGTGCTCCCTGGGAGGAAACTGGAAGCCTTCTCGCTGCAGTGTGCGGTACACGTCCCCCATATAGCTCAGATTCATGCGACCCTCAGCGGCGGTTGCCCATAACTGTATCAGCTCCAACATCTTGTTCTTCACGTCGTGGTTTGGCGCAACGTTCGAGGGCGCCTTGAGCAGCGAGGTCATGTTGTCGAGGAACTCGCGTGAGGCTATCTCCTGTATGAAGTGGACGCCACCGTTCTTGACGCATGTGTCTGTGAGCTGCCATGGGAGTCAGCAGGGAGTCGGGCTGGCGTGGCTGGCGTGGCCTACGTTCAGGGCGGCAAGCTGGACGTTGGGGTTCTTGTGCCCTATTCTCCGCTTGAGCGCGCGCATGGCGTCTTTAGGCTGCACCGTCTTGGAGCGAATGACGTCGGAGATCTCGAGGTTGAGCGGCATGTCTTCCCTACGAAAGGTCAGTAAGACAGCCTCAGACTGCAGACTAGACGTATGGGGCGCGTACAGGCTCGAGGTGGTTGCGCGCTCGATCTGCTCGTCGAGCGCGCTGTTGGCCGAGCCGCCAAACCATCCGGCCATGATTGCCGTGGGTGTAGGCGCTGTGCTGTGGGAGACGCGGGCGAGGTCGGGGCAGCTTCTGGCTGCACTTGGAGGGCGGACTGCACGGGGCGAGGAGTGTGTTCTGGCGGGCGTGCAAGAGCGGCGTGGTCTGGTCTCGGTGCTCAGGTAACAGCTTCCGAACGCCGTCCGCCGCACGAGCTTGGCATGACGAAAGGCGGAGAGAATGGAGCCGCACATGCTTGAACCCTGCGCCCAACGTCGCCTTCCACCCAGCGCACAAGAACGCTGCCACTGCTGCTGGACTCGGGCCGCCATCGTGCTGCTGCCCGCTCTCTCGCAACACTCGCGCCGTCACCCTGCCCCACCGGCCTGCCACAGCACACGACGGCCCCCCACCGAACATCGATACTCCCCCGACGATGCGCGAGTTGCCCGACGTCTAGACTGCGGTTATGAGTGCAGCTGCACCCTTGCCGCCCCCAGCACCCTCGCCCGCCCACGCCATGAACGGCTACACAAACGGCGCCCACGGCGTCGGCGCAGATGGCTGGAGAGGCAGCGACGGGGCAGGCGACCCGCGGCCCTCTGGCGGCCCATACCCGCCTATTGCTGAGATTGTGGGCTCGGCGACGGAAACAGTCGAGTCGTTCAAGCACCACTCGGTAGGCAGCACAGCGCCAGTTGGACAACCGCCGTGGCTAATTGGCGACTAGATCAAGAACCTGCTCGAGCGTGGCAGGACGCACCTCACCAAGGCCAAGAGCGGGCTCAACAACCGGACGCCTATCGCTGGAATCTACTGGGAATACCTCGTCGCCTACGAGATTGTCTCGACGCTGATACCCTCGCACCCCGACTACTATGACAAGATCCACGGCAGCAGAGCCCCCATGCACCGCGACTTCAGCACTCTTCTGCAGGAAATCAGGTCGAGCGAGGAGAGATTTGTACGCATCAGGGACATCATCAAAAACGACAACAAGAGAAACGGCGCTCAGCATAGGTCTACGTCCTCCGTCTCGTCTGTACGATCGACCTCTACCTCCTCCAGTGGCTCCCGCTTATCGCGACTCCCCGACGAGCTTATGCTCCCAGACGTTCCCACCACGGCGCCAAATGGTCACGCCTCGCCTGCAGCTCTCCCCGAGTCGCCACGAAGGAAGCCCATGGTGCAGCCAAAACCCCAAGCGCTACACGGTCGAGCCGTCTCGCAGAGCATACAGTCTGATCTGACGCAGCGTTTTGCAAACCTGAGAGGGGCCACCCCGCGACTGGAGACCACTTCGGCCCGCGCGAGCCAAGACTTGTCAATCCAGATGCCGTCTGCTACAGACTATGCTTCCTCGACTCGTCCTAGTGGCCCTCGCGACATGCTCCCGCCTTCCTTGCATGCTGCCTCGCGTCCGACAACGCTTCCTGTTAACACGCAGTTCGCCGCCTCGTTCCCCAAAGAGCCCAGCCCGACCTACAGCCCTGCCAGGAACACCTCTTTGCCCGCCAGCATGAACCAGCCACGAAGCACACCGAGAAGCATGAACGGCACGGGAGGTCGGACCAACTCCTTGGCCGCATCGAGCCACTCCAACTACGCACCGAATGCGAATGGCGCGCCAGACTCCTACTTTCCATCTCAACAAGTTACACGCGAACCACCACAAAGAACAAGATCCATCAGCAGGGTGATAGAATTAGAAATTGATGCCAGCAAGCTCTACGATTACTTCCGCATGTACAATGTACTTGTCATTGATGTGCGCGATCGTGCAGAGTATGACGCGGGGCACATTTTCTTTCGAAACATCATGTGTATTGAACCATCCACCCTCCAGGAAGGGTGCTCTGCCGAACAACTCCAAGAGCGATTAGTCATCTCTCCAGACGACGAACAAACCATGTTCGAGAACCGGCACGCATACGACGTCGTAGTGTACCATGACGAGTTTACAAAAAACACCGACTTTCTCCGAAACCACGGTCGCAACGAGAATGAGGTTGCTCTCAAACGCTTGTACGACGCTTTGACTGAATTCAATGTCGAAAAGCCCTTGTCTCGACATCCTGTCTTCCTTATGGGGGGCCTAGATGCTTGGAGAGATCTCGTTGGTCCCCAGGCACTCAAAATGACTACAACTCCTGCTCTTGTTGCTGGCGGGCAGACAAGAGCACGAGCGATCAGGCGATCACCCGCCGCGACCCATATCACGAGAAGCACTCTTCAAAACCGTCGCAGACGAGAATACGTTCCGATGGATCCGGATGAGGAGCAGAAGATGTTGGAAGAAGCCCGACAAGGAAGAGCTGCTGTTGAAGTACTTCCTGTGGACGAAGAAATCGATGAACATGGCTCTCCATACTTCCGCACAACCGATGACTTTTTACGAAGATTTCCAGAAGTTGAAGCAGAACAATCAATGATGTATCCCTCGTCGCGGCCCCAGCCTGTCAATCAATACGTTGCGCCAGCTATCCCGCAGGCCCCATCCCGACCTGCGCCGTCTGTTCCCCGAGTCAGTTACAGCGGTGTTCATGAGCGGCAAGTTGCACCTCAAGGTCGCAGTGGCCAAACATCTGCATATATTGCTCAACCGCGTTTCAGCAATGTGCGCATGCACCATACCGGGCTTATGAACTTTGGCGTGACATGCTACATGAACTCAGTTGTACAGTGTCTGAGTGCCCACATCCTGCTTTCAGAGTTGTTTTTGTCCAGCAGATACACTCGAGATCTTCAACGAGACAACTGGAAGGGCACAAAAGGCATTTTGCCAGAAGCTTACGCAACCCTTGTCTCTAACCTGTTCAAGGGCGACGTCACTTCTGTGCGCCCCAGCACTTTCAGGGTATGTAAAACGTTCCCCATCATTCACTTTCAGCGCTAATTCAAGACAGAGAATATGCGGGCACTTCAATTCTCAATGGGGCGTCGACCAACAGCAGGACGCTAAAGAGTTTCTTGAGTTTGTTTTGGACTACATGCACGAGGATCTCAATGTCGCTTGGAACAAGCCACCGCTAAAGCCTCTTACTGAACAGCAGGAGTTAACACGTGAGCGATTTCCACGCCAGTATGCTGCCAAGATCGAATGGGATCGATACCAACGTCGTGACATGTCGGTTATTGGTGGTATGTTTGCGGGCCAGCACGCCTCACAGCTTACGTGCCAGTCGTGTGGGATAACAAGCACAACATACGAAGCCTTTTGGAGTATCAGCGTTGAGATTCCCCGCGACCAAGCCTGCGATGTGCGAGACTGTCTACGATCCTACTGCGCGGCAGAGCGTCTCGCAGGAGACGAGCTTTGGCGTTGTCCACGATGCAAAAAGGACCGCGAAGCCGTAAAGAAGATAACCATCACGCGCGCCCCCGACACGCTAGTCATTCACTTCAAACGCTTTAGCGCGTCACGTACTGAGAGCGCTCGCAAAGTCCGGACACCTGTGAATTTTCCACTCCAAAGCCTGGACATTGGGCCTTTCGTCCAGCCACCGATGACACCGGAACAAGAAATGTACGTTGCGCAAAATGCGACGGAAGGGCCTACGCAACTCGCCAGTGTCAAGACAGATCCTACCATGAACGGACCGTTCGTGTACAATGCCTTCGCTGTCATCTGGCATATCGGCGCCACACTGGGCAGCGGCCACTACACTGCATTTGTAAAGGACAAAGCCCGTGGCTGCTGGCGGTCTTTCAACGATGACAAGGTCGTTGACTTTGAACCAGGCAACCTGCCTCCTCAGAATCGGTTGCAAAACGAGAAGGCCTACATTGTCTTCTACGAGCGCGAGAGAGTGGCTGGAGGCACTTTCTAGCCGACAGTATCCGAACCGGCTATTGTGCTTTGACATTCTTCTTGCGTTTTCAAATGCAGCTTTGCATTGGGGGCGTTGACTGGCCATCTTCTAGTATATACCTTGATTCGTGGTATCTTTTGTCCTGGCAAGGACTTGTTTGCATGCGAGGCGTTGGGCTTGGATAGATGCAGGCATAGGCGGCGTCTGCTTCGATTTGCGTACCATAGCCTTTACGATATCCTCACGAGCTAATGTATCATTTGTCTGCAGGGTTATGGCGAGAAGTTTTTCTGCAAAACATTTTCACGCGTCGTCACGCTGCAGGGCTGAGATTCGCTAAGCCGATGACCGGCCCGCGTGTCGTGGGGCCGTTGCTTTTTATCGTTCCTATCAAACATCCCACCGCTAGCTCCTTCCCCAGACGCGGCGTACTCAGCATTTCCCCTCCAGCGTCACCAATTTTTTCTTTCCACTTTTCACTCTCCAATTCCCTCAAAAACCGCAAATATGACCAAGGGACGCGTCTGCTTAGCTTACTCTGGTACGAGACTGCCTCAATTAACCCTCGTCAATTCAACGACTCTTCAACTGAGGATCTTCACTGACTGACTTGACTCACCAGGCGGCCTTGATACCTCCACGATCCTGCGATGGCTGATCGGTACGACCAATGCCACAATCGAACTCACGCTGAGCTAACAATCGCAAAGAGGAAGATTATGAGGTCGTGTGCTTCCTCGCCAACGTCGGCCAGGAGGAGCCATGGGATGAGGTGGAGAAGAAGGCGCTCAAGATCGGCGCATTGAAGATGATCATTCTCGACCTGCAGAAGGAGTTTGTCGAGGAGCTCTGCTTCCGCGCTGTGCAGTGCAACGCCTCGTACGAGGGCCGCTACCTGCTCGGAACCAGCTTGGCTCGTCCAGTCATTGCCCGCGCCCAGATCCGCGTTGCGCAGCAAGAAGGTTGCCAGTTCGTCTCGCACGGCTGCACCGGCAAGGGCAACGACCAGGTCCGCTTCGAGCTTGCCTTCTACACACTCCAGCCTTCCATTAAGGTCATTGCGCCCTGGAGGCTGCCCGAGTTCTGCGAACGCTTCAAGGGCCGCCAGGATCTGTTGGACTATGCTGCCCAGCACGACATTCCCGTCACCTCGACCAAGGCGAAGCCGTGGAGCATGGACGCTAACCTGGCTCACTGCAGCTACGAAGCTGGTATGATTCGACGTTCTGCTGGCACGCGTCCAAGCTAACATGCCCAGGCATCCTCGAGGACCCCGACCAGTCCCCTCCCGATGACATGTGGACCATGACCCAGTCCCCACTCAACGCCCCCAACGAGCCCACCGACATCACCGTCTACTTCGAGAAGGGTGTCCCCGTCAAGGTCGTCACACCCGAGAAGACCTACACCGACTCGGTCGAGCTCTTCACCGCGCTCAACAAGCTCGGCTTCACACACGGTATCGGCCGCATCGACATTGTCGAGAACCGTTTCATCGGTCTCAAGTCTCGCGGCTGCTACGACTCCCCCGCCATGACCATCCTGCGCCTCGCGCATTTGGACATTGAGGGTCTGGTCATGGACGCCCAGGTCCGCAACCTGCGCGACCAGTTCGTGTCCCACAACTGGAGCTACCAGCTGTACAACGGCATGTACTTCTCCCCGGAGCGCGAGTTCATCGAGAACAGCTTGGTCTTCTCGCAGCGCAGGGTAAACGGCGAGGTGAGGATGAAGCTGTACAAGGGCAACGCGTATGTGTTGGGTCGCTCGAGTCAGACGGAGAAGCTGTACAGTGAGGAGGAGGCCAGCATGGACACACTGGATAACTTCAGCCCTATGGACACGACAGGCTTCATTGCTATCCAGAGCATCAGGTACGTCAATATCTTGTGCGTGAGTAAGGGCTTCGCTAATGATGATGCAGGTTGAAGAAGTACGGTCTCCAGAAGGCTGAGGAGGGCGCGAACATGAGCAGAGTATAGATGAGTTTGTCGCTGTAGGATGACGAGGGAACAATGTGGTTTTCTACGATGCGTGATTATAGCATCTTACGAGAACTATCAATCAAAATGATTTTCGCCTGAGCAAAGTGCAGTTCATATCACCGCGTCCTTGCCCTCGTCTCCCTTCCTTTCATGCATTCTGAACTCCATTGCTCTCCTAGTCCCTTGCAAAGATTTACCAACTCAGACACTTACATCATGTTGTTCGGAAATGTCTTCTCGTGCTATGCATGTATGTACGTATGAGTATGCTACCCACATAATTGGGGACTGTGCGATGTTATATCCAAATCCAGCCAGTATCGTTACACAACTTGTAAGCTACTCTACATCAAGAAGAAGAAGAAGTCTACTCGTAGCAACGACGAATGAGTCTGCCTGTACTGTGTTGTGTGCGTGTTCAAGGAAAAAGAAAAAGAAAAAGAAAACGCCTCCCGTGATGTCATGTTCGATGCTGGTATGCAGAGGCACTTCAGCGACGAGGCAGCGTAGTGGTAACGTCTTCCATGTCCTCTGTCGACCGAACCGCACCGTCCAATCCCCCACCAACCGACGAACCACTCTGGTACTTATCCCGCAAATCATCCAGACACTTCAACCCCTTGCGCAGCGCATCCCTCGAAGCAACAAGCTCCTGCCGCCGCACCTCACGCTGCGGCGACTCAGCCAGCAACCGACGCGCAACATTCAACCCCTCCGTCTCATGAAAGATCTCGAGCCCATCCTCCAGCTCCCCGCGCAACTGCACCCGCAGCTGCCGAAAAAACTTACTCTCAACACGCATACAGATCTTATCATGCAGCCGGCGCGCGGCCAGGCCATAATACGCCGTAATCCCCGCCACAAGCTCGACCTCACTCGCATACGGCTCCAGGGCCACACGCGCCATCTTCTGCGCATCCTTGCGTATCTTGTCCTGCTCGGGGGCGGAGATGTCGCGCCCAAAGTGCTCCTCGGCTTCTTCGACGTAGCGCCTAAACCGCGCTTTCTGCCTATGCTGGCGGTAGTGCTCGTGCGTGCTTTCTTTCTCGGCGTGGAACGCGTCCTGGAAGAATATGTAGGGCCCTTCCAACTCGTCCGTCAGGCTCTCGGCGGCCATTGTGCGGTGCTGCTCGTTTAGGTTGTTGTGTAGGACTTCTTGTACGATGGCCCGTGTTTGCGTGTATAGCTGCGAGCCGGCCCATTTGGCGAAGTGGCGGTCGAGAAGGAAGTGTGTGCGCTGGAGCAGGGCGGTGCGTAGCGAGGAGAAGAAGACGTCGATGGGGCGCTGCCAGTGTTGCAGTGCGGAGAGCATCATGGCTTCTTTGACTTTGGGGTGGATTTGCCCGGGGACTTTGCTCTTGGACTGCTGGTTCACGGAACGGACTACGTCGTCGAGGATGAAGCGCTTGCGGAATTGCGCGAAGTCGGCTGGCTGGGTGGCTTTGGCTAGCCTTGCGGCTTCTGCGCGCCTGGTGGGTGGCCTGGTGGGCGTCTTGCTTGGGGGTTTGGGGACGGGCTTGGTGGGGGTCTTGAATGGGGATGGTGTGGGTGTTCCGCCCTCCAGCTTACGCTTCTTGCTGGGTGTTTCTGGCGAGTCTCGCATCTTCGAGTTGCCGTCGCCGTCCTCATCGTCGGAGTCAATGACGATGGATTCATTGGCTGATCGGCCAGGCAGAGTGTAGACAAAGACTCCCGCGTCGAGGTCACCGCTCGTCGACATGGTGGGCTTCATAGCAACAAGCGAGTCGGCGAACGTCTTCTGTATGCCTTCCCAGATATTGCGCCATTCGGTATGTTCATGCTCCCCCTCCATCTCGAGACGCACGTTGGTGGAGAAAGACAGCACAACGTCTGCGATGGTTCGCACCGCGCTGTGCGATGGGATCTCCGGAATGCCATCCAATTCCTCCTCCACTGCTGCAAGACGCTCCTCGATTTGTGCGTAGATCCGCGGAAGCTCGTTGAGCGTTTGCTTGGCGAGCTCCTTGGACAAGTAGGTCTGCAGACTCAGCGTGCCGAACCGAGATTGAAACTGGCTGAGCGTCGTAGCCCATCGGCCGGTTTGAAAGAACTCGCGCTCCTTGATGCGAGCGTCCTGGTGCGTCAGGCCCTGTGCGATCTCGCTCTTGTCGAGGTTCTTGACGACGAAGTACTCATGACCAAGCCGAAAGCGTCTGTTATCCAGCACATCTATGAGCTCGTCATCGGTCTTGCCCCGTGGGAGGAGATCAGGCTTTGTCAGAACCCCTGAAGATTGTTTAGTGCAGCCTTCTTCCAAGTCTTCCCTCATCACTTACCAATGCAACGATCTGTGGCATTGTGTTCCCGAGCTAGACCTGCCGCCGAAGAGTTCGCAATGTCGTTGCTCAGATCGCACGTGACGAGGATCAAAGAACCGGGTTGTTTGACATAGTGAGTTACGAGGTTCCGGACTAGTAGGACTTCGTTTTCTGCGTCGGCCTGTTGGATGATACCGGGTAGGTCGTAGAAGCTCAGCGTTGGCAGACCGGGTGCAGTGACGTCGATGCGCACGATGTTGGGGCTGAAATTGTTTTGTTGCGTTCCTCGAGGTCGGTTTGCGCCTTTTAGGAATACGCGTGGATCTTCGAGTGGGTTGAGGTTGGCTGACTGGGCGCGGCGAATGAGGACTTCGAGTTCCGTGCGGGATTTTGTCTCGGCGAACGGGATGTGGCGGCTTGAAGCAGCTTGTGTCCAGCCGGGGAACAGCTGCTCAGCATCCCTTGATGGATGTAGATCCAAATCTAAATCGTAGTCTTGTTGTAGCGAAACTCGAGCGGACCATCCTGCACCTGGATTGTCGGACGGCTGCAGCGTGATGTACAACGGGCAGGACGTGCAAGTGCCCGTGTCTCGCGGAGTCTTGATACCCGACAACCCTTCGATGACAGATGATTTGCCGGTCGACTGCTGGCCTTGTGTCGGAGTGTTAGCCACAACCCTAATATCTGGAGAAACTTCCATACCTAAGACGAGACATCTCGGATAGTTGATGTCGTGCTTTTGCAGTCCTAGGGTCTCCAACTCGCCTATCACCGCGAGTGCTTCTTTGACACCGTGTCCAAGAGGGTCGACTTCATCTCCCTCAGTCTCAATGGAATGCTGCTGATCTGAGTATGTGTCAGTGAGCTGTGGGAACCAGTGAGGTGATATGGGTAAAGATGCACTTACCATGACCGTCGCTGGTGTTCGTGGTGTCAAAATCCTGCTTCATCCGCGACTCACCCTCACGCGCTGCGTTGCCTTGCTCATTGATGTACGAGTCGGGAGTGAGTCCGCCATCGCTGTGCGAAGAAGAAGACGGTCTCAACGTCATGCTGCGTTGTCGGGCACGCGTACCGCTTGCCATAGGGAGAGAAGTTCGTGTGTCCTCTTGAACTGCGACAGTGAGTGGGGTAGTAAAGGTGGTAAAAGGTGAGAGGAGCGAGGGGCGAGAGATAGATATAGTGATAGAGCAGCCTGCGCCAAGGCTTACCCGAGCGCAGTGCGGTGATGGGAACCTGGTGCATGGGTTCCAGATTGTTCTGTTAGCGACGGTGAAAGACTCTTTTCGTCGGTGAAAGGGCATGGGAGCGAGGGCAGGCAGTATCTAGTACCAGCCTCAAGGGCCGGTTGTTTGGAGCATGCCATGATGTGTTGGCCAGATGTTATGAAATTCAGAATGGGGGTGGTTTTAGTAAAGAGCGACGGCGATGGTATCTTGGTAGGACTTTCAGTGCGGATTATGGTAGGAGAAGATCTATCGTGTTGCTCAGACAGCACTAAATTTCTGGAATGATCGTGAAACGCCACAGCTGTAGAGTGTATAGCACACCTAATCATAGAAGACGCGGCAGAAGTGAGCTGGATGGAAAGAAAGTGAAGGAGAAGAGACAGATTGTTGACGGAGAGAAAGATAATGCTTGGAGTATAATGATAAAAATCAAATTGTTGATATTCTCAAATACACATTTGAAAGGTGACGGAGAGCAAAGGCAGATATTGAAATGCCATATCTACCTTCTCAACCCTTCGTATGTACATGTACATTAGACTTTTGTACATCCATACCACTAACTCTAGGTCCAAGGACGAGCGATGACGGGCACGTTCTGTATTGTTTATCAGGTCGACTACATGATGACCTGAAGATTATATGATGCTGAGCTGTACACAAGAAATCGAAAGACAAACACGCATCGAGACCGATTACGTGCATCTGATAATGAAAGGGATGAAGTTGGGCGAGGTGTCGTCAGCGACAAGACCATCGATCGGTCCGAGGTTCTGCCGCTAGCGCCAGGGTTTCGAAAAATCGATGAGCATCATCATCGTCGCTACCATCCGACTACGCGCCCTCTACACCTCGAACCGCCGTCTCTCGACCCCCTCGACCCCTCAGAATCACCACAACATCCCCTGTGCAAAATGGATCACTCGCGCGACCCCTGTCCCTGGGTAATCCTCAATGATTTTGGTGGTGCCTTCGCCATGGGTGTATGTCTTCCACCCAGCACATGTCTTCCCCAGTACATCAGCTAATTATCGTCTAGGCTGTCGGCGGCGCAGTATGGCACGGCGTCAAAGGCGTATGTTCCTGACCAAGACCATCCCCAACTACGCTCACAATCACCCCCAGTTCCGCAACACTCCATACGGCGAGCGACGCATCGGAGCCATCACAGCAATCAAAGCCCGCGCGCCCGTTCTCGGCGGCAACTTCGGTGTCTGGGGAGGACTTTTCAACACATACGACTGCGCCGTCAAGGGAATACGCAAGAAGGAGGACCCATGGAACGCCATCATCGCGGGGTTCTGCACTGGCGGATCGCTCGCGGTACGAGGAGGCTACAAGTCTATGCGCAACGGTGCTATATCATGCGCCATTCTTCTGGCAGTCATCGAGGGCGTTTCCATCGGATTCAACAGAATGATGGCCGACAACACCAGGCTCGATGCGCCCCCACCACCACCCACCGATGTCGGCGCACCATCGAGCGGCGGCGGAATGGTCACAGCATAAATTTCCAATTCACGACATATATTTTAAGAGGCGATGATTTTAATGCCAAAAGCGGGAAGCACGGAATTTTTGGACGATGGGGTGCTTTGTTCTGGGCGTCTTTGCATATGCCGCCGACCAAGTTTGGCAGCGGCCGGCGTTTTCCACTCTCCTCAGCTTCTGTGCTATACTTGTATTATACACGCGGCATGATCTGTACGACTAGCGGTGGCGTCTATAGACGCAGGTACGGGCTTACTATGTGCCTTTCAATATCTGCAGCTCTCGATTCCCTGGCTCACTTTCCTTCTTACTTATGTTTTAGCCAGCCATTTCGCGGATATGCTTACGCTTCCAGTATCGAACATAAGAGATCAGACTCGGGCGTTCTATCACTTCTAACCAGGACCATCTTCCGCCATCCACTTGCACATGGGTAGTCATAACGATACCATCGGAACGGTGCAATAATCAGGTCAACCGTGACCTCGCTTGGGTGCGCATAACAACATAGCTACAAGTTCGCATCTATTCTGGTCTATACAGCAAGTACAAATTGAACTCAAGCCACCCCGATGGGACCACAACAGAGATTAAACCGGACAACATGAGCGGACAGTCCAGTCAGTGGATTTGAATGTGATTTCGAACACAAAGCTTAACAGAGTTAGGCAAATCTTCAGAAATACAACAAGCGACAAGTCAGACAACACGACAGTGGCTCCAGTTCCTACCAACATCGCAGCAATCGTAACAGCAAGACGCAAGTGCAGAAACAACCCCGGACAGGTAGAGGTTGAGCGCCCTCGCTATTTCGAAACGCACCTCCAATACCCTGAAGTAAGTAAGCATGACCGCGCATCGTAGATCTCAGCAAGGAGTGTAAATCGTTTCGACTTGCTTCGAGCTGTGTTTGCACTTCTGGGTAGAAGGCTACTTACTAGGTGAATAGCTTTATTCGCGTAAATCGCGTTGTCTGTTTCTTAAATATAGTTATCTTTATATTTATCCCTTGTATTCTGTATTTGGGTTTTGACTTTTGGTTTCTGGTTTTTGAGTTCTGGGTTCCGTTTTTGGTTTTTGGTTTTTGGTTTTTGGTTTCTGGTCTTCGGTTTCTGGTTTTTGGCTTTCCGTTTTTGGTTTTCCATTTTTGGTTTTCGGTTTCTGGTTTCTGGTTTCCCATGATTGGATTTTGATATTCAGAAGATTGTTACTACACTGCAATTTTTCTTCTCTAGATTGCAGTGTACAATCCTTTCGCTGTTAATTCTCAACTTACTGTTGTAAGTTATCTTTATCAAATTCAAATTCTGGGTTCTAGGTCTTGGCATTCTGGTCCCCACTTGCTGTTTTTGGTTTTCGGTTTTTGGGTTTCGGTTTTCCGTTTTCCGTTTTTGGTATTTGGATTCTGACTTTTGAAAACTCATAAACCGCTAATGCTCTGCGTAAGCGTGGTCACTTTTCAGTCTTTAATTTATCATCTCAATTAAATAGTTTATGGAATAATCAGAGGCGTACACTAGTATGCACCGCCAACTACCTGCCGTTGCGGATTCTTATTACGACAGACTTTACAGATGTTTGGTTCCTTGTTATCAACAACTTTAATGCGCAGACTCGTATTTAGTCCTAGTCTTTATTTTTTGTTTCTTATTATCTGTTCTTTAGCGTTGTGTTCTGAGTTTCCTAGTTTTGGTTTTTGGGTTTCCGTCTCTAGATCGCAGCCATGTAACGTGACTTCCGCTACACCTTTAATTTCTAAAGTTTAAGAGCTTTCTGCGTCTTGCAATGCACTCATTGTTGTTTGTTTCTAATTGTTAGTATTCTGTCTCTGTTATCTATTCATAGGTGTATCTTTTCCATTTCTCGTTTTTCGTTTCCCATTTCTGATTTCCCATTTTCGACTACTACCTGTTTCCAAGTTACAAGATAGTAGGAAACATTTCATCTTCCTACGCTGCACAAATGCAATGAGATAGCTAGGCTATCATGTAAATTCTTCAAATTTTTAATCTTGAGTTTCTAGTCATTCATCCCTCGTTTTTCATTTTTCAAAAATGGGTTTCCAAAAATGGGTATTCACTTCCTAACGTCCAATTTCTGCCTTGAAATATGAGCCTCTTGTTCTTTTCTTCTATGTTTCTGTCTATAATTTTCAGAGTATAATCTTCCTGTTTCTGGTTCCTAGTCTTCAGTTCTCAATTTTCATTTTTCATTTTCCAATTTTCAGTTTCCAAAAACCGTAAACGACATCCCATAAACCATTTTCCGTTTCCCGTTTCCCGTTTCCTGTATCCCGTTTCCTGTATCCCGTTTCCTGCATTCGATATCCCAGTCCTCTCCCCACTATAAAACATGATGTTCCCCCCTCATCCCATCTCATCACCCATCGCCTCCGAAAAAGATTTCGACTCAAATCTCACAACGCAACACACCCACCCACACTATGCGTTCACCGCACAACACAACCACCTTACTCTCCATCACCATGAGCGACACAGATTTTTGGTCATCACTTCCCCTCGATACGACTATGTATTACTTCCCACCCACACCGCCAGAAAGTCCCTTCGACTTCGCTTTCCCCATCGAAACACCGCCCGAAACTCCATTCTCTGACCATCCCAATGTCGACCCACCACAAAACCCCCCATCCGAGCAACAGCCTACACAAAACATAATTCCACAAGACACAACCCGTCTCGACGGCCCGGCATCTCTCCCCCAACACGAAAACTTCGGGCTGGAAGACGCCGTGGAAGAATGGGCGTGCAAAACTTGGGGACTGGACAATCGCGAGGTAGAAGGCATGGAAACGTATGTGCGGTATCTGATGGGCGAGGAAGGACAGTTTGAGGAGAGTTTTGCAGGGGCGCTGGAGGTGGGTGAGGGGATCGGGTATGAGGGGGATTTGGGAATCGAGTGGGATGATGCGGTGAGGATGTGGGATGAGGCTGTGAGGGAGTGGGAGGAGACGGTGGAGGGGGCTGCTGCTACTACGCAGGTAGAGGGGTGGGGGGAGGGAGTTGAAGACTTTTTTTGTGCTCAGACTCAGTAGGTCGGAGGAGTGTGTTGGGGTTTTCAGAAGGGTTTAGGTATGACAGTGATTTAAACAGTGTGGTGAGCTACGTTCAGAAGACTCTTCTTTTGTGTCTGAGTTTGTCTAGCTAAGCGCGCCGCATATTAATAGAGCATATGTGTGACCTTCTCCACGACGGCACGTTTCTACCGACGTCTCATCTGGCAGAACGAGCATGACTCGCTATGGCGCTGCTGAATGTATTCGGTGGTGTCCACAGGCCATGCGAGCATTCCCCATTGTTCCAGTCGATTCCCCGTGTCACTCACCCTCGGCTCAGATGTATTTGTTCTTTCCCTTACGTCTTGCGTCTGATTCGTATCTTCCGGGAAGTGCACCGACTCCTCTCCCGCTGCATCCCCAGCATCGATTTCATTGGCGTCGAAAAGTACATCAGAAGCCGAGGACCTATCGTGAAAGTTAGTATGTGCGCTCTTTCTTGTAATACTTATGGACTTCGAGTGACGAGAACCAGTCGCTACAGCGGATCCAACATCTGAAGCAACGACAGTGCCTATCGAAGTTGCCGCCGTGCTGAAGTCCACAACCACAGGAGCTTTCGAAGACAATTCACAACGGGCAGTCGACGCATACACTACACCTAAAGGACCAGACCCCGCAGCGACACGCGCCCACGAGCCATTCGCCGGAGCGACTTTCCGCACAGGCAGAGCCACCGGTTTGACAGGAGGTGGAATCACCTCGGGTGTCATTCCAGGCTCCTCATGTATATCCGCACCCTCATCCTCATAATCCCCACCTTCATCCCCCAGCAGCCCACCCGCCCTCCTCCGCTCGCGAAGAAACCGCACAGATTGCTTCTTATGGTACCGCTCAACACGCAGTATAACGTTATCAAGCTTCATACCGTCGGTATCCTGCTGCGCGTAGACAGCCTCCTGCATGGTCTGGAAACCGATCATCACCGTCGTGATGGATGATGCGGCGTAGATGTTGGTGTATTCTACGGCTCCGTATTGTGCGTAGAGTCTGGGGATTGCTTTCCGGGCTGTGTCGGAGGGCACGTTTTTGACGAAGATTAGGTGGTTTTTTGTTGGTGCCATGGTGGGAATGGGGAGGCTTTGGTAGGGCGGCTTGGTGGGAGGTTGTGCGGTGAGTAGAGGGTTGTTATATGGGAGGGGAGGAGGGAGGGGGCATTTTGTGGAAAATTGCGGTGACTTGAGGTGAAAGGGAGTGCTCAGTGTCAATAGCATGGCACTGAATGGATCAGAGGTGAAATAAGACTTCACTAGGTAAAACTACCCTAGACAGCCAGTGAATGATGAGAAGTTTCATTCAAGTATAATAGTACGGTATGTTTTACGTGTGCAGAACACGACATATCCGGATGATAAAGTGCGGATGTGCTCACAGAACTTGGTCACGCGACTTTACAGGTAGGAGTATCGAAAAACATTAATAGAGAAAAGATATCTGGAACGCATGCAAACAAGTTGGATGCTTACAGAAACCATCGGGTTTCCTTCTAGTGCCTTCTAGGCCTTCAAGTGCCGCGTCTGAAGTACAAGCACAAACTAATATTAGTGCTTCTGAATCATGGTAGAATTGAGATGACAACGTGGGATGCGGAAGAATGATGGGAAGAGCATATTTTCTTTGGACCAAAATTGTATTTTTATGGATCTTAGTCCCGCTGTGAAGTAGTCCATCGCTTGTCCAGTGAGCATATCTGGAGGTAGCAACCACTCTGTTGACATTCCATGTCGATCCTAATCAACTACCCATCTTCCAATATTTTGTGCGAGGGTCGAAGGGCTCGATTTGAATGATAAAGGACGTACTCGATAGAGGCGAGAACGATTTCGATGGGGCGGGTACACAAATGCTCCGCTCGTGCATCCAGTGCGGATTGTGCGAGTCCAAAAAATCTGACATGCTGACATTCCCACACAAACTTCAACTTGTAGCAATGCCCTTGATCGAGAGTCATCTGGGTCGGGATGACGCATGTTTCGACTTGCTCTAACCAAGCGAGGGTGCGGCCGGAGGATCGTCCAAAGAGTAACCCCTAGTCTTCGCGATCTGATTCAAGGTCAGCAAACCTCGCATGATACATTTGCAAGTGTACATACCTCGACACGCTCGTAATAAGGCTTGATCTCGAAGAGAAGAGCGCAGTAGCTATAAGCATACCTAATTTCAGCTTGATTACCATACTGTACGCGAGGCGGCGATTAGCAGTTGAAGGCAAAGCCTTGTAGCAACGAACTCACAGCAAGGTAGCTAATCTGAAGGTTCTCTGTGTCCCTCATGGGAGCATTCAACCAGTTGATCTTCATCCAAATACTCGGATACCCTTCGTAAATCGGGTACTCAGAACATTCATCTTCTTCAAGTGATTCACAAGGCTCCGAGAGTTTCGTACCAATCTGATCCTTATAGGAGTGCTCGGCAGACACGTAGTTGTCCTTGGAGTGATCGAGAATTGGGCGAATAAAGGTATCAACCCCTAGGGATCGGAAGACTTCGTAAACGCTGATATCTGAGCCTTTCAAAACGGCTGGCAGGGCACAAATACCTTCATAAGTACTATGGGCGTAGGCATGGCTGCAATACTTCCCCATCATACCTCCTAGATCTTGTTAATGGTGTGTACATACATTCATGACGTGATTGCACCTGCCTGCTGACATGAATCGTGGGTCTGCAAGGGCATTCTTGACTTTGTTGTACAGGGGAAGCTTCTGCGCGCTCAGTGCTGATGAGTGACCTGCTATTTCTCCCAAACCGCGGCGGACAAACAGGTTGTCTAGAAATGCAGTCGCAATTAATACATGACACACTTATGTAACATTAGTAATGATAGGTTGCTTACATGTGAGGGTTACACGGTATCCAGACGTAACTTGCAGTACTTCATGTTCACAGTCGCTGTAGAACGCTGCCCACTGGACTTGATCGGTACTTCCAGCTCCCCAGTCGAAGGTGATGGAGTGGCCTTGGTGACGCACAACGAGCTGCCCACCTTCATGCGCGTGAGGAAGGCACACAACCAAGGACCCTATCTGGAGATCAGAACGAGGGGTATCGACGTGTGGCTTGAAGAGTCCGGATGGCGCTTCGTAGATCTGAGAATCAGGTCAGTGTGTGTCTTATATGAGGAGAATGAGTGTCTCACGTTGAGCTTGTACAATTCCGCTCGAAGACCTTGGTAAGGATGCGTCGTGTCTCGTCTAGGAAGCAGCGCTTGGCCGATGATGTCAATGATACCCAGTTGGTAAGGGCAGAAGTTGGTTGAGAAGGCGGACGGATCAAGCTTTGACGCTTTCCTGTAGGTCTCGTCAATCACATCTTTACCCCGAAAGCCAAAGCTAGCAGGTTGTGTATCCTGGATAAGCTTCGCCATCTGCGTGGTTCCATCATGCGTATCGTTTGAGGGCAGGATCAGCTTCTCGATAGTGTTAGCACTGTCCCACCGAATCGTAATCGCATGGGTGCCATTTTCTTCGAGCGGCTGGGTTGACTCGAGCTGCTGGATCCTGACACTTCCTCCACAGGCGTAATTCGAGCGGGGCAAGAACTGGGATAGGTGTTTAGTGGTCAACTGAGTAGTGGATTCTTCGATGCTCGCATCAGACATGTACGAAGTATCCGACATCTTTGCAACTATTGCAGTTGTGAAAAAGGTAGGGTTGTAGAGAGGAGAAAACCTGGGTTTTAAGGACGTGTTATCCGCGTCGTCACGTTGTCACGCGTTTGGTGTGACTTCGAGTGGGGCAATACCAGGCAGCAGCATCGGTTTTCACAATGTACGCAATGTAATAATAGGCAAGTGGATGGAATACGAGCACAAACAGATAAGAACCCTCACTCCGTCAAGGACAACCTAGTACTCGACTGGAGCTTCACAGATAGCATTCTGGCTTCTGCGCGTTAGCATTCGCGTATGGACACTTGATCGTTCCCAAATCTACCTTGTCTGACACTGTCATGAAAGCGGACACTCAGAAAGCGAGCTTCTTTATGGAATAATGATCTGAACTGCGCGAGAAAAAAACCTACAGCACATTGAGTGTAAACAAGACTATGGATGCTAAGCAAGACTTTCACACCCTCTATCGGCGGTAGAGCAAATGGCTATCGCATTGCTCTTGCAATCGAATGGTAAATGAGGCCAGAGATAAAGCGATCTCTACCGCTGGCTGATGACACCTATCATCAAGTAACCGATAACAATGGGCATGTAAGGATATGACCTTGGTGAGATGATAGGAAACCACGCGTTTTGACGCGACAAGCTATCACGCGGAATACACGACAAAGTATCAACCCCAGACCGTCTTGGGCTCTTTAGGGATATCCGTTCACAGATTGCATGTGCCAAATGGCCAAGCTGCATTTCTTTAGCATTCAGTACGACCGTACTTCAACACGTCTCAATGCCCGCTGTCTCTTGACCCTATCCACATCCGTACTGTTGAAGGAAAACTTCTGCCAAACAACTGGTCACGCTGATCAGTTTATGTCTCGTGTTTTCATATGAGCATTACCAATAGATAATTAATGATATGCTCAAACAAATGTTGGAAACCTACGAACCCACTGGACAGTCACGTAAGCTTGAATCACACTTTGAAGAAACGTAAACGTGACTTCACGATATAAATTCACAGTCGTTGGCAGCGGCGCACTGGAAGAGAAGTGAAGGAAGTGTGGAGCTCACTGTGTCTAATGATCATGCAAGGGAACGTATACGGATAGTTTCATCTCAGACCAAGATCACTGTGGGTAACCCCACAAAGGATAGATCAAAAGATCAGCCATGAGCTGGGTTGGAAGTCTCTACGTACTTCACGAGGGCATGGTCCGCTGACACACTGACGCGAATTGTCATACTCTTTGAGTATCTGCAGATTTGTGTTGAGTTTTTGTCTTAAACAGCCTATGCAAATTGTTTGCACCGTCTCAGCTCAGCAGTGAAACAGTGACTGTTCAGAAGATATAGACTCCCGAAGCGACATTCAGAGTTGAAGCCGGTCACCTCAAACATATGATAGTATGTGAACAACATTCACCAGCACCTCATACTCAGTACTCATATCACCACAATCACGAGCGACGTTCACGCACAGCGCGCAACCACGTCACCAAAACGTACCTCCAGCACCATGTCACTCACGCCGTGTGAAAACAACACTTCCCTATGGACAACTATATAATGTCGCCGACAATTTCCCCCGTATAGCCAGTATCCGACAACGAGCTCCAGGACTTAGTAGATATAGAACCAACCTCTAAGCCACTCAAGCACCGCCACATACATAAAGCAAGATGCGTTCCTACTACGACTCCAACTACGACTCCAACTACGACTCCAACTACGACCCCAGATACGACCCCAGATACGACCCCAGATACGCTTCTGAATTCGGCTTCCACTCCTCACGCGACCAGTATAGCTCCAGGAATTCCGATGCAAGGTATGTACCTACCGCCTACGATGCGCACTACGGTACGTCTTCGTCTCGTAAGACTAGCCGTGCTCATGATGGTAGTTCTCACCACTTTGACTACAGCAACAGTGGTGCTATAAGTCCTCCGCGTTCGCAGTCGGAGCAACCTCGTCACAACGCTCCTCCTTATAACCGCGGTGATATTAGTCCCTTGGGCACTTCCCGCTTCGAGCGTCCCATGGATAACTTCTACGGCCTCGACACGCGCCGTGACACTTCTTACGATGCACGTGACGCTTCCTCGTCCCAGTACAGTGGTTCACAACGCAGTGAAACAGCCCGTGACTCATATGCTTCGACTAACTACGCTGATGCGTACCAGCAGCGTTCGTCTGATTCGTCTGGTGGGGCCACAAGTCTTCGTCGTAGTGCTGCAGTGCGAGGTCGCCAGAATCCACGTGGATTCGGCACTGCTGGCGCGTCGGATTACTATGCCCAATACCGTGTTGAAATGCCTCGAAAGCCGAAGCCTTCTGCTAACTTCTCTGGTGGAATTGGTGGGTGGGAGCATTACTAACGCCGTTTAAAGTTTAGTTAATCGCGTTCTCATTCCTAGAGTCAGTCTCCACAATGAGAAAAAGTAACCATGTAGAAGAGATATTGGAAAAGAAAATATATATTTACAATGTAGACTGGTTGAACGAGCTGTGCGACATGAATTGACGCGTGGACTGAGTTACCTGGAGTAACAGATGCATCTGCATAGGAAAACAAAACATCCTCATGTACAAGAACAGTGCTAACCTACTACTGGGTATCGTATCGAAGAATGATATGACATCGAATTGCAGGCTTGGCGGTCAGGATGTCCAACCTTGAAGCGTGGTCATGTAGATATAAAATATGCACTTATCGAACGATATCTCCCAGACAAATGGCGACATACCCCGCTTTTAGTGAATGACTGGGGTTGACCCAGCAATATCCTGTGCGTAATATCGAAGGACACAAACATGAGAAAGATCATGGCAGCTGCAATTTGATGCCTGGCGAGCGATGGTCAGTCAGTAGAATGTATCGTAACATACTGGATCACACTTCTCGAAACAGCGTAACAAGACACGTGGAAAGAACTTGCGTCATCACATTGTGCACAGCATTATAGAGGCAAGAATATTGTGGGTGTTTTTGTTGTGTATTGATATTATACATGTGGATATTTTGGCGTCCTACACATTTTCAAAGGTGTGGTGCTAATCCATATCGATCATGACTTTCGTAAGACCACACATCTATTTCTTGTCGCCAGTGTTGTGGATCGCGTTGGGAACAGCGCGCTCAACCGACTCGGGGAGGATCTCCTGGATCTTCTTGGGGACGATGGAGTCCTCGCCGTCGTTCAGGGCGTGGGTCTTGTTGGTGCTCTGACCGGGGCCGGTAGCGGTGGGGTGGACCTGGGACAATAGTCAATACCAATGTTCAATGCTCAATGGCACGGAAGAACATACGCTATCTGGGAGAGCCTGCTCAATGTCCTTGGGGACGGCCTCCTGTGCCTTCTGGGGAACGGCGGACTGGCCGGAAGCGTGGGACTGGCCGGAAGACATTCTGATGGTTGATCGGGTGATGTAAGTTTGTTGGATTGGTCGTGTGAGTGTGCGGATTTTGAGGGCAAATGGCATGTTGAAAGATATAAGTTAGTAGTGAGACAAGGGAAGTAATATATATAGTTGTGCTTGTCGTTTGGCTGATGCCTGGGAGTACATGAGCGGGATCATATCGTCATATACTCGTCGTCGATTGTGAGAATGAGCTCATGAGGCGTTGTGCTTAGGTGACGGTCTGAGCGTAACGATGCGGTCATGTCGTCCCGCCCCCGCGGCTGAGTGGTCTTTGTACCTCACCGACTTGCATAGACGAGCTATCTCCATCTTTTTAGTGTTGGTTTAGTTGTTCTGATCGTCGTGCACTGTTGCAGCTGCGTATTACTCTAGTCGTTAGTGTATCTGCTGGTCGGGTTTCTGCGCCTCCGAGTTTCCGTCCGCTCGTACGATCCATGAGGTCTGGACGAAGAACGTTCTTTGGTGCTGGGATGACGTGTCCATGTGGCTTGAGAGCTCCCGGCTAACGTTGCAGCAGTTGACAGAAGCAAGCATGGTGCTACCCCACTATGCAGCTTACACCAGCTTGCACCAACATGCGTATATGTGATCCTGGGTGTAGATGTCAGAACGGTAATATACTAATTGACGAACAGTGATTCTGCATATGAGTCGCATGTCTGTAGAAAATACGTGCGAATGATTACAATATACATACTTCCTGCAAGAGTTATACACATCAGAATACTACTTACAGATTGTGTAAAGTGTTTACATAGGGAACTTCACCAGTATAGCCATGAATGGGGACAACTTATGAACATGAAGGCATTCCACGATAAGATCGCGCTAGATCACGAACCATAAACTCTACAACACTGTCAACAACAACACACCTAACACTTATCATCAAGGTGAGCACCAATAATTGATTTCGAGCAAGATGCTCATTGTTATGTTGGTGGAAAAATGATAGATGCTCGGTATCAAGACTCAACCTCGATATTCTGATCTATATATCTCTTAGTTATTCAACACAAACGCCGCCCAATGCTGGCATGTTTCGGCCGGGGTATCATCAGTGCAAGAAAAACTAGAAGATGTCGTCCATAATGACATCCCTCCCACCCGCAGCTACACCTCCAGTGCCTGCGTCCAACGGTGGCTCTGCTCGTGCATTGATCTCGTCCTCAATGAACACACCGAACCCGCCAAATGCCTCCCTCAACGCTCGATTATAGAAGTCTCGCATATCGTATCCACCCACCAGATGTACTGGATCGTTTTTCTGGCTAGTCAGCCAATCCACGTCGTAGTCGTCTTGCAAGACAAAATATTCGGGTTCAATACTCCAGCCATCGAAAGGATCGAAGGGAGCTTCTGGCGGTGGTGCAACGCGCTTCTTCAGCCCATTGAAACTGAACCCTGTGTCTTTCTTCGCGTCGTCGGATTTGGCGAGCGAATCCAAAGCTATCGCCGACTTCAAGGTCTTGCGCTGCGTGGCGCCCTTCTTGAGGTGTGAGGTATCGCTGGAGTCTGGCTCGATGGCGCGTCGGACAGCGTAGGGATCAAGTTCTGCTTTCTGAAAGTCTTCCCATTTTCGTAGCCGGCGCTCGGTCTCTTCGACGTCGGTCTTCAGAATCAGATTCCATGTGATCTCCTCGACTTGTTCGAGGTAGTCGTTGTAGTCTTTGAGCGTCTCGAAGTCTTCCTCCTTCTTAGTCATCCTGAACCACCGTTAGCCTCTCATGCGGCTCTCTCGCACTCGACAACACTCACGCGCGCGCAACCCGTGTCCGAATGTCCACCTCCCTCTCCACCTCCAGATCCTCAAACGTCTGCTTTCTGAATTTGCCCTTCCTCAACGTCCTTGCGCACCCGGCGATCGGACACGGCGCGGGTCCATGACTGAAGATTCTGTCTACACACGACTCGCACATGACATGATAGCACTCCGGATTGATTTTGAAGCGCATGTTTTGGTTGAGATAGCGCCGAGACTTGCATACGGGGCAGATGTCTTGGGCAGAGTCAGCGAGAGGGTTTTGACTATGGGGATGCTGTAAAGACAAGCTATGCAGAGATTTGAAGAGAAATGACGCACCATCGTCTGCGTCTGGCTTCGAAGACGCGCCATTTGCGCTGAGCTGCTTCGACATGGCGGAGGTGAGGCGGAGGTCGTGGCCGTGGATTGGAGCTTGAACGCGAAGACACGCTCGAGCTAGTGATGACTAAGCGACGTTCACAAAGAAACTGCAGAACCTGATGGATGATGTTTCTGAAAGGACTGTAGGAATCAATATGTGAGGATATCCAAAGTTGTGTAACTACGAGTGAAGTCTGTCGTGGAGCACTCCGCGCATGGTTCCCTTGCGAGTCTAGCGCGCCAAGGCCACTTTTGTCTGGACTTAGCTTTGTGCAAATTTCCTCAGCCTTCTTTCACCCCTCCACCCTCACGCGTCACATACCACCGACTATGGCAGCATCCACGCAAGATGCTTTGGAGAGCATTGAGCGCCGCCGTGCGCAACTCCAGGAGAGTGTGGATAAGCTGCGAAAGGCCCTCACGCACTGGACGACCTGGGAAGCCGAGTACCAGATGCTCAAAGAGGAGCTCCAGAGCGCAGACGACCTTCCGCCGTCCCGAATACGCGAGATGGCTCGAGACCTCGACCTCACTTTGGTCAACGACAAGGAGGTCGAAGAGCTGCTCGGCAAAGACTTGCGGACGAAACGCAGTGCTAACCAAGTAGTTGACATGATCTCTAGACGCATTGACTATGTTCAGCAAAGTAGCGCTACTATCGAGAAGCAGCTAGACACTACCGAAAAGCAACTTGCGGGTGTTGACATTTTATTAGATCCTGGAGTGGACAATGAAGAGGGTCTGCCAATGATGGACATCGAAGAAGAGTTGGACGAGGACGGGAACGAGATTGCGAGCTCCGTAAACCAGACGGGGAAGTCAGCCGCAGAGATTGTGGAGGTTCTGCGAAAAGCCGGCATTCAGAAGGCTGAATTGGAAAACAAGCAAGACGTAGGGCAGCCTGATCGAGAAGCTTCCGAACCAGTGTCAACACCGGTCTCGGCTGTATCAACTTTACAAGATGCCAAGACTACTTTTGAGCCTTCTGGATCTGCAACGCAATCACAACCCGATCGTGTTGAGACCACACCTCTGAAAAAGACTGTTTCATTCGCCGATGACATTAAATCGTCCTCCAATAAGAAAAAGCCTCAGCTGCAAACTGACCGCTACAACGAAGATCTCGAGAGTCTCAACTTCAGGCGCGGCACAAAGGTCATCGAGCTTGATGAAGATGACAACGAGCTTGCTACATACCCCATCATCCCGCAAGACGAATCGCCCGAGGACGCCGAATTACGGCGGCAGATGCTGCAATATGGGCTCTCTGAGGTTGGTCAAGTCGTGGCTGAGCTCGACCTGGATGATCCTGTGGCGCAGTACTCGGATGATGATATGGATGATGGTTTTGACGACTATGCTACCGAGGATGAGGAAGACGAAGATCAATACGGCCGCACCGCCAAGCCTGTGCTCACAGAAGATTATCGAAAGCAGATGCTTGAACTTGAGAAGAAACTGAACGCACGCATGCTTGAGAACGTCGGCCCTGAGTCTGACCTTCACCCACTGGCAGAGCACGCCGACGATGTCCGAACATTGCGTGTGCGAAAAGATGACGAGTTTGACGGGTCACTGGATACGGCGAAACCAAAAACGGTCGAGTCAAGTCCTACGAAGAAGGGCGTTCGGTTTGCTGATGATCTCGACATCTCAGACCCTCCTCCTCCATCGGCACAAGCACCCGTCGAAGTTCCTCCACCTACGCTCAAGTCTACGCCGACAATATCAGACACTATTGTCGAGCGCCCTACCACTACAACTCAAGCATCATCGGTACCCAGCAATCCTGCGAAGGTCTCCAGGTTCAAGAGCGCTCGATCTGGCGCAGATCAAGCGCCGCGGATGCTACCCACTCCTCCTGCCCCAGAAGTAGCACCTGTACCCTCTGGCCCAGCAGGCCGTACCGTAGCTGAGTCTGTCATCGAGCATACTGCATCGTCTTCGGAGCCTGGTGCGCCTGATGATTTCGATCCCGTCATGATTGGTCGTCAAATCCAAGCCGATTATCACAAAGCGCGGAACAAGTTTATACAACAACAAGGAGGGTTCAAGCCTTCCCAAGAAGACATGGACAGCCCGCTGTTGGAAGAAAGGGATGGAAAAACAAAGAAGGTCAGTCGGTTCATGGCGGCTAGGTTGAAAGCCGATGGTATGTAAATATCGATGCACGTTCAGCTTCCTCTGTTCCTTCTCTCAATTTCCTGTTTCGACTAACACGCAGAGTAACTCGATGTGATGTGGGTTGGGTACGGAACAATTCATGCCTGTGAGAGACACCTTTTTTATGTGTCAGTCTCACATTACATTGGTCCAAGATCGAACTTCAATTGAGCTCTCTGACGCGGCTGGCCTGGCTTCATGCCTGACGCGATTTGAAATGCTCTGTATATTCCACACCAGATAGCATGCTTGAATTGAATTGAATTCTTTGAACTCCACTACTTTGTTTGTATTTGCATATGTGAGCGATGAGCATGATTTCTGTTGTTTAGTTGTGAGATGAGCAAGTCGAGAGAGTCGCGGGGTCCTACCATTGTGTGGTGGTTCGTAATTGAGGTGGGGGCGGGGCTCACATTCCTAAGTAGCCGATGACGCCTGCCTCCATTTTTTTGCACCTACCGCTCGTCGCAGCTATGCCAGCCGCCACGGAGCCAACGCCTCTGCAGCCGGACATTCTCTCCACAAATACTGAACCGTCAGACGCGAGCTTCTCCTCGTCGCACACAGCCCAGCCGCCAAGCACGACCGACCTCGCGTTCGCACCCATCGCGCTCGCGCAGTACCACAGCATATCAGAAAAGCTGGCCTCGAACAATATCTACCGCATCCTCCGCTCGCCTGCGCCGATCCGTGTATGGGTGTATCGCTCACTGCTTGCTGAGAACCGGCAGTGGGAGGAGTGGGACCGGACCGCCACTATGTCGGGTGTGCATCTGCGCAGGGAAGATGAAGTGGACGGGGGCGGGGACGCAGAGAGCGTGGACAACACCGAGAGCCCGAGCAACACGGGGAGTGTGGGCGACACTGAGAGCTATTCCTCGGAGCACTATGCAGCAAGGCCGTACCTCACGCGTCTGCGCCTCGCCATTGCGCCCTATACCGTACACTACCACAACCCCGGCTATATCAGGGACGACACGCTGAAAATGCTGGAACGGAACGTGGTCAAAAAGACGCTGGAGGAGACGCGCAAGAATCTGGAGATACGCGAGGAGCTTGGCTTGTCGTGGGAGTTCTGGGATGATCTTGCGGCACTGCTCAAGGCTGCCATACCCTACCTCGAACGACGCTGTTTCGCTGCCCCGGATCCCGCTGCCCCAGAGTACGAGGGCCTTTCTGGGCCTTTGATTGCAAGCTATTCGCCGCAACTGCTGAGAGACTTGGAGAGATTGAACCAGATGGTGTGCATTGCGCGCAATGTCTTGGTGCATGGGGAGAAGGTGCAGAATCTGAGCGCAGAGAGGTTGTTTGATAAAGATATCTTTGCGCTGGTTAATGTCTGCGTGAGAGTTACTGCGAGGGGATATGATGGCGAGGCCGGGACGCAGGACGAGGATAAATGGCAGAGCGTTATCAATGCTTGTAAGAGCTGCGAGCAACAACATGAGCGCACAACACTAACAATCCACAGACAAGAAACTTCTCATCACCTGCCTCCAGTTCCTCAACAACTTGATCGCGCGCAACGAGCAGCGAAAACTCATGCTCTGGATCGAGCTCTTCGATAGCCATCTCGACAACGAGCTGCCCAACTTTGCCGACATGAAGTATAAAATGGACGAGTTCCCACAGCAAGACGACGAACAAGCTCTGCGAGAGCAGGCAGCACGCAACCTAGACACGTTCAAGATCCCGCAACAACCTGCTTCATCCCCATTCCTGCTCTACATTGGCGAGACGGGCAACGAGGTCAAGAAGACTTTGATGCAGCACGGTGTCAAGGCAGGCGCAAATGAAATTGCTGCCGAGTGCAGAAGGCGATGGCAGACCATGAACGAAGAAGAGAAGAACGTATGCCACATCATTTCTTGTCTTGTGAGAAACAACTACTGACTCTCCGCAGAAATGGAATATGCTCTATGCCGATGTGGTTGCCAGATACCGTGACCAGATCACCCAATCCAGCACCTATAAGAAAGTGGTGGACCAGCACGCCAAGAACGAAGAAAGCGTACAAGCACTCGCAAAGAGCATCAATCAGCTTCAAGTAGAGGTCGACAGGATGCGGTCCTCAATCGCGTATCCTGACGGCTCGTCTTCCGAACAAGACACACCGGAAGAGAAAGCCTCGAGACCAGCACTGGATGATTCATTACTCGATCCCAGCATCAAGCGGTCGTCCCCGGCAGGTGAGATCGACTTTCGCGTAACCTATCCGCCATCCTTCGGTGCCGAGATCCTGCAGAACGGCAAAGATGATCTGCTCAAGCGTCTCGAGCCAGATCCAGACCGTCCGGGGCTAATCAGTGATGTAGCCTCACCAACCTCTCCACCGCCTGAGGACGACGATGATAACGACAATGACGACGATTATGATGATATCCCGGGAGATGAGGGACGTGGACTGCTTACGGATGTACCGCTCATTCTGGGCCCGACGGAGATTGAAGTTCTACCCATGATCATCATGGCAGGCATTGTGGAGCCGCACGAGGGCCAGCCAGGATATCATTCTGATCCTACAGTGTTTAGCAGTGTGAGGAGTATGCATGGTGTACGGTGCCATCTGCTCCTTGCGCAAGACAATGGGCGCAACCTCCTTCGCGAGTTGTTGATCTTTGTTGCGGCTTGGGACCTGAGGGAAGAGGAGTTGTATTTCAAGTTCATGGTCAAGATCATGGAAGCAATCCTGGCGAATCAGTTACTACCATTCGCCTACCATGCTTTCAGAGAGTCTGAGTAAGTGTAGTCGACGTTGGAGTTGAGGAATCCCACTAACGGTTGCGTAGATCCAAGGACATCATCTCACCCGCTCAAGCAGTCATTATGAAGCTTCTCACAAACATCTTCCGCGCCCGACAAGCGCGTGCACAACCTTCCAAAGGCCTTCTCAAGCCGAACCCTTTGCCAGTTGACCAGGGTGACGTCCACATGGTCAACTTTCTCCTTACCGAGTTCCGGCGACATATCATCCCGCAAACCTGTGCGCTCATCTTTCTGCAAGGCCAGATCCGTGCCGGTCACGCGCAACCCGAAGACTTCCCTCTCAACCTGTGGGACATGGAGCGCATGTACGAGGGCGTGTATCAGTACCTGGAGTTCTTTGCCATCTTGACAGAGCACGAGACGTGGAAGCGAATGTTGAGCAATTGGGAAATTGTCAATGAACTAGTCACACTGCTGAAAGAGTTGGATGCTGCGATTCCCAAGGGACAGCTTTCTGTTCCACCACTGAGGAACGTCGCACATGCACCGCCGCCACCTGCCGCGCCCGTCGAAGTCGATATTCCTGCCCCACAACATCAGGGTCAGCAACAACCACATCAACAGCAGAATCAACAGCAACAGCCCCAACCTGTCGCAGTCGAACGCCCCTACGACACCACTGCTCCTATCCAGGACCCGTATATTCCACCGCCTGCCTCGCCCTCCCCACGTCCGTACATGGACGAAGCCGCCGACGAGCCCTCGGACTTTGAGTGGCGAAATCTCAAGAAATTGGCTGTCTTGGTTCTATCGTCCCTTGTCTGGAAGAACAAATCCGTCCAAGACCAGATACGCCCGTTGGGTGGTATCGAGGCGGTGCTCAACTGCTGCAGCTACGATGAGCACAATCCATACATACGAGAGCATGCGATTATGTGTCTTCGATTTCTGATGGAAGGGAACAGGGAGAACCAGGAGAGGATCCGTGTGCTTGAGAAGGTAGGCAAAGAAGGAGAAGGCAAGAAACAAGAAGACGGGCAAGCAAGCGGAAGCGCAAACATGAGTGGGAACAGCGGAGTAAAAGTCCCAGACGAGGTTCTGGACCAGCAAGGCTACGAGACATACATGGACAGCAAGGGCCAGGTCATGCTGAGGAAAAGACAGCCTCAGCCCGTGCCGTCGAGAGGCGCGCCGAACATCGAGAGAGGCCCAAGTGCTGGGCCTTCTGGTGGTGCGTCGGCCAGTGCGACTGCCGCGTCTCCTGGTACCGGGAATGGTAACGGAAACGGCAACGGTAAAAGCAAAACTGACGTCGCTGCGGGCTTTCGAGGCGGCGACCCAAAGGCCCTTGAAGATCTTGTGCAGCAAGTTATGCGCGATCTGCCCACGAGAGTGCAGGGGCTGAGGGGTGCGAGTGGAGAGGAGAGGGTGGCGGAGGAGGCGCTCAAGAAGCTTGATCGGGGGTTTGATGGGGGATCAAAAGGCTGAGAGAGAGAAAACGGTCTATGGGCTTCATTTCGTTGCTAAAGATACTTTCTCAGGCTTGACTGATTTTGGGGGTTGTACCATGGAGAGAGATGGTGGATGTGTGATGTGATGTGGTGGTACGTACGTCTCGTGGTGGATATGTACTCGCTACTACTTCGAGATTGGAGGACTCCTAGGAAGTGAACGTTGGGTTGGAATATTTCACCCTTGGGCTCTGGCTAGGGAAGCTTCAAAACTTAATCATACTATCATACCATTCAGACTCTGTTGAGTGACGCGCGAAAGGTGACAAGCTTGTAACGAGACCCTCGAGCAGGTCGATTTGTTATGAGTTTCCGTGTGATAAATGCAATATTGTTCATCGTTAAGTGTCTCGAGGGATAACATTATCGATGTTAAACAGCATCTGGTTCGTCTTTGCCTCCGTAGTCTGAATATTATTTCGGACGGCAAGGTCGAGACTTAAATCCTCGTAATGGCTGAGACACATTTTACCTGCCTTTCTTGCAAGAAGGACCATGGGTTTTGTGCACGAAAATAGATTCCTATTTACAAACTTGCTTCAACGTTGAGTTTCCAGAGTATTCCTTACAAGCTTTTGGCAAAAAAGCCGACTGAGTCGTAAGGCATCGACAGAGGCCTAGAAGCCAACGCAGGAAAGAGGCGCAATTTCATGCCCCGGACTCAGTTTGATTGAACCTTGCCGTTGTGCTGATAGAATCCTGGACTAAAAACAAACGTCACAAACGGCGATGGGAGCTTGGAGGCGTACGTCTAACGGCAGTACAGACGGTAGTGGAGCTTTACCGCTACTTCAGAGTCATTGTGGACGTATCGATTCCACCGTTGTACAGGTCGATCAAGCATGTTGAAACATCACATGATAGGGTATCTCCAAATCTACGCACAGACCAACCTTTAATATCGGGCCTTTGATCGAGACTCACGCCGGTTGTTGTGCACCTGACTCGCAACTTCCCCCTTCGCTGTCGTTGTCGTCCCACGTTTCCTCTGCCAGCTACTGCTTACCTGCACGTCTCCCCTTCTTGTCCCTTGCATCAACTTCTCGTTGCTAGACCAAACAAACTCGTCCTGAACTCACATATACCCTTCGACCTAATTAATCCACACACTTGCCGTCATCATGCCCGGAGTCCGTATGTATACTCTCCTAGAGTCGTTTTGTCTACTGGCTTTGCATTCTGCCCATGAATACAGCCATGGCTTGGTCATTCTCTCTTGCACACGACCTGGTTCAACGCGCCTGCCTTGTTCAGCGCTTCTGCCTGAGCATATGGCATCGAACTCTCATCACAACCCACTTCCCACTTTCCACTATGCGACGATCTTTGCTCTTTGCGGTTCACGTATCTAATCGCTATCGTTATCGCAGCACTCGACGCGTTCTCTACGGTGAAGAAGTCCCTCAGGGGCATGTTTGGAGGCAAGAAGAAGGCCAAGACTGGTGAAGCCACGCCGACGGCCACCACCGCAACGCCCTCGTCTTCCACCGCGAAGCCCACCGAGACCACTCCCGCTGCGCCCGCTCCGGCCACCGTGCCCCAGCCGGCAACGAGCGGCACATCGTCATCAGCATCCAGTGTTGCATCTGAGCCAGCCGCTGCTGTGCCAGTTGCTGCTGCTGCGCCTACCACGGGTGAGGCTGCTGCTCCGGCAGAGGTCAAGAAGGAGACACACGGTAGGTCAACCTCTCGTCCTATGTCGAGTCCGCGCCAGCGCAGCAATAATGACTGCTGGGTGGAGTCAGGAGAAGATAGAAAGTCCTCCTTCTATTCGCAATCATGTTTCGAACCTCCATGGTCGCTTTCATCTGCCTTGTAGAGATACCCATGGACTGACGAATACACCTTCTAGCCCACGAGCCTGTCCCCGCAGCTGCACCTGCCACTCCTGCAGCTGCACCTGCCCCTCCCGCCGCTGCCCCGGCGCAGTCTCCAGCCAGCGAGGCCCCTGAGGTTGTCCAGCCCAGGCACACCGAAGCTCCTGCGGCCGCTGCGCAGCCTCCCCAGCCCGAGGTCCCCGAGCTTCCCGCAAGCAACCCTGCACCTGGAATGAGTGCTACCAGTGGACCAATGGGCGAAGCCACTTGGGATGCCGAGGCTCAAGAGCAGCAATCTGCCCCTGCTTACACAGTCCCTGCTTCCGCTCTGATTTCTCCCCCTAACCAGTAGGTGGTCAGAATAACCCTACACCTCCGTCAAGATGTGTAAGCTCAAGCTGCATGCTGCTCTTCACGTCATGAAGCTGGACGCTTTCGAGTTGTTTTCCATATCAAGGCCGTCTTTGAGTGTCAAAGTTGAAAATGTATAAAAAACGTGATTACACGGACGTGGTGGGGGATTTATCATGGACTGCTTCACTTGTGTTTGCACCACAAGATACTGACCCGTTTCGATACATGTATGGGCAGTTGGATGCATGCGTTCCCGGTTATTCTTGCTACTTGATTTTCTTCACTAATTCTATACCCAATTGCGGTGTACTTACCACGAGTGGCACATGCATCTATTTTAGTTATGGTGGCAGTTTGGCGTTAGTTTCAATTAAGATTTATTGTCTATTTCTACGACCAAACAATATCACCTCGCTGCCTGACGTGAAGAGCTGCACGGCGGGCTAAATTGTCGGTTACATCTCCAGAGTCAGTGAATGCCCTTGAGCCTGAGTAATACAACGTGCATATTGGGCGGCCTTCCTTAGCGCGGGGTAGGTGCGAACCGCGCCCCACCACTTTATTCATGGAGTGTCAACGTCATCTTTGTACCCACGCGTTCTGATTTCTCAGCTACCCACCTGCGTTGCTGACTCCCTAACCCGACGCTGATACCTAAGCCGAACAGCTTCCACTATTGCATACGTTTTGCCCTCAATCGTAGCGACAGCCCATATCTCTTTCGAACCCTTTTCGGGAAACATAACGACACAGTACCCAGCGACACCATGCCTCCAAAAAGTGGCGTTCAACGCGCGAAAAATATCGATTACGACGACGATGTTTACGACGACGATGACTACTACGAGGAAGAGGAGGAAGGAGTGCCTGCGGAAGACAAGGAGGAGCTACGCGTAGGCACGATCCGAGTGCGTGAAGCGCTGGGAGAATTCGAAGCCGGTGTCAGCGATGCACAGATCCAGGAGGCACTGTGGCATTACTACTACGACGTCGGGAAGAGCGTGACATACCTGAAGAACAAGCTTGGGGGAGCAGCGCCAAAGCAAGAGCAGAAGAAGGAAAAGGCCGTCTCGAAATTCGAGCAGGCGGCGAGTGTGGCAGAGAAGAAGGCACCAACGGCAAACCCTGCTGGTAAGCAATCTGACGTGAATTCCGGACGTGTGGAGGAGTCAGCGTATCCCGTCGTCATCTCGCCCTGGCCAACACAGCCGACCCGGAAGTTTGAACATAGCGCAGCCTATCTCTATCTCTGGAAGGATATACGTTGGGGAGAAATACCGCCTGGTCGGGAAGCCGGCCTCATCACGGTCGTTCCTCCTGCGTACAAGAACCATGTAGAGTATAGAAAGGGGTTGCTGGGTGGCTCTTCCAAGCTAGCCGCGCTCGCTGCAAAACGCCGAAAGGAAAGAGAAGACGCACAGGCCGCTGCAAACTCGACAGCGAATGGCGAGACTGATGAGGCCGTTTCTATGCTCGACAAGCTCAGCGTCAAGGCCAAAGAGAAGGATGCATCAACTTTGCAAAGTGGCGGCCAGGAGAGTGAACGTCCATCTCGAGCGTCCAGATACCCTATCCGAAGACGCTCGCCCTCGCGTTCGCCAGAGTTAGAAGCATCTCCAGACGAAGCGAAAGACACCATCGAAGCAGATCAACCAGCTGTGAACATTGAGTTTGCAGCTGTTCGTGCGGCTCCTTCTATGTTCGCGTCTGTCCTGTGTGGACCGAGTCAACCAAGTACACCGCCCGTCTCAGACCAAGTCTTCCCGGCACCGTATGTCAACTACAAGGAATACCAAGATCTGAACCCCTTTGATGGACCTAGCCCTGACGATATCGTGCGAGCAGCTCAGGCGAAGAAGGGCGCGGGCGCTGGGCGACGCTGACTCTCCTACACGGACCCTTGAGGATGATATATCTAAGGCGTACAGGAACTACACCAAAGAAGAAGAGGACAGCCAACAGCAATGGAGAGAAGTTGGCTGAGTCTGTTGAAAAATTGACTGTTGAGGAGCCCAGAGTCAAAAGCAAAAATCTGAACGTGGTAGACGAGTATGAGAAAAGTGGTATGAAGCGGATGGCGAATTTCGTTGTAGTTGGTAAGTGTTTTGTAATCCAGATGGCTCCTAGTACCCTTTTAAGCTTTTGTGGGAGCACTAAGTGGTGTAGGAGTCGTCTAGCCACGATGGTGTTTGTCGGACTCGATTGTACTGACAGAATAAGGGCACGTTGACCATGGGAAAAGTACGCTGATGGGAGGTCTACTTCGCGATCTCAAAGTCATTGATCAGCGATCCATCGACAAGCTCCAGAAAGAAGCCGAAACAATCGGCAAATCGTCCTTTGCCCTCGCCTGGGTCATGGACGAGACGAGCGAAGAGCGCAGCCGCGGAATAACGGTTGACATTGCCACCCACTACTTCGAAACAGACAAAACACACTTCACAATTCTCGATGCGCCCGGCCACAAGGACTTTATACCAAACATGATATCTGGAACCTCACAGGCCGATTTCCCGGTCCTCGTAATCGACGCCAGTACCAACAGCTTTGAAGCTGGTCTCAAAGGCCAAACAAAAGAACACATTCTCATCGCTCGTAGCATGGGCATGCAGCACATCATAGTGGCCGTCAACAAAATGGACACAATATCCTGGTCCAAACAGCGCTTCGATGAAATCACAAAACGCATGACGGCCTTCCTAACCGAGGCAAGTTTCGCCGAAAAACGCATCACTTTCATCCCCCTCGCGGGCCTCACAGGCGACAACGTGACCAAGAAAGTCGACCACCACGCCGCAGACTGGTACACAGGCGAAACCCTCCTCGAAGCCCTAGAACGCATCGACCTCCCACCACGCAACCTCACAAAGCCCCTCCGCCTCTCCGTCGCAGACGTCTTCAGAGGCGACATGCGTTCCCCACTCAGCATATCCGGGCGCATCGACGCCGGCACGCTGCAAGTCGGCGACGTGATCCTAGCCCTCCCCGCCAACGAAACCGCAGTCATAAAAGCCATAGAAGTCCGCGACTGCCCCGTCGACTACGCCGTCTGCGGCCAGATCCCCACCCTCCACTTATCCGACATCGACCCCGTCCATCTGCGCAAAGGAGATATCGTCTGTCCGCCAAACGCCCCGGTTAAACTCGTCAAGGCTTTCAGCTCGAAGTTGCTTGCCTTCGATCATGTTCTGCCTATGCCTGTTGAGGTCTTTAGGAGTACCCTGAATAGTCCCGGCGGTATTCGCACGTTAAGTGCTAAGCTGAATAAGTTTACGGGAGAGGTGGTTAAGAAGAGGCCGAGGATCGTTAAGCCGGGGGAGGTGGCGCGTGTGGTGGTGCAGCTTGAAAGGGAGTTGCCGATTGAGGAGGGCATGAGGGTGGTTATCAGGGAGAGAGGGAGGACGGTTGGCGCGGGGCTGATGGAAAATGTTGCGTAGAACGAGAGGTGCAAGCAGACAAGGTTCAGTGTATGGGACGTATGGTCTGAGAACATGGGAAATGTAGCCAAATTTCATATTAAACTTTTACTCATGTGTAAGCGTGTTGTGTATCGCCATGTACTCATGTCATTCAACCATTGAATCATATAACCCCCGCTCCCTACCCTAATTTTCTGACTGATCCTTCCCCTGCCTAGCATCCTCTTCCAGACCCACCTCACCTCCCTTCCTAAGTGGCGCCGCGTCAGGTGCCAAACTGCCCGCCCGTCCCCTCTCCCTCAACGCCTTCATACTCGCCTCACTCAGCGGCGCATGCGGCACGGAGCGCGCCCAGGCTGCGTTTCCAGGCTCGCTTGGAGGGGCAGACAAAGGCGGATTGGCTTCACTTGGCACCGAGGAACTGGTCCTGGGGGGAATAGGTGTCCTAGTCGCCCACGGAGCTTGGGTTGGCAAATCGGGTTCACTCGGTCCAAGTACGCAGGAAGTGATGCGTCCGGATTCCCAGGGCGCTCTCGTGGCTGGCATACCATTTGCGGGGTTGGCCATGGGGTTCCGAGGTGATGGCTGGGCGCGCAGAGGTAGAGGTTCGAGGCGTGGCGGGTGGCGGGCAGATGTGATAGGGAGAGATGGGCTGCTGCGTGAGTTGGCCCAGGGCGCTGATGTGGAGGGTATGCCGCTTGACATGTCGGCCATGGGATCGCGCAGGCCCGGCTGAGGGCGAGCTGTTGGCGCTGTGGAGGATGGTGTTGCGGCTTTCGGTTGGCTGGATGTGTGCACGCTGGCTTCGATTGTTATTGCGGATGGATCTGGTGTCCAGGGGAAGAGGGAGCCGAAAGGGAAGTGCTGGACGACCGGGAATTTTGAGAGGACTTCCGCGTTGTACATTTTTATCATGCCCTGATGTGTGTTAGTCAGGTTCCTGCACTTTGTATGGGAAGTAAAAGGGAGAATTCATCCATACCTTGTTGATCTTCGCCCAACCTGCTTTGACACCTGAGATATCGTACAAGATGGGGCTGTGCTCCCAGAAAGGGCCGGTTTTGACGTCGTAGATGAAGCCAATGGCGCTGAAGTACATGTTTCGCTTTCTCTCGCGCTCCACAGCATTTGCTTTCGCGACATCTGCAGGATTTGGTGCATCTGGCAACGAACCCTCGGTCGTAACGTCTGCAAGAGTGGATATTGAGGGCGAGAACTGCGCACTTCCGAAGATGTATGAAAGAAAGAAATGATCGTCGAGGCCCCATACTCCGTGAGACCCGGCAGGCTCGAGTGTATATGTCAAGATGAGGCGGCGGATCAGGACGAGGTAGGGCTCGATGATGCCCAGAACGATGCCACGCTCTTGATCCCCATCCTCGGATTCTGGGAAGGCGCCGAGTTTCCACAAGCACCCTAGAAAAGCGAGGAAGGAGAGTTCATGGCCAGTGCCATAGTCAAGACGCTGTGAGCTGCCGAAACTGCCTAGCAGGTAGGCTTCGAGCTCATCTTTCGCTGAGACATCAGATGATGATTTGAAGGCCAGGACCTCTGCAGGTAGATATCGGTCCAGCAGATCTGATACACGTTCTCGAACAATGTCATACCACGTCCTGAACGCTACATTCCCAAAACGTCTTGGTCCCGTATCTGGTGGGGCTTCATTGACTACGGCGCCCAGCACGTCAAGTAGCTTGGCGATGCTTTGCACGACAGGCGGATGCGGTACATCCAGGTCTTGAAGTCTCCATTCTTTAACGAATTCAATGCTTTGCTCTTCGTTTGTGATTCTTCGTGGGATCATGGAGATGTTGAGCTGGAACATGAACGTCATGATGTCTGCATAGGCCTTGCTTGCGAGGAAAAAAGTGACATCATCGCCATCATTGATGCGTTTTGTCGGGACTGTGAATCCATGGCTGCTGTCTGGGTGGAGAAGATCGAGTGTCGGACACGTCGACAGAGATTGGAAGGGCATGGTGTGTGGTGTTGCAGATCTGGTTTGGTTTGGTGTGTAGTGCATGTGATGGCGTGTTCGCGTGTCGAGGGTCGCGACTCCCGTCCTGTCTTTCGATCGCAAGAGCAGCCTCGCAGTTGCACCCCACTTGCGTCGTCATTAGTACCGCACGCGTTTGGTGTTTTCGCATTAGATAATCAACATGGCGCGACTGCACAAAAGTAGGTGTAACAACGTTTTGAACGCGCATTTGTCCAGCGCTGGCAGGCTTGCGCAATGTTTTTGACCTTCCTGCCACTGCGACTAACATAATCCCAGATGCTAATGACGTCTCTCCCTCACAGTCCTCCTCTTCTGCCGACGCGGCAGCGTCCCACGCATCACGAGCAGCATCTGCACCATCTTCCTCGGCAGTTCAGGGCGCGTCGCTCCTCAATGCTGCTCGAGCTGGCAAACCCACCGTTGGGGCGCGTAAATTAGACGTTGGAAAGGGGAAGCTCCCACGCCCAAGCTTTGCGCTGGGTGCAACGCGTAAACAGCCCGTGAGCCGGACCAATGTGTACGATATACCAGATAGCCCGACGAAGGGGACTTTTCAGCTGCCCGAGATCGTCAACCCTGCACCGCTGAGGCTTCTCAGGAAAAAGAAAAAACCCAAGGGAGCCGCCGAGACGCAGTCTGAAATATACCCCGAACAAGACGAGCTCCAGGTTGGACCTATTACACGCACTGAAGATGCAGACGAGCAGCCGTTACCCATCTCTCCATCTGCATTGGCTCAAGGCACCAACGACAGTGTTGACATAGATGATCATCAGCCAGACAACAGAGAGCAAGTAGTCGAGGATGAATCCGACCAAGAAACCACGAAATCCAAGTCTCCTGAAATGCAAGGACTTGATTCCTTAGAAGCTCCGAATGGCGAACAGGCACCGTCTAGTTCAGTAGAGCAAGGGCACGCAGGCAGACCCAGTAGAAGGAGTCATCCTGAAATTCGTATACCGGTAAGGGAGGCCAAGCCAGACACTGTTTCCTCAATCGCAGATGCGGGAGGCGAACGCTCTGACATCAACGAACGCGAAGGCGATGGCGATACCATTGAGGTAGCGATACCGGTACCGAAGCTCTCCGCTGCTGACAATCGCAAGAAGTCAAAACATCGAGTCGTCAATGGCGCTGAGCCGACTCCAAGTCGCTCAGAGTCTACAAGTGACCAGGTTGATCCAATCCCGACTTCAAATACACAAAATGAGGCTTCGCAAGGGAGAGTCAATGACGTACAAGAAGACGGTCATGGTGAGCCACCAGCCAGTCACCAAGTGTTTGGTCTTGACAAGACAGAAGAATACGTAAGACCAAAGCACATCCCTGCATCCACCTTGAGTCAGTCAAGATCGTTAAGGACAAGGACGACGGCACAGGGACCAGTGTCCAAGGTACGAATACAAAGTACACAACAAACAGCAGACAACTCATCTGCTTCAACCAATGAGGCCGATGACGATCACCAAGCTGAAGAAAGCCAAACATCCGACAATGGGTACGAACTCGATCCGTCACCAGCAGAGGATAGAGAATCAGACCCTCCAGAGGAAGTCGCTGCACACGAAGAACAGGTTCACGCAAACGAACACAATGAGGGCCCGGAGGAGCAACCCGAAGCAAACGCCGAACTGACTGATCTTGATCACGTTGTTAAATTTCTTGACCTTGAAGAGCGTTCGGGTAATTGTCAGACGAAGCTTGCTACTATGATCAAACAAGTATGCGACGAATCATACATTTCAGTCAGCGAACTTGACTCGCTTGCCCTCGTAGTCGAAAACATTGATAATGTTAGAGGAACACTCGAAAAAATTGATGGCGTTAAGGAGTCTAGACGATTGGCATTCAAATCTGATGCTTATTCGTATCTGTTCCGCGCACTCACTCTTTACCTGGAGACAGTGTATAGCTGGCTTTATGAGAAGTTCGACGACATTACGAAGTCTCTGGAGGCCTTGACGGTCCTTCACCCTCTTACCAACGATATTCTGGTCTTCAAAGCCAAGATAGCCACGTGGGGCGTATCAGTCCCTCAGCGTTCGAAAGGTGACCGGCTCGTCAGTGATGTGGAATCGAAACTCATCGTACCCCTACGCAAAGTCGAACAGGCATTTCGTACTCGGATCAGTATCCTCAAGGCTGCACAAAGAGACCAGCTGATGCGTTTAGATCGAAAGCGCAAACGGGAAGAGGAGGAGGCGAGACAAGACTACCTCAATGCGAGGAAGGAGAGGCGCAAACGCTGGCAAGACCTCCATGTCGTCAGAATGCAGTGCGAGCCTGTCCCCTATGAAAGACGAAAACTTTTCTTCACTGAGCTCGAGGACCGCGAGGAGACCGATGCGAATGGTGTGAGATTTGAGCGCATACCACTGTTCAAAGAACGCGTCGCGCCACGCGCTACTTCCTCAGATTCGGAACAAAAGGAATGGACTGATGAACAGACCGCCGTCTTGATCCAGGCCCTTGAAAAATTCGCTGGTGCGTTCAATGCCACTCGATATTATAATTACCTGTGAACGCTAACAAACGTACTAGGTCCACGCGTCTTCGAAAAACTTTTCCACGCCCATTGCCGTCTTGGCGGGATGCTGCGAGATTTCACCGTCACAGATATCACTACGAAAGCGACTTGGGTGCGCTCTGCTTACCTGAAGCTGCATCAAGCACAACAGGACAAAGACTGGGAAGTCCCGGATTGGGTCAAGCAGATCCCCAATCTGCCATGATTGTACTCGCGATCAACTTTTCACAGAGTCTCAGTGCAAGTATGTCGTACTCATTGAGTCATCTTGTGTTGAGATGTGATGCGGGTGTTGTTGGTGTTCTATTCTTCATCCTCAAACTTTGTGTGGTATTATTCCTCTTTTCAGAAAAGTAAATGTTCCTGATGTTCTTCTATCGTTCTCGGTAACATCTCATGGTCATTCACACAACCTCAGATCTTTGAAAATATATCAAAATACCCTACCATATTTGACCCATCACAATACTCAAATTGCCCTCTCAAACCTACACGTTTTCACCGAACGTATGTGAACTTTACCGCAATCGAGTAGGGACAGTAACCGTTTCACTAGATCACAATGCAGAAGCTTTCCAAGTGTCTAAACATCATGTTTCACCCCACAAGATGCCAAGACCTGGAGCTACAGGAGTGAATGCCGCGAGCGGATGCGAAGTTATTTCAAGATTCTCACGTTTCGTATAACTCTTTCTCCTCTCATCCAAAGTCTTCAACTCCAAGCACGCCTACATCTCTCCTCGACGAAAAGCTCAACGTGCCCAAGATTCATCACCACACCTCGCCTCAACCCACTGGAACCCCTCACACTACTTCACCACAACCTACCATCACATCATCCCAACGATGACATCCGCCAACCCGTATGCCGTGCTCGCAGAACCCAACGCTAAGGCTCTCGCACAGCCACACCGCTTGTCGCCTAAGGACAATAAGAAGCAAGCGGCCGCGCGGGTGAGGGCGCAGGACAAGAACCCGGGATTGAAGACAGAAGAGAAAGGATGGGAGACTGTCTCCAAGAAGGAAAAGAAGGTGGTCGGGAAGCCTAGAGTTTCTCCTGATGTCGCAGAGAATGATTTGTCGATGTCGCCGTCGGCGTCGTCAGAAGTATTGACGGGTATGGTCAAGCCGAACACGGAGATGGAGACAACGGGAGAAGAGATGAATATCACTTCCGATGAGAAGCAGCTCGATAAGCCGAAGACGATGAAGATCAACATGAAGGAGCAGAGGAAGTGGGAGAAGATGCGCGCGAAGAAGGCGCGAAAAGCCGCCCGGAAGACTCTACAGCAGGTCGACGAGTCTGCAGCAAAGCCTGTTGCTGACTTCGTGGAGACTACAGAGTCACCGTTGCAACCACTCCCCGCCTTCGTCTACGTGTTTTCGGTGGGAGCTGAGTCGCCGGTTTCGGAGGTCGAGGATCATGTCGACCTTCAGACCGTCTTCGAAGGAGCTGAGATGGGAATGATTGAGCGAGCTGAGAACCTCCCTGCATCGTCAACAGGTGAGCTCGCGGAGTTGGCCGAGGAGCTGCCTGTTCTCCCGAAGCCCAAGGAAACTACGGTGTCGGGAATCGAGCAAATCGAGGTTCAGGACAGCAAACATGTCGATAACTCGATGATGACGGACTGGAAGAATCTTGGATGTGAGTGTTTCAGGCAGATGATGGGGGCTTTGCTCGCGATCTTGATCATATGGCTCGGCCATCGGTTAATGGGTATTCGACTGGGTTGGGATGGGGGAGGAATTGGAGCGGTGTAGGAGTGCGGATCGTATGTCGAGGTGTATTCGAGAGGCGTGCATACCCTCATATGCTGTGCGGATCATTAGAGGTTTGGCGTTTGGCGGAATCGTTGATGGCGCATACAGTGACTTTGGAATGCGATACTATTACTGGCGAAAGGAGTTAGACCGCGAACATAGAGATCACTCAAAGTTCAATTGAATTTCTTCCGTTATGTCTACGTGTCTGCTCAATATGCCCCTTGATAAAGTTCACAATCGTCAGTAGACGTTCAATACAACATAATATTTCTATGCTCTTTTCTGCTCTTGAGTCCCAAGGGATGTAGGTTTTCTCAACAATCAATGTGCTCGAAAGTCATATCTCAACTAAGCTACCATCGTGAAAATTGAGATTGTTGATCAGTGAGTCTCAGCCTGACGCGACCGATCTTGCTTCACAGCCCATTCAACGTTCGAGAAAACCGTCCGATAATCATAGGGAATGGTGCCAGGTGGGCTGAAGAGATGGATCTATAGAATTTCACAACAGCATCCGTCTTGCAGATGGATGATTGCATTCTCCAGCTCGTTCGACAATCCTATATAGATAGTACTGCACCAAACCTCGTAGGATAAGATGAGGGACAACAATCGTGAGAAAACATTGACTTGCCGTGGTGACTCGGCACCCGAACTATCTTTACTGACTAGTCTGGGACGGTCACACATCTAGATAGAGTATTTACCCACATACTACGATGCACTGTTGTGCTTTGCAAGGGACAAATCGCAATCAGTATGTCTGAGATGATAAAGAGCATAGGATATAGACTTGTTGTTTGCACACCTACAGACAAACACGAAAAGTGTATCGTTTGCCTTCGTCGCAACCTTCTCAGTTGGTCGAAACTAGTTTTTAGAGGCGCGAATATCGTGGCTTCTACTTTGATGTTCCTCTAGGTTTGATTTGGAAAGTTTCATTTCCGGTGAATTATGCCTTGCCTGGCACAAGGCTGAAATGATAAGTCCAGTCCGAGTTGTGAATCACTGTAACACTTTCGTGCCCATTCCCTAACCGCGCGCGTGGATTGATTCGCCTTTCTCTTTCGCAACCAGAATGTTGTCAAGAACTGAAGTTCTGTCATGAAACAGTATCGATTCGATAACTGGCAATATACTAGGTTCGTGGGGGCGGCGCAGTTGTCTTCGCGTACTCTGCGACCAACCAAATCTTGCCAACGAAAGACACATGCTGCGCCCCGCAGCTCGGGTAGTACGGCTCCAGTATATAGAACCGGGGAACCGTACCCTCTCAATGTATAACTGGATTCTACTACGAAAGATCGTCACGCTTAACCGACCTTCTACTAACTCTGACTTTCACTATGAAGTTCTCTAGTGCATCGAAATACGATGTCGGTTCTATACTCTGGCTACCACCAAAAGACGAGATACCAATCGAATATCATGCTACAGCAAATTCGATCGATGATGGCTGCTTCAATCACCCTGTGGTAGTCCTCTCTGTGAATCGAGCCAGGACCGAGGTTGTCGTTTTGATCGTTCGTCAACCTCCGCCTTCTTCTTATACATGCCAATAACGCGTTTTCAGATGACCTCTTTTGGGGGGAAAGACCTCCAGGAGCGACATCCTCGGAACACCCAGACTCGTTCTATGTACATTCCAGTCCACCCTAGTAAAGCTCATCCGGATAACGATTCTCTGCTATTCCTCAGAGGAGATGGACGCCTTCCTCGGAACAGTTACGTGACACTCAACCCTCAACGGACAATTCATGGAGGGATACTCAAACCTTTGCGACGTTCAACGTGCACTCTTACAACAGACTCATACAAGCAGCTAATCAAACGCGTCGGTTTCCAACCACCGGTGAAGGAAATTGATCTTGTTAGCCAACCACTCCGCAACATCGAACCTGTTCGCCAGCCACTCCGTAACGTATCTCCAGTACGCCAGCCATTCTACGACACACCTCCAGTGCACCAGCCATTCCACAACAGGCCTCCGGTAGCCCAACCATCTCAAACCCCACTTCCCGTGCGTGAGCCACTCTACGACATACCCCCAGTGCGTCAACCATTGCCAGAGTATGTTCGTCCTGTGGTTCCTCAAAGTAGGCCTGCTATCTCGAGTTATCCTACACCAGGCCGTTTCACATATGTCGAGAATCGTATGAGCCAGCCACATGTTCAAACACAGCGCACGCAACCTCTCCTGCCGTTGCACCGGTTCAACGAGCGTCCCGCGGAAGAAGACCCTGTTCCTTCCTGTATCATCTGGGGAATTATGATCATCATCATCGGTGCTGCACTCCTTACTTTGAACTACTACAAATGGTGACTGGGTATGCATTGAACCTTGGGCAGCAAAGTTGAGCTTGGTTGGTACAGGAAGAACAGTCTAAAGTTGAGGCGTCGTGGGAGTGAGCATAGGCTAGTTTTTCTTTTCTCGGTCGAAAATAACAACCCTTTCAAGGTCGTGGTGAGCCCCATGGCGATTCAACTAGTTCAGCAGTATTCGAAAGAGGTGATGGTCTATTCGATAGTCGTTAGGATGGAAATGGGTGACGTGGGTTTATCTTCTAGTCACGGTGGCTATTACATTTCATATTGGCAGGCTTGAACTTGAATGGCATTTTATTACCTAGACATATCATCCTAACCAGCGGGATCTTCCTACGTCGACGTGCCGGATTTGAGCCTTACTGGATCCTGACAGGTATGGGCACGCTTCGGCGTCTAGCAATGCATACACCCCACCAGGTGAAACCTTCTGGCGTTTATCACACCACAATTTGCGCGAGGTCTGGAAATCAGAAGGCCTCTTTCCATTTCTTTCTCGTTAGCTACCAGACGGTATTCCATCACTGGGAGCTTATCGGGTCAAATGCCGTCACCATTTATGTATCCGCATTCCACGCCTATCAATACCCGCAACAGTGATCGCGGCCAATTCTGCATGGCGGTCCTATTCATCACAGGAAGCGTGCGGGGCACCAGGCTGAGCCGTGGAGCTGCCTCTTATAGGCTGGTTTGTCAACCCGCAGAAATCATTTCGCTCTACAAGGCTTGGTGTCAAGCCACATATCGACGTGGTGAACGCTAAATGGTTCATGTCAGTTGGGGTACTCTAGGCTACAGGTATTGTAGCACAAGGCTGATGCCTAGGCATATTATCATGGGCCTGCGGAGCAATCCCCTCAGTATATGTAATCAAGTATGCCAGCCTTTATCTCCAAGATCTCTTACCAAATAATAGTTCTCCAACTACCTGCAACTACACGGACGATGGAGACCTCGTTAGTGCTCCTGTTCACATTTAACTTTCGTATGTTCAACTGACTGTGATATTTAGTCCTTACACCAGTTCTCCTATCACACTATGTATCGGCCCACAACAAAAACAATATTACATCTCGCATGAGCTCTTGCAAAAGCCGGAATGGATTGCTTCTGTTGATCCCTCATGGGGGGCACGCAGTATACATTTACCTGATTTAAATGAGGACTCTGGTCACGTACTGGTTCATTATCTATACACTGGCACATATCAGACGCTCAACGACTTCAAGGCCTCTCCAGGCGACAAACCCATAAATGAGTTCAAGAGAGCTGTTCAAGTCTACACAATGGCAATGACATACGAGCTGGATGGCCTACAGCAGCTGGCGAAGCAAACTATTGAACATCTCGGCGCTGGAATGAACATCTTTGCCATAATTGAGGCCACGAAGGACAACTTCTCGAAACTTCCAGGCGATGCTACCTGGTTCCATGACTATTTGGACATGAAAGTCAAAAGTGCATTCGCAGAAGACCACACAATCTTTGCGAGAGATGACTTCTTTTGCTGCATTGACGACGTTACTTTGACAAGAGTCCTAGCAAAAGGCGTTGTGGAGCTTTACAACAACAAGATTTCGCATATGCTCACACAGAGGGGGCCGGTTCGCGGCGTTTCTGAAGAAGGTATTCCTGCCACTCAAAACTCACCCATGAAAAAGGCGTCGGGAGAAAGTAACTTTGCTGCCATTGGGGAGGAGCTGGAGTTTGTGGAGCCGTCGTCTCCGCCTCCCGATCCTACACCATCGGATGATAGCTGGGGTACGTCGGAGTGGATCGTGAAGAAGAAGAAAGGCAAGAAAAATATAAGATACTTTGGAGGTTGGGCACCACCATCACCTCTAGAAATCGAGCCTGAGCCCGAGCCCGAGCCTGAGCCTGAGCCTGAGCCTGAGCCTGTATACCTGGACGACGAGAACCTTGAAGAACTATTGACACCAGTACCTGAACCCGAACCTGAAGAGCCACTGATACCGGAGCCAGAGCCATATGTTGATCATTCCGCCGGCCTGAACAAATCTCATCGAAGGAGGTTGAAGATGGCGCAATTTGATCTCGATTTGGACACGTGGACAAAAATAGTACAAAGGAACAATAACAGAGGGGGGGGGTCCGAATCTATACACGAGCCTGAACCTGAATTGGAGCCCGTGGCCGAACATTCAAAGATGGAAGGACAATCAGCAGAGCCTGCTACAGCTGATATTGAAATGTGCCCCTTCCGTGTGAAGCATTTGCTTGAGGGGAATGGGTGGAAAACTTGTAAGCAATGCCGAGCCGTTCTGCGCCAGGTTGCCATCCAGATTGCCCATGCGGGCGTCAAAGGTGAGGACCAATACGAGATGGTTGACCAGGTGCTGATGGAGTAGTTTCGGGAGACCTCGTCTTTGCTTGCTTTAGGTTGTGTGGTGTAATATCTAGTTGTCATTACTTTCCTTAGTTCGTTGTTTGTTTCAGTAAGATGATGAATTTGGTGTGGGAATCTTGAGCCATCATCTTGAGTGAGTCTGGTGTGTGAGAGATTATCAAACGTAATATGTGTATGAGGTGGACATAGACCGGTAATCTGTTGTATAATTTGATGTTGTATAGTCACTTGATGAGAGGTTGTCGCGTTACCGCCTGATATCCGCCTGATGTCCGAATAAGGAGTAGTGGGCTAAGCGCCGCATGATCCTGTTCGTATCAACAGGAAGGCTGTGCAAACTATAATGACGAATCATAGTATCTTTTGATTACCAGTGAGCCTCGTCACCTGAATCTCCACCCTGCAGATGAGGCTATGCTGATAAGTCTCATATTGTTCACATAAGATGCAGACGACAAACGTCCCATTTGGGACAGTTTGGAAGTTTCCATCTCTTGGACTATTATATTTGCATCTCCAAGTTCTTTCCCCACTTCGTTAGGAGGCCTAAAAATAGAACGAACATGCAAAGCACAATGTCTTCGGCGCACGATGCAGGACTCTGGGCTATTGGTACACCGGCTGGATCTCCATTGAACCCTGATCGAGTGGGAGAGCTGGCCGACTGCATAGATACGATGCAACGTGTACAAAAACTTGCAGAGGGAGAAATTGAAACCCTCAAAGGGCTGCTGCAAAAGGACGTCCAAAATATCTTCGTCAACGCAGAAGTCCTTGGAGATCGCCAGTCGCAATGGTACGGGTTCGACTGCGGTCGCATCGACAGACGCCTAGAGTGGTTTCAAGAAGAGTTTGGCCTCACCTTTACCCAGGATATGACAAAACTGGCGCATTTACTGAGAGAATTCATTGAGTTTTGGGACTTGGAAACAGAAGCTAGAGTTTCGGATGCCGGAAAATCGTTCGTTGCGAACGTACATAAAGTCTGGCGGGCAGTAGAGATGTCCCTTGAGATTAAAGATTCAGAAGGACCGTACCGTGTGGAAGTCGTGACCGAGTGCAAGTCACACTTGTTCAGCCTGGAAGCAGAGATCTGTACAATGGAAAGTTGCATCATAGAGGTGTGGTGTCACTCAAGGCGCATCGAGGGACGTTTTCAAAGATGGTTTGAAATAAGCTCCGCTACATGCTCTTTGGAGCCTCCACCACACAAAAAGGCTCTGCCAACGAATGGCACCTCGCGGGATAGTACGCCGGTGCCGGTAGCCACGCCTCAATACCTAGACTCAGAGAGGTGTTGTCAGACGGATCGCAATGCCCATAGAGAACGATGCTTGTTACTGTGGATGGAGATATGCCTAGTGGCAGTGTGTCTGATCGTTGCGGTGGTGTACACTGCTCGGAAGCATGACGCGCAGACGGGGTTTACCATTGCCGGGGTGTTGCTGGCGGCAGGAAATATTCCTTTGGCCGCGATCGCGTATCGTTGGGGAAGGAGAACAAAGAAGATCGCGCTGGAATAATCGAACTCGGTTGAGAAAGACTAAAATGAGTGAGATCAAGAGCCAAAGACGCTGTTACATGAACATATGCTTGTGAAGACAGAGCATGCGCGATATACAAACGCTCAAGGCGAGCACTATTGGGTGGAGTCCATGTTTTTTTATTCAGTTGAACAATAACTGATACAACGGCTGAAGACCTGTCTTGCTACATAAAATTTACCATGTCGATGTGTGTTGGGAACGCTCAGGTGCTATTTGTTTAGTATACGTTGCTTTTGAATCGTGAACTTGTTGCTCTGAGTTACATCCTCGACAACGCTTAGATCATGCTTTATTTACGCCTTGCCAATCCAGTGACAAGCAGCTCTCCTGAGCCAATCTCAAGCTTCCAGCCCTCCTTCGCAAGCGCCTTTGCGACCGCAGGGCCTAACTTTCCCCTACCATCCACGCTATGTCGTCCTAGCCCAACGATGATTCTATAACCGTTGCCACCGCCACGTCGTCCTGCACCGCTCCACTCAGGTATTCTTTGCTCGCCCAGTCCACTCCACCAAGCCTGCGTCCTCTGCCTGGCTATCCTTGTGGCACTCGCCACGGTCACGCCGTGCAGGTCAAGGTAGGTTGAGGAGGATTGCGAGGACACGAGAGCGTCTGCATCAGCTTCACTCAGGGCGCGCAGATTGGCGTTAAGATCGCGTCCTTCTTGGGCATAGTAGCCCGCTGCTTGCTTCATGAGCGGCGTAGACTTGCCTTTCCGATAGGCTGCGGACGCATTTTGGAACGCTTCACTGCGGGCACGAGCGACCGAAGCAGTGTCGCGTGGCCTAGCGGACGTTGGGAGATCAGGTAGTCGTGGTGCGAGAGTGGGTTCCGATAGATCGATAGGAGCATAGCGCAGGTCGAGTTTGATACCTCCTTTGCCACCAGTCTCACTTGCTGGCTGTTCTGTGAGGGCTTTTGCAAGCTCGTGTGCCTGGGAAGTGGATGGTGATGTAAGTCGTACAACTGCAAGAGCATACTCCAGATCAATCGTGGGGAAGTCTCCGTTGAGCATGATCGCATCCTGTACCAGGCCAGCATCTGGCTCTCCATCTTTTTCGTGCGCTTTTATATCTTTGCGTACCAGAATGAGTATAGTTGCTGAAAGCGACGCGCTGCTTTCGTGGTATAGCGAAGAGACAAGCTTCGCCGGTAGGTTCGTACGTGAAGTGATGAATTCGATGTCCTTGCTGCTGTTCAGCCATTTGTTAGCCGGTGGCGTGGCTGGTCTGTCCGTATCGAAAACAAAAGCACTCCCACCAGACAGAGACACCTTCTTCTGTCTCTTTCCCTTGCCCTTTTTACCCCGTTGTGGAACATGGTAGTCCTCGGAAAACGCGTCGACGCCCTTCACAACAGGTCCATCTTCGGTAGGACTTGTTCTCGCATCTTCGAAGTAGACATGATTGAGCAACTCGTCTGTCGCTTTACTCAAGTCATCATCGCACTTCTTCAAGGTATACGCGATAAGCTCAGGGCGCAGTGTTGGGAATGTTTCTGCGAGCAATAGCCCTTTGGTCTGCGCGCTGAAGTGTTCCGTGTCCCTGAAGTATCCGCTGTCTCCTGATGTCTCCGATCCTGACACCGACCGATTATCCAAACTCAATGTCGAGAGGGTGTTGTCTGTGATAATGGTTTGTGTTGCCCAAGTCTCGCCGCTAGAATCAACACCTTTCGAGTCGCTTTGAACGGCTCCACTGCTGCCCGAAGGATCAAAGTCGGTGAGCTGTTCTTCCAAGGCAGATGCTTTTATAGAATCAAGAAGCTCCCTGACGAGTTCAATTGCGTTTGGCTGACCTGCGTAGTCGGAATATACCGCAGAGAGGAGCGCGGCGTCAACTAGAGGACAGTATTCTTCCTACACAGTATTAGCGAAGCCGTAAGATCAACATCATACAAATTATGCATACCTCGAGAATGCGCAAATCTTCATCCATCTTTCTTTTTGGGGTATTGATATCTAGTTGGTATATACGCAGATTGCATACTCGAGCTGGAGTGAGATCGCACAGAAGCGGGTTCTAACACGTAGTCGAGACAGCCAACTATGCACCTAGGTATCAATGCAAGCAACAATTGGTTGAGCGCGCGTTAAACAGTTGAATTGCACAGGCGCGTGGAATGTTGGTAACAAGGCTGCGCGTCGATGATAAGACCCTTGGGAGGGGTTGAGTAGGCGAGCTTGGCACTAATCAATTCAACGGCGACAACATCGCGTCCGTTTGGTGAAACAACTCAAGGGCTTCGGAGGCATGGAAACACTTTTTAAAAAAGATTCTCGTCGTCTGAATCGATGTTAGACGTCATTCAAAATCTTGAGCCGCCAGGGCTGGATGCGCGTCATCGTAGGGCGCTAGAGGGACGGACAATTTTGGCGCGTTTCCCTCTGCCACATCACAGCATCAGATCTGGTGAATAGACGTATCAAATTTTCTTGACAAGCTTCCACCACCTGCTTGAATCGTATTATTCATTCGTAAGATGTACGCGACGCTGCGTTTTATGTCTGTCACGTTCGTGGTACACATGCACAGTCAACGATGCAAAAACTCAAAACTAGGCTTCGACTGCTTCTCAAGCTGCAAATGTTATCCATAACCGCAATTTCAGAACCGTAAACAATCGTCCTCTGTAGGTTTGTCACCATCATGTCCTCAGTATCCAGCTTCATATCGAGTTTTACCAACACCCTTTTCGGCTACCTCCGCTCCATAGCAAGCGCTCTTATCTCTTCCTCGCCCTTTCGCTGGACTTGGGCTCAACAAGTACATGTAAAACTCAAGGCAGAGCACACAATTATATGGGTATGTCAAATCATGAACTTCCTCTGGGTAGTGTTCCAAAGCTGGCGTGGTAGTAAGAAGAAGGTCACGAAGATGTTGAACGCGAAAACCGGAGCAGATGAGGACAAAGAGAGGACAAAGAAGATCAAGAGACGTAAGAAGTATCTGGGTAAGGGCAAAGGCAGGGAGCGAGTATCGAATAATGATCGCGGAAAGTACACGCTGATCTTTCTCTAAACACTATCGTACTGCCTTTCGCGGGACAATATACTCTGGATGTTTTAAACTCCGCTGAGGCTTTATTCTCTGCTTCTCATTGGGTCAGGTCCAGATTCGCGATCATGGCCGTCAACCGTTCCTCTTTCGTACTCAATTCGTACGTCCTGTCAACTTTTACTCGGTCAGCCATCGTATGTCCGAAGAGAGCAGCTGACGTGTCAACCAGATGTTAAGCAACTTGCAAGGCTCAAACATTGTACCAAAATTTCATAGCCTTTTTCTCTGAGCTGCTCAGTCAGCCACGATGAATCTTGACCAAGTACATGGCAGCCGATTATCCAAAAGTTGTAGAAGTGAGCAGCAGCTGTGGCGATCATGATGGCTCCAGCCAGGAGGAAGCGATCTGACCGCAGGAGAATGTTGCCATGTAGTCCACCAATTGATAACAATCCTATTATAGTTGCTGATATCCCCACTCTGAAGCAAGCGTGGAAAAGTACCCGTGTGCGAGGAAGGGCAGGGTTCCCATCCGAAATAGCAGAGCAAGACATGTATAGTAACCGAACGACCCGCAGCAACAGTTGAGGCTCTTCAAGTTTGAGCTCTGGGTTGCGAGCGCGTATCGAGGTATATCTATCGATAATGCGCTCGGTCAGAAAGTAGACGTTTCCGCACTCTGTAAGCCAATTGAAGCCAGAGCGAAGCACCCGGTGAAGCCGTGGATATCTAGACAAATGTGTGCGAATTCCGTTGGACAAAGCCATAACATTTACGGCAAACACGTAGACGAGCTGTAACAGTCATTCCTGGAGGACCTTGTGTTTCGGCTCGCGAAACAGTGTTGTTCGACAGATGGGACAGCGATTGCCATTTGGTCCATCAACCATCTGATCAGCACATTCGCGGCCAAAAACGTGATTATAGGGTAGGATTCGAACACCGCAATGCTCGCTGTCATCGTATAAGGCCCAACAGAACGCGCATTTGTTGTCGTTGAAGATATCGTTCGGCTTTGCCAACACAACGCGGTGTGTAATAAAGCTGGGTTTGGAAACCCCAAAGAGCGTATCGAACAAGATCATGTTAGGGTCGTAAAGTGCGGGGTTAAGGTTTGGTGGCAGGGTGTTGTGCAATGGTGCCCTGAGCACGTCCGGGCTATGCGATGGCGTGTGGGAGTGGTCATCAAACTACATTTGCGAGAGGATTAGGAGGTTGTTTGACAGCACATGCAGAAGTGACGTAGTCGGCTTATTTGTGTAGATGGGATAGCAAGGAACATTATACTGCAAGCTAACAGGGCTGACGACCATGGTGTACTTATCTTGCATTTACCCGCTTACAAAAGCCCATGAACTTCTTTCCACCGTACATATCCTTCCCTTGCATGTTTATGCAACCCAAATGTCTCACTTACTGGCTCTTCGTCTTTTACAACGTTCTTCTCCCACACAAAATCTCTCCCTTGTCTCACCAGCCTCTTCGCCCAGAATCAAACCATCCATCGACTAAATACCAGACTTAATCCTACTACCCCGATGATGAAAGGAATCAACTGCCTGACACTCGTCTATAAATCTGACAATCTACTTGACAACGTTACGTATCATGAGATCTAAGATTGCATAGTTTCACCCCAGCCAGACTTTCTTCGACGCCTCGGGAGCAATGAGATGTAGCGATGAAGCCAAAGTCACGCATGGCCAACTTGGAAGGTTCTTCTTGTCAGAAGATGTTGAATTGGTATTTGTAGTCGCCGTGTCCCTCTGAAATGGTCCGTTCAATGGGTGGAGAAGCAGAGACTGTCGGAGGTGCGAGTAGATCACAAAAGCTCGGTGTAGAAACTGTAGTGCCGTGAAAGTTTTCCAGACGAGGTTCGATACTTTTTGGGAATAGAATCGATCGCGCGATGACTGGGAAGGTAATGGGCTTGTCGTCTGCGCCCATTTGATATGGACTTGCTGAAATGCAGCGTTGGATGTAGAGCTCGCTCTCATACATTTCTCGGAGTACTGCGAACTCATTGCTATGCTCATGATTCTCCACATGTGCTGCTGACATCGGAGATGTGCTTGGCGTAGCTGGCCGGGATGAGGTATGGAAAAGAATGTCATTTTCATTATTTACATGGGTTAATTTCTTGGATTTTGGCTGAAGCAAAGTAGCCTCGCTATACGGGCCGGGAATTGGCTCTGTGGATGAGCAGTGTGAGTCCGAAACCTCAGAGCGATTGTCGAGCGACAACACTTGGGAGAGTGTGACGCTGTCTGGATACGGGAGGTGTCAGGTCGGAGGGTAGGGGGAAGAGATACATTGATGCGAGAAAAGGGAATAAATTGGAATAAACAAACGACGCTGATTTGGACGAAGAAACTAAAGACGGTAGACTCGAGTTTGGAGAATGCATGAGGGTTGTACAACATGTATACCCGTTGCAGGCATCGATGTTGTGATGCTGCGCCGCTTCCTGCATGATCTTGGTGTCCGTAAGCGCCCGGGATGCGCGTAACAAAAACCTGGAACGAATCGTCGCCACCAACAAACAAGTGCCTGAAATCCGTTAAAAGTAACATACCAGGATGTTGTGAGAAGAGAGCAGCCTCGGTCAACTTGCAGCATCCCACCTCAGCGAAAAAGCAAGACTAGGTGGCAAATTCGAGCAAACTTCAAAGTAACTCATCGTCAATTCTGGTCACTAACAGCAATGTCTCGCATGTGAAGGACGACATCCGCGTCTTCAAACTCCTAAAACTTCCAAAATCAAAAGGTATGCCCGCTATATCCCCCCTTAACCAATATTCAAAACACCAAGCTTTCAATCTTCCGAGTGTGGTTGTGTTGTGTAGTCACTCGCTGACCCTAATCGCCACCTCACATAACCGTACAAGGAAGGCAGCAGCAACTGCAGTCATCGGTGCTGATGCACGAGCACTTTCCACCCTGAGGCTTGACGATCGAACCCGCCGTTGACGAGATGGAACTGGTAGCTGCAGGCATTTTCGCGGTCGATTTTACTTCAAAGTTTGGGTGTGAAGATGTTGGGTCCGCTGGAGAGGATGCGCGGAAGGTGCGGGTACGGGTTGTAGGATAGTTGGATATGCGCTGTGACGTTGTTAGCGCGTTGGCTCCGTGGGGTTGCTGTTGTGGGGGATGAACTGACAGTGATAGGCGTGTGTGTATGCGCAGGGCGGGTGAGAGGTTGGACTTGGGGTGTGTGATTGTGAAGGGTATCTCAAGGGCTAGGGGAGTAGGTTATATTGCATAGGGAACGCCCCTCGGGTCTTGATTTCAGCCATGCGACGCGCTAGCCCATGACGTCTTGGCGCAATGGGGATGACGTTTCAACTGTGGCAGTGCACGTGGGACGACGCAATGTTTGATAAGTTCGAGACCGTACGAAAATAGTGATGCGACTTTGTGTCAATGTCAAACCCTGGTCTATCCAATATATGCAACTCGTAGCAAATGTGTTACCAGCAGCTGTGTTGTGTACATTTGTAGGAGATCTTTGTAACGCATAAACTAAAGCTCATTTCCCAGACCCTGCTTGTCAGGCTCAAACATCCCTCCATGTTGGTGGTCCTCGCTCGTTCCACGGTGTCTTGACGACTGTTGAAAATTAGCGAGGTCGAATTGGTGAATATCCGCGGTGAACTTACCATTATTATCGCTGAATGGGTCGTCTTCATCCTCCTCGGCCTCATCCTCCGGTTCGGCCCTGTGCTTGCCTAATGCAGGGGCTGCAGGCATAGGAATACTCATCGGCCTTGGAGGCTTCGTAGGGGGAGTGTCTTCGACTTTCATCCTAGACATTGCCGCTTGAGCAGTGGATGTGCTACCCGATTCATCATCACTGTCGCTGTCGTCGTCGATGCTCTTGTCCATGACCTCAAACGCCATAAGTGCTTTGACAAGCTCATCGTTGGCATTGAGTAGTGGACCAATAAATTGCTCCGACTCGACAAGGTGAATATAACGCAGAATTTGACGGCGCAGCTGTTTGCAACTTTCGAAGCGTCTCATGACCTCCGGATTCTCGCTGACACGCTGCTGCTCGCGGTTGATGAGTTGTAGTCCATTCAACAGGTTTGTACTAGAAACATTGGCTGAAGCGATCGTCTCGAGGACTTGACCCTTTTCTTTGTCCAGGTTGAAAGCCTTCTTTGAACTTTTCTTGTCTTTTTTGTCCCTCTTGAATATTGAACTGTGCTGTGAGGTATGACCCAAAGCGACTGGTCTGCTGGAAGATGAAGGTGTGCTAGAAGGTTCAGGCCGCCTATTATACTGAGGGGTGGAAGGAGGTGATTGTTCTTCCCGTTCACGCGCTGCTTCGGCGTCTTGTTGCCTGACGATGCGAGATTGCTGAGGTTGAGGACGTTTCGTACGAGGCAATTCCTTATGAAGTGCTGCTATGTGCTCGAGTCCAGGTGTTGCTTTGTATGCGACAGCCCATTGTCTGAATAGAACATTGACCTTTTGTCGCACTTCAGCGTCGACCATGTCGTCTCTGGCCAAGATCCGTAGTCGTTCGAGGAGAGGCTCATCAGCAAAGGCCTTTTGGAACCTGGAGCCCGCGTTTTGAATCAGAGCATCCAGTATGACGAGCGCGCGGATCTGGCGGTGCACGTTTCCGTACTTGCTGGAACTCGGGTCAGGCTAGACAACAACGACGACGTAACTATACATACAGCTTTTTCCGTAGAGCTCGTGCTGCTTCGGTTGGACCAGACGCTTGGATACGGATAACTTCGATGAGATCTACAATACCACCAACGTCCTGCAACTTTTAGTCTCTCGAGAAATCATTCGCTTATGGCGCGACTTACGTTCTCCTCATACTGTTCACCTGTGAGTCGGTCCACCTGCACCGAGACAGCCGAGAAAGGTTTCTTCTATTGTCGGAGCCAGGATTTCAGTACTTTGTGACAATGTTTGAGCAGACAAATCGGGCACGGGTTCTCGAAAATGGGAAGGTCCGCATAAGCATCGGGTGTTTTGTGGTGATGAGATAGTTTTCGAGAAACACCAGATAATGGGTTGCTCAAATCAAATGGATTTCTGCGGGACGAAGGAAAGGTTGGAGAATCGAAAGAGATACGCGAGTATGAATTTGACGGTCGATAGAGGGTTTCGCCATCAAGAAGCCGCTCGTAATCGTTACAGAAGGGGTTTGAGTTCATGATGATAGCAAAATAGAGAGTGGGGAAGATGTGTAATTAATAAAATAATTGAACAGAGTAAACCATCAACGATGAGGCATACAGAAAGATTAATATATAGAAGGATCGGCCCAGGGCATCTTACCGGCATTGTGAAATTGGTGTCTGGTAGGCAATCTGCCCGCCAACACTTGCTATTTTCGGGTGATGAAGAAACACGGCGTTTCCTTTGGGACAATATTCCTGAAGTTCGATTGGTTGGAACGTCGGATTTTAGAACAGCGACGTCGTCTGGGCGTGCTAAACACGGTTTGAGAGAGGGGAACCGGGCTAGGGGTGGAGAGCCGGTGTAAGAAGATGGGGACCAAAATAGATGACGTTCGAGTTGCGACAAAGTGTGCAAGAGCCGTTATGAACGTGAAGAACTTGTGTAGAATTATACCTGAAGGTAGTGTTTGAGAAGGAGTGTTGTTGTGAAGCTTCAGAGTGATTGAAGCTGCCTTGATTGCTACTGCCCGAAAGAGCCGCCCGCGTGCACATGGTGGGGGCTGATGTAAGCCAAGCTTCACGACGCGTCAACTCCACCGACAACCACACTTCTTCACTTCACCAATTGATGCATGCGTTGTTTCGCCATCGATCATGGACTTGGTTAATACAGCGGCTGTTCTGTATCGTGGATGGGACGTGGAAGTGATGCAGGAGCCGAGGATTGGTGATGAGGCGTGAGCAGTCCATTACATGCCCAGTCGTCCGCCATTTCTTTCCTCTGGTACCTGATAGTCCACATACAATTAACACGAACTGATGCGGAGCATCCAGGGACTTTACGCCAACTCCCATCTCATCAGGTTTCACCGCCATCAACCAACAACCTAGACAGCTACCGACGCCTCAGTCTTCAGCAGCTGCAACTTGTCCGGCTCCTACTCAACAAAGCCATTCGCGACGACGGCGTCGAACGATTGCTCAATATTTGGGGCTAGAAGCCTCGAACGAGCCAGTAGATGTGCAGAGAGATGTCCTCACTCCACCAATGCCTGAGCGCTTGCCCTCAAAGCCTACACGCAAGCGGCGAAAACAGGCAGGCGACGAACATGCGACGAAAGACAGGATGACAGATGCAGACAGTCGAGACGGCTTGAAGCAGCGATATGTTTCCGAAGGATTTCGTGTGACGAAAGCTACTGGTAGACGTCCTGCGAGCCGGGCAAAGACCTCTACCGTCGAAGTCTCGCAGCCACCTTCCGCTCCTACATGCAGTCCTCAGTCGATATTCAATGAAGATCTCGTGCCTGACAACACCCAAAATGTGGACTTCTATTGTGTTTCGCATGGCGTTGCAGAGAACAGGCACAGGGCCGATCCAAAAGATTACAGTCAGGACACACTTGTTGCTTCGACCTCTCGAACCAACGCCGACATGATGTCCTTTGATCTCAATGCTAACCACCATGACACTAACGATCATACTCACCTTGACTTCAGTTGGCCCAATTATCAGGGCGACGACAGCATCTTCAGTGGCGATGAGTTCAATGACGACCTCGATGATGAAGATCTCATGAAACTATCATCTGACGTCGAGGACAGCTCTGGCAGAGTGAATTGCACACCCACCCCACTCACCAACTTAAGTACTAATGGGCAACAGCATGCGAAAGACCGCTTATCAGGCATATCTGCAAATTCTCCGATCGTTGTCGACGAACCCGGCAGCCCCGGCCATACCAAAAAGAAGTTTGTTTCGCCAGTGACGCTGACCACGCGACTTCTAGCTGCGACTGGCGATGCCAGGTCTATAGAGGACCGCAAACCCATCGTCAGGTCCCCATTCCCCTCACCAGTTCGCGATCGCTCCCCTATCATTGGTCTGTCGTCGAACATGCTCCTGAAGACGTGCTTTCGTATTGGCGAGGCGATTAATCAGGGTCATCTCGCATCCAAGGCTGGCAAGCACGTCATGCTCGAACTGTATGCCCGTGTGCTCAGCTCTGAACGAGACGATGCGAAACAAGACTTCGTCCTCTGCGATCTCTTTCATGCGAAACCTCCGTACATCAAGGCTGTATACGACGCGACCATCTGGAAGCAAGTGCAGCTTTTCAATTACGACAGTCAGCGATTGCTGCAGGAAGGGAGAATTTGTCGATGCATGGGTAAGATGAAGTGTGAGAAGAAGGAGTGGGTTATGACAGTCTCGAATGTGTGGGAAGCGACATGGGAAGACATCCAATGGGTTGAGGGCATTGTCAATGCCTGAGGCAGGTAGATGAAGGCTGTCGGAAGTTCTCAGGGGCTGGGGCAAGGTCCAGAATGTAGGATGCCATTTTGAGGGACCGGGCCAGATAAAGGAACGGACGCGCGCGATTACACCTACAGGGGTTTGTAATCAATGGGATATGGTTTACATGGTAAAAAAGTTTATGTTGCGTCGAGTGCGTTCGCAATAAAATCGTAATCATCTTCGTATTCCTACCATTTGACAGTATGTATTAAGCTTCACACGTGATATGCGATACAAATTACCCGCCCCGCTTTCTTTGACGTCGTTGTTCACCATGAATCGACAGATTTGTCGTGTACGGAAACAACGACGCGTTTTCAGCAGCTGGCTGATATGTTGACTCCCTCACGCTTGCTCTCTCCACACACACAATACAGGCAATGTTGACCAGCGCCATGGCATCCGCGTCTAGTTACAGTAGGGCCGGGGCTTCTGGGCAACGCGAAGAAGCCGTCATTGATCCCCAGCCCGTGCAGACACCACAAAAGTCACGGTCGCCCAAAGCGCGCTCTCTTTCGGACACGATTCCGCGATTGGAGCCATCACCAAAGTTCCACGAGCCAGCACGCACGTCCAAAGATGACCACACCATCATGGCCAGTCCCAGCACCCCCAAACGGCCAGACTTCCTCTCCAGAGGGTTGTCCCTCCAGATGCCTGCTCGAGAGACGCCCATGCCCAGCCCCGCGCACTTTGCCGCGCGGGTGCCACTTTCACCGCAACTAGATGCGCGCAACACGTACGCGTCGCCAGCTTCACTGCTGCCGCGACGGTCACGGGGTGCTGAGTTCTCGAGAGCCTGCACCAACCTTCACCACTCGACGCTCCCCGACGCGTCCTCTCCCGACTCGTCGCCCACAATCACGCAGAAGGGGATTAAGATACCGACACGGACGACGCGAGCGAACTCGATGTTGCTGGAATCGCCCAACGTCAATATGCATGGCGGGTGGGGCAATGGCGAGCGGACTGCGCCCTCGAGCTCGGTAGGCAGCATCAACATGCTTGGATCGGACGATTCGAGCAGCGACTCTGATGGGGTTGACCCTCTGGACCCTGATGACAACGACGACCCCATGCTCATGACCCCGCAAACCATAAAGTCGAACAACCTCTTCCCCAATGCTGCTGGCGGCACCAACGGCACCTGGTCGAGCCTGTTCTCTCCCGGTGCACTCCCCAATTTCATGAGCATACAGCGAGCGAGACTGCGAAAAGGCCGGAGTCGGAAGAGCTCGAGCTCTGCGAGCGGACACAGCTCGATGGCGAGTCCTGGACCAGCATCGCCGCCCAACGGGAAGGACTCGGGCTTCTTTGCGAGAGAGGCGGCCATGCGCAAGGCTGAGTCTCGTCGTGAGAGTCTCTCGCTCTTCGCAATCGATCTGAACATCTCTTCTGGTAACGACAGCGGGGACGAAGCCTCGGCGATGCCCCAGACTCCCGGCGTTGTGCGACGGCCTGTGACGCGGCGGGGTAATTTACTGGTGAGTGACTGTGCCATGCTGAAGGAGAAGCTGAAATGCTGACTTTCCTAGCCACGATCCAGACAGTTTGGTCGCATCAAAGCTGAGCTCTTCGAAGAGTCCGCACCCGTCGACAGTGAAACGCGTCGCGAAGCCGAGATCATCCGACAAGTGAGGGAAAGCGACGCTGACCCCTCGCTCACAGCGCAATCGTCTCCCAGTCTCCTACCCGCTGGACTAGAAGGATGTCTGGAGGGAGTGCCTGAGGAGGGCAGCGAGAGCAACATGAGTCTCGATGGCTCGACAGCCAAGGAGTTATTCGGCACATATGGCAGTCTTAACACTGGCCGAAACTCCATCGGTAATGGGTTTTGGAACCAGCGCGTGGCTCAAACACCACCGCCGCCCTCCTTCTCCCGCGCTGAATCGTCAGCGATGAGCGAGGACATGACTCTGGACTCACCGACCATTTCATCGTTCAACGACAACATGGCGCAAGAGCAGAACAACAGCGAATGGGCTTCACGAGCCTCCACACCAGGGAATATGAACCCACCCTCTGCAGCCGAGGGACTCAAGAAGTCGAACAAGCGCCGGCGCGATGATGACTTCGACGAGATGTCCATCAAGCGTCGCGCCGTGTCCCCAGGCCTTAGTGTGCATAACAGCCCCGTCATTTCACAATCCCCTGTGCAACGCGACGGCACTTTATGGGGCACGGCCAAAGCCGGTAGAGAAACTTCCATCAGCGGACAGTCTAATGGGGAGAGGTCGAACAGCGGAGGGAGCATGAGCATGACACCGACTTTGGGACCTAAGCGGGTTGGGTTACAGGGGATGACAGACACTAGCGATGGGTTTATGAAGATGAGCATTGAGTAGGACTGATATTCCAGACGCTCATCTCTTGTGGGAATACTGTACTTCGACCTCGGTTTCAGCGCGGCGTTCGGGAGGGCATCATAAGGGAAACTTAACGGCCGCTATCACAGTTTGAAACTCTATTCTTTGTATAGATACCCCTGTTTTCAACATTCCAACAATCATCATCATCATCATCATTCTTCTGTTTGTAATCTGAAGACCACCTGAGATCGTGACGGCAGTTGCCTGCCTTGTGGCTGCCTGCTTGGCGATATCTACTTGTCGACAGTATTATATAGCCTCGGCCGCCAGACAAATGCAACGGTCAAAATCATCGCTTCAATTCAAACAACTACCATTTTGCCTTGTGAACTCATCGCAAGAACCAAACACACACCACCGCAAACAACATGTCCACCGCCCCAGAGCGGTGCACATCAATGCAAGCATTCAACATCTTCGGCACGAATGATGGCAATGGAGGAATGTGGCATATCTCCGAATCAAGCATCGTGGCTAACGGAGGATCGAAAGAAGATTTCAACGAACTGCTAAAGACGTTTGAAAGTGTGCCAAAAGAGGAGAAACTGGAGTGGGTAAAGACTCATGGTGGTGAGTATATGGAGCTCGGGGAGATTACGGAGACCATTCATGCGGTGAGTTGGTGAGTTGTGTTGAGATTGGGTTCTGTGGGCTGATGGTTGGGTTTAGAGTCGTCCTATTTAGGGACTTGGAGAGGTGGAGTGTGTCTCGATGGGAGGGAGATGTGGAGTGGGTGTCGAGATATATTGGAGTTCGTGAGCTTGTGTGAAGGTCTATTTGTTTCTTATGTTACTTGTCAGGTAGCAAGGCGTCTAAGAAACCTCAGTAGCGCTTTGCCCGTACTTGAAGTGCTAAATTCCTCTCGTTTGATAGTGTACTTTGACGGAGACCCCAGATAACCATGTTCATGTCTGTGTCAACATCCTGTAAGGTACTCTTGCAAAACTTCGATATTCTTACATACTAGTAAAACACGCTACTTCCTCTTATAGCCTAGCTCAGAAGCTGGGAGTGTGAGATGGCCAATCCCTGCATCTGGACCCTCGATTGCCAATGCCAAGCTCGGCGGGCATCCGCGACCTCGTCTCCGCAACTTCCCCAAGCGTTTGCAGCTACACGCAACAATTGCTACCGCAACACAGCTGAGCACCCATCCTCACAACTTCACACACACCACCATGTCGAGAACAGCAGCCCTCTCCTCCTTCGTGGAAAGCGCGCCTCCCGGCGAGGTACGCAACCCCACCAAGCTCTCACCCTCCCTCTCTAACATGTCATCAGCTTGCCGAAGTCACCAAAGCAATCAAATCGATCCTCGGCGAAGCCTCGGTTCAGAGCGAGCTTACGCCGTCCTTCCAAAAGTACAACGAAGAGCAATTTACGACGACGAAGCTCCCCGGCGGCGTCACAGAGGTCATCATCAGCCCATACAACTCGCTGGGCGCGGGACGATACTACGACGTCGAAACGCAGAGCAGCTTCGACTTTGACCATGCAACCGGGAAGTCGAATGCGGTGCAGAGCCATGTACTGGAGAGTTCGCACAAGGAGATCATGTATGTGGCCATGTCCAAGTCGCGTTGCGCACGACAAGGGGTAGATTTTTGCGACGGCGATACTAATACAGCTTGTGTAGAAAGAGCCTCGTGAAGAGCCTGGGCACCCATACAGCAGAACACTACCCTAAATCTAGCTACGCCGTCTTCCCCGCGTCCTCGGACTCGCAGCTCGCCCTCCTCACCGTCGCAAACAAATACTCGCCCTCCAACTACTGGAACGGCCGCTGGCGCTCGTCGTACATGTACAATCCTTCAACTGGCTCGCTTACCGGTAGCATAGAAGTCGATGTACACTACTACGAAGACGGGAATGTGCGACTACTTACCAAGAAGGACGTTTCTGTTACCGTCAATGGGCCTGTAGACGTGGTGAGGAGCATTGCGCAGGCGGAGAAGAAATATCAAGAGGATTTGAACAAGGCCTTTGCGAGTCTGAGCGAGGGCGCATTCAAAAGTCTGAGGAGACAGTTGCCGATTACAAGGCAGAAGATTGAGTGGGAGAAGATTAGCGGGTACAGGCTTGGGCAAGATATTGGCGGGGGTCGGCGACAGTAGCGTTGAGGAAGGCATCGTGGTGGGGAAGCTGCCCGAAGGGAGATATTGGAGACTTGTTACTAGATATCAGAGCCGAGGATCGATATGGCGTATCAATAATATTCTACGTTATGCGCAATCTCTGTGCTTATCTACAAGGTCTCAATTTAGAAGTCCTCAAACATGTGACTTGGTTGTCCCAGAACCCGGTTCTCGGATCCGCTTCGCCGCGAACCAGACAGAACATGGAAGCAAACACCACACTTACGGATGACATTTTTGGTCAACGAAGCCTTCGATTTCTTGCTCGTGCACACACATACATATATACATGCGTTGATCGTATTGAGAATGAAACGAATGCTAAACTGAAGATATGGTAAGAACAAAACTCCTTGCTTCCTTGCTTTCGTCCTGCCTGGACTTCCTGTCGTCCGTGTGGTACGCCAGAACGCCGTGAAAATCTCCATCTGAGATAGGAAAAGGAGTAGTATGTAAAAGGGTATGGAAATATGCATTAGATGCGTACGGGTTCTCCGCTGAATGTCTCGTTGTCGATTCGATTCGTAGCATATCGTGTCAAGTCGTTGCGATGCGTCTACTTTGTAATAAAGCCGAGGTAATCGGCAACAATAAGCGTCACCATCCTGTTCCTTGTCAGTTTTCTCTCCTTCACAAGCACACACAAAGGAGGGAAAGACTTACGCATGCGGCGCAATACGCACATAATACGTGCCAAACCCACGGTAAAATCTCAACAACCCCTCCTCCTTCGTAACCTTCGCAAAGCAGTCCAACATGCCCTTGTACGGCAACGTACCGTCAGGCGCCCTAGTCTGTTTCTGCAGCCTCGTCTTCATAAAGTCGAACGGCAGGGACAGGAAGCTCGCGAAGAACCCCGCAACCGCAGACGCAGCCAGCGTCTGATTCCGGCTCGACAGCGACGTGTGCTTGAGCTGGTCTTTTGCCTCTGAGAAAAACGCTAGCTGCCCGAAGTTGAGCGCCATGGCCCGCACAACGGTCGGATAGCATCCGGCCCAGAGCCGCCCCACGCCCTCGGCCTTGGATATCCGTGTGAGTGCGTCGATGACGGAGGTGTAGTTCGCGCGTTGTGCGGCGGGCTTCAGGCCGTCGGATTGCATGCGGATGAGTGCCAAATCGGCGGGATTGCCGACGACGGCTGCGAGGCCGCCCGCCGCGAGACCCGCGCCTGCGCGCTCCTTGAAGCCGACTTTCGTCCCGTTTTCCTGGGCGCGCACGGCGAGCGATTTCATGAATGTGTCGAAGAAGCCGAGGCGGGCGGTTGTGTAGACGGCTTGGCGGAGGAGGCCGGCGCTCAGGCCGGTGTAGAGGTCCATTGCTTTCCCCGAGGCGATGATGTCTTTGAAGATGCCGATGGGTGTGGGTTTTGGGCCGGTTTTTACGCCCTCGCCCGCGAGTTGGAGACGTACTTTTACCATGTCGACGGGCTGGATGACGGTTGTGGCTGTCATGCCTGCCAGGCCGCCGTTGATGAAGGGGAGCGCGCCGCGCATGAAGGGTGTGTGGAGGAAGTCTGTTGTGGCTTTCTTGGGGTTCTCGGCGGCTTTGGACATGGCGGAGGATGCGTCTGAGAGGACGGCTTCGGAGGACTGTTTTGCGTTTTCGAGGGCGCGGGCGGCAGGCATTTTAAATGTCTGGGAGGTGACGGTGGCTGTGGTAGACATTGTCAATCACAATTCCTCTTCCTTTTCCTTTTCCTTGTCTGTGAATAGCAATGGAAGGGAAGTGTGAGTGTGGAAATGTGAAGATGACCAGAACGCAGAAGCAGTGAAGTATGAAACTCAAAACAATGGACAGAAAGATAGGACACAACTACGCGATTGTATACTCCTCCATCACGGCTCGATTCACACTTCTGTCAAGCCCAAGTGCAGAGCCTCGCCGAGCGCGTCGCATGTAGCCCAACGGCCGCGGCCGTGGATGTCGGCCATGACATAGGTACACTTGCCAGGCCTAATCCTCGACACGCAGAAACTGTCGATGCGACCGAGCGTATCGATCCACGCACGGCGGACGCTTTTTATCCGAAGAAAGCCGCGGAAAGCGGTTCGAAGAGAGATCGGTAGCTCACCTCTTGCGTAGGATGAAGTGGAGTCCCGCGCCAAGGTGGAGTGGGTCGTCGCGACTTAGAATCGGTTAGACTGAACGTCGCGATAGAATGGTCGCAACTTGAAGACAGATGGAAGAGACGATGAGTTGCAAGTGACCGGCGAACGAGGCTGGAAGAAAAAGGATATAGAGTGATAACAACAGGTTATGGATGGTCGCGCATGTGTGCCTGAATGAGGGGTCTGATGCCATTTCCCCGCATTACAGAGCTGGCTGGAGGGAACTTTTACCAACGCAGCAGACGCTGAGTGGTACATTTTAGGGTTTCACGGCGGATCGATGGGCGCAGGCCAATTGGACGTTGCTCATTTGGCATGTACATGCTGTTGTGTGCTGCGACTTGATGTTTGTGTCAAGCTCGCGTTGATTGTCGCATGTCACCAACGTCAACGTGTTGTCTTCTTCTGCGATCTTGGAGTCGATATTCAATTCAAGAAAAGCGATCCATCCCATCTCGCATGGATCCATGGTTTGTCGCAAGTTCGGCTGTCAGAATGTCAGGCATGAGACGTGACGTGTGTAGTTGGCCTTCAACCAATCCCAGCACTTCCCATCCTCAACACCAAAAGTCTCACTTGAGCTCCTTCACACAGCGAATCAGCAACCCGCCTTAGGAAAGAAGCAGATGCAGGAACGACCGATTGTAGTTTGTGAAAAAGGTTGAGCTGTGGGCTGAGGTCATAATGCCTAGCCATAATGATGGTGTAAGTTTTCACATGCGACAGACAATACAGGCACTTATCCGTATGCGCGGATATGCAAATCGTTCTGTATTCGTGAACACATGTTTGACCCGCCTTACTGGTGGATAACCGAGTCGAAATAGTCTCCAAGCGTTGGGAGTTGGATTGCTGCGCGGCTGGTGTTGTCGTATCCGCGGCCGGCACGTTTGCTCGAGACGGTGAGACGGAATGAGGCTGAGTTGAGCACCCCGGAGATGCAAATTAGAATACCGTGTCTGGGAGCCGGCGGTCGACACGGATATAAAATTGTAGAAGTGGATGTTAGGTGTGGATATTCGGGATGTGGAGGGACGGACACTGAATCGCGCAGATGCTGAAGAAAGAAAGAACTTTGCGCATGTACAAAGCTGTGAATAACTGGGTTTGATTGCCATAGGTTGATTCTTTCGAGTACAGATTACCTGCGCCGAGTTGAGCTAAGCGTTGCAACATGTCAACCTCATAGCTCTCCCATTTACTCGTCCTCGTCTTCATCTTCGTCTTCATCTTCATCTTCATCACTCGGATCCCCCAAGTCCTCGATGATTGAGCTCTGCGGTGGTTGTTGTGAAGCAGGGGCCTGCATTCTGGAGGGCACCTTGAACTTGTCATCGCTACTTCCATCTAGCTGGACAGGACCGTGTCTCGGAACTGCGATCTCATCATCATCATCGTCGTCGTCGTCGTCGCTCTCCGCCGCTTCTTCCGCATCTGCCTGTTGCAGACGCCGGATTTTGCGGGCGACGATGGGATCGGTGCGTACATCGGACGCGGTGAGCATCTGATGATGCGTTAGCGTATGGATTGAGGACATGTTGGTTGAGATGAAGAGCTTACCTGCGAGCACCCCGTGCAAGGACACTCGATCGCCTTCTCGCCCATCCCTCTTTGTCCACCTCCGCCAACCCGATTACTACTGTTCCTTATCATATCCAAGATAGCATTCTTCTCGAAAGTATGCGGACACTTCATGCTTGTGATAGGGTCTTTGTACTGTTGAAACGTGATGGGACATGTTGTGCTCATCTTCACCTTGTCTACAATGATATCGTCGTCGTCTTCAAAGGCGCCACGCTGTGTGTTGGTGACGCCTGGGGCTGGCGACCCTGTCTCAGTAAACCATGTGTCTTCGTGTCCGAGCGCAGGGCCGCTGTCACCGTACATCGCATCGTGTACAAGGCCCTTGAACGCACGGTAGTCATTGTTCCTTGCGTAGCGCGCTGTGAGGGAGAGGGATGTGTAGTCGTCTTTCTTGCGCTGCATGCGATCTGCGTACATCTGGCTGACGCCTGTGAGCGCTACACGTGAGCCGTCGAGAGGCGTAGGACCAGGTGTTGGACCGGGTGTGGGTTCCTCGTCTTCATCCATGGCCACATCCCCGTCTGCGTCCAGCCTCTGGGTTTGCGACTGCCGCTGTGTCGCACGCTGTGTCATCTGTGTCTCGTACTCCTGCTCTAACTGCGCCGGCGCGTTCTGCCTCAACCACTCGAGCGCGTCCTCAATCCTCTGTGCAGCGACGCCCGAATCGATGACCGCCCGCATGCTCTGCTCAAGTTCATCTGTAGCATCCTTGACTTTCTGCTGCAGCTCGCGCATCTCACGCTCCTCCTCGTCCTTGGTATCGAGATTCCTCCCCGCATCCCATTTCTTTTGGCGCCGTTCGATATACGCTGTATGTCCGTGTAACATGTCATTGATATTCTCTGCAGCGCTGCTGATCGCACCAATGGCACTGTTGCTATGCTTTTTCAGGTCTGTCCGGCCTTGGAGAGTTGCTATGGCTGTTTTCGCAGTATCATCGAGCGGGTGCGAGGGTTTCTTGTACGGTGGGAGCTCGTCTGCATTGTTTCGGCCGGGCGTGGGTGTGGGCGTAGGCGCGACGGATGGCCTGCTTGGTATTGATCTCGCCGTTGATTGACGATATCGGGACGACATTTCAAGGTACGCTGCTGAGGCGGAGTCGCGTGTCGAAATTGGTGTCGTGGTGAGACGCGTATGTGGGGCGCTAGCGCGTCTTCACATGACTTCCATTCACATTGTTCAAACTGCATCCAGAACAAGATATTCAACTCAAACTGCATCTGTGACAAAGACGGATCTCAAGGCTACTCTCACTGTATACCCACCTCACAGAAGTATCGATGCCGATTTGATACCAGTAGAAGCTTCAATGCCTTACTACAAATTGTCGACCAATAAGCAGTACCTGGTAGTGCGTATGGCTTTCAAACTCACCGATGGCATGCCAACATGTGAGTATTCACAAGCATGGCGTACGCAGTTTAGCGCCCTCATGGCGCCTAAGGAAAATGCCGCATTCCCTCACCTTGATGCAAAACCTCCTGTAGATTTTGATTCAAGAAGACAGAGTGAAGGCAGTGGAATCAAGTGGGTTGTGCATATAATTTTGATTCGTACGCTGCAACCTCCTACGTCGCAGGTTCTCTATCTCATTCTATGCCTCCAAAATGCGCCTCCCAGAAAAAAATGGATATCGTGAGCATGAAGAATATGCCAAGCAAGAAAGTAAATCCCCATTAACTAAAATTGATCGTAACCCGTCCGTAAACTCCTGTCACCATGGTCTCTGCTCGCACATACTACGTCGGAATCTAGCCGAACCGCGCGAGCAACTGTATCGATTGCTGGTCCTGGTGCCATCGTACGGTGTCGTGTGATGACCAGTCTAGCTCCTACTCATTCGTCCCCCAGTGTTGAACACACCGTGCAGCAACGAAACATAGATCTCTTTCATCTGATAAATAGCATCGTGTCGTAAGCTGATTGTGCGCCTACTTCCCCACGCTTGTAATTGTCGTTGTCATCTTTGGGACCTTACTCGACATTGGCACGCCCTTCTCAAGATCGCGAGTCTGTGTAGGTTTGCTGTTTTTCCCAGGTGGTGGAGAGTTGAGACGGATTCCTGTTCTTCGGTTCTCGCGGTTCTTGGTGTTATTAACGGTTGAGCGACCGGTAATACGACGTGAGGCACGGCGAATGGACTGTCGAACGTCCCATTGACGTTTCTTTGCGAGCCACCAGAGTGATGCAGAGCCAACTGTAAGATAGTCAGTACTTGATCTCCATCGTTAGTGTATGAACAGGGACACATACTGCCTCCAATGACCACGACGACAGCGACGACAATGATGGCCACCAGCCCACCACTCGACAGTCCAAAAGCGCCCTTTGTTCCTCCTGCTGCGCCAGCATCATCTGGATCTACGGGATTGTCCGTCCCTCCATTGTACCCCGCAGCTGGTAGCCCAGTCGCTTGACTTGAGTCTTGCGCAAGCACGAGGAGAGGGAACAGAACAGAGAGAAGAAGAGCCTGGCTCATGATGGCGCGACTGAAGTTGTGTTGCGACGAGGAAGGATCAGATGAATAGACAGACGCGAGACGGTGGTACGAGAATGGTGTGGAAGTTGCAAGATCAGATAGAGTTTCTCGTAGGAATGTACGTCAACTCGCTACCAGGACGAAGGAGCATCTCTATACTCCGGACCCTGTTCTGCAAGGCTGCATGTAGACCAATAACCCCGCGAGGAGAATATACTTGGGCGGCTACCATGCTTGTGAAAGCCAGGTCAACTACCGGTAAACGTGGTGCCGGTTGCTTTATTTAGAGATATTAACAGCGAGTTGTGATGGCTTGGATGAATAGACTGTGCGGATTGGTAGATGTACGAGTTGTGTCGGCGCGTATGGTGTTGAAGGAGATCACAGTGCAGCGGGAAGCTAGGGTGGATTGAAAGATGATTGGGCCGAGTCTTGTGGCGATCTATGCAACCGCCAGGCCTTGTGCATGCGTGCACGCTTGCGTTTCAGGGGCGCACTCAAGGACCGACTCTTCCTCGTCGACTGCAAAATGAGTGCAGTGACATGTGGCATCAACAAAGACGATTTTCCAAGTCGATGTCGGCGATGCCGTGCGGGGTTACTGCACAAGCTCGACCGAGCGGCGATGGCGACTCATTGAACATCGAGCGCGATTCGTATGATGGACAAAGCGACGAGAACAAGCGAAAGAGGAGGAAAACACTAACGCAGCTCCTAAGCATGTTGTGGTGCTCATCAGCGCGCTTGTACGCTGCAGTGCTGCGTCCTGTGGTTTCTCGTGACAACAATGAGGCTTGAAATTAGCGCGAGAGACACGTTATAGACGCCAGGGACACGCCTACGCTTGCGGCTACTCATTCCTGGCGTCGTCTAACGCCAAACTGACGTTGAGGAAAGACAGAAGAGTGTGATAATAGGACCTCATGCTAAAAACGCTGAAAGAGTTGGGATAGAAATACTTCCCAGGAAGAGGTCACAAGAGATCAGGGAAATATCGCGGATGAACATGAGACGATGTTCATGAAGTAGGTGCGATGGGAATGACATGGTGGCTTCCCCGCAGGCAACAACCATTGCAAGAGGAACATCGGGTTGTAGACGAAGGCTGGGCGAGGTCCTCGTTGTGAGACTGCATTCTCGCCGGTGTAAAAAGGTTCTTTTCCTGTGTGTGATTCTAGTCTGGCCGTTTGTTCGTCATCTTCGTTCGCAAAGCAGACTGATGTTGCTGGTTCGCGACTTCCGAAAGGAAAGAGCAGAGCTGCAAACCTCGCCACTCACCTCAACCATCACTCCACTCCCACTCTCCAATCCCATCTCGTCCCGGGCGTGCGTCCTTTCGCCCTCACTCACATATCTCACCTCGATCTCAGTGTCTCGCCTGTTCTGACTTTCGCCAACCATGACGACTGAGGCCTCACAAGGGAAGCAACCTGCGAGGAAGCACAAGCCATCTCACCTTAGAAATGAGATTCGCCGTGAGTCAAGTGATAGAGAGGAAATACCAGAAAGGATCGTGGTACAGGTGTACAACAGCGACGATTTCGTTCCAGAGACTCAGCCGGAGGAACGCGTTGACTGCAGCCTTCGTCTCGATAACGGATCACAACACAGCGAAGGCTCCCTCAGTCCCAATGACTCTGCCTTCCTGAAGCGAACCACAGTAACGAAGAGCACGGAGATGTCTGCTCCCGCCTCATTCGGCTTGACACGACCCAAGTCAGCATCGACATCCCAGGCGTTTACATTTGCAACGCCGAAGAGGATGACTGGCAAAACCCCTTCAGAAGAGAAGATAGACTTTGTTGATCCGACTGAGAGTGCTATTGAGCTGAGTGAGAGTAAAGCAGCAGATGGTGAGTTAGTGTTTGCAAGTCCCGAGACGTGTGCTGACAGTCCGTTAGGTGATAGCACAGTTGCTTCCTCCCTGACTCTCTTCCCTCCCAGCTCTATCGACAATGCGCAGCAAGACACCACGAAATTGAGCAGTGCCGAGAACGCGAACAACCAGCTCCCAGGTCCTCCAAGGGAAACAGTTGCACCTCTTGAATCACAGAGAGATAGCCCGGATGTGTGAGGCTACCTGCGCTATGGCTAAAAACTTACACTGACGCTTAACGACAGAACTCAAGGGCCTAGTTCTAGTTTCGGAACACCGCCTTCTGCACAGCCCGACCCAAGGTCAGCTAATCGTACTAAGAAGCCGCGTATCAACAGGATCACTGGTAAGAGATTGAGGCATGGCAAGAGAGCTCTGCGTGCACAGCAGCATGATACCTCATGGCCACCTCGATCGACCAGCATCATGGACATCCCCCACCAGTCGCCGAGTAGCGCTCCCTCCATACCTGACGGTGCCGTCAGTTCTCACGACTCAGGGTCTCGAGTGAATGAGCATGGTCATCGAATCTATGAGGCTTTTCACGAGTCACGTCCAATTACAACTCACCATGAAGTTGCACAAGATCAAGCTGATCACGGGGAGACCACTTTCGGTCACCTGAGTGGTGATCAAGTTCCTGCAGCCACTGTGGAAGCCTCCCTCCAAACAGCCACCTGTAGCCTATCCAGCAACACTCCTGAGGGTCACAACTTCGGTGCCACTGAGAAATTGTCCCATGTCGTTCTGGAACAAGCACTCAATGACCTTCCTGAACACTCGCCTCGTGTTCCTCTCGAACAATTTCAGATTCCCCTGGAGCAATTATCGCAAGCTTCTCTGGAGCAACCTACTCAACCCTGGCTAGAAGGGCCGTCACATGTTCTTCTTGGGCAACTGTCTCACCTTTCCCCGGAACTATTCCGCGCGGAGACATCCCAGGAAGTACATCCCAACCCCTGGGTCTCTACCAATAGTATGCCAGGAACTGTGCCGAGAATGACAACCGAGCAATTGCTACAGAACGCTCATCATGTCAGTGCGAGTGTCACTCGAAAGCCAGTTGTCGATGACACTCCGGCTGATTCAATTCTGCACGAGGTTTCCGGCCGCACCGGGTCTCAACGAGTGACAAAATCGCGGAAGAAAGGACGAGCTACCAATAGTTCTCGGTCGACCATTTCAGCAGCTGTAAGCCGAGGTCAAGGGCTATCCACACCTTGCGTTATCGATCAATCTTTGGAATCTCTGAGGTTGGCACTTCTCACGGATCGATCTCGATTGCAACATGAGCAGATGACCGAAGCGAAACATTTCGAAGACATGAGAACCGTACTCCAAGATGCGATCCACTCTCAACAAAATACTATCATCGAGCTGAAGGCGAAACACCAAGAGAAGAACGCATCCGTCGTCCGGCTGACTGAGAAAGCCAAGACAAATCAGAAATACGTCACAGGCCTCCAGAAGGATTATGAGAGGCTACAGAAGTCAGTCGCGTCTTTTCAAGATGAGAATACGAAGACTCTGAAGCAGAAGATGGCCGAAGTTGAGAGTGAGAAAGAGTCCTTGCGACAGGAACTTGAGGTGACTATCGATGCGTTGTCCAGAAGCCAGAAGAATATGATGTCAACAATCCAAGACCTCTACATGCGCTGGGTCATGTCGGAGTCTAAGAAGAAAGACCTTGCCGAAACTCTCGACCAACAGAAGATGATGTGTGAGGACGAGAAGAAGAAGCGCGACGATCTGGAGAAGCAACTCTTGTCCTCCGTTCAGACTCTCCAAAACCAACTTGGCGGCAGTTTCACTTCACTGACCGAGAAGCTTGTGCAACTCCAATCGTCTGTGGACAGAGTTGCTGCTGACAACGAGCGCGATGCTGGGGTCAAAGAGTGCTTGAATACGTTGAAAAAGATCCAGACAACTCCTTTTCTTACCGCCAAAGACGTGCAAAAAGCTGAAGGACTTTTGCGCTTCATACACGACAGGTAAAATCAATGTTGACTAATTGGCGAGTGGTTGACTGATTCGAGGATAGCGTCGATTCGAAACTCGGTGCCCTATCTGGAAGATTGGAAAGCAAGATATTTCCTACCCAAGAAATCCAGACTTACATCGACGATCAACTGCAGAGACTCCGGGGTGAGATACTGAAGTACGAAGAAGTCGTTGCTGAGAATTGCGAGGCCCTTCGGTCAAATGGTTTGCTCAACAAACAGTTAGAGGTCCAGCAACAGTGCTGCCAGAAGCTAGATGAGCAAGTCAAGGTTCTTCAGCAAACTAAGGTCAGTCTCATAGCACGTTCGGCTAAGCTCGAACGAGAGTTGCAAGACCTCAAGGACCTAGTCCGCGATCAGAATTCGAATCCATCTGAGCTAGAGCGCGAGATTCTTGACCTTCGTAGTTACCTGGAAAAAGCCAAGGATGATCTCAAAGCGGCCAACACCAAAGCTGAGGAGACAGAAAAGGTTCGGGAAGAGCGAGAGAAAACCGGACTCGCGTACAAGGTTGGGCCGTCCGTTGCATTGATTTTCAACGTCTCTAACTCTTCGTAGAACTGCTACGAAGAATGTAAAGCAAAGTTAATCGAAGTTGGTAAAAGAAAGCAGGAAAAAAAGGCTCACGTCGCGAACATAGTCGAGCTCCACGAAAAGGCCATGCAAGATTGCCGCAGGACTTTTGACGAGCAAGAAAGTGAACTCAGAAACGACGTACATTGTCTCACCATCGAGCGTGACGAGAGGGAGGGTATGATACAAGAACTGAACAAGGAGGTGGACGCTGCAAGGGTTCGACTTCAGAAGGAGCGCAAAGAAGCCAGTGCGGTCGAGTCCGAGCTCGAAGTTATTCGCAAGGAGAAGATGGAGGTCGAGGCCAAGCTGAAGATTGCTCACGGAAGTCCGTCCAAAGCATCAGAGCTCATCAACTTCAAGGATCGACTGCGACGGAAGTCCGATGAATTGAACTTCAAAGCGCAGGAGCTCGACGATTTGACGCGCCAGCATACGGACTTGGGCAACAAAACGATGCATCTCCAAGACTCTTGCGATCAGTTACAGTCCCAGATATCCCAGCATCTTCTCACAATCGAAACCATGCGTCAGGAGTTCCATGCTCAACTGTCTGAAGAGCGAGAGAAGGCTCAGCATACACTTGAGGTAGCTCAGGATCAGAATGGCATTCTCGAAAATGAGAAGCAGAACCTAGAGGCATGTCTTGTACAGGCTCGGATGAATGCATCCGAATCAGACAGTGCCCAGACCGTACTTACTAGCGAGCGAGACGATCTGAAGCGGCAGATTGATGAGTTTCGAGCGGCGAAGTGTGCTAGCGACGCAGAGTTACTTCGTGTTCGAGCTGAGATGGCCGAGAAACTCGGAGAATATGACAATACTCTTCGCACGGAGATCGATGATATGCAGCGGCAGTTAACGCGATCCAACGATACCTTGAAGGAGTCTGAGGCCAAGAGCCGCCGTATGGAAGTCGAACACCCACAGCAGCTCCGGGCATACCAGGAGAAGGCCGAGAAGCTGTACGATCTACTTGTGAAAGAGTCGGACCTGAAACTAGACGAGGCAAGAGCACATATCGCCCGGATCAAGCCATCCCGAGGATCTGATTCATCGGTGTTGTGTGGAACGACTTCATCTCCGTTGCGTAACATCCATGCGGGAAGAGCGAGGAAGAAGGTCAATCGCGAGAACAATTCTGTTCTGGATGTCAGGGGCTCTTCTACTGCACAATACATCGCTGCTGAATGCACACCAAAAGCAGCTCGATCTGAACTCCCGCATAATCAGCACGATGATTCGGAGGAACTTCTTGGTCTTTCTGAGTTCCAATATGATTTTGAAGCTCAGGAGCTACCGGATGATCACGATGTCTCTGTAGTGGATCCCTCGGCCGAAGAGGTTCAAGAGACACAGGAAGTCGACGGACTATCCTTGTTCCAAGCGCAAGACGGAATCTTGGGCCAAGTCACCCATGAGAAACCCTCGAGTCAACACTCCAGCTCAACGGGCTTGTCTACCATTGATTCTGAAGAGATGACGCAAATGCAGCAGCAAATGTCGCCTCCAACGACTCGTGAACGTCATTCTAGCGCCGCCGGGCGACAATCATCCAAGAGCTATAAGACGGAGACCTCAATGCGACCGGATGACATGCTTGCAGCAGACTCCCATTCGTCTTTTTCTCAGGACCGACCGAGGTCGCAAGCCAATACAGCTTCTCGGATGATGCCTCCTCCTGGTACAGTTTCACACCACTTCGACGAGCGCGGCCTCGTGCATGATGCTGTGGCAAAAGCAACTGCCCAGCATATGATGTATGATGGCGTGAGAAATGATCTTGAGAGTAGCCACACAAGATCTGCATATCCTCGGACTACATCAGAGCAGATTAACGCTTATCTGGACCCAAGGCTCCTTGACCGTCATGACAGAAGCCGTGATGGACAGCGAGCGTCGGGTCATGGCTCGAGCCAAAAGAGGAAGAGTTCTGTCAGCCAAACGGAACGACTCCCCATCTACAAGAACAGCAGAACCTCAGTTCAGGATAATTCACCTCATGCGTCATCGGCGTCGAAGGGTTCCTCGTCGTATCTGCCAGGCTCACCGAGAGCAGCACCCCATGGAAAGACTCTCTCTAGCTCTCTGACTGTTACGCCTCGAGCGTCAAACCGAGCTTCGTCGTCCGGTGAGAACAACCCTTCTCGCAGACAGCTGTCGTCGTCGACTAGAGCCCAAACTGTTACCCCGGCACGCCGATCCTCCAATCGTCTGACGAAGAGTAAGTGTAAGTCCTTGGCCGCCCCTCCACCCGAGTTGTATGCAAACTAACATGGACCTAGCGGGCAAAAAAGATATGGACGGTCGCTTCGGCGAAGAGCTAGCCAGACGACGATGATTATAGGAAGTGGCGGCTGCGACAATTGCGACACTGCCACCCTGTTCCGCATTCCTGGGTTTGTTGTTGAGTCGCGGTAACGCTTCCCTGAACGAGTTATATTTGCCGTGGACGTTGAGAATGTCTCTGCGGTGTTCGTGACCGTCGGTGACCCACGTAAGTTTCTGAGAAAGCATACGAGATTATCGTATTGACAATGTTCAGAATGACTTTTTTACGAAGTTTTGGACCACATTATCGAGCATCTCTACGGGGTTACCACATAACAATCAGAATCTGCCGTAGATATTTATGAGGTATGAAATAGTGTATACACTACGCTGGGTGGATGTGAAGGATCGATCTCGCGGAGCAAAGCGCTGGGTGGGGACACGGGCTGGTGTAACGATTACGAATATTAGTGAGCGTATGGATAAGGTCAATATAGCTACTTAGCAGAGCCAATGCAATACACTGGGCCTCAACATTGTGTGTAGTCTTTTGCGTTTTGTGATCGTCTACAGCTTGGCCATACTGCGTATTTGCCTCCTCTCGACGTTCGCATGCTATGTTGTTACCAGCGGCAGCGCTGGACTCGTTTTTGGGGATCCGTGCGGTAGAGCCTTTGGTTTTGGTAATGTCCTTCAAAACTTTTCTCCCCAGCAACACACTTCCTCCCACACACCGAACCACCAACACCAAAAAATTCTGGTTCAATACTCTCAGCTCTTATTGTTCTTCCTCTTTAGACTCATCTCTATCTCTGCTTCTCCTCCTCGCTCTCACCTTCGCGACTCACTATAGACTGGGCTGTCCGCCGCTCCGAGCTGCAGCCTGCCTGGTCTGTACAACAGCCGCTGCAGAGCGGCCACGGTCAGTGTCCCTGGCCTCCATAAGATGCAACTGAGCGAGCTTCGGCTTTCTAGTTCTTTGTCCGAGGCTGCGTTGTAAACGCGTTGGTCTTGGTGGTGAGCTCTCTAGCTCCAGTGCGACCTCTCTTCTGCGGGCAATAACAGCAGCAACAAAAGTCCTGAATAGCTTCACGCAATCAGTCAGAAAGTAAGTCACACTACTCCACAGTCAGCTCAATTGCATCTCGTATTCAATGGCGTGATGCGGCGGTTCGGAGTGGCGTACCTTCACAAGTTCTTGGACTCATGGTGGCGTGCTGGGCGGCCGCAACACCTCGATTGCCTATACTTGCGATCCAAGACGTGGAAGCAAAGGAAGATGATTCTGACAGAGCTGACAGTTTCATTGTGCTGACTGCGCTCACAATGGCGGCCATGCTGATCGCGCACAGCTGACATGTAACAAAGACCACAGCGGGGACAAAGGCGACAGCACGTGGGGTGACGAACGACCTACATTGTGACCCGTACGTTCACAATCGACCTCATCGCCCTTGACGTTTACGCAGAGGTCGAGTCGCCCGTCGAAGTGGTACGCGATGCGGGGTGAAAGCTTTTTGTAAGGCAAGTTCCATGTGTCTGGCAAGACTGACACCTCTTTCTGCCTGGAGCTTGGTTATTTCTTGTACTAACTTCAACGTGGACAGATCATACCTTCTTGCTGGCTGGCCTTTGCCAGTCCTTCGTGCAACACGTTGCTGCCCTGCGATCTTCTCGACGACACCAAAACACACACGAGACTCTTGCACCTTGTAAGCTTTTCCCCTTCCACCACATATACACGGCTATGGCAATTGAGTACGATCCCTCATATCGTACTCATGACCCTCACCAGCCAAGAGTGAAGTCAAACCGCGGTTTGTGGGTCGCAAAAAATTCAAGTGTAATATATCTGTTCTTAAACCATAAACCTCCGATGGTTGGAGTATGAAGTTACCGCGTCGACGTCGGGAAGATCCATGTCCTAGTGGCCATCCACAATGAGGCACATGGTATCCCGGGCTCGTACAAGACCCTTCTTCTGACTTTTTCGCTTTCTTTCGACTTTCGACTTCGTGTTGACCAGTTTCGCAGGGAACCTTTCCGGTTGTATCAAGATCTGCAGCTGCGATCTCTCTTGTCTTTTCCCACATACGGTCCGCAAGAGTGTGAATACGGTCTCTGCCATGAGACTCGCCGACGAGAGCTGAGGTCAGTGCTTCAAGCGCGGCATGTGTTCGGACCCGACAAGTCATGGCGATAATCTTGCAGCTCCGCAAATCAGGCTGCCGAACATCACGGTGTTGACTGCTCGCGGGTTGCAGCACCGTCTCCAGGTTTGTGTTGACTTCGAAGGCGGGCTGATATTTCTTATTCTAGATCAGCCGGCTATTGCAACGACTCTCCGCATAGTGTGCCCTTCTCCTGATTGTCATGAATGGCGCAGGGTACTTAGGATACTACCCTCCGACCTTGGGATTCCATTGGATACTTGAACAGTGTTGATGCAATAACATGATTGCATCTGGCTTGATGGCTTTGAACGCGTTGCACTATCACCAAAAGTAAGTACCCTTATCCTTATGTTTGATCCCACCTATCGCGATGATGACGCTACATCCGTAGCAGCTGTTGTTGTACTGATCTCCATGAAGTCACCTTGCACCTGACGCACCTCTCACTTCTTTTTTACAGCACTGGTTTTCCGGAGTTGATGCTGACAAATTCACAGACACCGAGACAGTCCTCATGAATGAGTAATTGGGGTCGTCTGCGGTCATCTGCGGTCATCTCCTTGGACGTCAGTTTCTCGTTCTACGCATACTCAACTTCATGTACGCTTGGTTACAAACTGTCGGGTCGAGCTTCCACATAAGGCATCGGAATTCCTCAATATCTGTTCAGAGTATTGCAACCCCTTCCCTGCATCATCGTCAATTCATGGATCAGCTGACGACAACGTAGCAGTCCTCACGATTCGCTAGCTCCAGGAGCACGCTGTCTTGGATCTGTATGTATGGCCTACTTTCCCTTCCACTTGCCAATGATGATCCACGGTATTGTTTCTGACGTTTGATGACGTTGACTTAGCTTGTCTGAGGCCTTCAAATCTTCCTTTTTAGCATGCACGACTTGAAGAATCCAGTTAACGAGTTATCAGCTACTGTCTCTGCATCTCCGTGCTTGCCTTCACCATTTGAGACTGTATCTTCTTGATCTCAATGGATGTTGTATGCCAAGCAACCGAACAGGAAAAGCAATGTAGTCTCAGACCATACTGAAGGTAAGTCAGCCACCCTCTTTTGCTAATTGAACCCTGGATATGATGATACCTGTTCTTCTCTTCCTTCTTCCGAAAGAGCTGGCGGTGCTTTTGAAGATACATGACACTATTCTGAGTCCTCCTTTGCTTGCCCAAACGAGTAACAAGTTTTCGAGGGATATTGCTAACCGATCAAGCTAGGAAGCTACTCTCATAGAAAGCTCGTGTCTTCCAATTATCCTGGTGAGTCTTCCTTCTTGCTGTCTTCATTGCCTTGCATGGAAGGCAGAATTTCGAGTGAGTGAAGGACATTCAGCACCAACACTCATCCGATTGCTGACAATAGGGATGTAACTGATGCCATATGCGCATACAGGCGGAATACGAGTACATCTCTCATGTGTTCGTGGATGTTGTTCGCGACTCACACGCGACTCTCTTGACTGTTATTCGTCGAGAGCATCCGATCTGCAACAAGCGGTTCGGCCGGGATCCCATCGCAATGCGACATGTTATTCCATCTCTGCCATCTTTGCCATCTCCATAGTCGTTTGTTGGCGTTTTTGCAACTGGGGCTGCTTTCGTGGAGGAGTATACGCTCGTGTTCACGCGCGGCGATGGCGTTGAGAAGGAGGCGCCTGCTCAAATACGGTTAGCCATCCGAACTTTGTCAGATCTCTCCTCATCCTTCACGATCTCTCCTGAACACCTCCCCATCATGTCATCGGCGAGTGCTGCATCCCAACACGACACGTCTGTGAAGATGCAGAAGCTTCTACAAACGAGGTGGACGCATGCTCGCCTACTTCGTGTGTGACAGCTTACTTCTTCCGAGTTTGCTGACGATCTTGATGGCCACACTCCGAAGCAAGACCAGGCTTGTGTACACGATATGGTGTTGTAGGCTCTACCGCCATAACACACACCACCTGTGTATGTCGCTGTTGCAAGCTGGTTCTCACGGTATTGCTGAACACGCTCTCCGCTGCCAGGGCGAGTTATGCATCGCGCTCTTTCGTACCCCTGGCGAGCTGTCTCTTTCTCTCCAAGTATGCAGGATACCACCTGTTGTTCATCCTTCCGTTTCTCGTTATTGTTCCTATCGTTTGGCGATTCGGTCTCTGGATGCGGCCCAGGACGACCGAAGGTGAACACTTCATGCGGCGCTTGCCCTGAGCTTTGTCAATCAAGTCTCTTCTCGTCCTGACATTCTCTCTACGTGGCATGTATATTGGTAGGTTCGGCACGGTACGGTGTGACGCGGTAGACTTCGACAAACCCCGGGAGGTTATACAGCTTCATGACGGTCTGCTATCGCGCAAGAGGTATCGGCCCGCCTTGTGTACTCGTGTCCGCTTCGATCGCGTTATCTACTTGAATGTCGTCGCCGTGGGCGCACGGGGCTTCAAAAGTCTGGGAGGTTCGATTAAAAGAGGTGGGGAAGCCGTATGCTGCCAGTATTCCTAGACATAGGGGCTTCGAACGACTGATACGTACATCGCGCGCTGGAACCTCTTCAGTATGTGCCAAATGTTGTTATCCCCACCGGGCTCGCAGGATACTCTACCCCGCAGCATCATGCTGGATGGTCGCGCGCCGGTCCGCATCTGCTTTGTGCAGAGTTTGCCGATGGCAGCAAACATACCTGATCTCTTTGTGCCTCATTGAATCAGGTCGTAGCTCCAGATTACCGCCAGCTTCCCCGCTGTGTGACTTGAATGAAGCCTCGTGGGCTGTCCGAGCCTGCACGATTCTGTCTCCATCTTCAGTGCTGATGACGCTGTGCGGATACCGAGGAGGTGACAAACCTTGTCGGACTACAGATTGAAGAATCCATGCGACGTTCAGTATGGATGGTGTGTAGTAATAGGTTGTGCCGATGAGGAGGAAGCTAACGAGTCTTTAAGGTAAGCCATCAGACACATAACCTACTCACATGGCTCAGGTACTGCTACGTACGTCCCGGCTGCTGGCTACCGACAGTCCACGATCTCCATCGCCTCCACGCTTGAGACCATATCGCCGCTTGAAGCGCCTGCGCGGCTGACCGCGTCGCTGCTATGAGTGCGACCTGCTCATCCTCATGGGGACTAAGCATATCGTTGGCGTGGTAGATGAGTATCCCTGGAAGCCTTCACATGCCCCTCACTTGTAGCTCATATGGATCATAGCTACTTGGTGTGCTCCTGGGAAGAGTTGTCTTGGCGAGTGTTTGGTGTTGAGGGGAGGGCTCAGATAGCCCGGTGTCTCGCGGAGTCACTGCAATGAAGAACCACAAGCAGTGCAAGGTCACACCAAGTCAGGAAAGTCTCTAGAGACTACAGAGCTACCTACGAATATATCCCATCACTCTACTATCTATCTCTTGGTGTTGCAGCTGCTCATCGTAGCCTGTAACGTACTGCCGGCCCTAGTCTGCTTCCATTGCTTTCTGTCGTCACCGCACACAGGGTCTGTGCCTAAATCAATATAAAAGCTCTCCTCGCGTCACTCCCCTCCATCTCCCCAACAATCTCTTCTCACTTACAATTCTACCCACCACATCAACAACAACTGCCCATGGTCATCCACCATGCTCTCGTAGCTGATCTACCTTGTCTCTCTGGTTTGCGGCGAGCTTGAGATATCGCTTGAGTCTCCGCCGCTGCCACCAGCACACTTCCTTCAGGCTTGTCCTGCGCACTGAGTGACATACAGCTGCTAACTCATGCGATTGCTCTGTCTGGCAATGCTACTCCTCCCAGCTCAACTGTAAGTACACCCCGCTATTGACTGTCACTGACACGACGATGGTGTCGAGTCTCTACCCTACTGATAACACCCCGTCAGTGACACTTGTCTGACTTCACAAGAGTTTGCACTTCTCTTGAGTCACACATTCACATCCATGGCAGAAGAAGCTACGGTGCGGTTCCTCATACCGTCACTTTTCTTCGTCTCTCGAGACCTGCCCAGATCAAGATCGCAACCACAGCCACAACCCACGAAGCAATAAGGCCGTCACTACATCACACATTTGCTATACGGGTCTGTCGGTTGCATGGTTGCAGCGAGTGTGGTTTGAACATGTTCCCGAGATTGTCAACGTCTCTCTTCTAAGACATCTCTATGGGTTCATGGTAACCATATTCGTACATTCATCTTTAGGTTGATGCCTTCTAGTACAAGTTGTCTTTCTCCTCTCAGCTTCAGCTAACGTGCTCAGCCCGGTGTGGGTAGCTACACGCTGAGGGGTCGGTCTATCAGACTGTTGCTGGAATGGCGTTGCGTTTGGATGTGTCTGGGATCGAAATAGGGTTTGGTTGTGTTTTTCGAATAAGAATCAATTCCTGTTTATCAATATCATATGTGCACCTTCTCATCTTCGTTGATCGTGACATGAATACGTACCATACTTGCTTCTGCATGACTGAACTAACCATTTCGCATCTTTCTCGCGTACGAGCCCTTGGCCTTTTGTGTATCCTTCTTCTCCACCACAATCCATATCCTACCACTTCGCAGCCCGGCCTCCAAAAGCTCAATCAATCAAACTACGCCCCATTTGCAACTGATTCGGCGCCTCAGCCAACTCTAACTTTCATTGTAGATACACGTGAGAGAGAAGGAGTGTTTGCCGACCCGACAACCTTCCTTCCACCACCTTCTGTCCACCGTCTCCCATCCACCACGTTCTATTGTTCGACTCATAGTCTGTACTTTCCTTTCTTGTCTACTACTCTCGTCCACTAGAAACACACGTTGTCTACACGCCGTCCGAGGCACTCAGCAGGTTTCAAATTCGCGCGAACCATATATAGGTCCGACATTTCCAATCCGCCAAGCCTCACGGCGACGAAGTGACAGCAACTTGGTTGTCTGTGTCCCTTTCACATGAGCCCATACTTTCGCAAAGCAAAGCAAAGCAAGTTCTTGCACTGTCGCCATCGTAGAAACAGGGCGCTTGTTTTCGCTCTTTCTATCAGCGCGTAGTCTGCCTTGCCGTATGTTCTCAATATCAGTACGTGTGCAGTGAGTATTGCCCTAACTTTAGTTTACGCGTCGACGTCATCGTTTACCAACTGCACACCAGCTTTTGGACAGTAAGGCTGACTTGATAAACAGACAGTTGAGATCACTTCTTTGCCCGAAAAGCGAAAGCCCGACTCGGGAGCGTTACAAGACTCTGGTTCTGTTCCTCAACGCCAGTAACACCCTCTTCCACACGTATGCATTCAACAACTTCAGATGCACCCAAAGAACACGATATTGGACGGGGTCTAGGAGAAAAGAGCCGAGCAGAATCTTCCAATCAGCGGAAGACAACATGATTCACGAAGATAACAAAAGGCTAGATTCGGTTGGGAAACTGTGGAAAATTGAGTACAAGCTATATTGCTATATGCAGAAGATCTCTAAGAGTCGGATGCCAGACAAAGTATAATCTCTTTGATCGACAACATCCAACTCGGTGCGTCAACGCCCGTCGGTTCACTGGCATATCAACGAGAGGACTCTAGAAACGGCGAATAGATACTCCTTCTCGTAACCCTCCACTACCATCAATGGGGATAGGCACTCATTGGCCACGGTGGATGCATCTGCAGAATCACAAAGCTGATAATTTTGAGCCTTGGAGAAATATGTCAAGGGCAGGCTGAGAGGAGGCAAACACACATAAACTCTCAAAATAACAAGGTACAGCAAGTGTTGTACCCCGAGAAAAGACATAGCACAAACGGACGTGCTAACGAGTGTAGACATTTTCAGAAGGTAGGGAACCGCTCGGATTTGTCCCAAATTATCAACGTCTCATTGGGCAAAACGACTTTGACACTTTTCGAAGCTGTACTCGTAACCGATATGCAAAGCACGTTGCGATGTTGCCTATGCTTGTCCTTTCGACGGGTCTGACGACTAACGAGGTACCCAGTGAAGGTTCTCGCAGCTCGACCACACCACCACAACCTCAACATCCGCACCCTCCATCCCATCGTAACACGAGCAACATCAAACGTCCAATCCAATCTACGCAACCCCTGACCAACAAAGACCCGCCGCACGCGCCTCGGTGCACACAGTGATTCACAGCATCCACTAGCGCCACTCACGTGCCAGGTGCTGCCTTGCCCTCCGCGTCCACGACAGCTGCACCACAACGCCCCAGCGACGGCTTTATGAGTTCTACAGTTGCGCTTTGCTTCGCCTTCGGGCTTTTGGTCAATTTGAAACGATACAGAGAAGATTAGCATGGCCCCTGCACTAAGGATGACACGCTCAATCAAAGAGAAGCTACCATTTTTTTGCCTTTTCTCTGGGCCTTTTGCGCGCCTGGGCGACGAGTTCGAAACCGCGTGTCGGCGGCGGCGGGCTCTTTTTGCGGCTTTTTGCCGTATTTTTGCATGGGGAGGTCACTGCGGACGTGTTTTTGATGGACCTGTGGTGATGGATGCTCTTCTATCAACAAGATGTTATTCCATGATTTGGATACTACACTGTCTCTCAGACTTACATTGCTTGCTTGGGTTTCTCTTTTGTTGTCGACTGTCTGATGGATTTGCCAGTGTGCAATGGCAATTTTACGCGTGGCCTGCGCAGGGACATAGTGAAAACCAACTCGTTGATATCTTTTCTTCCGCGTCCAGCACAAACGCAAACACCCATCGTTGGTTGGCCATCCTTGGGCATGAGATGTTTTAGATGCCAAAGTCAAGAAGAAACGTTTTAACAACTATATGTAACAAAACAAACTTTTCTTAGATTTCCCACGATAGTATCAGGAAACACGCTCCCGTATGGTGGCGCATAACACGTCGGCACAAAAGATCGATCCTATTTTCCAGCATTTTGTATATTCGTAGTTGGAGATAGCCTGCGCTTTCAATTCCATGGAGCGATGTAGGAATAGCCTAGCTTGGGTGCGCTGATGCTCTTCACCTTTTCATCGACACAACCCCTTCTGCAAGTCACAACTTGGACTAAGCGCAACACCAGTTGTTTTGTAACAAAAATGAATAGATTAGTTAGATAGTGAGTCCATGTACTGTAATGTAATATATCTCTGTGACGCGGAGTTCCTTCAACTGGCCGAGCCGGCATTTTTTCGCGCTATCTGCCTTCGTACTCGGATCTGGGAGGTGCGCGGATTGAGGTATGAGCGGCCGTTTCAATCGAATGTGTAGAGTATAACTGATATGGCGGAAGCAATGTAAGTGGTCTTGCGCAGAGCAGACCGAAGGAAGGATTTCCTGGCGTCCTTTTCTTTTTGGATACATCACCATGCTGATTTGACTTTGTTTGCAAGTACTCCCCGGGTTATGGCGATATCGCGGTGTATCAATACCAGACCGCAACCTGAGATCGCAACAACATAGAAGATGGAGAAACACAGCAAAATGCTGATCTACACCTGCATGAGAGGGTACCAGGTGTATAGAGCAGTATGCAAGAAAATATTGCTGCCATCGTTGCGAGAATCCTCTGTAACGCCGAGCCATGCTGTGTGTATGGTACAGTGTGCGCATATATGCACGAGTCCCTCCGCTCTCCACCCTCCACGCTGATGTCGCAGCATCAAGTGCTCGTATCCCTGCCTTCTTGCCTTTCGAGTGAAGTTCATTTCTTAACCCTAAGCCCGACCCATAGCCCCTCAACCCTTCTTTCCTCGCTTCGCTTCGAGGAACAAGACTTGTTTCCGCACTGCCATCTCGTCAGCCCTGTCACATGCCTTGCACTGCCTCTTTCCAACTCCATGGTTGTTCTTTCCCGAATTCACCAGGTTGACTGAGTAGCGAGCGGGTACGTGTGGCTCCAACAACTATCGCGGGGATCGTACCAATGGGATCGTATTTCAGCATGCTCAGCGGTTGATGCGCGCGCGGTCTCGACAATGTGCGGTAGTACCCCGTCATCGCCATCGAGATGAGGCGCACCATGATGGTGCGGGACTTTGCTATTCACGACCTTGTCAGTTCATTCTCCTGTGGAAGGCGCTGCTAGACTGGGCTGCCGGGAGCATTTTGGAGGGAGAAGCGCGAGCTTGGAGACTAGGCAGCGTACCTTTCTTCGCCATTGCGACACGGGTTTGGGTGTGTTGCTGGCGATGACGGTCGCGGGACAAATGTGAGGTTTCGCGGATGGATGCGAGGTCTTGGCGGCAGATCTGCGGCTCAATGAATGCCCAATCAGAGGACTGTGAGGAGGCGGGCTTCCGCAACACCAATTCTTTACGAGAGTGATGCATTCTATTTGTATGAGATATCTCACCCAGACAGGATCGAATAGATGGAAGAGAATTTCCGACCTTGGAGGGACTCAATGGTTTTATCATTTATCGAGTTGTGACTTCGAGCGTGAACTACAGTCTTCTTTTGCGCCTTCTTCTACATTCGATATCAGCTCAATCACTACCCATCTCTCGCTTTAGATATGTTGTTCATCTTATGATGAGCTGTGTCAATTTTCTAGCAGGCGCATAACATGTCTTCCTTTCTTCATTCAATCAACGCTCGACTCTATTCTTCTGTAACTTGACTGTTTTTCGCTGAAATTGTTTCCTCGTCAATGCATTCTTCTCTGCATCAGCGCTTACAGGATTGACTCTTACGTCTTTGGACTGTCGCTGGAGCAATCGCACCTCGTCTTGCTTTATTTGCGTTCAAGTTTCAGTTTCGGCCCCCAAATATCTGACCTACCTATATACGGCCTCTCCATCGTTTTGATACGTGCTAGACACGCTCTAGAGCAGGTGAGAAAGGTCTGGACTACGTTACCAAGATAGAAACATTGATCAATATGCGCCTGTGAGAATACTTTTCCAAGTAATAGAGTTGAGCCGCCAGAACTACACGCGATAAATATAGGCATCTCAGCGCGTTGCGAGACGCGTAGCGATACAATTAAGCGCTGCATCCACTACCTCGGAAGTTGCTTTGGCATTTCTGATGTGAGTCCAGACTTCCGCGCTGGTGTCTTGATGAGAAACCCGCGCCTCCAACACCTAATTGCACCGTTGGTGCTGATTGGCTTGCAAATTGGGACATTGTTTCGTATTCGGAGCATCGCTTCCTCGGCCGCTATGGCAGTTGGCCATCGTGATGCCTGTCAACACCATGGCGGAACCGTTCGCATAGCCTTCCTTGTACCTGCACTGCCTTATGGCGCAACACCATCAAACACAACCACGCCACGAACACCTTTCATCTCCTCAACGACCAATCCTGAGAGCTTTTTCTGCCAGCCCCCAAAGCAGCACTGCCCTGCGCTTCGTTGCAGCGTCCCCCTGGATTACTGTGGAGGTTGGGTTCGTGATGGACCGTGTTAGAGCGACACGTTGGCACTGGAATCAATTCTTTTGCGGGGAAACCAATTGAAGATCGATGAGTTGGCAATCCGGTGGTGAAAGGCCAACGAAGATCAATGCGCATGTTTCGAAACACAGACAGATGCCAAAGTGCTAAGAATTGGATTGACCGGTGAGGCTGCAATGCATGCAAGCTGCATGCACGAAGATGCGCCGGTGTCAAAACGAGTCGGTGAAGCTCCATTCTCGCCTGCACGCTTGCACCAAAGTGGGGTTTCAACGGCGAATTGCGAGGATGTTCCTCACATGATCGAGGCCAATACAGTGCTGGCGCAATTGTTGGCGATGAATGCCCACTTCTTCCGCTGTCAAAATGTCGCGAAATGACTTTTGTGGTGAGGCGTTGTGGGGCATTGGGCGCTGGATTATCGTGTACGGCAAGGAAAGGCCGGAGAAAGGCGTGATCTGGGGCCGCTCAACGTTGCGCACGCTCTCGCTTTGCCAGCATCCACGTCGCAATGCTCAAAGAAGGGTTATCGCAATATTGTCGCCACGTCCGAGTTGAGTTGCGCGCCGCAAAATGATTGCCTTTTCCTATCCAATACTCTGAAAATCGCGGATCTGCGAACAGACCAGGCGATAGACGATTTTTTTTGGGCGATCTTGGGCATCGTGAGGCTACGAATGCGGTCCCCGACTCAGGAAGGTTTCTGCCAGCCATGGTATCCTGGACTGTCAAGTTGACGTGTTCAGAGATCGGACGTGAACATGACGGTCGATCATCTTAGTGGTATGAGGCTCGATGTGGTGAGAGGAGCTGACGGCAATTCGATGCGGGGAGAATGAGAAAAGGTGGCCACGCCATGGGGCGGGCTCCTTCCAGTGTCGTGTCGTGGGGTGAGATGAGTTTTACCCCACATTCAACACCTGCATCTGTACCTGCGACGTGCGGCTCAGAACCAGCTGCATCTGCATCTGCACCTACATGTAGGAACAATCGTAAAAGTAAATTCTACGATTGATTCAATTCTCCACTGTCTACAAGCAAAACAAGTCAACCCCGCAAGAAGTTCAAACTCGCAAGTTTGGAGTTGCTCTAGGTCCTGCTGATCGACGTTATCTTGCCCCGCAGTCACACATCTCCTCTGGAGTAGTGACCGGTTACTGAAAACGGTCACCGAGTAACAGTTGGATGAAGAAAACGTACACTCGAGCTAGCCAATTACGGCGTCAACTCTGCTCTACAACTCGCATCATTCGACTGATGGAAACGTAATACCAAGACATAGCGTGAAGGAGGTATTGTCCGGACGGCGTCTCATCCCGACGCGTGCTGGGGAGCTATCGGTTACTCCAGACAACAAGCTGGCTCGCTAGATGCTCTACTGTACCTACCTATTAGACATCAAGCGCGTGAACGACAGTGTTTGTGATAAGGACTTCCCCAGTGCAGTAAACACATGGCGCTAGCTCCTGCAGTATCTCCTACCTTGTAGTTATTATCGTCATGCCTTGTATGGACAGTTCTCGCGAAGACTGATGCCCGGTTTTTTGACTAGCCAAGGAAGCAGCAGCACCGATGATGCAAGTCTAAGATAAGGGTCTTACCTTGTCCTCGTATTCGGCAATCTATTTTCCTGGCACATGAGCCTTATGGTCGCGAGAACAACGTCGCGCATGAGTGGTGGGTGTCGCACGCCACAAATCAGAAATGCATTAGAGGTTGTGTGTGTGTGAGTGTTTCACATCTAGGTCGAGGCAGGCCGCCTATCGCTGGTTCTGCGTGCAAAACTGGAGCTGCTGCAGTAATTTGTGGCGTGAGGAAATGCATGTCTTGAAATTACGTGTGCATGCTGTTGAGGGTGTGTGCAAAGAGTGGACCTATGTTATTTTGGTGTGTTCTAAGAATGCAGTGGCAACGGAGGGTCACGGATGAGACGGTTCATGATGGCACGTAATGTAGAGCTTAATGTTTTCATATTCGACGAGACATCCTAGCTAGTTCCCTCACTCGACGTCATACCATTAAAGTCCCTAGGACTCTCATTGTCCGCCCTCAACACCACGTAGGTGGAGGCACCCCCTGCGACTATCCCTGACTCCATGTTCAAGGATCATACATGTGTCTCTTCTGACCTAGACTCCGTGCGACAAAGCAAGATTGTTCCAGAAGGATAACAAACAAAGACAATGGTGCAGCTGTTCATGATGTGCGGCGAAGGCGACCGGCCGATGTGGAGCTTTTTCAGCATCCACAGACGGGGGCAATGCGTAACGGCTAGACGTGCGTAGTCGATGGCGTAACAACGTCTCGTTGAAAGTTTTGTAGAGGCAAATCCAAAGTGCGCAATGGTGTGTTCATTCATCGGTAGTAGCCGGCAAGACGGTGTTCGCGCAGGTCATGTTGAGTGGGCTCCCTGACCTCCACACTGTAACGCTTTGCGTTGCGTCGTTGCTTAGCCAAGTCCTCCTCATAGAGCGAGCCCCGCTTTGCGTTCATAGAGTTGGTGATCTCTGCGAGTGCCCTGGGCTTGGGCTGAGTCTTTGGCTTCTCTGGCCAATCGACGATCTCGCCTGATCGTGGTCGTGATGATGTCTTGGTTCTTGGCTCTTGCTCGACCTTGACGGATCGCGATCGCGAGGGGAGAGTTGGGGCACGAGGGGCGACGTAGTAGCTGCGGTCCATAGAGACAAATGGCTTGCGTGTTCGGTGGCGTAGGCTGCGTTCGATAGCCTTCAACAGTCCACTGACTTCGACGTAGCCGGCTGGAACCTCTACTCGGATGAGCTTGCTGCCTTCCTCGATGGTGGAGTATGTTGCTCCGTCAGACTTGTTGTAGATGTACTTGGCGACCTCTTGAGCAAGTCGGTGACCGGCGTCGCACAGCTGCTCACGGTTGCGGTGAACCTCGTACGGGTCGTGGCAGTAGACGCACTTGCTAGCGTGCATCTCGAAGTCGTGGGCTGCCCAGGACTCGGTTGTGTTGACTGGACGTGAGATGGAGGCCACGGGATCCTTGGGGAAGAACACTCCCCCCTTCTTGGGGCTGGAGGGCTTCGACTGGATGACGGTCGGCATGTAGTTTGCGCGGAAGGAAGGCATCTTGGTGGTGGTGGAGTTCTTCAGGATTGACCTTGGTGCCGTGGTGACGTTATTGGCAGGTAGATATGGAATCGTAGTAAATCGAGTCACCCCTACCTAGGAGTGACTTGTGACTGAATGTGGTAGTGCCGGTGAGTGTTGTATGTGATATCGAGTGCGGATTCGAATTGCTTTAGGCGCTTGGGTGTGGATGGTTGAGATACAAAAGTTCTGGAGGGAACCGGATGAGAGCGATATATATGTCTTGGAGCTTGAGAGGCCGCAGCCTGCATAGCTGCATGGATGCCTGCCCGGACATGCTAGCAGGGGTCTGCGCCTTACAATGGGGCTAAGATATAGCGAGGGCGGTCAAACCCCACCCACCATGACGACAGCTAGAAACGCGTTTGACATGCCTGTAAGTCTGGGAGCCGTTGGCGCTGTCACCAAAGGGCGCTATTCTGAGTAACGGAGCCCCGTCCAGCCTGACTTCTGGAACAAAGAGGACGCGACAGTTCGAGGAGTGTGCCAGCAGCCGCCATCGCTCGACTCCTGAGCGCGTGCTGCACGCATGTTCGACCGGGATGGGCTTATCCAACAAGGCAGGTCATTTTCCAGGACCGTAGAAATATGATTCGGTCGCTTCGCCCCGGATGGCGTCGTGTTTGCAGGTCTTGGATGGTGTTGAGGGTGTGAGCGTGATCGTTGCCTGGAGTTGCAAGGCATCAGCCACGCCCAATGTGACTAGACTGTTTCTCTCCCCCACCTCCAGTCTCTCATCTCACCGCTGACACAAATTTGCACATAGCCACACCTTCTGCACTCTCCCTGCAACCATGATCATCGCGCAGTGGCTGTTAATTGTTGAGTGACACCTGCTTCCAACATGTCCCACTGAATGAGGTCGCGCTTCTCGACATGACCCTCCAGCTGATCTCGTTCTTCACTCAGGACGGTGCCCCACCTAGGTACTGCGCCCTTTGCATCAGCACGCGCTGAGTTCTGGCGAGTTTGAGCGCCTTTCAAAGACTCATCGACACCCTGTTGATCGAGTTCGGCGGGCCGTAGTGGCCCGCATACGCCAGCCCGCTATCGCTTGGTGCGTCTAGGATAGCCAACCTTCTCTTGTCTGACCGGAAAATGAGGCCTTGTCATTCGTCGACTAGACGATGGCTCCAAACATCTTGGTCATTGGCACAATCGTTCGCAATCCCGCCAAGCTGACGATGGCCGTCCAAATCCTGTTATCTCCCATAAACTGCAATGCATACTTTACGAGAACCCGGCCAGGCTCACCTGAAACGATCACATTGTCGTCTGTTCCTGCTGCGGAACGCCAGTTTCGATACTGATGAGTCAAAGCAGCGCAGTACATGGTATGCCTCTTAGTGCAAAGGTATGACTCCAGCCTTAACAAAGCCATCGACCCGCCCCGCATACCCGTACAAGAGCTTCACCTGCTCTTCGTCCAAACCTCGCCACTCCAAGAGCAGGTGACCCATCATCCATCTCGGTCTATGAATTCACCCTACCTAGCGTGGTTCGGCAGGTACAAGCCACGACCTGGTAACTGCGAACAAGCCGATCAGCCGTAGCGTAGCTCCAGGATATCATGCGGCTAGCCAGACCATAGACGGTCCTGGCGTTGATTGGTCTTTTCCGAGATTTATAGTTCGTCATTGTAACTTCCTCCAAGCCTTGGACGCCTCTGATGTTCAAGTACTTGCTTCTGTTTCTGCACACGTAGAAGATAAGGAGAGGACGCAAAATCTACTGACCAGCTCCAGAAGGTTCTGTTTCTTACACGTCGTACGAAACCATTTCAATTGTTGAAGTGCATTTATATGCTCTACACAGTGCAGATTTTACGAGTCAATGAGTCACTCTTTGCACGTTCAATATCAACTATGCCCGTCAAGTTGCCATTGGCCAGGTATTTTCGGAGCCGTTTCCCGATGACGTTCTTTCTTGGTCAACATAATCAGCAACACGGAACCCTATTTCTCAGATATACGGATACAAATTTGCCGTTTTCCGAACTCTGTCTCTAAATCCCAGACGTTGGAAGTATCAATAGGTGCACCAGTGTCTTGAAGCTCGCCATCGCTACAGCAGTATAGAATGCCTGTATCTTTTCCTGATACAGTGTCTGGCCTGAAAACGTGTCAACGTGAATTTACGGCGGAAAGATGGCCCATATAGGCTCCTACAACATGGTATATATTTACCCAGAACGATCTTTTCTGCCCCCCTGAAGTACGTTTTCTTACTTGTCTCACTTTCTTTGACCAAATTTCTGGGAAACAGGACTGACGCATTTGATGCATAATTCGCAGAGTCGATCATTTTACAAACCATATGGCGCGATTGTTTTCATAGTGTTCAGAATACATGTCGCTCATGCAAGATTATGGTTTGCCAAGTTCATTTTCCCCTCTACTGGTCACTTCGTTGGGGATTATGGATTGTGGACGACACCAGAGAACCACAAAAGCCCCAGAAGATGAAACAGCCGGCCTGTCGTGTTCATCGGTGAGCTGAGAATTTCGTGGGCGCGAGATCGTCCTCGTCGCGTACCTCGAGGTCGTGAAGCTCACGTAATCAGCTGGGAGAATGGATGGTACCAGTGACCGCTTCTTCTCTCATCACATAGAGAATCGGGAATGAGATACCCGGAATGTTTGTAAATCTTGACTTTGTTTTGTGAATTCGGGCCGGGCTCTACCAAACTACTCCGCAGCATTCCGCAGCCAACGCCCAGGAACAGACCTCTGTACGCGACCATGGAACCGAATCTAACGACGGTGTAGACAGCGCTTTGTTGGCGTCACGTTTCTTTACACGTAGGCATTGCGTATGAGACTAGTAGCCGTAAATGCGCAATTTGGCCGACTCAGAAAGATACACGCATCTGTAAATTTGCACAAGTGATGCTGACCAGTAGATGCGTGTGGTCATTGCGTCGAGACAAAGGAGAAGTCGGTCGGCGTCATGCGTTGGCCTTCCTCATTCGTTCTCGCTCGTTGCGTTGAGCTCCTGTCGTCTCTAACATTACAGCTCCTTCAAGATCTACGATCCTCTCGATGCCTTTCATCTCGTCGGCCAAGACACCTCCTTCCACCGATGCGTTGATACACCTGACATCGCGTTCTATGCACAGGTCAGCCCCTAACTGGATGCATGGCTAGCTCGGAACCGTGCCCCTGCAGCTGTACGAACCACACACCGCTCCCTCACCGAAACTTACATGCGACCAACGGAACACATTCTTTCATAAATTCTCGATTTCCTTCCAATTCTTGTAGTTTCATATAGCACCTGCACTCCTTTTCAAGTTCTACCTTCATTTTATATCAATAGCGAAATGCCACCCCGAAGCGTGTGTTTGAATGTGTTCACGACGAGTCTTGGCGATGCGAACGCGGCGGTGAGAGATGATGGAACGTCCGCGTTCAATAATGGAGGTTTTGGTAGCTCAGGCCTAGAGAGGAGAGATAGTGCGCAGAGTGGTGGGTGATTTCCAAGTTTCGCGACATGTTCAAATTATTTTGAGACTGTCGTCGCGTTGATGATGCATGCTAATATGGATTCCAGACAACACTCAAAGATCCCCATCCAGCTCCGCCTCACCGCCACCAACGTCAACGTCAACATCATCATTTCCTGCCGTTCACAGGCCCGAACTCTTCTCATCGCTCAGACATACGGCTAGCACTGAGAGTTTTAGTTTTTCTCTCGCTTCTAAACGTACGTTATGCACCTTTCCTGCAGGAACCCTTAGCGCTATGCACCTTGCGCAAATCCTCCGCAACCCCTTACACCCCTTGCCCTTGCATCCGCCTTGTACCTGTGTGATATGTTTACTACATGTTGCATGGTTCGTTCTTCATACTGACTTACCATAGCATGCTCCACATGCTCAGGTGGGCCCGCGAAACTTCGCTGCTCTCGCTGCAAGGCTGCATTTTACTGCGACAAGGCGTGCCAGAAGTCGGCGTGGAAAGCTCATCGAACGGTGTGCGAACCTGCTTCTCAGTCTCAGGGTTACTCTGCTCCGGCAACGCCCAACTTTTCTACCCCGACCAGCCCCGTCAGCGAGTCTTGAAGAGTAAGGGATAGACTGGGCCGAATATGCAGAGTCGCATCAGATCGGAACGTAATGCTTGTATATTTTTGCGATGCAGGATGAGAGAGAAGGAGAGGAATGAAACAAAAGCAAGGCTTTAACGACTTTTAACGACTAAATGGGCATTTCAGGTGTTGGCGTTCATGGGACTCGAGCCTTTTTCTAGAACGACGAAGCATTCAATTGCTAAGATAGATCAATTCATTTTTATCGCACTCACAATATCAACTCACAGCTTGGTTGTATGGTGATCTGCACGAATGTGTCCAAGATAGTGGTTTTGTCGTCGCAGTGTATGTATGATATACCGTTTCTACAGACGGAAACACTGACAGCTTCTGGAACAAGTCTGGAAACAAATAGTTACCGAGAAAGCCTTGTCGTACATCAAACCAAACACTTGTCTAGCCCCAACTGGCTAGAATTACTCTTACTACTGCAGCCCTGTTCGTAACGGCATTAAACCCTGTTACGTTAAAAAGATACTGCGCCACTTGTAACTGCATTGGAAACGTCGATGTGGAGCCACCGAATTAGCTGGGCCTGTACACCAATCAGCTGCGGTATAGGGGGATGGAGAGGTACCACATGTTGTAAAGGCTGGGAAGGTTGGTGGACGGAATGTGTTGGTATGTGGTGAAGAGTTGGGATTAGGTGCAAGAAATGGAGCAGGAAGTTTGAAAGGGCTCATTCAATAGCGCTTTAGAAGAGACAGGAATGAGGAAGGAATATATTGCAGAGTAAAAAGCCTAAAATCCGGGATATCAATCGAACGAACGCTCCAGAAGATTATGTGTCTATACGATTGAACCGTCTTTGGCCATCCCATCTACCTCGATACTGCTCCTCAGCCCACCCTCGGCATCAAGCAGCGGAGTATACCCATTCTCCTGCCCCGTCCCCAACTTAATACTGCCAAACGAGAGCGATCTATTCTGGCACTGCGGGCAGGACGCCGGATAAGTCATCCCCAAGAGCATCGCATCCCTGAGCTGCATGCCAACAAAGTACAAATGGATAAGACTACACAAATCAGCAGAGCACACCAGACCCATACACACATGGAAAAACTCACAAATTGCAGATCAAAAAGTTCGTCCCGTACGTCCCTAGCATAAGCTCCGTCTTCTTATTGCAGCGTCCTCTTCCCATCAGCACCCAATCCAATATCAAGCATACGAGCAGCCATGCTCCGAGAATCAAGTCGGCTACTAGGTGGATCGGCGTTCCTGTTAGCCCGCTGGCCTGGCATCCGCACTTCCGTTCGTTGGCGAGGAGCAGGGCGGAGAAGGCGGAGGAGAAGAAGAGAGGTAGGATGCCGATGGCCGGATTTGCAGTATGGCAAGCGACGCCTTGGATGAATAAGAAGAGGAATCCTAGGGGGAATGTTGCGAGGGAGATGGCGCGCAGGGCGTGGAAAGTTGATTTGCGGAAGATGGTGAGATTGAGCATGGGGCCGGCCATGATGGTTTACTCTACAAAAAGGCGGTGCGTGTTGGATCGCGAATGGAACCTTAATACCGAGTTTGGGGATGGTGAACAGATAGTTGCGAGTGCGATGTAACGATGAGAAGTGTGACATTGCTAGGGATATTTATCCGTCGCTAGGCAGCAACATACCTCTCAGGCCACCAAATCAGCCTTACTGCAGGCTAACTCCACGTCTCCCCACCCCGGTTGATACTGCCATTCGTATAGTGCACTTTCGTCGTTTTTGGTTTTCTTTGGAGGCTACTTGTGGGGCTCATTAGAGATCTGCGGGTGGCCTTGAGGCGGTGCATGCGCAGCACTGCAGTCAGGACCAACAAACAAGGTTGAACTTCGAAAAAAGCATGACCTGAGCAAGAGTTCGAGCAACCTGATCCCCGGTTGAAAGAAAATACTCTAGTAAACAATCTACAGTCCGCGTGTTCTTTTCCGGGATAATCCAAGGTAGGTTCAACGAAATTATCAACAAGCCATGTTCCATCAGTGTTTCGAAAGTGGATGAAGAAAATGACAACGGAAAAGCCAGAAAAAAGAGATTCGCCCATTTTCGAAGTACTAACTAACGTCCTCGCTTCCACCGTTACTATCAAGTCTTTAGACTTCCTTCCACCCACAAACCATCAATTATAATCGCCGCATCGAAATCCGAAGCAAAAGACCAAACTCAGCATAAACCTGCGCCTTCGTCGACAGAATCAGCTGTTAGAATAGTGAATCAGGAAACTGTAAAAACGACGACTCGTCTGACCCCACTCGCGGCTGCATTGAGACAGATCGAGCACAGCCACAAGGAGAAAAACGTGAATGATGGAAATGAGCATGTAGGTAAAGGGTGTGTTGCGAGTAGAAATAGGATGACTTGCTGTATCCATTCGCCACGAAAGTAGAAATAAGTCGAGCTGGGTAAGGAACGTGTTGGCCGTTTTTGAAGGAATGGCATGTAGCTTATTTCGAGTTTCGGTTGATGGATATAAGATATTGTTCGTTTGGGGATTGTGGATTGTTCCAAGGTATGACAAAGTCTCTACGACGTATTGCTTTTGGTACGTTCGGATTTCGGCGCGCTTGTACTAGACATGCATGGGACAGCCCAGCCATGGAACGTAAAACTCTCTTTGTGTGTGTAGGGACGGTAACGATTTCAAAATCGACGAGAACGCACAGAGCAAACCCCCAAAAACACACATTTCATCTTTCCCAACCGCTTCTTTAAAACCCTCACACATTCCCTCTCTCCCCCCCGTAAAACCTCATACCCTCAAACCCCTACTCCTCCCCCACCCACCCATCCCCAACCCCCCTCATCCACTGTACCCCCACAACCCTCAACCCATGCCTCCCCACAAACTCCCCAACCTTAAAACTCCTCCGATCCACAAACTCCTCGCCCCCCACATCACTCTTCTCCAACTTAAACCCCTCCGGCTCCTCAAAAAGTAGGAACAAGTACCGATGCGGCCCAGACTCATCCTTCGGCCCCGGCGCCAGATACTGCGTCAACGTAGTCCCGCTCTGCGTCGCGTCAGCGTGCGTCCCGGGCACGATGTGCGACACGACCCAATGGCGCCAGTATGCGAACTTTGGGTCCGCGGGTGTGGGCGCATCGGGGTCGATGAGCATAAATGTGTAGGCTTGAGAAGGGGCTGGGGGTGTGGAGAGGGAGATGGAGAGGGTGGGTTGTTGTTTGACTTCGCTGACGCGGACTAATGTGCCGTTTTCGATATTTTTCGAAGGGAATGCTATGCTGAGGGTTGCTGAGGGGGAGAAGTCTGCTGGGAAGACGGGGGAGGGGAGTAGGTCCGCCGTTTTCAGCGAGTCGACAAGAGCGTTCAAGGCCATTTTTTGTCGTAAGAATTTTGTAATGGCGATTGTGGGTGTTGTGGAGTTTGAAGAGTTGGTTCAATGCTGGAATTATGAGAGTTTGGAATAGTTTTGTATTTATTTCGAATCTTGTGTGTGATTGGTGGATAAATCACACCTTGTGTCTTTGCGAATGCACAAGATCTTGGCTATGTGTGGAGGTGGATCTGCCTTGTCTGGGCACATGGGTTTCGGTCGAGCTGTCTGCGAGATGTGGGTTCAGTCGTAGTTGTAGGAATCTATCTGGAACCACCTTCGCAATGGACGGTAGATGCGATTGAGACATTCATTAGATCTGCTGGGAATAGACCTTGTTAGATAAAAGTTTCTACCACGTTGGTAGTCTTCTGTCACGACAGCCATATCGTCAACCATGTTTTACCTTTACTCCTTGTTAGAACCTTTAAAGACCCAAATTTGAGACCCACCCCCGCCGTCACAAAAGTCGAACGATCCTTGCTCGGTCAGGGAACAAAGATCAAAGAAGTGCAATCGGAAATCTCAAAAATTGAAGAGAGCGCAGGAGATGAAGAGATCCAGAGACTAGGTGATAAGGTCGCTTAGTAATCAACCTCAAACTAAAACATAGATTCTTCTCTTTTGGACATCCCTCAAAATAGGTCTCAGAGCTATTTCCATAATGATTCTCAGAACAGTTCTCAATATCACTTCCACCATTACCCTCACAACCACCATCCTCACTCACCCCCAGTAAAAAACGCACACTTTCTCCACCCATACAAACTATCCCTTCCAGTCTCTCATCTCTCAACCTTGCCCCCCTTTCTCATTTTCACCTCCTCAAATCTGCTTCTCACCTTGCTCCACAATCTCTTCTCAGCGCTCTTCCCTACCTCAAAACCTCTCGACGCGCATTCTACCCGCACGCACGCCTTCGTTTCCCCCAACATCGTCTGTCACTCGTCCACCCAAGACGCTCTAACAGTGCGGCTAAAAAAGTCCCCTATCCATCTCCTCGCCATCACCCTCCACCTGGACAATACCGAGCCTCCCATCACCCCTCATGAAGGATGACTATTCTGCTTCCGCTGAACCGCGACATCTTAGGCTAGTTCCATCTCATATTACATATCTCTACGCGTAACTTATGCTTGGGTAATGTATCACCACGTCCCTTATCCCTGGATAGCCTAAGCGCGTGTCCGTCTATCCATCTATCCCAACACAAGGTTGATATAGCAACGACACGACACGACTCAACACTCGTATATTTATAGTAGGGGTAAGAACAAGCAGGGAACACATAAAACATGCCATTCAAAGTGACGAGAAGCAACACAAACACACCCAGAGTGATGAAATTCCGCTCCGATATAAAAACGCCATGCGTACAACCCCCCATCTACCCAGCCCGAAACGACTCTCAATCTAAACACCATCTCGTAACACCATGAAGAAGAAAGAAAACCATCAAGTCATCCCAACGTGTAAAATCGTCGTAAGAAAAAAAAACGCCACCCTGATGCAATCTACCCCCACCCCCAACAAACTACCCCACACCGTAAACCCAAATCATGACCACTCAAAGATTCCCAATAACCACCATAAACCTCAACTTCCCATCCCCCTTCTTCACCGGCACCCCGCCCGCCCCCCCAATCGCCTCATCCGCACTCCCACTAATCGCCACCTCATCCAGCATCAACGTACTACTCTTCCATCCCCAGCTCTGGCTAAAATTAAACCGATCAGGCGCGCTCTCATAAATACTCAGCATCCTGCCTCCCTTGGAGGGGCTGTAGATTTTAAAGTACGTTTTGATCGTCGGTCTGCCGTCGACATACGGTGGAAGAGCGGGGATAGCGAGGCGGGATTTGCGTTGCGCGGTTGTAGTGAGGGAGGGGTTTGGGTAGATGGCATGTAGCTCGTCGTCGTCGTCGTCCGAGGAGATGTAGTCGTGGTCGGAGGGGGAGTAGACGTCTGCCGGGAAGCCGGGGGAGTCGATGTTTTCCCCGTGTGTGGGGGGCGATGAGCCGAGGGGCTGGAATTGGAAGCGGGGCAGGTTGCGTGTGGTGGTGATGTGGGGGAGTGTTGTGCTGCGGCGGCGACCTGTGCTGTCGGTGGAGAAGCGGGGGTTGCGGTTTGCGGAGACGAGGGTCGAGTCTGGGTCGCCGCCGCTGCCGCTGGTGTCTTCTTCGGCGGTTTGGTCGTTGAAGGGTTCGCGCGTGCTGCGGCGGCGCTCGCGTCGATCGCTGCGCATGAGCATTTCCCGCTCTAGCTGGCCTATGCGCGCATCCACTGACCCGTCGTTCGGCTGAGTGGCACTGATGTTGGCAGCCTCGGTTGACTCTTCTTTAGCTCGATGGAGATAGACACCCAGTTGGACGTTCTTGGCTGAGCGAACCTTCTGGATGTAGATGTTCCAGAGAGATCCAGCGTACGAGACAGTCCGCGAGTAGACGCGCTTTTTCTCCTTGAGAAAGCGCGGGTTCGGAAACTCTGCAGCGAAGCGGAAAGGAGGGAACTCGGTATATGCGATGGGCTTCGGCTGTCCAGCGTTGCTACCGCCAGCTGAGATGGGACGGAAGGTGTTGTCCATGCGCGTGTTGGGATGAGCCATGTTAGAAGGGGTAGATGCAAAGTCAGTAGCCCATTGAGCATCCTCTGGCTGCATAGACGCAGAAAGGCGGGTCGCATGGCGCTGGAAGGTACTGGATGTGGTGACGACAGGATCTACCCCATTCCCGAGGACGATGTTGCAATCTGAGCTCGGTATCCAGAACTTGCGGGGCTTGCCGTTCCCATCCCAGCTCTCCGACTCGACCTCGGACTCTACAGGTGCGATTTCAACCGCTTTCTGCTTACCCTTGACCACAACCTCCCCCTCAGTTTTGGTGCCTGCGTTGGCCGTCTCGGGCTCGGGTGGGGCTTGGCAGAGACCCAACTCTTGCGACGACTCGTCTACATTGAGGACTATTTGACGAAGAGATAATTGCTGCCAGAGCGCGTTTGAGATGACCCTCTCCGGCATGACGGGTAGACCAAAGACATCACGAGCGGTCTTGATGTAGCCGAGCTGTTCGTACTCCATGTGGATGTAGTGGATGCCTTCGTCGAGGAGGACCAGGATGCGTTCAATGTCGGGACTGGTGTAAAGAGCGAGCCAGTCGCCTTGTACATCGGTTGAAGATTGTGACATGGTTAGGGAGTTTTGCCGATAGACACCGTCAAAGCGGACAGCCATCAAACGCATTGACTGCGGCGCCTGAGGAATGGGCCGTTGTCCGCGCTGAATCAACCCCGCCTCGATAGCAGCCTGTCGTAATCGGCGGTCGAGCAGACGCTTGGTCAAAACCCATCTGTCCCACTCGCTGTCGACAAAGAAGCCGTCCGACCCGACAAGCTCGCGAATGATATCTCCAGGCATATCGTCCCAGTACTTCAGCGGCATCTCCCAGCCGTTCCTGCTGAGCATGGCCTTGGCTGACTCGAGGATGCGGTCACCTGATCGTCCGTAGTAGTTGGTGGTGACTAAGCGGATGAGGTAGGCGAGGGTGTCTGGGGCCATCTGACGGAGGATAGACTCGATGGCCGAGTCGATGAGGTCCTGCATTTCCAGCCAGCATCCTGTAGCAAAGAGGCCCACAGCCTCGACGTCCGAGTCCTTTGAGATCTCGACGCCGTACAGCTTCCTGATGGCCAGCTCAAAGGCAGCCTGGGTTATGCTGGGATCGATGCGTTCGGGGTACAGGCTGACCTCCTTGGCCTGGCTCTCGATCCATGGCTCTGATAGGGCGGTGGTGAAGAAGGGCGCACGGTCGAGGATGAGACGATGCAGGTTGTAGCGCTGGCCAAAGGCAACGACGGTGATGTCTGAGTGACGTCCCTGAAGCAAGCCACGGGTGTACAGGTGATCGGGCAGGGGTATGGCTTCGTTAGAGGCTGCACCACGTCAGTACGTCACGTCACATGAGCAATGCGTGGCACACGAGGGATGTACCTCGCAGGTATAACGGGCCGGTGGCGTTGTTATACGAGGGAGCGCGCGAGTTGGCCATGGTGGTCTCGCCAAACAAGCGGCTGAGGGTGGTGAGAGTCGCGTGCTCGTTACCGACCAGATCATGTGTGGTGCGCTTCCTGCTCTTGTTCTCGAGGGGCGTCGAGGGATCGTCACCGCTCTTTTGGGCGCGCGGAATCTGCGTGTGCAGCTGGACGATGGGCGGATGCTCGTCCGAGACCTTGAGGCGTGCGGTGCGCTTCGTCATGTTGGCAAGGGCGGGCAGCATGTGGGCGGCGCTGCTCGCATCGTTTGGGGGAGTCTCTTCATGGTGGACTTCTGCGGGCACGTTGGGCGAGAAGAGGCTGACACGAGGGGCGGTAGAAGCAGAAGCAGAGGCAGAGGCAGAGGTTGGGCTGTCAACAGCGTCGAGGGCGTCAAAGGACCAAGTCTCGACCAGCGCTGGCTCGTTTCCAATCTGCACAAAGTCTTCGCGGTCCTGGTCCTGGGCGGCGTGAGGGTCGTGCGTGTCCATGCTAGCGAGTACACGCGCGGTACATGGGCGCGGGCAGTGGGGTGCGGATTTCAGACAGGCTCGAGCAGGGTGGGATGCAGACCGTGTCAAGCAGGGCGGGATGGCAGACAAACTCGGGACGGGCAGCGGTTACGTGTGCAGAGGGCAGAGAATATAAGAGAGCACACGACCGGCGGCAGGCTCAACCCTGGGCGCGGTCATGCTGCACCGCTGGCAGACGGTGTGTGATGTACGGCAGAGGGCCGTGATCATCGCTTGTCATGGGTCAAGCCTCGTCGACTGCGGGTCCAGCCGTGACATATGTGGGAGATTGGGCGGGCTAGATATCCGCGGGATACCAGGAGGGCAAGATATTGGGAGGGCAAGATATCCGTGGGATATTACGAGGGCTGAACATTGGGAGAGTTATATATTTGTGAGAAAGTACGAGGGCTAGGTATCCGTGGGATACCAGGAGTGCTAGATATCAGCAGGATACCGGGAGTGTTAGGTATCCCACGGATACCACGAGTGCTAGAAATTACAAAATCATGAGTGCTAGATATCCGCAGGATACCAGGAATGTTAGGTATCCCACGAATACCAGGAGTGCTAGATATCTGTGGGATATCACGAAGGCCAGGCATCGGCAGGATACTACAAGGCCTAGGTATCCGTGGGATACTACAAGACCTAGATATCCGCAGGATACCAGAAGTGCTAGGTATCCGTGGGATACTACGAAGCCTACCGTAAAACTCTAGTTGTTTAACTTAAAGCTAGCAGGGAGGCTAGGTATGCTAAATAGACACTCTAATAAATACCCCTAAGTAGTGCTTAGGCTAATATTAAAATCTACTAAAAATTTTATTAGCTTAAGCCTCTAATATTTTCTCTATCTTATATATAGAAGACTCTTTTAACTTATTTAACTTTGTTATATTTAACTAGCTGTATTATAGTCCTTTTACCTAAATCTACTTATAAGTACGTTACCTTTAGTAATATTACTTTAAGTAACTTTAACTTTAATTATTCTTTTAATACCTATTAAGGCTATTATAACTAGTTAATTTAATTACTTCTTAATAAGAAGACTATATATAAAGTACCTAAGGTATTATCTAGAACTTATATAGTTTTATTAGTCTAATAGAAGATTAAGGTTATACTATACTTTATATACTATTAGTTTAAAAACTTACTTTTTTAAAATAGTTTTACCTAGAAGTAATAGTACCTAGATAGGCTTAAGTATAATAGTTATTATAGGCTTCTAAGGCTTAAGAATACTACTACCTACTTTAGAATTCTAGTATCTACTATAAAAAATATATAGCTTTACTAGTATAAGATAGTAGCGTTAAGCTATAACTATTAGGTTACTATATTAGGTACTAGCTATAAAAGATACTCTAAACTTAAGCTTAAATTATTTTAATAGTTTATTAAGTACTAATAGTTAGAATAAAAGGTTTTATAGTACTAGTTCTATTAGTAAGGAAAGATAATATTTAATATAATATATAGCTAAGAACTTAATAGTAATAGTAAAGTTAGTAATTATAATTATTATATATAGAAATAGAAATTAACTAACCTTTAGCAGCTTTTCTAATTCTTATTTTTAAATAGCTAATTTAAAAACTTCCTTTAGAAATAAGATATATCTTAGTAATAACTTACTTATACTAGCTAGTATCTTCTACTTTACTACCTTAAACTTATAAATTAATTCCTTTACTTTATTTACTAGATCTTAATAATCTAGATATCTTTTTACTATTTCTAGCGCTTCTAACTATCTAATATTATTAATATAAATAAAGTACTAATTTCTTTTAAGTTCTTTAATAGGTATACTTACTACTTTAAAGAAAAATATATAGTTAATAGAAATATTACTAACTCTAGCTAGGCTAAATAATAAGCTACTCTTATATTATATATATTTACTAATAGTATACTAAGACTTAAGCTAAAGCTTATCTTTTATAGTATAGCTAGTAGTAAGCTTAACTAGAAAAAGTAAGATAAATAAAACTTATATATTACTATTAAAGTTAATCTAAGTATATATAATAATAAGGAGCTCTTAGTTAAATAGTTAGATAAAGAACTATTTAATATATTATAAAAATATAAAAGCTTACTTATAATAGACTACGCTGCCTTCTATAAAATAAATATTATAAAGGTAAAACTCTAAAAGAAGTATATTTATCTAGTAATAATTCTAAGTAGATATACTAGACTACTTTAGTTCTTTAATATTAGTATAAATAAGTTTTTTAAGGTATTAATAAAAGAGAAGCTTAAGTTATTATTAAATAATAATACTTTAGAGTAAAATCTAATAAAATAAATAGTAATTTTAGTAAAGTAGATAGTAGTAATAAAGGCTATTACTAATACCTAGAATAACTTAAATAGTTAAAAAAGATAGCTTATTAAAGACTTTTTTATTTATACTAGTATTACTATTAACCTTACTAGTACTAATAACTACTTAATTAAAATTAAAGACTTTATTAATAAAGTAAACTTTACTAGTTAGGAGATCTTTAAGGACCTAATAAAAGACCTATATAAGATTAAAATTAAGAAGTATAATAATAATATTTTTACCTACTTACTAGTAGAAGATAAAGGTAAGATACTTACTTAGTAAAAAAAGAGTTATAGAGCTATATTAGTACTTAATTTAAAGTATATTATAATAAGTAGAAATATACCTAGAGGTAGTTAATTAAATAAAGCTTACTTTATAAAATAACTATTAGCTAAAAATACTAAAGAATAGATCTTATTAAATTCTATTATTATTAATAGTACTAAGAATTCTCTTAGCTTACCTAAATTAGTAGAGTAGAAAGAATAGAAAGTAAGGAAGAAGATAAAGTAGTAATTAAAGCTTAAAAAAGATTATAGTAATATTAAAATATTAAGATAGATATAAGTATTAAAGTTATAAAGTTATTTAGATTATTTTAATAGACTTTAAAGTTTAAAGTTCTTAAAGTTCTTAGTACTATACTAGTAACTTAGTATTACCTAATTAAGTAAAATATTGCTATAATTTAGTACTACTTATTATACTAGTAAAGAATTAGAAGGATTTTAAAGCCTACCTTATAGTATTTACTACTATTACTTATATTTACTTTTTAATACTAAGCTTTATAAATTTACTAGCTATATATATATTTTTTAAAATACTTAGCTAAAACTTAAAACTTATAAAATATAGCTCTAATTATAGGTATAACCTTAGTATTTAAATACTATATCTTACGTAGTACTAAGTAGCTAAGTAGCTTATATATACTACCTTACATAATAATTATTACGTTATATCTTAAAAACTAAAAAAATTAATATATATAGTTAATAACTCTAAATTTAAGCCTAAGATACGTATTTAGAGCCCTCTACTATAGTTATTAAGCTAGATTTAAAGCTATAGATAACAGTTTATATAGGTAGTAATACGTAATATAGTATTTAAGTATTTAGACTAGCTTCTAGCTCCTAAGTGCTCCTGCTAGCTTTAAGTCAAACAACTGGAGTTTTACGGTAGATATCCATGGGATATTACGAGGCCTAGGTATCCCACGGATACCAGGACCCACTTAAGTTGGCTGTCACAACGGTGACGCAGGGTCCGCCAAGTCCGCCCGCCTCGGAGCGTTTTCGTGCTTTCGCCGTTGGAGCAGCAGCAGCAGGGCAAGATTTGATGCACAGAGTCGGCCATGGCCTCGATATTCCGCTCTCTGCCCCAGCTGCGCACCGCTGCACCGCGACTCTCACGACGACTCTTCTCCTGCAGGCCATGCCTCCACCACTCGCCGATCCGCGCTGCCCTGCCCACGCCCCAGTCACAGTCACGGTGCGCTGTCCCGCGGCCCTCAGCCCTGCAATCAGTGCGATGGAACTCGACGCAGCCATTGAGGAGCAGCGCCACCCTCGAGGGGGTCAATACTGAGGGCGCCATCGTGCGCGACACGACCAATGCGAATAAGAGCGGGGCCAGGTCCAGCAGCTTCCCCAACACGTCGTCCAACACGGTGGCATACTGGCTGCTGGGGAGTGCTGCCAGCGTCTTTGGCATCGTCATTTTCGGCGGCTTAACGCGCCTGACAGAGTCGGGGTAGGCTTCACAACACACCCATTCACAGTGCGTAGTATACTGAACGAATTGGCTAGGCTGAGCATCACCGAATGGCGTCCCGTCACAGGCTCGCTGTGGCCCTCGAGCGAGGCTGCTTGGGACAGCGAGTTCACAAAGTACAAGTCGTCGCCCGAGTTTGTGCGCCTCAACTCGAGCATGACGCTCCCCGAGTTCAAGCAGATCTACTTCATGGAATGGGGCCACCGTCTGTGGGGTCGCGTCATTGGCATCACCTTCCTCGTCCCCACGGCCTACTTCATCGCCCGCCGCAGGGTGACGCCCTCGATGGCCTGGAAGCTCGTTGGCATCTGCGGCATGATTGGCTTCCAGGGCGTGATCGGCTGGTGGATGGTCAAGAGCGGGCTCAAGGATGACCTATTTGCTCCGGGCAGCCACCCTCGCGTCAGCCAATACCGTCTAACAGCCCATCTCGGCGCTGCTTTCACAGTCTACTGCTCCATGGTCCTAGCCGGCCTCTCCATCCTCAAAGAAAACCGCATGCTCGCCGACCCCGCCAAAGCCGCCGAAAACATCCGCGCCCTCCAACACCCCGCCCTACGCATCTTCCGCGGCTCCGTCGTCGGCCTCGCGCTCCTAGTCTTCACAACCGCCATGTCCGGCGCCCTCGTCGCCGGCCTCGACGCAGGCCTCATCTACAACGAATTCCCCTGGATGGGCCTCGGCCTCACCCCCCCTAGAAAGGAGCTCTTCGACCCCTTCTACAGCCACGTCCCCGACCACTCCGACCTCTGGTGGCGCAACATGCTCGAGAACCCGTCGCTCGTGCAGCTCGACCACCGCGCCCTGGCCACGACTACCTTCACAGCCGTTTTGTCGCTGTTCGCGTACTCCCGCTTCTCAAAGGGCGTCCGCACTACGCTGCCCAAGGACGCGAGTAAAGGTGTGCTCGGCATGGTTCATCTTGTCTCCCTGCAGGTCGCGCTGGGTATTAGTACGCTGGTTTATATGGTGCCTACGTGGTTGGCTGCTACGCATCAGGCTGGCGCGCTGGCCCTGCTTACGGGCTCGGTTGTGCTGTTTAGTAGGATTTCTCTGCCGAGACGCGCCATACTGAATCAGGTCTTGAAGCCAGTGGGTCATAGGACAAAGGCTACGCAGCATATTAGTTCGCGTCTTGAGGCTGCGAAGGGTGGGGAGAAGGGGGTGTAGAGGTTTTGGATGTTTAGAGTGTGTCGCGCGTTGTGTTTATGAGGCGTGGTTGGGGGTTAGAAATGTACATTATATTGTGAGGCTTTTATGGATTTGGGGTTTCCCCTCTTACTTGGGTTCTTTGGGCTGTTGATTGGTCGTCGTTAGGCTTGGGTACGCCCTTGCACGACTCGTGAGGTTCGAATGGGCTGCTTGACTTGACTTGATTTACTCGCCTGGTTGTGATGATTTACTTCATGTGTAAGGATATGGTAATATACGAGAGAGGAGGTGTACACATACATCGAGCACGAGCACGAGTATGGACACGGATATATACAATGAGACATCACTCAGGATATGAGCCCATGGAATGAAAGCCATGTGATCTGATGGAATTACTGGTCTAGATGAATACAGCGGTGTGTGTTGGGTTGGACTTCACACTACTACTGTTTTTGTTACTGTTACCGTTGTTGGTGCTGGTCCGGTGTTCAGTACATAATTAGTATATCTACGTTTAGTCTGTGTGCCTGGGTGGAAAGCCGGATATCGGTTTGTGTCTTTGGATTCGGGGGTGATGGAGTGCAGTGGACCCCGGCTCGTCCATGGGGAACAGGTGCGCTCGATATCACGTTCAAGGAACGCCTTGCCCTTGTTCTTTGCCGATAGTTTAGGGTATCAGCCTGTTGAGGTGGAGTCGAAGTTTACCAATCAACCACACACGTACCCTATGTTGTACCATCACTGTTACTAAGAACGCTGTTTATACACCCCCTCCGTTCCAGACCACACGTCTACGGGTTGGTAAAATAAAATCAATATCGAATATCCCTGATACTTTAGGAGATGTACGTCTCGCCAGAGATGGAGGGGGCAGGATTAGCACGTCGGTGCAGTGACGTGGTATAAGATCCACTTTCGACGACCCAGCACGACTCTCCAAGCACGTCTGATGCTGGTGCTGGGGGGCGTAGTCCAACCATCTGGATACTAGAGCACAGAACATGCAGTGTTGCGCAGCGGGCTGGGTATACCCATCCCGTCTACAATCTTGTAGGGGTGTACAGACGGGGGAGTTGTATTTCCACAAAGGGGGGAGAGTTCCGACGTCCCCACTTCTACCACTTGCATTATACATTCCGCTCTTGCTGAACGCCAGGAAGTATAGGAACTGGGATTTTTACACGAGGGGAGGGCGGAAGTATCATTTACCTGTCCAGTGGGCGTGTTGTGTAGGAGCGTAGACGCTAGATGTACACTTTCCAAGAATCCCGCCTCGCCTCGCTGTTTCGCTGTTTCCATCGCTACGCCGTCTTGTAGAATACACGGCATATAGGTAAGACGTCTTGCTACTGGAGCGGTGCAGGATTGCGTTCTACCCCTTGACTTCTTGTACGTTGTGCTCGTAGACTTTTGGTACGAAAGTAGTATTTTGTTGTGGGGTGGAGATTTGAGGGCAGGGGTAGAAGGGGAGGATGAGAGTGTAGTGGTTAGTGGTTAGTGGGAATAAGGAGGGGGGATAGTGGATGAGGATGTGGATGAGGATGAGGATGAGGATGTGGATTGCTGGAGGAGGTTTTGGTCAGGATACTTGCGAGCGCTTGTTTTTCGGCGGGGCAGAGTTGTGGAAAGGTGGAAGGGTTTGGAGCGGGAAATGACTGGTCGCTCGAAGGGAGGGAGGGTGTAGGGTAGAGATATGGCCATGTGCTATTATACTGATGCAGAAAGAGAAGCTGGGTGGAAGGCTTAGGCTTGTGTGAATGGCAAATTGGTTGTGGTTGATGGATGGTATATATGTCCTTCATGCAAATGACAAGTGAGAAGGAGAGGAAAGCATAAAAGAGTGCAGTTTCAAACTGTCACCTAGCCATAAATTCATAACGCATAAGCCATTATGGTTAATTTGCCTATACTCGAAACAACTTTTATCTTTGAGATCTTGGGATCAACATCTCTGACGAGATAAACGTCCTCGTTTGGCCTGTGTGTATCAGTGGTGGTATCCCTTTCAACAGCTGCAGACATGAAGTTTGTATGGGTGTTTCCTCAATATGTGTCTGGTGTCATGTTATTGTAATATCTAGGCACTTACCTTTCAGGTGCGAAGGTGTTCAATATGCACTTTTAGGGGATGGTGGTTATTTTTGTTGATCATCGGCGTATTGGTACTTGACATGTTTCCAGACTAACGCAACGGAGGAAGAGACTTCATATTCTAACGCTGAATAGTAGCCAGAGCCTGCATACTTGACGCAAGGTTGATGATAGCAAAAATGCGTAGCAGTAGTGAGAGAGAATTAAAGCTTATCAACACTCCCCTCACAACCAGCTGCACAATGTGCCCATGTAGGCACGCGTGTTCGAGACCCAAGCAGCCGTCGATTAAAGTTTGATTCTTCAAAATGAAAGTTAGTAATATGGTATTGGCGTACATCATGCTTGCTCATAATGGTAGGTTACCCACTGAGTGTTTCTGACATCTGCTAGATGGTGATTTGATAGTCAAATACGTCAGTGTCAATATAGTGCAAGGTCGAAGAATCACGTAGCTTGTATGGAAACCTTTGCCATGATTCATTCTATGTTGTGGGGTGGTAATGCTTCTAAGAATCGATAGAAGCCGCTCTTATGATGCATCTCGTTTGTCTGCAGATAATCTCGAATCCAGGCAGTTAATGAATACCTCGTAACTCCTATGGGAACCGCGTCCTCTAAACGTCGATTGAACTCTGTCACCTATCATATTCCTTCCTAAGCTTTCCAAGGATGTTCGCGTCTCTTGAACACATACCCCTCATTTATCAAGTCAAACTCTAACACCACACGTGCGGCAACCTGGTCACAAACGGCTCTGTTCAATTGCCAACCAAATCCTCCAGGAAGCAGGATTCCTTGAAAGTTTACAAAACTTTTGATTGCAGCAACCAACGCCCCCACTTTTGCATTAGGTATATCGGGGTGATAAAAAGTGTCGACAAAAGGATGCGTTCAACGACAGTTCAGGTATTACCATTCCCAAATCCCCTTGAACAACGCACGCAAGACAACTTCGCAAAAGATGTGCTCCCCAGGTATCGTGATGTGATGCTAGAACGACAGGTCCTCAGACCAGGACGATTTCCACGCTCGCTTAGGTATTGAGCTCGAGGCTAGTGACGCACGCTGCTGCAGCTCTCAACATAGTAAGCGGACTTTTTTCCGATGCGGATACCCTAACGGCTGTGAGGATTGGGAGAATTCCGCGTCACAACCGTGTCACTGGATCAATGAACATGTCCAAACCGCCAAAGTAGTTCACGGACGTAATTGTGTTCGACTTTCTCACATAGCACAGCAAATGTCGATGGAGGCGAGTATTCTTCGTTGAATCCCCTCTACGCCTATCGTGGCCTTTGCCGTGTCTTCCTTACCCCACTCTTCTGCTTCTAACCTCGAATACCTGTCTCCCATCCCATGTCGGCCCTTCTACCAGCAGTGACGGCAGTCACCGCTCATCTTCGGCACTGCTGCTTGGCTAGCACTTGCGAGTCGACATTCAATTTGTAAAGAAGCGGTATAACCATGTTTAGCTCGACACAGAGTCATGTCGGCTTGCTAGAATGCAGCACAAGTTCCAGGGGGTAACCGAGAACCCAGAAAAACTCCAATAGCATGCATCCGCGCCTCAGAGTCCAGGATCTCGGATCTACAATTCCCATGCTCAGTGTATAGACGGAGAAAGTGGAGAAAGCCTTTTCTTACCTCTGACACGGCAGAGAAGCGGCGTGCTGAGCATTCCATTATACATCACAATTGCACCCCTCGGTGTGCGTCATTGGAGGACACATTGTAGCAGCTACGCCAATGTTTACACTTGCAGAGTTTGTTGCACATATACGAACCCGACGTATCAGCCAAGCCGAGATCAACAAGCACAAGGCTACGTCTTTCCATCCACCTGTTCGTGTTCGAGCTGTGTGAGTAATCATGCTGCCGCATTTGTGCCGTTCACACCTCGCCCAAGCATGAACTCAAGGCATGAGTAAATGAAGTCTTTGCCGCAATTCGACCTGCACCAACCACATGCAATATCGATATTGGCTCGACAGAACTCTCGTGCACTCGGTAGCCGAATGAACCTCTGAAAGAAAGCCGGTTTATCAAGTAGTCCAGCTCCTCCGTTGTGCATATGCGGCTAGATGTTGGGTGCATGGGAGCGAGCCTTCCACTCTCGAACCAACGCTCTCCAGCCCATGCACATGCTTACACCGATGGACGGAGCGCGAGCAATCGAAGTAGTCAGCTTGAGACCCCGCCTTCCTTCCATTGCTTCTCCTAGGCAATTCGTAATCACCAAGTCTGCGTTGTCAATTTCCTCCACAATGCCCATCGTTCTTAGATGATTGAGCTCGGCATGTTCCCCCTGCCTAGAGTAGCTTTGTAGAATGGAGAATAGCTCTAGCTACCTCGTTGCACTCGTCCCAGCCCTTGCAAGACATCCAGATCTCGGCGTACATACGCCCCTCAACTGCTCCAGCCAACCAATTCACTCTGAGCGCGGGGACATGCATACAGCCAGGCCAGCCCGACGTAGACCCACCTCGAGCAGCGCCCACCAATACAACACTGCAACACCTCCCCGTCCACCACTCACCAGGCGAGGCCCGGCGACCGCATATCCGACCCCACACAAGCACAGCTTGAACTCGTCCCGGGATCGAAATTGCGTGCGACCTTGCCACCCTATCCTCCGCCGCCCATGTGCTTGCGCCTTACCCAGCATCGCTTTGATCTCACATGACGAGCAGTTGAAGCGGAGTGCCATGTACCAAAAATCAACGTCGAGCCATGATCAAAATCAAGGTCGACCACGATTTGAGGACCACAAGGCCGTTTTTTCGGTCATATTCGTTGCTAGAACAACGGATGATCACATTGGTAATTCATCGACACAGAAGGGCGTAAAAATCGGCATTGAGTCTATTCGCAGGGCTCTATTGGGGTGGCAGGAGAGGGTCGCAGCATGGCCGCAGTTTTGGTGTTTGTTTGGATGGCTGGCGTGGCTTTGTGCACCACGCGAGGCCGTTCTTGGCCAAACAGACAACAACAAAACCTCACCTTTGAAAAACTATGACAGAGGCTCACACACTCATCACCTCATTCTCGATGATCGATGCCTGTTGCCAATATCTCATACCTTGGGATCAACGTATCTGGTGACGAGAGATTCACTCAATCGCAGGGATTTCCTTCTTGTTGTGATGCAACAGGCTAAAGGAGAAACGGACGGACGCCCACTGCACTACCTCGTCAATGGACTGACAAATGTTGAGCTCATCGACACACTGTAGAACGCGAAGACCTAGCCCTAGCGAGAGAACCGGTGAAAGGATTTCAACAAGCGTCTGTCTTGCCATCTTGTGACGCGTTTCCTGCAAGTTGTGGCAGGCATTGCTCGTTGGAACTACGGTAATAGGTAGGCCAGCCAACAGATTTACTTTGGTAAAAGCCATGACTGATGGCGAGATGAAGGTTCGGGATATGCTCTCCTCATCGAGCAACCATACCGCGCTCGCCACGTCAGAGGATCTCCGATGGGGCATGATTTTGCCGGTCCTAGTGTATATCCGGGGGTCCAGATGATTGACTGAATATGCAACGGCGGGCCAGGTTCCGCATAAACTCCACGCCATCATGCTGCCTAAGGAAGACATGCCTGTCAGCGTGCATGTTCTAGCACGTCAACAATACGCTGGATGCGGGAAAGCCGAGCCGTTGAGTGGAGAGACTGATCAGCTGAATGAAAGGGTGCCGACGGTGCGATGCAACATGCATGCGGTAGCTACTTAGCGTGCCATTCATGTGGCAATATGGGATGACCGGAAGTGATATCCAAGACAGGCTGATGCAGCATGAGCAGATAAGGTGACTGGCCGGTGATGTCTCGAGCCTGTGAAGGAGGGGTCGGCAGATCCTGTGTTAGCCAAGATGACGGCTGGGTTGTCTAGTGCAGGCGAGACGAGATTGAAGAGGCATCGGTGAAGGTGGGTGACGCTACACACGTTGATTAGCTGGGCTCCAAGCGGATAGCTGGGGTCGACTCTGAGAAGATGATGAGCCGGGAATCGACCGGATGGGCCAAGAACACAGGGCGCTCTGGGAAACCAACAGACCGCGGAGTGTCCAACCAAATTGCTGATTTGGTGTACTGAATCATGATAGTCAATGCATCTTACAACATTTGACCAAGCTCAATTGTGTCGTACGCGGCGAGGACGACTACTCGAGAATGGCCCTAGTTCGCTCTCAGTTCCGAATCAATGACCGTCCCTCCGACAAAACGGCATTGGCCAATCGCTTGATGGTCTTGACAACGAACTCATGGAACGGACTGTTTCTCAGCATGCACTACACGGCACGTGACGATATCTCGCTTCACGAACCCTCAACATCAGACGGGACAGAACGCCCGGAAGGCTCGAAGTCAAATCATCCAGTTCCATAGGGATAAGCTGAGACACATGGAAAAGGAGCTTGCGGGATTTTTGGCTTGAACAGGAAGGGATTACGCGGTTCAGGAAGCCACGACGCAGTCGTCCGCTAGCAGATGTGATAACTTTCTGCACATGGAACGCCGGGGCAATCTAGGGTATCATTGCAGCCCGTCTCCGCAGTGCTTTAGCGTCAGAACGAGAGGGATCCGTTGATCGTAGCGATGTCGTTGGGCAGAGTCGGGTGGGGTACTACTGCGTCGAGTGAAGGATAGGCCGTGGCATCGACTCGTTGTCTGACGGTGTGACAGACCCAGAAACAATTCGGCTGTCGACGTCGGCGAGAATCTCTCCGTTTCGCAGCATAAATAGCGGTCATGTTGCCTCAGGAATGTTTTCATCAAGCTTCCTTCGATCAGACCTTCCAGTCAAAGACAAGAGCCTTCGATCTTCATCCATCTCTTCATACACCAAGCCCCTTGTGTGTCCTCTTCCTTCCATAAAGCCCTGTCCGACTCTTCTCGAGGACCTCTTCTCATCCAACCATCTTGTATGTTGTGTCGAGTGTCGAAGATGCTATGACCCCTGAACTGACCCATCTCAGTTACGAGTATACTGGTCCAATCAGCAAGGTCCAGTGTTTGAACGACGCACGACCAGGTACGTTGACGAAAGCTACCATCCAAACAGTCCAATGCAATGCTAACGTATGATCAGACGTCAGATATCCCAGCTCTTAACTCCTGAAACATGTGCTTCTTCGATCAACACCGCTTTGCGTGTGGCGATTGGAAGTGGGGCCACTTCCGACAGCACTGTGCCAAGGAGTACCGAATTGGCGAGACGTGCGGCATGAAACTCATCATGCAAACAGTTCCTACGGGAACCAAGTGCAAGCTGTGCGAGAAGATCGACACCAAGATGCGCCGCCGGGCCGCCGAGGTCGACCGTATTAACCGATGGCAGCGCGAAGGGAACAAGTTCCGTGCTTCGATTGACAAATCGATGGAACTGATTCGAGGTCTGGACAGCGAAATTTACGAGCTCGGCTGCGAGCGCAATCGAAGACTCCAACAGATTGGTACTCATTGAATCCTGGTGGTCATGGTGCGGGCGTCGGGGAGTCGGTTTCATGTGCAACGTTTCGGAATTGTTTTCGTGTTGGATCCAGTCATTGTCGGAGTATGGGGTCCAAGTGACCCAGAAAAAACTGATATTGAGCGGCTGATGACGGATGGGAAATGGCAGGGCGTTACCTCTTACGATCGCTTCTTTTCTATACCATTACACCTTAACGAATTTGATGAAATGAACAAATTAAACCTTCATGATTGGCCACTTTTTGAGGAATGGTGATGGTAGCCGCTGTCCCACGGGATGGGGCTGAAGCTGTCCAATCCGTGAGTGTCGCGTAGCCACAAATAGAAGTGGAGAGTTGATCGCGCACGGCCCTGCGACAGCGAAACGGCGCCTCTCCTGTTGCTTTCGAGGAGCTAGACAAGACACGGAGTGTATGTGTGCAACAGATATGAACGGATGCAGTGGTGGTAGCAACGTGTTGGCGGATGACTGATGAGCGAGGAGAGGGTTGTGGTTGGGAATGATGTTCGCGGGGTAGATTTTTGGCCGGCGCTAGCTGACACACGTGACCAAACGCTAACCTTTCTGAGAGACGAGTCAACCTGGAGAAATACCGTCACCTTCCCATGATTGCGAGACGAGTTGAGGAGTCGTCCTTCTTCGACGCCAGATGCATCACCAGATACACCACTCCATCATGTACCAAGTACATAGCACCGATGCCACCGTCCGTATGATCTGGTTGGTGACGATGACTAGCTGCGTGAGTGGTGGGATGTCCTGGATGGCCTGTCTCGATCTTGTGGGATCGCGAAGAAGCGTGGAGGTCGTAAAACACGTTCGAGAAAGTCATTGCAGACGTATTTTGTAGTGAGTATCCTTTGTCTGGTCGCTCGATTCTTGATTTTCGCGATTTCGGTGTGTAGAGCTGTAATGCCGTCGAGTCGCCAATGTCGCGTCGGGAGTTCCGTACCGGGTGTACTTTGCTGGTCTTCTTCAACCTGAACGTTGTCAGAGCAAAAGAGAAGGGGAAATTTTGACAAGCTCATGCAGTCGAGTAATAATACCGTGCCAGTTATGGGAAACAACGAAAATACTCCCCACACACGTGGCGGTCCCTGAGTGGTCTATAAAGCGGCCGTCACCACTTTTGCAAACTGTACTGGACCGGATCCTGGGACTCCAGCATGAGGCTACGGGCCACTCCGTCTCTCTTGCCTAACGTTAATCCGTTTTGAGGTTCGGCCCGTTGGATTGCGATGCTGCTGAGTTCTCGTCGTCGCAAGAGGAGGAGGAAGAGAGGCGGGATTCTCTGACCTTTGACGGTCTCTCGAACATGTCCCACCTCAAGCCAGGTAGGATGAGCGCTTATCGACAAGGACAAGCTTGACGCTCTTGTGCTACTCGGTCCTTTGGATCTAACGACGCAGATTGAGGCCATACATGGACGAGGACCACCAATGAAGCAACGCGACGTGTTCTCAGCCAGACAACTGGCCAAGGTTCCTACATGAAGAACGACAACAGACACGTCCAAAATGAGCAACTCGGATGTATTGGCCAGTAGTCAGTATTTGCGTGCATACCTGGTACACATGCAAGGCACCCGGCGGACCAATCAAACAGGCAAACTTCACTTTCAGCTTTGCTGAACCTGGGCGTCTTGTTGAGTATTCTCTGCCTGAGACTTCGCTATTACGTCTCGAGCTGTATGCCTTGGCGATACGTACCGCTGGACATTATCCAATGGAATCGATGGTCGTCAGTGCTGGGAGCCGAAGCGTAGAGTGGCTTTGCTGTTGTTGGTTCGTCTTACCCCGATGATATTCCCGCTTCCGGCAGCAGGGTGGCTCGCGCCAATGGTAAGTTTCGATGGCAGGCAATGAAGTCAATCGCCCAACAGTGATTCATATGTAGAATGTTCCTCAAACACCATCCAACACCGCTCGAAGCGTTCCTTTCTCGGGCATAGTTTCTATTTCTGTTCAGATCCGAGGCGACGATATATGTAGTGTGCTTGCCTCGGATGTCGTCAAACCTGCAAAGACGCTGTAAAACGTCTATTGTAGTACGATAGTCGACGAGGGCTCGTCCAATCAAAGTACAGAACAGCCATGTCGTTCTGGTTTCAACCGCCTAACCTTTCCTCAACAAAACATCACCAGACGTCGAGCGCTTATGGATTGTACGCTTGAACTCGAATGAAGTCGAATATCAGCTTGAAGGAATAGATGTAGACTTGTTCACCATGCCGAAGCTGTGAACGAGACAGGACGCGATGTGCGTAGGCCCCAACAGCGCACGCCCCACCAGCGGCTCGCCTCGGCTCGGCTGCTCCCTGCAAATTTGGTTGGCAGAAATCATGCACCGCGAACGCTCGCATTTGTGGCGTTGCTCTGGAGTCGACCAGTCAGATTCGCTTCACCATGTTCGGTAACGTATTGCTTTGCTTACTTCGAAAGGCTCTGCAACTGCTGTGACGGGGCACGTTGCTGGCCTCTCTGAACTACACTCTGGTCAGAACTCGATTCCCTACGTATCGAGCGAGTGCATGTAAGAAAGGCATCAAATTGCTCAAGGCCAACTCCAGTCCATACGTCTGTTGAGAGTCGGACCGCAATATTATCGAAATTGCTAGCCTAAATCGAGTGCATACATTCGTCTATCTTGAGTGGCTGGCAACTTGCATCACCTATGATGTCACTCCAGACAAGATCGAATATGCGACTTTCCAGCGAATAGTATATCATCTATACCAACCAGCCAGAAGTGAGTTAGCTTTTGGCTCCATCGAATTCAAGACATCTCTCCTAACTCCCTCGAAGACGTGAGCAAGAAGGTCGTGTTGAGCATGCCTCAAGAATTAGAGTCAGTGCAAGAATCGCATGAAAAACAGAAGCAAAGATTAGAAAAAGCACCATGAGATCAGAGAACTTAAGGTTTGTTGTTGAGCTTAATGATGTTCATTTGAAGCCAAACCGTTCGCGATGGCAGAATACTCACAGTATTTCGGTGTAAGCTTTTGCTACGCAGCGATCAATAGTTGTACGTGGGAGGTAGGGATAAAAGAAACGTGGTCACGCGCGCCGACGCGTGAGCTTCCAGTCGGCCAAGACATCGGAGATTTCTTCTACCGATCATCCCCATAGCTATTGTCGTCACCAACAACACCACCCTTCACGCTTCATAATATGCCTTCTCTAGCGCATCGCATACACAAAGTCACCATATAGTCGCAGAGTAGCCTTCGTCACGATCAAAGCTCCGATTCGCATCTCATGGGCGTTTGCGCATCATGTCTGGGTCGTGAGCCCTCAGACTCCGAGGTACGTTGCGCAATCCTATTCTCCCGCGCCCCCTCCTCTTCTTTGATGTCCAAAAACAGAAGCTTATATGCTTTATACAGGAATCCGATGCCTCGCACCTCCTTGCCGACGACCAACCACACTACGGCACCGTAAACAACGCACCACAACCCGACCCTGAGGAGATTCGACGCGAGCGCGAAGCTCTGGAAAGGATATGCGCGCAGACAAATGAGTACGTCTCTCATCTTTCTTTACCGATCCCTATGCACCGCCTATGTTTCTCCAAATACGCCTCCAGTTTTCTCTTCACCTTCCACCACCATGGCCCCCTTCTAATACTTTCCTATACCCAAGCTAACCCATGCGGCCAACAGACAGCTAATACCCACCCACGCCCCCGAAGTCGCCGAGCAAGACGAATACCAGCGCCTCTTCAACGACCGGTTCGCCTCGATACGCAGACAGAAGAAGCCCGAAGAGCAGAAGACGGACGACACAGCCGACGAGTCCGAGTCGAGTTGGTTGGAGAGTGTTATGGGAGAGGGAGGGGAAGAGGAAGAGGTGGAGAAGGTGAAGAAAACAAACGGGGGGTTGACGATTATGTTTGGGAAATAGGCGTTCGAGGGGAAAGGGAGGATGGAGCAAGAGGGCGGAGAGCATGCAGTAAATACCCCTAATCGTTTTTTCTTCTCTTCTTTGGGGTGGGACTACCCGGATCCCCTGGGCGAGCGTTTTGTTCGTTGCGTTCGTTGCCTTGGTCGACTTGGTTTGGTTCAGCGTCTCATATGTTATCATAGCATTGCATCGCGCTGTTTTTAGCAATTGCATCATCATACCTGTCTTCGTCAGTCATGCATCATTTCCCGTCCGTTTAATTGATGAATTTTTAAGCTGATTAGACCCGTTTCTAACCAAGGTCAATGACAGGTTCACGCTCCTCTCTCAAACACAAGCTGATGATAACTGGCAGTTCAATATCCAGTCTACATTACACTACACAGCTCCCACCACGTGTAAAGTTCGCACTCCACAATGGCAATGTGACGACGAGTCCAATCCCAGTAGAGACGCTTACTGAGATGCAAAATGAGACTACTCTGCCGACACAACATATGTATCAGTCCATCATCGATGCCGCTTTGGCCTTAAGACTGGACCCCGGGTCCCAGACTTGAAAGAGAGAGGGAAAGTTGGAGAACTAACCGACTTGTTATGAAGAGATGCCGCAGCATAACCCAAAGACAATCACAAAGGATATCTCATGCAAAAACCGCAGCAAAGACAATACCAGCAGTCGACCATGCAACAATGCTTCCGATTCACGATCTCTCAAACAAACGCCCAAACACACCGCCATTCTACGACGACGCACTGTTTGTCTTCGTAAGAATAGAGGGACCAGAACAAGTCGCCCAGTTGTCGCCTAAAAGCTCCGTCATCTTCCCTGCTGCGACGTCCCCAATCAATACGTCGAGTTCGATCCTTTGCGCTTCCTCAATATGCTCGAGACGCATGTCAAGACCACGTGTTACGTGTTTCAAGGCTGTAGCGGGGAGGCTGTTGTACAGTCTGACAGCCCATTTCCGAGCTGCTTCCTTGACCGTGGAGAGGAGTTCATCTTTCTCATCATCGTCGAGAGGGGTGTCTTGATAGTACCTGACGACTTCGGAAGCGAGGAGGCTGCGGATAGTTTGAGAGGGCGGGGATGATGGAGCGACATGGTGCGCAGCCTCGGACTTTGCTACAGCTTGCTCGTGGATGGTTTTCAGCGCCTCTGTGGCTCGGGGGCGCGGCTTGAAGCCTCGCTTTACGATGTCTGGGATGGCTATGACGGGATTTGAGATCACGGGGTTTTGGCGGCTGAGGAGGTGCTGCTGGTAGGGGTTCTCGGGGGTGTTTACACCGACTGCTTGCATGAGGATGTCGTGGTCAAGTGTGCTGGGACGGGTGCCGAATGACGTGCTGAAGGCAGTGTCGGTGGGAGCAGAAGTGGGAGGACTACGAATGTACTGTAGAGGAGCCGAGTTGTCAGGCTGCTTGCGTGATGGCCGAATGCTTGTCGCGGTGGGTGTACTTCCCAGCGTGCGACGGCGCTTACCCGGGGTGGGAGAGTCGCCCTCAAGCACGAACTCGTCGCCAGACGACTCGTCACTGGAAGAATCCTTCTTCTTGGGTTTGGCTGCACGCTTTTTCGGTATGGATGCAGGTTTATCACCTTCCTCGCTCACCACGGTCTCATCATTCTCTTGCACCTCACGTCGAGAAGCACCCATCCTGCCAGGTGTACCAACCACGCCAGGTGTAACAACAACACTAGCCGGTTTCCTCCTCTTCACTATGCTCGCTCCCCCACCTGTCATCGGTGTTGCAGGACCCTGCATATTGCCGTGTGCCAGGTTTCTGCCTTCCCTTTGCCTACGGTCATAACACGGTTTGCACACTTGGAAGGTGCAGCCTGGACAGCGTCGCATGGTGTCCATGTTGCGCTTGTCGCATTCTGAACACTTTGCGGTGTGGACTTTGACTGTGGCGAAGTCAGATGCGTTCAAAGAACAGGCTGTTATTGTGCCGCCGGGTGTGGTTGCGCCTCCGGGAGTGCGAGGCGGAAACGGACTGCTCATACGTGGCGGGATGGGGCTGCTGATCGGGCCGCCTGGAGTGCGAGGGCGGAATGGACGACGGCTTCCAGGTGTCGCAGGAATGGGTGTAATCGTTGAGCCCGCAGAAGGTGTTTGTGATGGGGGAGTTTGGGCGCGGTCTGCCATTGTGGTAGAGCAGATTGTATGCCAAGGTGGAAGAGATGGGATGACTGCAAGGTTAGATAAGCTTGCCGCAGTGTAATGAATATGTTGTCGAGTAACTGGATTAGAGAGCGATAAGCTGATGCAATTGTCAGTTGAATTCGAATTCGAGGTTGGAGGAGGTGGACTAAGACACTTCTTGCGATCACTGATAATATGGCTGTGGACGACGTTGAAAGGCGGTGGGCGAACTACGCTGAATAAAGAAGCGGAAGAGCTTGCATACTTACGTCCAATGGCGTCAGATAGCAGGCTGTTGGTGAAAGGTGCGACGCTGGGAATCGTCAACACAGAAGTTTCCTGTAACAAATCGTGTGTCAAAATCCTAGAAACACACTGCAGAGTTGCCGACAGGTATCAATTCACAAGAGATGGGAACGAGAGGGAAGTGTAAGAGAATGTACTTGTGAGATAGAAAACAACCTAACAAGAATGGAAGGATCGGATTATATGTGCGGGTTCGCTGTGAAGAGGGACAGCCCCACAGTCGCCGAAACGAACAAACAAACGACGAAGAAAATGTGAATATCGTCGTATAACTGCATGGTGACAGGGGATGTAGTCGCATCTTCTAGATCACTGGGACCATAGATTTGGGATGTTCACGTATGGCTGAACTCAGAGCTCTATTCCGCTCACATGGGCAGTATGATTGCGTCAATGAGTGTGCAACTTTGTATGACATGTGTAGGATATAGAGTGGTTTGGAGGAGTGAACTCATGCCAGATGTATGCCTTTGACGAGGGGTGTTTGTGAGGTAAGAATGACTGAAAGATGAATATGCACGTGAGAGCCAAGGAGACAATCAGAACGAACGACGGAAGCTAGAGTAATTAGGTATCTCGACCCATCATTAGTCAATTCGTTGGACGTGTTGTTACGCGCGTTTGCCGCAATCCATTTCAACTCGCATCGTGGCAGCTGTCATTGTACTCATTCCCCACTTATGAAAACCATTTTTGGGTGAACAAGCCAATGAAGAGAGTGTGAAAGTCCGGGGAAGAGGATAGTGCTGATCAATATTGGAAACGGCACAGTTGATCAAGGCAACCGAACAAGAAAGCGGCTGTCAAGTAGTCTGCGCTAGTCTCATGAGTCATGAGTTATGGAGGCGGGAAAATGCAGGTCTCGAACAAGGAGCATAAAATCCTTCCGTTCACAACGCGCGTACTACTTAATCTCCTAAAAATGCATTGTATCACTGCTAGTCAGCACTCGAGATTATATGATTCGCGCGTCTACCATCGCCTCGCCACGGGACAAGCAGCTACAAAGTGCATTTTCTGATCTACGAGCTCTTGACTTGGCCCTGAGTCGAGCCACTGCCGGCAGATGCGATGCGCTTGGAGGCATCGTTCATGCAGCGGGGATCCGGCTTGTTTTCACTGCGCATGCCGCAGGGTCTACCGCCGCGATGATTGTTGGGCGGTGCACTGCAGGTTGCAGCTCACCAGCCACATTCCCCAGTTTACGACGTTTTCGTAGCTTCTCCGCTGCCTATGCGCCCCAGCAACGGTGTGCCCAAGCGGAGCTAGAATCGCGCTGTTCACGAGTCGGTCCCACCCAATGTCGTTCGACGCAACCGTTCGCGCAAATAGTGAGGAACATCAGCTTGCCGAATCAGACTAGGCAATCGCGAGTGGAACTCTAGTTCAACTTTTTTTCGGGTGCTCCTTGTCAGCTCCTCCGCCATCTAATCTCAATCACTGTCCGCCCTTTCGCCCGTCTGCTCCAGCTCCATCGCCTCCTTTGCGCCGCGGGTTTGCAGGCGAAAAAGAAAGCGCGTGGCAGGCAACATCAAAAACAAACCTTGGCAGCGACATCCAAACAATTCTGCACTCTAAGGCAACCAGATCCTTCACCAGGCGGCCTCTGGCTAACTCTTTCCGGACGTCGGGTTCGCTTTCATCCGCTTGTTACTGGAACGCGACACGAGAACGCAGCGTTACCAGGGTCGTCCTTTGTTGGTCGTCAATCTCGACAACCACAACAACCACCCGGACCTTCAGGTCATAAATTTATCTCGACAACATCAGAACGGTCTCCACTACGATCATGGCTACAGCTCATCCCCCAGCATCGCTAGACTCGGCCATGGAACTCCTCAACTATATGCAAGCCCCAACGGTCGGCTTCTACTATGTCGGGGCTTGCACATTCAGTCTATGCATCTTACAAAAGCCCAGTGCGATATCTTCGAAGAGGCGACGAGTGGTTTTAAGCCTAATGGTCTTTACCCTCATAGCATATATCACAGAGGTCTTATACTACTTTAGTCGATCGCTTACAGAGTGGAACTACGAAGCACCAAAACCAGCGGCGACCCGTTGTCTTGGCGCCATTCTTGCCTGGAGTCCTCTTGTCTTTGGAATTTGGAAAAGCAAGTCGCTTCGATGGCATCCGTACTTCGGCGCTTTTGTCCTACAGTTTGCCCTGGAAACTACGACTTGCCTCATGAGCGCCTTCTCTATCTCACCTGATGATAGGTCGAGGGACATACCATTTGTCATTAGCAGTGCAAGGGCATGTGCTTCGTTGCCGCTGATGATCGACGGATTTCTGATCCTGATCAAGAAGCACGTGGGTACACGTACAGACGAAGAGCGCCAATCACTGCTCGGAAAGCAAACTAATAACAACGCTAATCAGAGCGGAACCGGCAACTACGGATCTATCAATCCGGACAGCTCTAGCGGCGACGGCGACGAAGAGGCACCATCTGATCACGACAAAGCGATTAAGGAGCAACAAGCCAAACGCCTAGAGGAAGAAGGTGGTTGGCTCGGTTATCTGAAAGGTTTCCTCGTATTCCTTCCGTATCTGTTTCCCAAGGATGACTGGAAAGTCATGGGCGCACTCTCGATACGCATCCTCCACATGATACAAGAGAGAGTCTTCAATCTTCTTACCCCTCGTCAGCTCGGTATCATTACGAACAAGCTAACCGAGGGGACAAATGTCATGCCATGGAAAGATATTGGACTGTGGGTTCTGTTCTCCTACATCAACAGCTACGCCGGTACCGGCATACTGGACGGTATAGCGAGTTTGGTGATCTCAAACTCGGCCTACCAACGTGTCACCCTAATGGCATATGAGCATGTCCTTGGTTTGTCTATGGACTTCCATACCAGCAAAGACTCAGGGGAAGTGCTCAAAGCCGTGGAACAGGCATCGTCTCTGAACACGCTGGTTGAGTTGGTTCTGTTCGACCTTAGCCCTATCCTCCTGGACCTTGTCATAGCTATGTACTACGTCACTCACCTCTTTGACAGCTACATGGCTTTCATCATACTGTTCATGGGAGCGGCATACGTGAGCATCGGGTGGTATTTCACGACTCTGTCGCAGCCGTGCCGAAGGGTCTATGTTGAGAAGCAGCGAACAGAAAGCTCAACCGTTAACGAGACTGTGCATAACTGGCAAACTGTGGCTTACTTCAACCGACTGACGTTTGAATATAACCGATATGCAACAAACATTATTGCGACTATCTCTGCGCAATATTCCTATTACTTCCGGTCGATGGGTGGACACGCTGCGCAGGATGTGCTTACGACAGTGGGTTTTGCCGCATGCTGCATCTTTGGCATGTCGCAGATCGTTACCAAGCAGAAGAGTGTTGGAAACCTCGTTACACTCATCATGTACTGGCATACCATGACGAGTCCCTTATACGTCTTGTCTTACAGCTACAGGCAGCTTTCAGCCTCTCTTATCGATGCCGAACGTCTGCTTCAGTTACTCAATACCAAGCCGACCGTTGCTGACCAAGAAGGTGCCAAGGACCTCGTAATTGATGCAGGAAAGGTCGATTTCAAAGATGTCGAGTTTGCTTACGATGTGCGGAAACCCATCATCAAAGGGGTTTCCCTGCAGGCTGATGGTGGACAAACGATTGCGTTCGTGGGTGAAACTGGTGGTGGAAAATCCACGATGCTGAAGCTACTCTTCCGATTCTACGACGTTACTGGAGGCTCAATCATGATTGATGGCCAAGATCTTCGCTCAGTCACGCAGTCAAGCCTTCGAAACGCCATCGGACTCGTTCCCCAGGACCCTGTACTTTTCAATCAGACAATTCGTCAGAACATCCGCTATGCGAGACTTGATGCTACAGATGCCGAGATCGAAGAAGCATGCCGTGCGGCTGCTATTCACGACGATATCGTTGGCTTCCCTGATGGCTACAACTCCAAGGTTGGCGAACGCGGAGTGAGGCTTTCTGGAGGTCAGCTACAGCGCATCGCTATCGCTCGTGTGTTGCTCAAGGACCCCAAGGTTGTCATGCTAGACGAAGCCACATCTGCTATTGATTCTGGCATCGAGGCCAAGATACAACAAGCGTTCAGCAAGCTCAGCAAGGGCCGTACCACGTTCGTGATAGCGCATCGCCTTAGCACCGTGGTTGAGGCGGATCAGATCCTGGTAGTCGAGAAAGGCGAGATTATCGAGCGAGGAACGCATCGAGAGTTGTTGGAATTAGGGGGAAAGTACCATGAGCTCTGGACGAAGCAGACAGCCGGCCATCTCCCCACTCTCCCCTCAAAGCCCGTGTCAAAAAACAACCCCACTGAAGGAGGAGACAACGACAGCGCGACACTCATTGACATTGCATCTATAGAAGAAGATTCGGCAAAGACCACTGGTACGAGTGAAGGCGGTAGCGACAGAGTCGAAAAACGCAAGTGAAATCGAACGCATGCAGTACATCGAGGTCAGTTTAGATGCGGTCTTCGGTCTCATACGTTTCAGCGTCGGGTTGTTGGATAGCCCATTGGTATAGTTATGAAGTTGGCTTCCAAGCGTAATGCGGTGGGGTCGGATACGGTTCATACGTCAAACGATTGTATGACATAAAACAGTTATTTCTTTACGCAGTTCACAAATTCGTCAAAAACATGTTATGAAGCTAGTAGGCATATTTAGCGTACTTCTCCGCAAGGCGACTAGAATCAACTATCAGCAATCTTTGTGACGGTGTCAGTAGTTCAGCCGTTTAGCACCTGACAATCCATCTCCGTACATCCTTCACGAAAAAAATTGCATCTACTCCCACAGAAGGATTGACATCTTGAAGACATATGCAAGGCTCGGAAGCGGGGCAACATGTTAGAAGCGGAGAAATCGATGCTGCCGCACCGTCCGCACAGACCACCGTCAGCATCATCATGGCATCGACGAAACGGTGTATGTGGGAAGAGGCGTCGTGGGCCTAAGTACGGTCTTGCCGACTTCCAGAATCCTTGTCCATCGCCTGTTGTCTCCTATTTGGCCTCTTCAATCCCCCGCAGCTTGCACTGTTCACCATCATGGCAGTCCCCAAGCGCGCGCTGCTTCTCGCGTCCGCAGCTATATCGTTCTTCGCTTTTCGCTATGCGCCGCAAGCTGTAATCTCGAGTAGTATTGTGTGGAATGTCGTGATATTATTTTTCGGGTTGTGGACTGGGCAGTTCGCATGGCAGACTGTGGTTACTCCGTTGTTCTTCAGCCCGTTGAGGAATTTGCCACAACCGCCGGTGAGTGTGTTGGATGATGACTCTCACCGACTCTGAAGCTTTATATACCCACGATTCAAGATCGTAGAGCTAATTCAGATCATTAGAATGCGCACTTTTTTCTTGGCCATTACAGAAGCATATACAAGGGTGCATCTGGCGAGCCGCAAAGAGACTGGATCGACAATGTACCGAATGATGGTGTTTTGTACTATCGCTGGCTGTTCAACAAACCGCGTATCCTGGTCACGAACCCGAAGGCGCTGAGTGAGGTGCTTGTGCAGAAGAGCTATGAGTTTGTGAAGCCGGCGAGGATACGGGTTGGGTTGGGGAAGTTGCTTGGTGTAGGTGTTCTCTTGGCGGAGGGCGACGAGCACAAGGTCAGTTCTGAGTCGCAAATGTTCAAAAGTCTGTTTGGCTGATGAGATGTAGCGCCAGAGAAAACTCTTGGCCCCGGCTTTTGCGTTCAGACACACCAAGAACCTCTACCCGATTTTCTGGAACAAAACCATGGAGATGACAGATCGGATATCCGCGACCATCAATTCGAGTCCTGACGCTTCATCTGTCGTGGAGATTCGTAACTGGTCGTCGCGAGCAACTCTCGACATCATTGGTCTGGCGGGTATGGGACGAGACTTTGATTCTCTGACCAACCCGGACAACGAACTCTACACCACATACAACAATATCTTTGGAGCGAACCGAGCTTCACAGGTTCTGCAACTCGTTTTGGGTTTGCTCCCCCATTGGCTTGCCTCCTCTCTCCCGATAAAGCGCAACGATGTGATCCGGCAAGCAATCATCACAATCAAGAAAACAGCGCGAGACCTCATCCGCGAAAAGCGTGCAAAGCAAGAAAAAGGCGAGGCACAATCCCTTGACATTCTCTCCGTTGCCATGGAATCCGGCGGCTTCAGTGACGAAGACCTCGTCAACCAACTCATGACCTTCCTCGCCGCGGGCCACGAAACCACCGCATCATCAATGGCCTGGGCCGTCTACCTCCTCTGCAAACACCCCGACGTACAGAAGCGTTTGCGTGAGGAAGTACGCGCCGAGATACCCGCGCTGACCGACCCCTCCAAGGAAATCTCCTCCACGGAAATAGACCGCCTCACCTACCTAAACGCCGTCCTCAACGAAACAATGCGCATCTTTCCGCCTGTCCCGCTCACCCTCCGCGTAGCAGCCCACGACACAACGATCCTTGGTCACTTCATTCCCGAGGAGACCACCGTCGTCATCTGTCCATGGGCGATAAACACATCCGTGCACCTCTGGGGCGACGATGCCAGGGAGTTCAATCCTGAACGGTGGATGGGCCCAGGGCGTGCTAACACGGGTGGTGCGGAAAGTAACTTCGCGATCACGACTTTCTTGCATGGCCCGAGGAGTTGCATTGGTAAGGACTTTGCGAAGGCGGAGTTTGCGTGTTTGGTGGCGGGGTTGGTGGGCAGGTTTGAGATGGAGTTGGAGGACCCTGGATGGGAGTTGAAGATCCAGGGTGGCATTACGGCGAGGCCTAAGGGCGGGTTGAGAGTTAAGATGACGGAGGTGGTCCAGTAGGAGGGATTGTGATTTGTTGTTTGTTGGTGAGGTCTGGAACGCCATGTAGGTTCAGTGTTATGGGATCAGCCTATGGGTATACATATTTGGAAAGGTGGACGCGAGTACTTAGATAAAGGTAGATCTCTTAAACAGTGGACATATTAGACGAAAACGTAACACTGCATCTTTCTTGCAGCTACATTGCAACCCGCAACTTGAATTCCCAAGTTCATCTTCACATTCTTCATCTCTTCTTCTCTACTCTTGCATACTCTACCATGACCTACATCCACCCGCTTCTCCCCATAAATTCATACTTCTCCTTCCACAAGTATCGTTCAGCCTTTTGCCCATGGCACCTTCTTATATACAACCCTCAACGGTGATCATTCGGAATCACCCTTTCGCTGACTCCCTCGTTCCAACCGTGACACATATTTCCATCTTCAAAACTTTATGGAAATTACCTCGTCGCGCCATAATCACTAAACCCGTCTTTGTATCGCCACGCTTCGCACTCAACATATAGTCACTGGGGAAGGTGTATCATGATAACCTAAATTCGTATGCGAAGTTCACTGCTCACCACTCTCGAATCGGCCTTTGTTGCGCTTTTGCTGGTTCCGACCTTGATGACCTTGAGAGGAGCGTCGTTGCCCACTGTGATTATTGTGCTGGGACCGGTACGAGTGCTGTAATCCCGAGGACTGTAGATTCCCATACCCTTGCTGGACTCCAAATCCCCCATTTGTTTGGCTGTTGTAGCTGCTTTGCTCATCCTGGCGGTCCAAACCATGGATTTGGTTGTTCTGGTGGTGACCAGCTGCTCCACGGATGTTGAACGCGTCTGGTATGTCAGTGATAGATCCTGTTTGGTAGCCTTCTTGCTGCGTCTGCCTAGTGTTTGGAGAGTCATATGCCTCTTGCATTCCATTGTACTGAGGATAGGATCTGTGTTGGTCGAGTCCATGGTTTCTAGGTGCTCTCGGAACGCTGAGTTGACTGTTTGGTAACTGCTGAGCATAAGTTTGTTGTATTTGACGTCGTTTTAGCGTCAAGTTTCCATCACCTTCGGGATCTGATGCAAGTTGATCGTAAGGGCGCTTGCTGCCAGTTGCGAATCTAGTTCGTCCCCTTCCTGGTGAGTACTGCGTACTTTGTGGAGAAGCTTGTCCGAATGTTTGAGCTTGGTAGCTTCTCTGATTCGCATGGCTCTGAGTTTGGATACGCGGTTTACCGCCGATCTGCCGAGTTGAACGGTTCGATAATGCCGGTGTTTGCCAGTCCGTTTGTTCAGAAAAGTGTTCTCCTTCGTCAGACCATGACACTGGAAGTACTCCTTGTGGTGGGTTGTGGAAAAATTTATCTTCAGAAGTACATGAACAGTTACCATAACTCATGAAAGACGGACATGGGACTCTGTGCCATAACGGACACTGATTGCCGTCGAGACATCCTCCTTCGCCGTCATCACTCGGGCACAAAACACCTTCTAGAGTATGGTTGTAGGTGCAGTTTCTCTGTTCATTGCACCCCTGCAAGGTGTTGACCTGCATACAAACCTGGAACCTCTGAGAATCTCTCAACACCTCACCGAGCATAGGTCGCAAGTCTTTTGTCCGAGGGTCTTGCGAACGATCAGGTGTTGGATTGGGGACGACGATGGCAGTCCGAGGTTGAGTGTGGAGGTAAGCGCACTTATCGCCGAACTTACAGGTTTTCCCAGTAGCGAGAGACCGACAGATTTTGTTTTCGTTAAAATGTCCATAGGGGCACTCGTTCCGTTGCAAGCAGCCCTCCGCCGTGTTCACTCTCGGACATGGATGACCTGGGCCTGCCCAAGCCGGATTTATCGGCCGCGCTTGCATTTCAAGACTTGCTGGACTTTGCGCTGCAGTGACCATGGCTGCCTGCCGAGAAAAACTACCAGTGCGTTCGAGATGTACGTAGACACAGTTTTCTCCACGATCGCAGTCTTTTCCTAATCTGCATTGTACGCCTTGGTTGTCATGTCGGTATTGACATCTGTTTCGCTCGTAGTGTTTACATCCTTTCGACTTATTGATATATGGACAGAGTCCGAGTGGTTTCAGTACAACTGGCGACTCCATGATGAGATCTACATCATCTCCTGAGTCACTCTCCGGCGTAGTGGCAGCTGGCTGGTTATTCGAGCTAGCATCCAATGTGTCCCAATACCGTGTTTTCAAATACCGAGAACGGTTCCACTGCTTGGACCATTGTACCCTTGCATTGAACGCCTGCATCCTCTCCGCTCCGCAAAATCGATCGTGATATCTTGGGTGGTCTTGCTCTGCTACAAGTTGATCAGTCATAACTTGAAAGCAAGCCTCGGTACATTTGCTGTCGTTCCATGGCATACTACCTCTTTCCTCTCCTCGCTCATCCCTTTCGGCTTCGTCGCGCAGAACTTCCATCAGGCAAGGTGTGATCTCAATTGGCTGATCTTTACGTAGCCGATGTTCAGAATCTTTGATTTTGCTCCTACTGGTGGACTCAGTGTATGCCACGATGCTGTATATACCTTTTAGCACATCGAGTAAAACATCTATGTCGGACTCGGGCAAGGACATCTTCTCCACTACCCATATCATCTGCTGGAACACATCTGGGTTCAAGTTCGTTACTTCAAGTAGCTCGTTTCGTCTCTTGTTAGAATGCTTTACTCGATTGACCTCGAGATGAAATTCTTCCCACGCAGGATTGTGTATCCTTTCGTAGTTTGCTATCGCAGCCTGCCGTGCTGCCGGATCCTGGAGTACGCTCCAAACGTCTTCAGCTGTATATCTTACGTGCTCCAGGTGCTCTTGCCTAGACTTCAAATTTTTCAGGATGGGTTGTAGAATTTCTTCGTCTTCCAGTAGTATGTCAAATCGAAATGGTTCCAACACAGCTTCAAGCACCTGCATGACGATCCGGAGTGCCATCCATGTTTCTTTCTGCTTCCAAGCGGGGCCGATCACGAATTCGACTTTCTGCCTCCCGTCCTTGTCAATATATTCGAATTGGGATTCCTTGAATGCGCTCAATGCTAGAGCTTCATCGTTTGAGAAGATCTGGATTTGACGTATGCACTCCTCGGGTGGAAGTTGTTTGATGGCCTCAGACAGGAGTGTCATGTGAGTAGCGCGCGTCTCTGGAGAACACGCTATGAGCATTTGTAGCTCTGCTTGATCGAGAATGACAATCTCGTCAAACGCTTCTTCGCTTGCTACTTCGAAAATTTCTGCTTGCTGAAATATATCCTTTCCGACTATTGCATGCGCGTCCTGAGTCTGAAATTCGTCGACAATGACGCCTTTGTCGGCAGCTACATGACTTTCGACAGTGCCGTTGTCCTCTGAGGTATTTTTGACAGGATTATAGACATCAACACTTGGTAGATATTCATGAGAGGAGCCCATTGGCAGCGGGATATCGATCAAATCGTCGGTCAGGATTGATTTTTCAGAGATTTGTGTTTCTGGGACTTGAACTTCATATTCGGTAGCTCGAAAGTCCCTCCGAGTTTCAACTTTACTCAGGGGAGCTGTCAAGCTGTCAGCCTCATAGCGATCAACCTCTGTGGGTGTGACAGCCGAACCCGAAGGATTGATGAACAATTCCTGCTCGACGATGTGATCATGGGTCTTGTCCGGCTTCGCCGAAATATGTGTGTGTTGTTCCGAGTCTTCGATGGCGAGGGTATCGGCGGGATCGTAGGTGACATCGTCATCTTGCCTATCTTGCATACCCTCAAACACTTCTTCTTGAGGGCGATCATATTCATCGCTGTGTTCGCTGACAGAACTGAACAATTCATCTAATTGGAAGGTCCTGTCTTGTGGCTGTCCTAGATAATCTCCGCTGCCACTGGCCATCGATTGTGAGGCTTGGGTATGGGTATTACCGTGGCTTCCTCGTTGCGTGTAAGACTTACTAATTTGCTCATCATACAAGGTCTGTATGCTTTTCTGTTTTTCAACCACATCTGATGAGAGAGTATCAGCGGCAGAACTTGATATCGTTGAAGTATTCCGTTGGATTTCATTTCTTTTGACAAGATACTCTACCATTTCCGACAACTTCCTTGGTTTGAACATTGGGCTTGATATGAGTTTATGCTCAAGCCTTTGACTGCTCCCGTTCAGGGGAGCGTGTGCTTCTAGATCATTATGTTCAGTGGTGTGCTTCTCGCTTTCAGCATGTATTGACTGAGTAGGCTCTTTTCCCTGATTGTGAATATCACGCAGGTCGCCTTCGTGTTCACGATTATTCTCCGCTGCGTAAGAACGTTCGGGGCTCGCGCTCTGGTGGCACTCTCGGTGTCGTTGAATCTCATCCTCGTCGAGCGCAAAGTACGGCCTCAGAAACTGTAGTGGTCAGTATTCATTTCGCACATTGAAAACAATTGGAGCAAGAAGCACCTACAGATCCATCGCCAAGACTCTTTTCGTGAAGAATCATCAAGGTTCGATTAAATACAGGCTGTGAACAGTTAGTATGACGATATGGGTCCTTCGTGTTCTGGTGGGACTTACACTGATGGACACGGAAGGTGTCCGGGTTTTACGTTCATATGTCTTGTTTTGCCATGTGTATCGGACCTATCCATAGTCAGCCGTAGTAGGAGCAGGAACTGACAGAAAAACCGCTCACATTACCGGTAGAGTGAGCATACAGATCCCTACTACTCCCCAAAGATGCCCACGACATAGTATATATGTCAGAATTAGCAGACACAACCACACGTTATGTTTCGAAACTTGAGAAGGAAATTGTTATCGACGCACTGGTCGTGCTATGAACAAAAGATCTAGAAATGATGGCGAGAACCACGTCACGTGTTGTATGCTATGTCGGGAACGAAAGTCCACTGAGAGTACAGAAAGATTGTTACACAAAGTCGATATACCCTTAGATAAGACTTGAACATGTCTATAAGCATAGTGATTTCCAAAGAAGGCTACGAAAACCTGTGAAGATTCACGTTCTTTGTTTGGCACTGTTAGTTCTTACTAGCATGTTCCAAATACAGCACCCACAACTGGATCGCGAGACAATGTCTTTGTATCGAAAACTAGCAGCAAAATTGACATAAACCATCCCCGCCCAGAAGTAAAGAGTGCGTTATTTTAGGCAATTTTGTAGTCACGCAGGATTAACCGGATCGACTATGTCAGACCTATCTTCCCTCGTCAACCTCCACCCTAAAATCCCCCCTCACAGATCCCCCTCTGACCTCGCAAGAGCATTAGGTCTCTATGAAGCTCCTCAGAACGTCAATCGCCTGGTTAACCGCACGAAAGAGCATAGAGCAGCCGTACGCACCCACGGGGCAACAGCACAGGCGATTTCTACTTCGCTACAAGCCCAGAACGCCCAGCTGGCAGCCGATCTCGAGGATCTCTATGAAGCTTTCCACTATGCACAAGAGCTAATACGTGCAAGGCAGGCGCAAGTATGCGACGGTCGATTCAGCGAGAAAGGGTGTGAGAAATGGGTTGTGGGGTTGAAAAAGAAGGAGAGGGAATGTCGAGAGTGGATGGATAAGCTTATAGATCAAAGGAACCATGTGTGGACCGCTGGGCAGATGTTGAAATAGTGGTGAGGATAAGCTATGTCAAGTTGTTCTGAAGTCGTGTACGAGATCAGCTCCAAGATGGTCGGAATCCGTTCTGGTTGGGCCTTCATCACTTTGTACTACTGCGTCTTGTACTAAAGACTTGTTTCAAATCTTCCGTTGCAATACTGTCAATCAATATATTCCAGCCTGGTGGTTCTCTCAATAATCCATCTCAACGTCTCCGCTTTGTTTCACGACGTTCATCTTCCCCATTTCTCTGGTCAATACCTCCGTTCCAACGTCCATCATTTTGTACGCTCTGTCTCAGAGCTCCTGGTACATATCGCGCCATTTCCTCTCTCGGGGCACGACGTGCATGCGGTTCCGCGACTTTCCTTTGTGGCTTTACACTCGGTTCTGTCCGGTCGTGCTTCGGGGCCGACTGCTCGCTTTCGTTGTGAGAACGCTTGTGAGTAGACCGGTGAATCTCCTTTGTGATAGAGACGGTGTGTCGTGATTTGCGTGGCCGAACTTCTTCATCAGCTGAGGTCGGAGCCATGCCACTAACCTCATGAATACGCTTAACGTCCGTTCCGATATCGTCCTTGAGCCTTTCGATCTCAGTGGTCTGTTGCTCGCGTTCGACGTGAGTTGGCTTACGAGTAGATCGTGGAGAGGCTTCTACAGTAGCACTAGTCGTATCGCGGGGAACCCTACGCCTTTGATTCCCACTGTGTTGGGCGTGCTTGCTGTTATCTGCCTCCAGTCTGCGGTGACTCGTATCCCTCCCACTCCCACTTCCCTCGGAAGATGATTTGGTGAAATCATCACTCGCGTTATGTGGATGTGTTTGCGTGTGTCGCCGTGCTTCCCTATTGCGAATGGCTTGGTAGCGAAGTTCACGTCGACGTTGAAGTTCCTCCCGTGTGCGTGCTATGTCGTCCGGTCCTCTGTCAAGAGGCGTCCGAATTGGTTCTCTATCATGTATACGCAGGTTCATCGCGAGATTACGATTTATCTTATTCAATTGTGTGTCCTCACATCTCTCTTCTTTCGCATCGTCGTGGCGGTTTCGTCGGCGCTCTTCTTGCTTGCGTGCACGACTCATGTCATCTTCGCGATCGTAGGCCTTTGCTTGGTCTTGTGACACTAGAAGATTCTCCGGTTTGGGGGATGATGAACTTCGTATGAGCTTGAGTGATTCGGTAGATGTTGGATTCTCCACGTACGCCTCTTCAGATAGGGGAGTTGCGTCTGTAGCCGTGAACGGCTCGGAGGATGTGGATTCTGTGGAAACCTTTTCAGGGCAATGATCTTCGAGCCATCCTCTCCGTTTCGGGGATCTATCTACTTCCCCGAAGTCTGTAGGATCATAGAGTTTCCGCTTTTGCGACGAGAGAGGCGCAGAGGTGACTGTGTCCGGAGCTCTCAAACGATGCTCTTCTGTCACATTGGCAGGAACGAGATCGGGTTTTCCGTTATTGGTTGATTCATAGTAACCTTCGATTGCATCTATATTTGGAATGTCTTCGCGTGAGGGGGTTTCGAGGGAATTTGTCGCTTGTGATCGTGAACTATAGGCACTGCGTCCTTGTGCAGGCGATACTGGTGTTTCGGGAGGTGTTGAGCAGTGCACAATCGACGTCTGCTTCTGATGTTTGCGGCCTTTCATCAAGATGTGGTATTTTCCGGGTTGCTGGTGCTCGCTTTGCGATGGCAAGTTGGTCGATGCTGGACGTAACTGAATCTCTTCACCGTAGATGTTGGAGAAAACGCGACCGCCAACATCGTGACTCGTGGCATTCCCGTCATCGTCAAACTCCACCTTGACGGAAAACTGCTCAGAATGTATGACTCTATCCTCCTGCATCTCGGCCCATACCCGGTATCCCGCCTTCTCAGCGACACTGCGATATCTGATCACCAGTATCGTTGCCTGAACCTTCGCTCGCGTCAGGGCCATCTTGCGTTCCTGGAAGACCTTGGTCTGGAATCCGGAGTCTGAGTACGAGGTGTCTTTCTCAGCTAGAGGCTTCGAGGTTGCGACACCAACGCAAAGCTCGCGCGGACTCGACCCAGACACCACCGTATCATAGCGACCTAATGCTGCCAGACCCATTTTGTGTTCGAAATCGCGTCCAACAGGATCGCGGCCATATATTTGTTTGAATGCTTCGCCATCAGAAGGAGGTAAGGTCTGTACCGCGGCGCTGCGATATCTCACAGGCGGTCGCGACAAAGTTTCCACAATCGACTTTTCATCTTGTGTGCCGGCGACACAAGGGCCTTGCGCACTTGGCGCTCGTATAACGTGGGAGCTGCTAGACGCGATCATGGCACGAGGTGTCCGGAAGACTGTGACGAAGAGCGGTGGTCGAATCTGACAGTTTCCGTCGTGTTGAAGAAGAATGATGTCGATGACAAATGTAAAAATGGGTTGTCAGAGTCGCACTGGAGGTCGCAATGATGAACGTTATCGGTGGAGAGCAAAAACGCCAATGTGGTTCACCCAACAGGTTTAGTTGCGGTGTTGTGAGTTGTGAGCTTAGGCGAGCGCGTGGAAGGCCCAGACTGTTCAGAGCTCCTGCCCGTCCCGTGGAAGGTACTCGCGATCCTCACGCGTATGTCATTTCACAATGTCATTCACTTTGTGGGCGTTCCAAAAGATACGATATGAGTGCTGCTATACTGTCTTGCAGATAGGCGGTGTGATCTCGCGCAATATCGAGACGTCAGTGTTGGTGGAGACGTTCGAGCAAACGGATTGATGCAGGAAGCCGCAGCCCATGCCAACCTTTTTGGTATATGGTCGAGATCTCGATATTTCCCGCAGCGTTGTATTATCCTGATATCCAATGTTGAAAAAACAAACCCGACTACCATACTCGAATGCTATGAAATCTTCGAGGCCCATACGTCGAGTTCACGCTGGTTCACGCTGGTTTATTCACCTCAATAGGATCTTATCGATTGCTCCAAATTCTCGTCGTTGCTCACGGATCTTTGATTGAATATCCGCGTAGGATCCATGTTTACGCACAAAGGACGATAGTTCCCATAATAGGATGCACACTGCAGACTTGGAGAGCAACTCTCTATACTCACAATTCAACGCTGTTATACTATTCAAATCTATGTATATAATACCCAGACTATCATAATACGATCGAAGACTTCTTCGTGCCGGCGTTATTCACGTTTCCCGTATCGACTTTCCCCCTTTTCGCATTTCCCCCATTCACCTCGCTTTCACTGCGAATTCTTACGCGATTTCCCTAACCACCAGCCTCTTCTGAATAGATCAGGACTCCTATTGTCGACCGAGCTTCCTATTATCACGCGTACTGGGCCGCACGACCCTCTCGCGGCCGATTGTTCTCGAGCTCGACGCTGTTATAAGTCCTTCCTCTCCACCACCTCGTTCAGTTCAACAACCACATACTCACACACATCCAACCAACCTGAACAACAACGCTCAACTTCGCTTCTCTCTACGTTTGAGCAATTCGTACTACTCTTTACTCTTCCTTCCAAGACCATCCCCAACACTCAAGATGATCTCCACCGCCGGACGTTTCTATGTCCCAGGTCGTAGCGGCACCATGCAGAAGCTGAACCTCCGCCCATTCTCCTCTCCACAACACGTCTTGGACAGCAACCCAAGCATCTCTCGAGCGACTATCCAGTATGTCCTCGAAAAGCAATCACGCCGCCCCGAACTCCGGGATGCCATGGCTGCTCGTCGTAACGAAATACGCGAGCAGCACGCCATGAACCGACGCGGCATCACCATTAAAGACAACCTCATGCCCCCAAGACATTGTCGCTTCCGACTTCCCTTGAAGTTCGCGACCCCCGCAGCGGCGGACTGGAAGCAAGCCCAGCTCCACCGCATGGTCAAGCAGCATGAGGAGCGGAAGGGACTTGACCTTCAGATCTCCCACATGCTGCGTCTGAGCTCCATGAAGTACCAGGTATGTGGAATCGTCCTCCATCCCGCGTGTGACTTGTGGACTGACATCTTCAGATCAACTTCTGGCTCGAGGGGTTGAAGGGCGCGTGTGACGATCGCGACGAGTTCTCACGCCTTGCGGAACTTCTCCTCGAGGGCCTTCGTACGGTGGCGCCGGCCATGCAGTATATCGGCGCCCATTGCAAGGCGGCCAACGATGACATCGGCTGGGACTGGCACGCCTTCGTGTGGGTCCACACCTGGCTGTACGATCAAGTCGAGCGTGGTGACTTCGAGCCGGCAGATCTCACCGTGCTCAAGCGTCTGGAGGGCTTCGCGCACCTGGCCGGTCTCGAGCTGAAGAACGAGACGGAAGAGAAGGACGTCGATTTCTTCGTGCCGTCGACGGGTGCGGGTCTGCCGGCTGCAGAGCCCATGGAGTTGTGCGTCGATGTCGTGCAACTCCCGCCCGCGACTACCCCCCACAATGTCGTCGATGAGATGGAGGTGGAAGACTCCAGCACCGCTCTGGCTGTCCAGATCAGCAACTCTGGAGCCCCTGTAGCCGACGAGGCCCTGAGCGGTATGTCTTCTCTTCTCTTCACATGTGACTTTGCCAAATACTGACTGCTTCCAGATTCTCTTGTACTCTACTCATTCCCTAGGGTGGAGCGCTACAGTGGTGGGATCAAGCGGGCTGCCGGCGGCGATGGTAACACATCGTCGCCAAAGAGGCGTAAGACCTCTGACACAGACCCCGAGACCACCATTGTAGTCTCCACGCCGAAGGAGAAGGAGACCCAGAGCAGCGATGACATGGCTCTGGCGAATACGACCCCTCAGAAGACCAGCGGGACCATCCTCACCACGACCCGCACGCCCGCCTCGGCCACCGAATCCGAAGTCAGCACCGGCACAGGGCCCTTCAGTGCACTCTTCCTCCGCTCCCCGAACGACCTACACTCCTTCCTCGCAAACCCGCACTTCGAGGCTCTCTTCTGCGCGCAAGAAATCATCCTCTTCCACCACACCTCCAACCAGACCGCCATCCCACAGAACGACATCGCTATCCTGGCCCGCGCCTGCGACTACATCACTGCCAACGAGCACAACACGCGCTTCGACTGGAAGGGCCTTGTGCCTGTGCTGGCGAAGAGTTGGTTCAAGAAGAGGATGAACTCGTTGAAAGACCAGTTGCACAAGTACGCCGACATCAACAAGGCGAAGTACGCGAATGTGTATGCGCTGGGCGAGGAGGTGAAGAAGGTGGTGAGGATTATGGAGGGCTGCAGTTCGGTGGTGCCGCCGCCTGCACAGCGGGTTATCAAGGCGAGGAAAGCGAGGTCTTCGGGTTGAGGTTGTCGCCCACAAGGCACATATTCTGAAGACTTGGAGTCTCTGCATTCGTGGTGGGTGGCAGACTGACCTATCTTCCACGCTTTCGACGTCAGATATGACACCGCGGCTGCTTTCGATACCTCCAGCTTCAACTGCAACAACACGCGACCACGACGTACGGCGACTACGTATTGTACTCCATCAAAAAGGGCCATCGGAGCATTTGTAATTCTTTTCCCATTTTCTCTGTTTTCTTTTTGTTTGTTATACCCAGTCCTGCTCGTTTTGAATATTGGAGGAAATGATGGAATCAGACCTGGACTGGGAGTAATCGGAGTGGGATCTGTGAGGAATGGAAAGGAACATGCACACAGTTTGAGATAGAGAACAGAATCCCTATTTTCGAGAGAGTTGAAACATACCTCATCCGCACTGTACCGTCCATCTGAGCATTTATGGTTGACTGTCTTTACACGAAGCGTAGTGCTAAGTCTCTCTTCTGACCTCCCCATCACTCCCTCTAACCTCACCCTCAAGCAGAATTTCATGTCCATCTCCCTCCCTCACCCCCTGCGCGACCACCCACCCCACAATCGCAACACCTGTCATCAACCACCACGCCATGCCAACAACACCCATATCCAGACCCCGTCCAAACACCCAAGAAAACAAGACCGGGCCGATCGTTCTCGTAAGGCTGGAAACAGATTGGCCAATCCCGTGTACAGTGCCCAGAACCGAAGGGTGAGGACTGACATTGTTGATCAGGATAGCTGTGCACGGAAGTGCGAAGGTGCGGCCTAAGACCTGTATGAAAAGAACCACGATGATGGCGGCCCAGACGAACGGTCCACTGACGCCATCCGGTGGGGAACTCCAGCTTGGTACGCGGCTCAAGAACGGAGCGAGCGCGTACGTGAATGGGAAAAGTGCGAGGAAGATACGATAGCTATTCGCGGTTCCCAGACGATGGGAGAGATTTGGGTATATGAAGAGTTGTAGTGATATACCTATGACCCCAAGAATTGCGAGTGCGAGCCCGATGCGTGGTGGTGGGAGGGCCAGGCCACCAGTGAAGTGGAAGAAACCGTGAGGCTTGAAGCCAGGAGGGTGGGGATTCGAAGGATCATAGCGTGGTGTCGAAAGATATATGAACCATAGTGCATTGAAACCACCAACGTGCATGGCGAGCAGACCATGCGCGAAGAGCGTGATGATGAGGTTACGGGTCCAGATATGGCGGAAAGGAAGCTTTTGCCGCAGCATCTGAGTGGATTTATCGGAAAGTGTGCTTGTATCTGGACGTGCGGTCGTTGGTGTTGGCTGGAGCTCGAGACTGCTAGAGGCAGCCCACTCATCCTCTAGAACGGCTGTGTATCCGGCGTTGGATACAACGTGCTGGCGAAAAATATGTCGAGATATCCATCGACCTATGCGTAGACCATGATCAGGATTGTCTTTGCAAAGCTCGCTAGTTTCTTCTAGAAAGAAGATCACAGCCAACGCTGAGACGAGGAGAAACACGGCGCTCATCAGATTGGGCAATGCGTACGGCCATCTGATCATCCACTGCACTCCATGCTTTCCACCTAGTATTGAGCCTGAACCGAAAATAGAAGGATAGCTTTCAACAGGGTTGGCCAATACACCGCCTAGTATTATTAGCAAGAGGTACCAAAGGATAAGTAAGAACAGCTTCACCAAGTACGGGTCCGACGATAACCCCGATATTGAACGTTATCGGTAAGATCAGAAAAGCTCTGCTCTGGAATTTCTTCACCTTGATAATCTCGCTGATCATCGTTCTCATGACGCCAATATTTCCGTTCAGAACTCCACCCAGACATCTGCAAGCCACAGCCATAGGAAAGCTGTGTGAGAAACCGAAGCCGATAATACTGAGCATCGTCCCTAGAAGACCGATATAAATGACTCTTTTCCTGCCACCTTGAGGTGAGTCTGCAAATTTGCCCCACAGAATTGCGGTGAGAAATTGAGTTGCCGGAAAGGCAGCTTGTATGATGCCAGCCTGGTACGATATTGTCGAGTCTGGCAAAGATGGATCGAAGGATTGGAGTTGATAGAAAAGGTACGAGCCAAGGGACGTTTGTGTCAAGGGCTCGGACAGTCGTGCTAGAGTGATAACGAGTAGTTGGTCCTTGCGGGGGAGTGAACGCCATGATACGGGCTTCGCCTTCTCAGCTTGTGTGTTTTCGGCTTCATCAAAACGCGGAGGGGTTGTTCTAGCTGAGCTAGTTGCCTCTATACGAAGATCGCGTGGCCCACGCTGTCGACCGGAGCTTGACACGTTACTCTCCTCTTCGCTATCACTTGAGGTGTTCTTGTATCGTGCCATGTTTCGCCTTCTCCAAAAAAACAGTCGTGATCGAAGAAAAGTATGAAGAATCAACAACTGAAGCTTTATTCCCGAAATGCAAAATGACGTCTGAGGTTTGTGGCAACGTTAAGAGATTGTAATCAGCCTCCTTGTAGTGCACGCTCGTGAGCTCCCAATCTGTAACAGGTCGGCAATATCCCGTGTAGAGGGACTGAAGATGCCGCGGGGAAAGATACGGCGAAATCATGTCGAGCGACTGCAAATTCAACTTTGTACTATCGGACGTATCGGTAAGGAAAAGAGGCGAGCGGCGGATGCACTTGCATATCCGGGCTTGTTATTGGTCTTTGACGCGGCTGACAGAGGCGCAGCTTGCTGCAGGTCGGTAACATCAGTTTTGATAAGAGCTGAGAGGCTGCCTGTGACCAAGAGCCAATATTGCGCAAAACAGAAAAGAGTCCTTCGAGTCCCCACGTCGTTATCGATGGATGCGAGATGGGAATGGAGAGAATGGAAAGGATTTGAGGACTGTACCGATGTCAGCCCCACTAGTCTAGAGCGAATCGGGAATGGCGGGATGCAAACTGCTGTGACGGAAATCTGGTGGCAGGTCAAGCTCTCGGACAGTGGCGTATCAAGCCGGAAGAATGGAAGGAATATGTTCTTATGATTGCGTCCGTTTTGCAACTCGGCAACATTGCAGCTCGTCATATTAAGAACACTGAAGTATAATGTCTCACTCTACAATCTATCCATGAGCGATTTGCCACCCCTCAAAGCTCACTCTTCCCATCCTCCTTATCCTTCGAGAAATTGATACTGACGCTGTTGACACAATGTCTGTCGTCTTTCGGGTTTCCAAATCTCTCCCCCTTGAAAATATGTCCTAAGTGCCCTCCACAGTTGTTGCACACAATTTCCGTCCTCATCATGCCTAGTCCCGGGTCAGGCTTTTGCCCCACTGCGCCTGGGACCGCGTCCCAGAAAGCAGGCCATCCGCATCCAGAATCAAACTTGTGGTTCGCCTTGTACAAGGGCGCATCGCAACCGGTGCATGTGTATGTGCCCTCGGTAGGGTAGTGCTTGTTGTATGTGCCCGAGCCGGGCATCTCAGTGCCTTTCTTGCGGAGAATGCGAAACTGCTCTACTAAATGTTAGACATGCTGAGAGAGAAAATGAGGATAATAACATACCAGGCGAAAGCTGCGCCTGCCATTCGCCGTCGAGCTTTGAGACAGGGTACTTTGTATCGTCGGCCATGGCGGTGCTGGAACCAAAAAGTGCGCTCAAGAAGGGGATACTGGGCATAGAGCGCAGAACGGTGGCGCGTTGGGGGGAGCTGTAGATTGTGCGGCCAAGGGTTGTGGGGTTCGTGCGGAGGAAGGCGTTGGTAGTGTTGGTAACGGTGTGGAAGGCGCGAATAAGATTGGGGAAGGAAGGGAAGCGCATGTGGAGAATGTTAAAGATTATGGGAGAGTTGCAGGGCGAGTTGTGCTGACGAGCTTCCGATGCTGGTGAGGGGTGGCGGGGAGCTTGCGCCACTGAAGCTTTGACCGAACATTTGGAATTGCGTCATGACTTGGGAGAATTGTCAACTTTCCTTAGTCAACAACATGTAAATTCTACATCGCCACAAACTCGCAATTCGACGATTTCCGACTGCAGATTCATGTCCAACATGGTGAAGGACAGGCGAGACGCGCTTGTCGCTCAGGAACAAGGCCAAGTGATGCCTGGCCACAGCTGACTTGGTCTTACATTGGAATTTTTCAACAACTCCCTGCACATGGTTGCTGGCGTTTCAAACGATTACACGACTGCTATCCATCTGGCACCATGCTATGCGATAAATGTACACAAATGTTTGGTTTTGTTGCTATGTCTGACTTTACTGTTGGATTGAAGTTAAGAGACCATCACCAGACCATTGATAAGTTCATCATATTTTCTAGACAAAGTATGCGAACTTGTTTGGAGGCAGACACGACCCTGACACTGTAGTAACAAGCTATCTCGCGAAATGCTCTATCGGTATTGCCCGCAAATGGTACATGGTTGGATGTAGGATGTAGTTGTCGCTCCGACCTGGTGGTTGGCGTCTACATGGTTCATCCTTAGTCACTAGCGCGACGCGTATCCTCCTTCCAATCTTGCTCCGCGTCCGTTCCATTTACAACAGCCTTGCTTCAACACCCTGAATCTGCCCTGGCATTTTCCGACGTGCGTCGCGCCTACATCTTCATCTAACGGCTCTCAGTGACCGGTTTCTGGGACTGTGTACCGCGAGGAACCCGTTGTCACCGCAGGTATTCGGATCACGAGTCTCGCTCAAGCTCCACGAAACCGCCCTCCAGACGGATAGGTATTGCTGAATTTGGATACACACTTCGCTGTTCTGATCGATCATGCAAGTGATGATTATACTCCAATACTTGAAGGAGCAGGCGCAAACGTTGAGCTAGCTGGGATTTGACAGGGCAGTAACATGCATGTGCATCGCATCGCTGATGCCAATGTCACTTTTGAAATGACCCTGGCATCGAAGGCGTCTTTTGTTCATCACTAGCACCGAACCGAAGCTTGCACGGTCTTTCACATGTGGAGTGGTCTGCGTCAAGTGAGAAGTCCAGACGCATGTCGAAATGCCATATCCTACCGTTCCGAACTTCTCCAATGTTGGAACAGCGCGTTATATGCGGCAAGAGGTGAATATTCGCGAGCGTCGTAAACAGTGCGGCAGTGCCTTCCGTGGACTATCGCCACATCTACACGTTGAACTGAACCGATGTTCGAGTGCTTAGCTGTGTCTTCCTGCAAACCGTCACCCGAGAACGGTGTCCCGGCCCGCCTCCGTGGTTTTTGCTTTGGCTGCCTTCCACATCAAGTTGCCGTTAGCGAGTATGATATATTGGGCAATCTCGTGTGCCTCCCGTTCGCTTCAAGGTAGAAAGCTATTTACAACTATAGCCGACTCAAGCTCGCTTCCGATCTAGATCGCAAAAACAGCTTGAAAAATGAGCATCTAAAGCTGCAGGCTCATTCCTAAAATGTTCATCGAGACACGTGCGTTCCCTAACATCCTCCCTGCATTGATCCCAGGATATGTCTCGCAAACAAACCCATGGAACAATGCCCACTATGGATAGACCGATATCACCAGCCTTGTCCTGTCAACACTGGTCACACATCCCACCCACATGACCAAGTAGAGTTATACTGGTTTCCCCTCGCTTCGGGGTGGGCTTCGGTCTATACACCCTCCTTGGACCTGCATTGAAAACCGATAGCTGCTCTACCCTAGAGCATCCGCTATTAGCAGACAGATACTTGCATTAAGGGCGTTCGCAGATGTCTATTTAAGTCGCGAGGCTTTCGTCCCCAAAGCTTTCATCTCATTCCATAATTCCGCACTTTATTGTTCCACTTCCAGTCAACGCAAATATGCTAGAACTCAATGCCATCTGGCTGCTTCCTATTCTATCTCTTTGCAAAACAACGCTTGCTATCAACGGCTGCCCCGTTGCGGACACTGTCTATGCTGGCAATGGAGGCGTGCGTTACCGCATCTGCCCAGACACAGATCTTACGGGTGGTTCAACGTCGGTAAATACCAATGTTGCCTCAGTCACTGCATGTGCGCAGTTATGTGACCTAAGCATGAACTGCTTCAAAGCTGTATATGACACGCAGGATAAGACTTGTCATTTCAAGGCTCTTACAGGATTGAGTTGGGTGGCCAACGCGCGTTACGATGCGATACAAACGGAGCAGATCAACATTGCAAAGTGCCCCTATGTGGAAACAACATACACCAACAACGGCGTAAGTACACCTTGCAAGACTGAGGCACCGACAAGATGCGGGCGCTAACAGATGCGTAGAAGACGTACAAGATCTGCAAGGATACTGATGTTCGAGGTGGCAACGCGCAGAGCATTACCGGTGTTACAACCCTCAATGACTGCGCAAACCGCTGCTCGACTACTACGACATGTGTCCAAGCTGTGTGGGATTCAGCTGGCTCGATCTGTTACATCAAGGCTGATGCCACTATTAACACTCTTATTTGGTCTACTGACAAGCGTTTCGATGTTATCCGCCAAGATGTGGTAGCAAGTCCAGCTACCAATGGCGTCTGGTCCGACTTGGTACGGTTCCCAGTCATCCCTGTCGCAGCCTACATTGTTCCAGAGTACCCATCGCCATCACGCCTACTCATGTTCTCGAGCTGGGGTGCTGATACCTTTGGTGGAGAGGGTGGACGAACGCAATTTGCGGATTATAATTTCAACACGTAAGTTCACTTTAGAATGTTACATAGTCTCAACTCACTCGGCTCTACAGAGGTGTTGTCTCCGCTCGTACAGTTGCTGAAACTAAGCATGATATGTTTTGTCCTGCCATCAGTAGCTTGGAAGATGGCCGTATCTTCATTCAGGGTGGGTCTGATGCTGCAGCGACAAGCTTTTACCACCCCAGCAACAACTCCTTCACACGAGGCCCAGATATGAAAATGGCGCGAGGTTATCAAACGTCTGTGACGTTGTCAGATAATAGAGTCTTCACTATCGGTGGAGCGTATTCGGGCCCAAGACAGGGCAAAGATGGCGAAGTTTACAACCCCGCTACGAACACTTGGACCGCACTGCCAGGGGCCAAGGTCGCGCCTATGTTAACAACAGATGCCGAGGGAATTTGGCGCGAAGACAATCACATGTGGGGGTTTGGCTGGAAGAACGGATCTGTGTTCCAGGCTGGACCCAGCAAAGCAATGAACTGGTACGATACTGCGGGCACAGGATCTCAGACAGCTGCTGGTATCAGAGATTCTATCGATGATGCCATGTGCGGAATCTTTGTCATGTATGAACCCGGTCATCTCCTGACTGCAGGTGGGTCTTCGGACTACACCGACAGCCCTGCCAACGCCCGCGCACATATCATCACAATCGGAGATCCAGGTACCACTGCAGTCGTCGAACGCGTACCCGATATGGCATATCCACGTGGCTTCTCGAATGCCGTCGTATTGCCGGATGGCACAACCCTTGTCACCGGTGGCCAACGTCGCTCATTGGTATTCACAGACACAGACGGCATCCTTTACGCCGAGCTCTTCAACCCAAAAACCAAGACCTGGAAGACTCTGGCCGCTGAAGCAGTACCACGGAACTACCACTCAGTCGGCCTTCTGCTCCCTGACGCACGTGTGTTCAGTGGTGGCGGGGGACTGTGCTACATTGCCACTGTTGGTGGAAGTTCAGTGAATTGCAACAAACTCGTTGACCACGCCGATGGACAGATCTTCTCACCGCCGTATCTCTTCAACGCCGATGGCTCTGCGGCTACGCGTCCAGTGGTGTTAACGAACGCTACAAGTGTTCCTGTTGGCGGCAAATTGGCTCTGAATGTCGACTCAAAGACGGTTGACCCGGCGTTCGTTTTGGTCAGGATTGGAAGTGTTACGCATTCAGTGAATAGTGATCAGAGACGAGTGCCTCTAACAAATGTGGTAGCAGGCAATGGGACATTTACTGCCACGTTGCCGAGTGACAGTGGCATTGTTATTCCCGGGTTCTGGTACCTGTTTGCCATTTCCAAGGCGGGTGTACCGAGCGTGGCACGTACTGTGCAGATCACGCTATAACAACGATGTTCCCGGTCAGTGCAAGGCATGTACTCCGATCTTTTTTTCTTTGTTATGCCCACCCAAAAATAGCGGGCCAATGATACTTTATGCTGAGTGTGGCGCAGTCACTATGCCACTGTGGCAAAAAGCGGGGTGGGCATAACAAAGAAAAAAAGATCGGAGTATGAGATTGGGGACGAGAGCTCCTGTGTGCATCTCAACTCGCGACTGATATTTCGTTCGATCTTTTCTCTATCTTCAAGGGTCTTTTCTCAGACGTCATAACATGATATCACGGCCTCTAATCTCTCAATCGCGTGCAAGATTACTCATGTTGAGCAGCTCAAATTGAAGATTATCTAGGTTATACAATTCTTACATTAGATTCCTGCTTCAAATCCTATGCAATTCCATCGAAAAATCTCGTCCCCATCTACACTCACCCCGGCTCTCCTCAATCACTAGGATAAGAATGTCCCGTCATCTTCAACATGTTGCGTCACCGATGACGGCCCCGGCTCCCTGCCACGAAACAATCCTGATGTGGCAGGTCGGCAGCAACACCTTAACTCCAACAACGCAGTCTTTCCATCATCGAAATTCGAATGATAGATATCGATATCTATCCGCAGGGATCTAATACGCCGCGGAGAAAAGGTCCACTTTGGAGTTCGCAACTCATGTTACAGGCACCTTCCTCTTGCGGCTAGCGTATGCACCCCATATGCAGCCGTGTTGTAATACAAGCGACTCAAGATATGGTACCAAGTAACACCACGATCAACGTCACTTTTGGCTCCATTTCACTTAGGTGGTAGACGTGTCACGGAACGCAAAGACGGACAGCTAACAATGCTTTGGACAGCTCTAGTGACACTGCGAATAAGTTCAGTAGCACACAGGTTCTAACAAAGGATACAGCAGTTGGTAAAGCGAATACAGTAGCACAAGATCGAATTTAGGACACTCTATTGGCCCAGGGCCTTAATACCGTGAATGTTTAACTCCGCCTTTCGATGGTCTGCACCCTTTGCATATCAGACGGTTGAACACAGAAACGTATCACGACCCCGGCTTTCTTTATCGTACACAGCGACGTGTCTCCGCTACCGTGCCTTCCCGCGGGGTACCGGGCTCCTGTGAAGCACGAACTACATGCGGCAGTCACTCGGCAGTTTAGGGAAGTGCATGTCCGAAAACATGTATAAGGGCTGGAGTACGTTGTACCAGGAAGTTGCTGCTGTCGTTTGAACCTCATACCACCGAGACTGTCGATCGTTTTCAGCGGCAGTATGGTATCCGCAATGTTTGCTCTCAAGGTTTTTGTCGCTTTTGCGCCATTGACAAATGTCTGGGCGAGGTACACAAATAAAACGGCCTTACCTTTGTTGCTGGATGCGACGGGTGAGGAATTGACGATGGGTCTGGAGACGGGGGCTTTCACGAGTGTAGATCTCGTGCAGGTAAGATGGTCTCTCCGAATTGGTCTGCAATAACTATACTGATATACATAGGCGTATGTTGCTCGCATCCTTGAGATGAACGTCACCCTTCATATGGTCACCGAGATCAACCCTGATGCTTGGGATATCGCAAAGACATTGGACGAGGAGCGTGCGAGTGGAAAAATTCGGGGGTTTGTCACATCCACGCATCAATATTATGCACTCGATACTAACTTTCGCCAGACCTCTTCATGGCCTCCCAATTCTCATCAAGAACAACATCGCCACCGCCGACGAGATGAACAATACAGCGGGTTCCTTCTCGCTTCTTGGCGCCCGTGTCCCCCGCGATTCAACCATAGCGGCCAAACTGCGTGCTGCGGGTGCCATCATCCTCGGGAAAACCAACCTTTCTCAATGGGCCAACTACCGCTCCTCCAACAGCTCGAACGGCTGGTCTGCCTACGGCGGGCAAACATACGGCGCGTACTACCCTGGACAAGATCCCAGCGGAAGCAGCAGCGGGAGTGGCGTATCCGCCAGTCTGGGCCTTGCTTTTGCAGCCCTCGGCACAGAGACGGACGGAAGTATCATCAGCCCAGCACAGGTGAATAACGTCGTCGGCGTCAAGCCTACTGTGGGTCTCACGAGTCGAACTCTAGTCATCCCCATCTCGGAACACCAGGATAGCGTGGGACCCATGGCGCGCACAGTCAAGGACGCAGCGTATATCCTTCAAGCCATTGCTGGCCCAGATCCGGCAGATAACTACACACTTGCCATCCCGTGGGCGAGCAACTCATCAAACGCAACAGTCCCAGACTACGTAGCGGCGTGCACATTGGATGCGCTGATGGGGAAGCGTATCGGCATCCCGCGCAATGCGATAGGAACCCGCTCTGCTTCCACAGCCGCGATCTTCGACGCTTTCGAGGCCTCGCTCGCCGTACTACGCTCCGCTGGCGCAGTCATCGTGGAAAACACGAACTACACAGCCTACGCTCAGTACCTGAACTCCACAGCCGAGGACATCGTACTCTCGGCAGACTTCAAGCCCAATCTCGCAGCGTACCTAGCGCAGCTGACGTACAACCCAAACAACGTGACTTCACTGGCGGACGTGAGGGCATTCACGCAGAGATTCCCCATGGAAGACTATCCCGACCGCGACACAGCCGAGTTCGACGCATCACTCGCTCTGAACTTTTCCAACACGGATATTCAGTTCTGGAACGCGTACCAGCAGGACTTGTACCTTGGCGGCGAAGGTGGACTGCTAGGCGCGCTGGCTACATATGACTTGGACGCTGTGGTTGTGCCTTCTCGCGTTTCGTCTGGCATCTCAGCTATCATCGGTGGCCCGGTTGTGACAGTGCCCATGGGCGCGTATCCGGCTAACACTACGGTTCGCACGAATTCGCGTATGGATCTCAATGCCACGGCGCCTAATATCCCATTCGGCCTCTCGTTTGCGGGGAAGCTGTGGAGCGAGGAGAGCCTGATTGGGTTTGCGTATGCGTTTGAGCAAAGGACGAATGTTAGGGAGAAGGTGAAGCCGTACGTGCAGCCGAGTCTTGAGATTAGCGATTTTCTTTGAGTGAGAAGACGGTATGAGAGGAGGTAATATATATTAGACTTGGGTTTTAGTAGCAGGGATGAAGACGTTGAACATGATAAAGGACTTTCTCCGAAATTGATGATGAGGCTTCTCTTATTTTGACGCGACTTGCGGTACTCCACCTGCCGATGGAACGACAATATTCCTGCATTTGAATTTGTCGCGTGAAACCGATGTCTATCCATCTTGCTGGGAATCTTGATCACACAACTTGGCTGGAGGGATTTCGCATCAAGACTGTGTCAACATCTTCACTCATGTGGGTGATTGTTGATATTCAAGGCCGAGCGCTGACTTGAGGAAGAGAAGAACTTGCAAATCGGCAAGGGGCTGAAAGTTCATCATTCCAGCAGATAAGGCTTTACGTCATGCCATCATGGAGTAGTCGAGAGCCTTTGATAATCATCGTATGAAGTCGTGACCCAAATCTATATTTTTATCGTGAACATCGTCAGTAAAGCCTCTTTGCCTTACCTCAATGTGCGCTTATTCAAAGTACCCCGGGAACAACCACTGCAGCTTCTTCTCCGCCTCCTGGCCTCTGCCTTCCTTCTTCGTCATAGCGCCCGCGAACCGCATCTGGCCTTCCATGTGCTTCGCCAACACCAACTCGCCATTCTCCTCCTTAGTGAGCTCATTCAACACGGCAGCCATGAACCGCTGAGCGTTCTCTGCATTCGCCTTCATGTGCGCCATGACCATCTCGACATTGACATCCTCTTCGCCGTTGCCCCTCCAGCAATCGTAGTCAGTCGCCATGCAAATCATCTGGTACCCGATCTCGGCCTCGCGCGCCAACTTCGCCTCGGGTAGCGCGCTCATATTGATAACGCTCCCGCCCCATGTGCGGTACATGTTCGACTCAGCGCGTGTGCTGAACTGTGGGCCCTCCATGCAGATAACTGTCCCCTTGTCATGCAGTGTGACGCCTTCGCCCTCCAGACTGTGTCCGCACCGCCTGACGATCTCCGCCAGTCGCTTATCGAATGGGTCACCGAAGCCCACGTGTCCAACCATGCCCTTCTCGAAGAAGGTAAATGGCCGGATACCCTTTGTACGGTCGATGATCTGGTCGGGAACAACAAAGTCCCGGGGTCGGATCTCCTCCTGTAGAGAACCCACGGCGGAGAAAGCGATGATAGTGCGTACGCCGAGATGGCGTAGGGCGGCGATGTTGGCTTGGTTCTTGACCTCGTGGGGCGCAAGCTCGTGGTGGAGACCGTGGCGCGAGATGAAAGCGATGGGAATAGACGCCCCAGTGGAAGGGGAGGCGTGCGTGACGATGCTAACGGGGGAGGATGGCTTGCCCCATGGTGTGTCGATATCAAGTGTAGCGGCGAGGGAGAAGCCGGGGAGCGACGAGATGCCCGTCCCGCCTATGACGGCGATGTGGACGGGTGCTATCAACATGAGCTATGTCCAGAAGCAGGTTGGCAAGCCAAGCGCGTACCATCGTATGTATTAGGGACGCCGGCCATTCTGCGGTAGGGAATTGAGATACGACGGAGGAAGGTATGTGGAAGAAAAACTGGAGAGGGTACAGCAAACTTGACGCGTTGTAACATTCACCGAGGGGTCAAAGTCGGCGCGATAAACAATTTTGACAGCGCGGGGCAGACCCTGATGGCGTCATTGGCCAATGAGAAAGCGTGTCCGTGCACGGCCCTTCTATCTCTACTTCTGATGATGCGCGATAGATACAAGCCCACACCTCATATCGAAAAGTAACCATCCCTTCTGTTAGCAGTGCTTGATACTGTCGGCTTGGTATCAGTGATGAGCCATCACTCCTCGTCCTCCCCTCCTTCTCCATCCCCACTTGCTTCTTCATCCTCGTGTTCCCCCTCGTCCTCATCTCCAACAACAGACGTGAAATTTTCATCGTCATCATCAGAACTCACAGCAGCTTCTGAATGTATCGCCTGTTGTAAGATTTTGTGTGCTTCCTTCTGCTTATACTGCGAAAGTCAGCATGTGCGCATAGCTATATGAAATGTATAAGCTCACAATTTCGAAGTCTTTCCTCCATATCTGTGAGAGAATTGAATTTCCTTCAATGGTAAATTCTTGAGGGCCACACGCGCCACTTTCAACAAGATGTACCCGAACATGGTACCCCGCATCTTGGAGTCGTTGTACAGTCTGTAAGATGAAGGTTACAACTTCATCTAATACCCACTCTAGCCTTCCGAGAGCACCGCCTGTTCGCATGTCGCCCACTTCGAGTCGAATTTCGAGCTTCGTGCCTTGCTTGAAGCCGAACAATGACTCTAGTTCAGATAGAAGCGCTATAGGCAACTGTTTGTTGCAAGACCCATCCCAGCTATCGGGAGTGTTGTTGAGACCATTGAATCTGTATCGGCCACAATCGATTTCGAACCGCACATGGGCGACGAAGGTGACTGGAATAAAGCCAAGTTCCCACTGGTCCGTAATTCGGAACTTGGGAACGATATCGAAATGAGCACCAAACGTAAAACACGTAGTTCGGTAATAGTGTTCACCTAACTCTCGGAGAACGGAGGGGCTGACATAATCAGGATTCCACCAATGGTCCAAAAGAACATCGCTAGATGCGTCATATAACCGGAATTCGGATTCAGATTTCGAATCGAAGTAACTCATTAGGGGTTCCCAGCCTACTTTATGGTAATGTGGTATGAAGACATTTGACTCTGTATTGATATAACCGTACACCATATCGCGTAATTCGCTGGGAAGCGTATGATACATCTTGTCACAGAAGCTGAGACAGACGGCCTTTGCGTATTCTTCGATTGTCGCATCAATGTCCGACTGCTTTATAAAAGCGCTCTGTTGGAGATGATTCTTTTCGCGTCGCTTTGCCTTTATTTTCTTCTGGACGGCCTGCATCTTGCCGTCGATCTTCGTTTTATCGTTCAGCAACCTACGAAGTTGATCAGCAGGCCACTTCCCTGATAGTAGACGTACTCACTCGACACATCTTGAGCGAAGGCGCTCGCAATCATCGACGTGTGTCACCACTTGCTCCATCGCAGACTGCAATTTGCTATTGGCAGACTGAATGAGGCGATTGGGGGTTCAGCTGGTGATCTGTAATAATGCTGAGGTGAAGTGAGGTCAGTGTCGGTACGGAGCGCACGAAGTGATGGGAGATATTGGGACCGACCTGCCCCACAGCCCCACTACTCAACGCGTATTCACGTGCCTTCTGCGTTCACCGCGAAAGTGAAAGAAGTGTTGCATATGTTAACAGGATTAATCTCATATAGGTCAGTATAGGCAGCGGCATCATTCATGGTCAGTAGTCATTTGGTCCCGGCACACACTTTCTCAATGTAAGAGAACTGGCTCTTTGCTCTCACACAGGCTTGCAATATCTATCAACTAGTGAACTTGATTTGCAAACACGTCCGTATCTTACTGGTGTGCCTCGCCCTTGTCACCTTGTCTACTAATCGCTATCTGTCAGTCGTTGGGTAGTGAAAACAAGCCGCCTGGGGGTTCTTTGCATCTGCATACTTGGACAGCCCAATTAGACGAATTGAGAACGAATGCGTCTTGTAATATGTATCTTGCTGAGCCCTCCCTCCTCTAAGGTACCTTAGTGATGAGTACAAGATCAGTGGACATACACTATCCTTATCTTTGCAGACGCTGCATGAAACACATGCATCTCGCGACCGAAGTCTCCCGACGAAGGGTTAGACTCACCGCCCTCTCAAGTTCGCCGCAGCACCTCCTGAGGCGAGGAGTTCAATTCCTTTCCTTTGCGTCATGGACTCAGTCCCTTTTGGTTGACGGGAGTTCCCTCAAAACGTTTGTGAAGCGTCTACACTGGCTTCAATCTTGGAGCTAGATGGCATTTGCTACTTCACGACCTGGAATCAGATAGGAAATGATAGAAAGAAAGAGACGTTACGTCACGAATCGGAGTTTTATTGGTGGGGAAGATCGGATCTGGCTGACGTAACCAAACACAGGGCGAACCTGCCCTAAAGGATTTACCGAGGATGAGGCTGCCACCTGTCAGCCTATGAAATCTTCAACATTACGGCGCACCATGTCTAGACCTGTATACGTTCTACGTGTTGGAGACCCAATTCGCAATCCCTTGTGGTCTACATAGTACCTGTAGAGGTCCAGACACAAACAAACGACCCGATTCGCCGTAACATCAAGCGGGGCAAGATTTGAGATTCATCTAGGGCGAGTTTAAGGAAGGAGATACTTGGCGACTTGCTATATAAACTCGAGACCTGGACGACACTGAGTTCTGCTACCTCTTTATCGATCATCTTTATCACTTCTTGGTTCCTTATGCAACATGATGGCCAAACGACTACTACATCTACTCCCTTTCGTCCATGCCACGCCTGCCTACGCCACGCCTGGGCAGAATGAAGAGAGTGACGTCGCATCTCCACGATGCGACTCATCAGCATTCTCCAAACCAGATTTGGGTTCTCATATAGAGATTCTCTCTTTCTCGGCAGTTCATCAAAGTAATTACACCAGCGTGAGAGGAAGTCCTATACTGCCCGCTCTGAACGAGTTGAGTTTCTGCCAGGTCCAGGTTTACCTCACTCACAAAGGCACCAACGACAAGGTCCTCGTCGAGGTATGGCTTCCTTCCACTCATGACAACTGGAATGGTCGCTTCCAGGCAACTGGAGGCGCAGGCTTTGCAACTGGCATGTTCAGTGCCCAACTCGGTGTAGCTGTGCAAAACGGCTGGGCAGCTGTGTCGACGGATGGCGGACACGATCCAGACCTCGCCAAAACAGGCGATGCTTCGTGGGCGTTGAACGAGGATCGCAGCATAGATTGGAACCTATTCAACAATTTTGCTACGAGAAGCGTTGTCGAGCAGATCGCAGTGGGCAAGAACATCACGGAACAATACTTCGGCAAGAAACCTCACCATTCGTACTGGAATGGGTGTTCGACTGGAGGTCGACAAGGCTATGCTATTGCGCAAAGATACCCGCACCTGGTTGATGGCATCCTTGCAAATGCGCCTGCAATCAGCTTCGCACATTTTGTTACGGGAGAATTCCACCCACAGATCACGATGAAGCTTCTAGACACTTACATGTCGAAATGCGAGCTTGAGTATTTCAGATGGCAGGCGATCGAGCGCTGCGACATGCTAGACGGCGTACGTGATGGAATGCTCGAGGACCCGGAAGCATGCGACTTCGATCCCAACGGGCTTGTGGGTGACACGATCGAGTGCGATGGAGCGGAAGTGCAGATTACCAAATCGATGGCGCAACTCGTTATCGAAATTCAAAAAGGCTTCCCGGCCTCCGGGCCTCGTGTATGGCAGGGCCTTGCACCTGGAGTTCCCATGGACGCACTCGCGGGCATCAGTGTATCAAGCGAGGGCGTTCGCTCGCAGCGGCCCTTTCCTATCAGTTCTAGTTGGCTCAAGAACTTTCTTCTCCGGGATGAATCATTCAACCTTTCCAGTCTGGAGATGCCTCAATTCGTTGAACTATTTGCGCAAGCTAGCTATGAGTATGGTGCTATCTTAAACGCCGACAACCCCGACTTGTCGGCTTTACAAATGTCAGATACGAAGCTCCTTACGTGGCATGGTCTGAACGACCAGTTGATACCATTTCAAAACACCGTAGCTTACCGAAAACGAGTTGAAGGGGCAATGGGAGGAGCGCAAGCAGTTGACGATTACTACCGCCTCTTTCTGGTCCCTGGTGTTCAGCATTGTGGGGGAGGTGATGGACCCGTTCCAACAGACCCCTTGGCTGCCCTTATCACATGGGTGGAGGATGGCCAACCACCAGAAACACTGGACGCGGAGACCACAACTGAGTATGGAGAAACGATCACAAGAGAGCTGTGCGCTTGGCCAGCGAAGTCTAAATACATGGGCATTGGAGATGCGAAGCGGGCTTCGAGTTGGAGCTGTGAGGGGGGAACCGAGAGGCTTGAAGATCTTGATCTTGATAAGCGGGATGAGCAGGTACAATTTTTGGGCATGCAGATGCAACCGCAGAAACCAGGATACCGTTTGAGGAAGGACGACGACAACAACGACAACGTGGAGGATGGCGGACGCACCGGACAGGTATTGGCAGGGCTGAAAGATCGATTGGAGGGTCTCGACCTTGGTTTGATGATTGGTTAAGTACAGTTCAACCACAACTCGCCGGTCTCGGCCGAGCAACGCAATCACAGCAAGAACATGCGATTTCGCAAAAAGTTAACATCACTATGATACAATCACACTGACCAATTTGGTGGTTTGGGGTCGACTATAGTTCTAACGAGTAACCCTAACATAGGCTCTTGGCGACTACGTCAACTTCTCTGCATCTGGGACACTTTGTAACTCGCCCCATGTCAAATCAGCGACCTAAGCCACGCGGTGGTTTCGTTCTTACAATCTTCATCTTTAGTAAAGCACACGCCGCTCGTGGAAATTGCGACATCTTCCCGAACCTTATTTTGAAGCGCCGAAACGCTAAACAATGCTTGTTTGACCAAGGGCACTCCCACGAAACGTGCTAATCGGCTGGTGTGAGGTCCGACCGGGCAATTCAGTTCCTAATATACAGCCACAGCAAAAAAAGCATCGCTCGGTCTTACCTGATTGGCGCTTCACGTGATGAAACCTACTGATTATACATACAAGACAAAAGGTTATTTCTTGATGTGAAACATCCATAGATGGCACATTTTGAAACTTTCAAAACTAAACGTCCTATCCCAAATGCGGAAAAGAGCAAAAGCCATTCTATATGCGAGTCTTGGTAGGCTTGATACGCATTTATTTGTTCGGGACTCTACTTTTTGGTAAGCGACCTACTATCTTTTTCTCGTAACAACTCTACAATTATGAACGCCTCAGCTACTATCCGGGCGTCCTACGTTCGTGCCTCGCGAAGCAGTTTGATATTGCCCTCTCAGCGCCCATTCTCGTTTCGGATCTCCTTCGTCGACTTGGAAGCGCGACCTCCAATAGACAATGGAATCACAAATTTTGAGCCTTTGGGCGACTTCGTTCACAGCGAGAAGTGCGACACAGATCTCAAGGACTCTGCGATGTATTTCGATGGAAATAAATCGTACATCGACGACCATCATCTCAACGGGGGGGCTCCATATCAGGAGATTGACCACTGGGCATCATTTCGAACGCGGCTCAAGAAGATGTACACAATCTTCCCTTACCGCGATCCGATCTGGCTCGTCGCAGTCATGTTCGTCATTGGCAGTATCGATCTCGTCATAAACGCATTTTTCTGCCTCCTCCCGCACACGACTCTCTCCACGGTTTCTGACACGGAGGAAACAATCGCTATTCCCTCTACCGTGCTAATTGGATCCATTCTCTTCCTTGCAGCCGCCGTTTTCGACACCCTCGCTGCACTCAATGTGGATTGCGGTACTCTCGAGACAAGCGAAAAGGACCTAACACAAATCACGTATCGGCCAACACTCATCGGAACTCCGGAGTTCAAATGGATACCCTCATTTACCAAGACCGCCGAACTCACGGTGACTAGTGTAGCCTTTCAAGCCGGGCTTATCGTGCTGTTTGGTGGCGTCATCTTTATGTTCGCCGGCATCGTCGATTTCCCAGGCGTGGTTTCTGAGGAAGACCCATTGTTCGGCACTGTTGTGTTTGGACCACAGATCTTGCATGGCGCCCTATTTCTGGTCGCTAACGTCATGCTTGCTCTCTCCGAGCAGGAGTGTTGGTACTTTCCAAAGGTTCGAGACCCTGACTGGCAAGGCGCATTCTTGAACAGTGTGGGTGGACTTGGATTTATGATGGCTGGGTTCTTCTTGTTTCGAGAAGATCAAGTTTTGTCTGCGGCGGCCGCTATGGCAGGGAGTTGGGCGTTCTTGATTGGAAGTTTGATGAGGTGGTATGTTGTCATGGATGTTTGGTAAAACGCAAGTGAATGATCGCACAAGCTCTAGAGTTGTTCAATTGATGAGGTTTTGTATTCCAGTCTAGAGCCTTTCAGAAGTCACATAAATCACACAATCTGTTCGCCTTTAACGTTGTGGTGTTTGATAATTGCAATCTTGTGTATCATGTGAATTGAAGACACCAATAGCACGGTCGGGTGAATTATGTGGAAGTCGCAGTTCGGGCGACATTTTCCAGGGATATTGTAGTCTCCGAGCTGTGTATCGTATGCCCCTCAGAAGCTTATATATGCACATCGTCATCACAGAAGGCTATTGGAGAGGAGCATGCTTATTTGTATGGAATAGGATCGAAACATATACCAGCCAGGATTACTCCACGAACTGTCACCATAGCAAAGTTTCCAACATTGTCAGTTTCTAGCACGATTTTTAGAGACCACAAGTGTATGATTTGACGTTATTATGGGTCTACTCTCAACTCTACATTTGAATCTAGTTGCAACAAATATATGACTGATTACCGAAAGATTGACAAACCATCAAAGCACGAAGAGGTTCACAAACGCGCTTGAAGCTCCTTCATGCACGGGTACGTACGTAGGGTTGATCAATCGTACACCTTGCTACGGAAGTTTGCCTTCCTCCTGAGTGTTGGCTTTTCGCTCTCCCCATCTTCCAAGGATGTTCCCGAGGTACTGTTTGTGCTAGAGGTTATACGACTATCCACTGTACTATCGGTTCTCGTCGAATCGAATGAGGGCTCTTTGCTGCTTCTAGATACGGCGTTCGATTCTCCATGACTTGATGCTGACTCGGAAAACTCTGATGATGATGATGTTGATAATGCTGATGACAATCGATTTTCTTCGTGAATAGGATCTTCAGAAGTAGGGCCGGCCGTTCTTATCTGCTTATGCTTCATGCTGTCTCTCGGGATGGAGGTATCTTGTCGAGCAGGTGACGGCGATGAAATTGAGTAAGAAAGTGGCCTGCCGGAGCGAATGCTAGAAGAGGAACCAGTCAAGTTGGAGGAAACAGCTGTGAGACTTTGATTGGTGTTTTGGGAGCCCGTGTCTAACTTATCCACAGATAGACCACTCGATAGACGAGACGGGTTGTGCACACTGGCAGTTGAATGTCGGAGGCCTGGTTGGGCAGCACGCGGCCGACCTTGAGCACCGGTAAGAGACGGATGTGGTGTATCTGTCATTCTTATGGGTCTTCTCGGCGCGTCTCTATGGTCTTGATCTGGTGATTTTGGCTGATACTGAGAGTGGCTGGTACTTTCAACTCTCCTACGGCCCGGCATTTCGGTGGGAGAAGTCGGACGTCGTCTGACACCCACAGGTGATGGAAATCTAGCAGGGACTACTCGATGTCTAGACGGGTTATCAAAAGATCCGCTTGGGTAGAAGCTCGAAGACGGCCATCTTGTTGGGGATGGCTGTCTGATGCTACCGGGATAGAGGGTTCGACCAGAATTGTAGGTACGATCGTCGCCTCTCCCAGGACGACCCTTATCCCGCAGATTTTGACTCCTATCCTCTGTGTCTAGTTCATCTTTCAGCAATCCTTCCCTTCTTTTTCCTTGATTCGACCTCCACTCTCCCATTGCGCGTCGTTCTAGTTCGAGGTCAACTTCTTCTTCTTGCATGGCGTGCTGTCTGATTTTCTGATCTTCTGTCCACGTCTTTCCATCATCCGTCCGGTGCTCTTTCTTATCTTTTTTCTTATTTGTGACCCAGATCACAACATTCAACCCAGAAGGCCCTTCTTGGATGACATCCTGAAAAGAACTTTGGTGCATTTCAAACGCGTCAGTATCATCCAAAAAGTCAGAACCAAGGATAACGTCGAAAGGGCAGCCACGCAGTACATCGAAGTCGATGTAGTCGTCCGTATATGATGGAGCGATTCCCCATCCCGTCACGAATGACCACTGAAGACGCAAGCGACCAGATACAGTTTCTGTGCTACCATCGGCAAACTGCAAAAGTTGGCAACTTTCGGGAGGACGATACATGTCGAGGAGCCAGTCGCGTTGCTGCACGTATGCGTAAGATAGCAGATTCGGCTCAGCACCGGAGTCAGGGAGTGCACTACACTCCTCCGACTTCAAGCTCCCCCTTAACCTTCGACTTGGGGTGCCACAGAGATTCACCACCCTTGTACGGAGTGCACGACCTGGTTTAGGTATACGACATAATCGATATCGATGGTTCGTCATCGTCTCTGTCCTGCTCAGAAAACTAGAACCAATCATGATATCGAAGATGCAGTCTTTCAGGACGTGAAATGTCACATCGTAGACTGAACCAACTGCAGTATCGAACTGCCACGTCGTCGTGATGCTACCGATGGCAAAGATTGATCGTCCATGCCCCATCACGAATGATGGACGATCATCATTCCAGACATATTCAATCCTGACGCCTAGCTCCTTTGCAGCATCCTCTGCTATGAAATTGTCGTCTGCTCCGGTATCGCACAAAGCAACCACACGTTTTCCATTCATCAAACCTCTCAAACCTTCTAAGGTATCCTGCCTCTGTGTACGGGTTCGGCTAGTCATACTAAGACGACTGCTCCCCATGGTTGTATGCTTTGAAGCACGGTTCGGTATCGGTTTCTTCGAAGTATCAGAGTTATTATCTCTTTTACGCATATAATTCTTAGCTTCCGTCAACTTCGTGCGTGTTTTCTCCTCTCGCAAACCTGCGAGTGTGTATTCAGCGTCATATCTCGCCCGCTTATCTTCATCACCTATGATCTCGTACGCTTGCTGAACTTTGCGAAACTCATCAATCTTGTCCTCCCTCATTAGCGGGTCCGAAACTTTATCCGGATGGCATTTGAGCACCAGCTTTCTATAAGCTGACTTGATCTTAGCTTGGTCGACATCTCGGGGAAGTCCAAGAGCGAGATATGGGTCGGGAGGAAGAGTCGTCATAGTAGTAACGTTCTACCTGTGCATTCAGTTCAGCCTGATAAATAGGGTGGGCATCGAGGTCAAACCAGCGTATCAAAGCAAGGCGCGTTGCCTTTAGAATTGCTGTAGCAGTTGTAGATTTGGGAAACTAGAACAACACCGCAAAGTGCTTCCCGAAGTTTCAGACCTCGCAAGTTGTACAATTAGGCCGTCATATAGTAATTTACCTATGGGGGCTGAGCTTCGTCGACCCCGCACAGCCTTGCACAGCCACATACAGGTAGCGATGATCTCCACCATCAATCATTTATCCCATGCCATAAATAAAGTAGCGCCCTCTCATCTTCACCTTGAGGACCGATAGACTTCGATATCTCTATGACGTCTTCAGCATCAACTAAACCCTTCCACTCACACGCAACTTTTGCGGACTTTCTCGCTTCTGACCCCGAACTCCTCGTCTTTCGACGCTTCGATCTACTAAATGCGCGTGCGCTTCTCTACCTACAATCCGAGCTCATGACACTAGAGGTTCAACTCCTCGAGCTAGACAAGGAAGACATGAATGATGGATCCATGGACGTCATGCTCGCCGCAAGGTGTTTCGAGGTGTTAACATCACGTGCCGCGCAGGATTTTCCACGAGAGGCGGAGAGAATTGAGTTGATACGAAGAATCCAAGATGTCTCATATCGGTATAGTGAGTATGCACTTTCGGGGAGTTGAAATTGGAGGTTTTGATGGCGATAGGTAGATAAGATGCTCGTTGTGCAAAGCCAGGTTCAGCAAATCGCAGCACCGAAAACACGCGTTTGGAACGTGTTTACCAACTGGTTTCGTCAAGCGAAGCCCTTTGTTGGACATAGTCGGCATCTGTTGCGGAAGAAGACCAAGGAAGATTTCGTAGCTATCGGAGCTGTCGGGGATCACGATGTCTTGACTAGGGTAGTGGAATATTTGACAGGACGTATTGTTGCCGTAAGCGCTTCCGTTTGTTGCAAATGCACTCACTGACACTATCTCAGTGGAAACGTAGTAGCTCGAATTCTCAGGAGGCGCCGATGTATTATAAGCATCAGACAGTCGCAAGGATCATCACACTCATCAGTATCATCGGCGCAACACTGCTTCTGGAAGCTGCCATCGTTGGACTGTACGTGGTCACCAATGATCATGTACGATTTGTACTAATCGCCGTCTTCATCGCGCTGTTTGCTGTGGCATTATCGCTGTTTAGTAATGCCCGACGAGCGGAGATGTTTGGGGCAACAGCTGCGTATGCTGCTGTTCTTGTAGTCTTTGTTTCAGGGAACCTGAGTAGCGGGGGTACGAAGAGTTGAAAATAGGGTGGCGCCCATGATTCTCGTCTAATTCTTCTGATAGCTCCTATATTCGAAGCGGTAGGGAGATTTTTGGTATAAGTTTGAGTACTGCCGTAGATCTTATCAGACACCAACTTTGGCATCGTGATTCAATAAAGTAAGGGTGATTTGAGCCAGCACCATCTACTTACTTCCCGTATGAATGTAGTTGACGGGGACAGAATACGCTTTTCGTCTGGAAAAGCCTAGTCGAAATGGACCAAACAAAGCCCGCGTGAAACCGGGCTTGTGGCACCAACTCATCCATATAGCACTATATAACACCCACGATGCTCACTTGCTCCCGTCACTTCATTCTCTATCACATCGAGCGCCATGAACATCGAAAAAGACCCCAGTCCCCACTTCGACGCAGCTAACAACGCCATTGACAGAGTCTTCATCCTTTTCCCCAAAACTTTCGAAGCCGCATGGCAACTCAAAGAAGCGTGCAAAGCCTATAACCGATTCTTCGGTCAACGAAACCCCGTTTGGAAGAAGCCGGATGGTCAGCGCACACCCAAGAGGCTCAAGGAAATGCTGAAACGAGGGAAAGTAGTAGAACCGAGGCTCGAGATATGGATCAGTAGGGTCCGGATGGGTGTGGAGACTGAGATGAAAGTTGAAAACTTGGAGGAGCAGGATGAGAAAGCGCGGAAGGCTTTCTTGTCGATTCTTCGGGATGATCTGAAAGGGGCAGTGAAGAGGTTGAAGACAGCCAAGAAGATATTGGAGCAGATTACGTTGTGTTTGTCACCGGAGGTTTCGTAGCTGATCGAACCAGACATGAAGTCAGAAGTCGATTACTAGGCTTGCAACATTTTCAACTGGATTGAATGATCGCATGACAACCTCATTCATCGTAATCATGCCTTAGTCTCGCGACACGGAAACCTACAAGAGCAATTATTACGTTTCATTTGTGTTGAATGGCATACCGATTGTAGTTCCATGATCTCTTATCCTTGTGCCAAATCAAGATCCAAATGACCTGGGCTTGGAGGCATATCACCCGTCTCCCAAACCTTCTGCTCAGCGCCCAACCGGAACAAGATTTCACCACCTTCTGTCATGATACCTCCGGCATCCCCGTGCTCAACCCAGTTCTTGTTCCACTCCTGATTGTTGATGTTCACACTTTGAACGTAGTATCCTTGTCGTCCATCTCCATCGTCCAAACCCTCCGTTCTGATTCTCAACGTTTTGTCGTAGTTGACCGTGATGTTGATATCCGCAAACCACGGCGACTCTAGTAGATACACAGGTGTTGTAACAACCGGATAGAGACCTAGCATCTGCCACACCAGCCAGCAGTTCAACGCGCCTGCATCAGAGTTGCCTGGAATCCCGTTGCTGCTGTTGAAGTAGAAGTCATTTGCAAGCTGACGGCTACGCTCCACACTCTTCCATTGCTTGTTGAGGTAGTTATACAGATATGGTGTCTGGAAGTCGGGCTCGTTGGCGACGTTGTTGATTGTTGTTATACCTAGTCCGTTCACTCCAAGGTCGACACCCGATGTGTTGGGCTGAAATACGTAGTCAAGGCGCGATTCGAAAAGAGCGGGACCGCCCATCAGGTCGATAATACGAGCAACATCATGCGGGATGACGAAAGAGTACTCTATTGAAGTGAGTACGAGGCATTTTGGAGCGGGAGAGGATGATGGCTTACCGAACGCAGTACCCTCGTAGCTCTCGTCACTCCAATTGCATTCCCCGCAATTGGTGATGTTATACGTCTTGTGGAACGTACCGTTGGCATATCGAGGCATGACAAATCCAGTAAAGTTGCGGCTCGTGGCCTCAGTATCCCAGCTGAGCTGCCAGCCTGCAGATCGGCGGAGGTACAGATCGCGCTGGTCAGGGGCTTCTCCAGCAGCAATTTGGCTAACAGCAAAGTCGTTGAGCGAGTATTCCACTGTTTTCGATACAGCCCGCGTATTTCTGTCTGCTGAGACATAACCAAGCGGGATCCAATCATTCAGTGCTGAGCGTCCTTCTTTTAACGAGCCTTGAGGATCGACAGGGTTCTGGTCGAAGAATGGCACGACATCGGCATCTTTTTTCACAGCAGCATAGCCTTCTGTCCAGTTGATGGATTCGCTTAGTCCTTTCACATACGCATCAGCAAGCACATTATCTGCATTCGATCCACCTTGGACTAGGCCGTTGTAATTCCCAGACCTCCCGTCTGGTAAATATCCTTCATGTTTGAACATATCTATCAATGATCGGATCATTGACTGGTAGTAGCTCGGTTGTATAAGATGCCATAACGACACTTGGTTCCGGAACAGATCCCACATTGTGTAGAAATCGTCCCAATACGGCTCATCGGAATCCCAGAGCGGATTCTCGCCAACCCGTTCGCTGGGGATAAGGTGCATGAAGTACAGGCTGGAATATAGAAGCGCAAGCCGCGTTTGGTTGGCAGATTTGGATGTGTCGACACGGATTTTGGAGAAAACATCGCGATTCCATTCATCGCGTGCTGCCTCCGCCGTGATTTCGATGGACCAGGACAACTCGGAGTTCTTGTACGCGCATGCTTTGTCGACAGACATGAAAGATATTCCCACACGAGACTTTACCTCTGTAGTATTGGTCCAGGAAAATACGGCGCCTACGCGATCGTTCATCGGCCCAGAACGCGCCGTCGATCCTGTGTATGTCGGCCGCGGTGTCGTGCAATTGTCGCAAGTACGGAAGTGACGACTGACTGGAAACGTGTTTCTACCCTTGAATGCCTTCGCTTGGTCCGGCAAACTATCGAACTCACCACACACATACACGGTGACCGGAGCACCAAGATTCCAGCCACCTGCAATGGAGGTGTATCCTGTGTAGACGGAAGAGTTGGGCGGAATCTCTATCTCGCCTCCGGTATAGAACTGCGAGTCCCAAGATCGCGTTGGATGCGGAAGGTAGTGCGAGAAGTCCACGAGAACATGTTTTTCAGCCGACTCCGGATAGGTGTAATGGTAAAGTCCGGCGTGTCGCGAAGCCGCCAAATCAGCTATGACACCAGATTCAAATTGCGTCCGGAAGTATCCCACGCTCGCTGTGTCGTCGCCAACTCGCGTTTGCCAATACGTTCGATTGTCCAGCAAATTCACGTCTCCATCAATCTGGGTCAGTGGCATCTGCGCCGGAAATCCATACTTTGAACCTCCTCCTGTCCCAGACACATGCATCAAACTCATCCCTGTGACATGGCCCTGTGGTGTCCATCCACCGTTTAATGCGCTTTGGTTGACGGGTTCTTCGTATGTATCGAGCCCGAGCTTAACCATGCCGAAGGGCACTGCACCGCCAACGAAGACGTCGCCTCCGCCATCTTGGTAATGTGGTTAGTCGGTGGAGATGAATGGGAAAGGGGACGAAACCTACATGCATATCCTGGAATGGCGCCTTCCGAGCCGATAAATGGATTCACGAATTGCGCATAGTCGATATTTTGAGCGAACACGCTGTCGACAATCATCAACAGCCCAGTGACTCTCACAGTGAGTGGTTTCATGGCTGTTATAGTCGTTCAAGATGGAGCAATTTCAGTGTATTGCCGCGTCTGGTCACAATTCGTTGTTTGCTTCTTCTTTGCAGCAGTCATCGCGCTACATGAGGGTACTTCTCGCCTTATCAGATCACGGGCACGATTCGAGGTTACATTGACACGCCCAGGTTCGGTCCTCGAACGTAAGCGTTTGCGATGATCCATGACGTCCTATGTACCCCTCTTTCTGCATTGGGTGCCTGCCAAGGTGCAAGGCAGCAACCAGTCGGGAGGGGTTGGAAGTTTCATCCTGGTCAAAATACTAGCGTGCGAGCACATGTCTCTCTTTTTAATTGAAGTTATTCCTAGATCCCATGTCAAGTTTCTTGAGTTCTGTCCGTCTGGTGAGTATATGAGAAACTCAACAACAGATGACATTTCCTCTTTTCTCTCGATTTTGGAAAAGCTCCCGCGTCATATATGAAAAATGAATGTAACGAAGTTCACCAGATGAAAGTGAATAGGCGTTGTCAGACTAAAGTCTTCCAGACAATAGATTAACACCTGCGAAAATTGTCTTATCGAAAGTTGAGACTAAGCAACATATTCGAACTGTCCAATAGCCTCGAGAGAAGAAGATCCTAATTCTCAAGTATAAGAACTTTATCAAAATGACATAAAGTAGAAAATCCACGAGTCTCTACACAGACAAACCCCATCATTCATTTTGAATATTGAACAGATACTAATCTTTACCCTGATCAATCCAGCTCACAGAAATATAGTAGAAGGAATATTTTGCTGCATAAGAACAACGAATCATGCATTTTTCTAGTCCCAATTTGTGTTTCACAGTAGTGAGAAAGGGAGGAGAACATGTAATTGACTGTGTTGACTTTTGTTCCATGGCATTCCAAGCCTAGGGAAGCAAACATTTTCTATGTGGTATAACTGACTCCCACCCTTCCCGTCATGCTTTAAGCACAATATGCCTTTTCGTAAGATATGCGAGTGTTCAGCAGAGGGGTTCTCATATTCGAGACAAAAGATTAGAACGCCCAGCATGCGACGAATTTTTTAGTAATTCAGACGGGGTATTGTCTTCTTAGTTGCAGGTTTGGAATCGTGCTAAATTTCCGCCAGTGAAGTCAATACATAAAACAGACCAAGCAATCCAGCCATATGTTTGGTCGTCGAATTCTTCTTGAAGGAGTAGAAATATGTGGAGAGGAGGAGAGAATTCATGATCGTGTCATCATGCTGGCGCAGTCCACATGCATCAATACTCATTTCTTTCCAAATTTACAACTTTCACAGCAAGTACAGAGAACGTCACCTCATATCTTGTATCTTTTGCAAATGATGTTGTTTTCGTGGGTAAAGAAGTTCTGGAGCGAAGACACACAAGTCGGATACGGCAAAAAGACAAGAAACAACCCCTCCCAGCCACACATAGTGGATTGTCAATCCCATTTCGAAGATATATAGTCGATTCCGGTCCACATCGTCGTCCTCCCTGGTGGTTTTGAACCGTAACCTCCCACAGAAGAAACAAAGATCATCGAGCATATCCTCGAGAGTCTTTAGTAGATCCATAAGTGTTGCAGCACGAACTCCATAGCCATCTAGGCCAACAGTTTCCGCTCACATGCGAGCGACGTTTCTTTGTTTGAACCATGCTCTTCTACAGAAAGAGACCGCACTCATACAAAGGAAGAGATGGATTTAGGTAGATAGATAAAACGTGTGTAGAAGTAGTAGAGCGAGAAGAACAAAGACTCCATCGTAAGGTGCGTCTTTCTTTACAGCTCACATGTGAGCATATTCAGGTTCCCTGAGTTTCGATTTTTCACAGAGAAGGAGGAGAACATCGGGGGCGATACTCCTGGATTTTGATAAGTACACTCTTGGTTGTGCGTGTGTGAATGTTGCAGAGATAAATACACGGACTCAATGACCACGTCGCTGAGACATCTCGGTTTGTTTTTGGGTTGGACATTCTGCGAAAGAAGCAGAGGTCATGCCAGAGCTCGTTGTCGTTCTTTTTGAAGGCTGAAGGTTGTGTATTCGAGTAAGGAGCGTCGAGAACAGAGACTCCATCATCCGATCCCTTAAGTCTTTCAGTCCGCATCAATACTGTATAGTGTCCATTTTGATCTAGATTTTCTGCACAGAAGACGAAGATCATTGTACATGTCTTTAACGGCTTTAACATATATGTTAGTTTTGTATAGAAACCTTGTAGCGAGACCAGGAGCACAAAGACTCAATGTATACGTCGGTGAGGTCTTCAAGTCCACATTAGCTCAGCGCTCTCGCACTTTAAAGTCCATGTTTTATGTCGAAAAGGGCGAGAACATTCAGCCGATTCGCCTAGGTTTTTAGTAAACACATTGTTGGTTGTGCCACCGTAGCAACGAGCACATAAAACTCGTGTATATAGTTTTATAGTGCCAGAGAAAGAACATCAAGGCCTTTCGAACCCAGGTTTGTAACATACGACGCAAACTAGGTGGATCGATATCCTCATGCGATGATGGAGCATCTGTTTCACGATGCGTACTAGTTTTGAGAGAAGGCAAGTTTTTGAATAGCAGGTAGTCTCTTCCCATATCAAGGTCTTGTCTGGGGTTTGATTTCCGTGTACCTCTTCGATACTGATCTTGAGTTGTTGGGATGTAGCAGAAGGAACCAAGATGTTTGATAGTTCCTAGAAGAAAGATGTTCTGTAGATATACCCGATTTGCAAAGCGCACAAGCGAGACCACATTAAAGGTTTGAACAAGTTTTTTTGTTGCTGAGTAGTTTAGAAAGGGCATTAGACACATGTGGCGATTTGTTAATTCTTTTTGGAAATTCCCGTTCATAGGTAAGGTCAATTTTGAACATATGCGCGGTGTGGGAGAGAACGCCTTGATTACCAGGCGAAATGCTCTTTTATATTCAGTAAGAAGGGAGTCATGTGGCATATGAGTAGCGACTAGTCACAGTACCACGTTGGCCACCGTTGAGTCTAACCCCTCTATTTACCATTCTATATGGGGACAAAGGTCCAAACTATGCCAATCCCACACATTACACGATATCTAACACTATCACAATCCCAAGCCTCCCATATCCTCCTCTAAGCACCCCCAAACACCAACAAGCTCTGAACATGCACCTCACCAAACCCTCGCCTCCGCAGCATCTCCCTCCCCCGATGCGCTGGGAACTCAGCTACAACCAAAACACCCACACACTCTGCGCCAACCCCAGCATCCCCCAGCAACTGCAGCACGGCACAAAGCGTCTCACCCGTAGCCAGAACATCATCCAGCACGACAACCCTAGCGCCCCTGCGAAGCACACCGCTCTCCATCTCGATCCTCTTCTCCCCCGACCTGCTAGCTGTGACAGACGAGATATGCGACGCCGTCTTGACAACAGACACAGTGGGAGGAGGTAGCTTGCCCGCCTCGCGGATTAGTATCAGGGGCACGTTGACGCGCGAGGCCAGTGCGGATGCGTAGATGAAGCCGCCTGCCTCGCAGCACGCGATGGCGTCGACATTGGCCCAGGAGCCGGCGAAATAAGTGAGGAGGAGGGATGTGCATAGGGACAGGCCGCCGGGCTGCTGGGCGATGCCGAGAACGTGGCGGAAGGAGATGGATGGGCGGGGGAAATCGGGAACTGAGCGCACCATGGTGGCTAGGCGGTGGAGGTCGGCGTGGAAGAAAGGGAGGAGGTGTTGTTGGGCGAACGTTTCTGCGGCTGAGGTTCCGGGATTGTTGTTGGCAAATGCGATACTGGGGTGGTGGTATGAGGTCGTTGAGGTCGGGGTAATATTGTTGGTGAGCTTGCTGTCGCCATTGTGGTATCCTCGGCGAACCCGCCGCGTCTGTTCATTAGCTTGGACATGGACCTCAAGGAGTCTACTGTCTGGCACCAGATGCGAGAAGGTCGCAACGGGCGCCTCATCCCTCATGCCAGTGATGAGCAGCACATCTACTTCTCCGGCGCCGTGCACAACATCCAGAAAATGCTCCTCTGGCAGGCGAGGTCGTTGCTGCACCTGTTCCTGGAAAAATGCTGTCAATGTTGGCCGGTGTTGCTCCTTGTAGACACGGTCGTAAAGCAGGCGACTCAGGTCGGCACCAGTAGCTACGGCGTACTCCCGCTTGGTCGCATCGCTGATGCTGACTGCACACGCCGTGAGGCTGGTTTGCGTGAAGATAGAGACCCAAACATCGGCACAGTAGTCCTTGCCGGCGCCACACTCACCCGTGACAAGAATGATGAGCTTCGGTTCCGTGAGGGTTTTCGGGAGAGGGCAAGCATACGCTAGCACGCGACGTGGGTCGACGCTATGCTTAAGACGGGCAAGGCGTTGACGGTTCGATCCGAAAGCTTTGACCGCTAGTGCGTCATCTCTGGGGTCAGGTCCAAGATCTGCCCCGTAAACTCCACTGCTCAACGACAACAGGTCCTCGGCGACACTGTAAACCCATGCCACGGCTGAGGATGCGGCTTCGGTACCATCTTGGTCGCGCGGCCAGACGCCGGTTATCACGCAGGCAAAGTCCCAGTCCCGACAGCCAAACGCAGTAGCATCGGCCGGAACGTCACTAACCGCTGCGCCGCCATGCAGTAGATGGAGATAGCAAAGTGGTGAAGGACGCGTCTTGACGGCTGCCACTAGGCAATCGGCGATGGTCGCTTCTCCAATGTGTTTTAGAAACAAGCATCGCTTGAACGACGACGTCTTGTCGCCACCGTGCCCGCCGTGCATGCCAGACATGTACATCTCCGTCTCGAACAAGCCGACGCTGTCTACGACCTTGACATCATTCTCTGGCCCCCAGACTGCACTCATCGGTGTGGGCGCATGTGTTGCAGAAGTGAGACTATTCGTGGAACACTCGTACATGGTCACGCCGAGATGCAGCTGGTTGGCATCCCAATATAGATACGCGTCTGCAGAACAGTTCGGCTGGAGTTTGCTGGCGACCAAGTCATCGAACTCGTTGAGCTTGACCCGAGCCTCCACATCGTTGCTCAGCGGGACAACCCAGTTACGAACCAAGTAGGTCGGAGCCAGGTAAGCCTTGAAAGTCACGCTGAGGACGATGCCGAAGTTGGTCCCAGCGCCTTTTATCGCCCATAGCAGATCGTCTTCGTTCTCCGGTCGAACAGCTCCGGCTGGACGGTGCTGGCTTGGGACGTGGCCGACGTAGAGAATCTCGCTCGAGTTGACGCTGACCAAGACGGCACCGATAATGGAGTCGCAAGCAAGCCCGTGCAACCTAGCCAAGTGTCCAATGCCTCCTTGTAACCAGAGCCCAGCACCCACACTTGGTCGAGACCCCAGAGGTACTGTCACACCCGCCGCCATGGCCTTGCTGATGATGTCCCCCGTCTTGCACCCAGCCCCAGCGACCACCAACGAACCGGAATGATTTCCTCCATCCACACCTGCTGAGAGGATGTGTACTTGGTCAAAGGCGCCCATGTCGACTGATACGACATTTGGCCAGAGACAGTGGCCGCTGTGACCCCCACCAACAACAGTCAGGCCGACCCCGTGATCCAAAGCCCATCGAACGCACTGCTGAACGTGCTGAACCTCTGTCGGCCTGACAACCGCGGCGGGACGGTGGACACGAGCCTCCCGATTCTTAATCGTCTTCTCACCCTCCACTAATGGCACCAGCGCCGTCAGTCCCGACAACGAGGTTGCATGTTGAGTAAACGCCACCATGACATTTGGCGCGCTGAACACGAGATGCCCTGGATGAGCCTCCTCGCGACGGCCCAAAGCACGGCACACCTTACGCCAATCATTTCGAACAGCTTCATTACCGTCCACGCTGAACCCCACGACGAAATCAGCAAAGCAATCCAGCACCTCATCCTCGTCCGCCACGCGAACAACTCCAGCAGGAAAACACGCTGTGCGATGGCACACCAAGCCGTCGAGATCCAGCACCCCGTCCCGATGGAAGACTATCACCATCCCACCCCCAGGCCGCTCGGCAAGCATGCTCAGCGCCCGCTCGATGAAGCTGCGCTTAGGCTTCATGCCGTACATGCTGTGGCAGAACAGAACAACATCGTATGTCTCGCTGTCGGTACTCCCTAGCTCAAACGGCAGCCGTCGAATATCCGCCGCACTCTCCAAACAAGGCAGCGCACCCTCCGTCTCAGACATACAGCAAAGCCCCTCCTCCAGCCTCGCGGCAAACAAAGCGTTAGGCTCATACGCAGCATATCTCCCCACTCTGCGCCTCAGTTGGCTGGGAAGACATTCCAGCACACTCTTCGGTCCGGGCCCGATTTCCAGCACCGAGACACGGGTCCGCGATTCGAGAAGAGAAGTCAGAAGTTGGGATAGTTGAGGGATGATGAAGTCGCGGTACGTCGTGCGTTCTGAGTCGCGCACTAGGACGTCGAAGCCCGCGGTGTATTGTGCGTCGGACAGGGGTTGTTTTGAGGATTCTTTTTGGACGCGCTGGACTAAGGAATGTTTGAGGGAGGTGAGGGTTGCCATTTTGGCGTGGTAGGCGCAGGTGGTGAGGACTGGTTGTGGTTATGGAGGCAAGGCCAGGGTGAGTGGGGTGGGGTGGTAGGCCTCAATTCAGGATCCGTATATTGAAGCGCAATGAAAAAGCAAGGAGGATATGAGCGTTTGTTAACTTGACTTGAATTGCCCGCGTGAAAGTGGAAGTGAAACGTTTGCGACGCCACTAAGACGAGATTGGAATATGCTGTGTCGCATAGCTGCATATAGTATTTACGTCGGCGGAGGGATTGTCTTGTTGGGGGATGTGTGCATGGGTATATGTTTGCTGGGGCTGTTTATTGGTTGATCGCTGCCTTACCGCCTACTGATATGCATGCAAATAGGCGCGGAAAACGGACGATGGATGGCTCAGCCTTGCGAAGAGACAGCTTGCCTGCATGTCGCCATTCACTGTCTACCACCAACGGCGCAATAATTGTCAACCAAAACAATGAACACCAAATAACGCACACAAGCACGTAATCGAACTCATCAAACCGACCCTTCCAACTTATTGTATCACCACGCAAACCACAACAATTGCACGTAGCCTTCCCTATCCCTTCTTGTATGCGAGATTGTATGCGCCTAACCTAGCCTAGCCTGACCAGAATACAAAGCGGCTTCTTTGTGTCACTGGAAACATGCAGGATCCCTTGTACGTAAGTCTCGCAGAAAGGTTTGTAAGTGTGGGTTGGCGTGCGTAGTCCAGCCTTGGCTACCTTGAGACGCGGGAGTAGAGGGAGACATGCAGCAGGGCGTCTTGATTTTTCAATTTATTGTGAGAGTAGGCGGTTCACTAGCTGAGAAGACTATTTTTGTAGAGGTAGATAAAGGAGGGGTGCGCACATCGAATGGCAATGCGTGGGTTTTGGATTCCCATATGAGGGTACAGGTGTGATTTACGGTTGTGCATGGTGGATGTCCGGGACCGACACAGCATCAATAGGGCTACTGGTAAGTTTGGAAAAGAGGACTGACATTTCGGCAAAGAAAAGGAATTTTGGACTTTTCGTAGGTTTTGAAGCAAGACGACACTCTCGGCATATAATCCCAGTGATGGCGACTAGGGTACTTATGAACTGCCTGTTTGGAAGATTGTTTTATAGGCCAAGAGAAGGGGGAGGGAAGCCGCACATCTTGGATATGTTCGCGTGGTATAGGTGAACATAGGATTTTCAGGTTGTAGTTTAGGTTGTAGAAAGTATATGCATCAACACGCCACCACTCCAGTGATGGGGAATTTTGGGAAAGAAGACAGACATCCTTGTTTCTCTGGTTGCGTTTTAGCTTTCCGTAGACGGTGAAATGAGAGAAAACTTTCTCCACATGACCATGGCGGAATTTAAATTTAAGTACTCATGACTGACCATGCTCAAGAAACTGTTTTATAAGAGGGGAGACACAACCCGCACATACAGCGTCGCGTAACAGATTTCAGATTCCCAAGTCATGATACTCAAGAGCAGAGACTCCGAAACCACATGAAGTCGCTGATGGGATGTTTTCAGAAGAGAGACAACAGACATGTTGCTAGCACTGTTGTTTTTCTCAACTTCTTTGACTTTCTGTAATTACAAAGTATGGAGATTCTTCTAATGTGTTTGACAGAAAGCTTTTACGGTACTCATGGCGAGCTGACAGCGACTTTTTGGGACCAGTACATATCATTATATGTGGGACTTTTATTCGAGACCACAGTTGAGTTTATGGATTGTGTAGAAGGTCTTTCGTGGAAAGGCACGCGCCGAACGCAGACATGTTATCTCCCCTACGATCTTTGATAGTGAAGTAGATGAACATAGAAAAATGTTTTCTCAAGAAGCAAGGACCTGGTTCGGCTTCGATAGCGTCATCTAAGCACACCCACATCTCATCAATTTCTGCACTGGCGAACTGAGTTATTCTTTTGAGGGTTTTGAGGCTGCGATCTTCGACTTGGACAACACTGTCTTTGTCGCTCTGCAGCAGCCTACATCATTTTTGTTTCACGCCCTTCTCCCCCCTCTACTCATGGAACCACATACCGTCAACATCATGTGTTTTAACGGCCGGCTCCCCTTCTCTCCACACTACCTGCCCATGTGCTTGGGGTCGATCATAAAATTGTGTAGCATCTTCCCTATCATGGCGGGGGTGACATCGATAGTGTGTATAGCTTTTTGAGTGCGAATAACGACGAATGCAGGAAATATATGTAAACCAGCCCTCCAAAGTAGGTATTTTGTTAAGGAGTACCAAGCACTCATGAAAGCAAGTCTTGCGTGACTTTCAAGATCGTGCTCATCATCCTAAGAGTGATGATTTTTGAATGCAAGATACCCTCGCCGAAATCAGACATAATATTCTAGTAGCACATGTTTTGTGATTCAATAGGCGCGAGCAGAGGTTTTTGTTCCATAGCCTGTTTGATGGCGCGGTAGATGTAGACCGGATACTCCCATATGAACTAATAAGTGAGATATCCGGGTAGTCATGATTGAGGTGCTTCTGAGTTTTTGAAATCGTGCTCATCGTTCCGATAGCCATGAAATCTAAGTGCAAAAAGGGTTCGATGAGACTACACATGTCATTTAAATGGTGTTCTTTTTATATCTCCCAAACAAACCTGTAAGGGAGGGAAGAGGCGTACTCATGGAAAAGGTCGTCATCCGTTTTTAGGTAAATGGGGAACACATTTTTATTTAAGGACCTGTGAAGGCTTTCCGACTTTTTCAGGTGGCAACCCTTTTTGTGTACAGACACAGCCGTTGATGCAGACATAGCGCATCAAAAAGATTCTTTTGGTGTTAGAGTAGCCATGGGCAGACGGGAACTTCTATATAATGTAACCACATCGAAGTATTAATTACTCATAGATAGTAGCGCTGAACGTTTTAAAGAGATAGAAAGCGACACGTCCTCTATACTTTTGGAGAAGTGCCTGTTGCCCTTTTTGTTTATAAACAAAATTGCTAAACTAAGACATGCAGTTTTGAATGGACACTTTTAGTGTTGTAGTTGGCAGATTCTTCCAGATGGATCTTTGTTCGAGAGCATTCAGGGCACCCATGGCATAGCCGTTAATTGCTTTCAGAGAGATACAAAGTTACAAGGCTTTTGTAGGTTTTGGGACATATCATCATCGCCTTGTTCATGTGCAGATACAGCCACCAACGCAGTTATTGTGAGGTTCGACAAGGATTTTAGTTTAATATTAGATAGCGGCAGCCCAAATCTCCTACATGTAGACGAATATCAGGATTTTTGGGTACTTGTAGACAACACATCAAACGTTTTAGAGAAACAAGAAGTGTGAGAGTTTTAAAACTGTAGTTGTAGCCTAAATGGCTAGTTTCTTTGTTGCAAAGGCCACCGAAGCCAGACATGTAGTTGAGAGCGACATCTTTGTAACGTAGTACACGAACGCGGGCAGGTTCTCCCACATGTCGTCATAGAAGTGAACTTTTGAATGCTCATGTAGTCAATTGCTGTGTTCTTGGAAGTAAGACATGCCATTATATGCGGACATTTCCAAAGACCCATGTTGAGTTGTGTCTGTCCATTGTATAGAGGTTTGTAGGATCCAATCATGATATGCTAGCATTGCCTTTCCAGCCTCGCGATGAGCGAAGGCAGACCAGTTCTTCCACATATCATGATAGATGTGAACTTTCGATTCCCATAACGTCTCGATTGATGCCGTTTTAGAAAATTAACATACAATTCTTCAGCTCTGGTTTCAGGTACACATAGTCAGTCGGCTGTATAAAAGCTTTTCAACGAACAAGCCCACTAAGCGCAGACATACGGCTTTTCAATTGACATTTTGGTAATACTGTAAGTAGAGGTAAATAGATCTCTCCCACATAATGTATGTTTGTTGAAACTATCAAGGCATTTATGTATTACATTCCGTAGACTTTTGAAGAATAGCAGGACATAGCTGGCATTCGTTTTTCCTTTTTTTCTGTGGAAAGTACGGTAGTACTCAAAGATTATGTACCAGAAAGCTGCCGATGCAGCCATGTAGTTCAAAACCGATCTTTTGATGTTATAGTGCACGAAAACAGACAAATCCTCCCATATGAACCATTCATCTAGGTTTTTGAGGTACTCATGTAATCGTCTTAGTTTACTTTTGGAGAACAACAAAACATCACAGTCAACGATCTTGAGTTTTTTCGTACGAAATAGCGGTGGTGGTTTTGAATTGTGTGGCCAGCGGGTTTATATAGAGGGAAAGCCGCCGACGCCACCATGATCTTTGCTTCTATGCTGTTTCATGTCGAAGGGGCAGGGTAGACGAACCTCTCCCACATAGAGTAATTGTTGTTGTTGTATTTACGAGTACCATGAATTTGCTTTGTCTTCGTTTCAAGAGTGTCTCTCGCTTGAGTGATAAGCTGGTTCAGGTTCGAAGAACGCCGCAGACCCAAGTATTAGTTGTTTTTGGTCTATTTTTGATATCGCAGTACAGATACACAAATCTCTTCCACATGACGTAAATGTTGAATGACTTTAGGTACTCATAGCTAAAAGATTTTAGAGAACGAGACATGTAGCCTTCTGTATCGTTTTTGAGTATTCGAAATATAGTTTATTGCTGGAATTCTCAGTGGATTTATGTGCAGAGAACGCAGACGATCCAGACATTGCTTGTAGCCAAGACGTTTCTGATACCGCACCAGGCACAGCAGACAGAATCTCCCCCCATTAACATCGTGTTTCATAGGTCTAGGCATTCATGTATAAGTATCCATGAGGTTTCGGGAAATAGGAAATAACGCTCCATGTAAGAGAAGTCCAGCACTTTTTTGTAGATGCAAAGAAAACCACCGACCCAGACATTGTCGGTAACAGAGTCTTGTTTGATGTCGCACTGGGCGAGGCGAACAGGATCTCCCACATGATATGTTCGGCGGAAAAATTTAGGTACTCATCAGCCAGGTATTCAACGCTTTTAGAGAAACACCACCCCATCGATGGGTTTCCAAAACTTTTTTTTCGAACGCAAACTCACCGACCAACCCAGCCATCGTGTAGGCACGTAGCTCTTTTCGATATCGCAGTGTATGCGGACAGCAAACTCCGCACCACATTGCCATCTCACATGCTAGATTTTGACTCCCCATGCGCTCACCATTGTAGCGTTTCTGATTCCCGCGAGAAGACCATACCGGTCATTATTCTGAAGTTTTGGCTATATATCTTTTAGGGGAGAAGAGAGGAAGGAAGAAACACATTAACAAGTACAAACTTGGTTTTGGGGGAAGAGATTGTTTTGGAACAGGAGGACCGAGACATGGGAGTTTGTCTTTATAGTTTTGAAGAGATGTGGTTTTTGAGAAAGAAGAGCACATGACTGGTTGATAGTACATTTTTGAAGAGATGAAATGTTTATGTGAGGATTAGGAAAGAAGGGAAGGGAAGGGAAAGGGAGAGGGAGAGGATTTTATATGGATGAGGAGAGGTGCGCACGTGATGGTTCGATGGAAACCTATGTGTGCGTGTAAGCCTTGCAGTTTCGTAAATTTTTCGCTGCGTTTGCTCATCGGGCATATTCTACAATGGGCCCTCAGGTATGATGATGTGTATGGTGTATCAAGCACCAAATCGGAGAGTAGTTCTAGAAGGCAAGGACGAGCGAGCGCACACGCATGATAGCATCAGCCTTTTTCTGAATCTAACCTACCCGGGTATCTCCTCAATCCATCAATCAAACACGACCTTATTCCCCTGCGGCGCCCCCTTAAGATCAATCTTAATCATCTTCTTCTCCTTCGCCGCCTTCGCCGCCTGCCAACTAGGATGCAATGTCCCCTTATCATCGCGCTCAATTTTCTTCTTGCCAAGCGGCAGTGCATTCTCGCCAGTCTGCATCGGCCCCCTCCCTCTCGGCGCTTCACCTCTATCGCCCCTCCCTCCTCTCCGGTCGTCGCTGACTGCGCCACGCTTCGCATCCCACCCCTTGTTGCGCTCCACTTTCTCCAAATGCTTCGCCTTGGCGCCGAATTTTGCTTCGGCGATCTTCTGGCGCGCGCGTTGGCCGCGCCGGTTCTTGCGAGGAGCTTCGGTGTCGAGGTCGGAGGCGGAGGAGTTGGAGTCGGAGTAGTAACCTGCGTGGCTGAGGCCGGGAAGGAAGGCGGAGGATGTGAATTTGGGTTCTGGTTTCGATTTCGTTTTTGGTGGTTTGAGGGATTCAGAGTCCGAGTCTGATTCTGATCCTGATAGGTCGGATGGAGGTGCGATGAGGCGGTTGATATGTGCGGGCTCGTCGTCGTCGTCGTCGTCTTCGCTGTCGAGATCTGCTAATGGTGCCGCTTCTGAGCTTCCGCTTGCGGCGTCGAGGTCGGCGTCGGCGTCGTGCTCGCTGTTGCTGTCTCCTATGCTTGGAGGTCTCTCGTCGTCTGATGCTGACCCATCGCTGTCTTCCTCTCCAGAAGACGGCTCTGCTATCCTTGCGCTGAAAGCCGCAAACGCATCGCCCTCCTCGTCGCTCAAGCCACTCATATCCACATCCCCGCCCTCCTCTTCTACCTTAGCCGGCATCTTCGCAGGCTTCCCTCCCTTCGCCTCCCCACTTTGCGCCACGCTCCCACCCGCGCCCACAACCTCCTTCAACTCGACAATAACCCTATCCACCGGCTCCCTGACCCCCTTAACCTTATACAACCTCGCCAGCACATTCAACACGGCCGGATCCTGACTCCCCTTCTCCACACCCTCGACATATTCCCGCAGCGCCTCATGCTCCTTCAGACTCTTCACCTTGCCCACCGTCCGGCGCAAATGCTGGTCCGCGAGCTTCACCAAGTCCAGACCCTTGAGCACCGTGTATTCGGCGTCGAGACGCGCTAGCGCTTTCGTGTCTTTTTTCGCGACGGCCGTCTTCTTGCGGCGGGAGTGCTTTTGGCGCTCGAGCGAGGCGCCATGGCGGAGCGCTGTGAGGAGCGGTTTTTGCGCCGTCGTGAGAAGGGTTGTGCAGAGTTTTTTCAGGCGCGCGGGGATGGGTGCAGCGGCGGGGGCGGGCGAGGGGGAGCGCTTGCGTTTGGCCATTTTGTTGGTGTCGTGGGGGGGAAAGGTGGTTTGGTGACGGCGGTGGATTTTTTTTGGGATGGAAAGTGAAAACCCGCGTCGACTTGCCGCATTCGCGTAAAATTGCGTGCGCGGTGGACGGGTCTGTGCGCGCCATCACATGGCAGGCACGTTCACCATCAACGACACCACATCTGCACGAGAATCATCAAACAATCATTCCGACCCCCTACACACAGCTACACATACCCTCCCATCATCTCCTAACTCACTACCCACCACCCCTCCCCACCCTCGTCCTCTCCGCCTCAAACTGACTCGCCCTCGGATACCAAACATGCTCACTCCTCCCTCCCCCACCCCCCCTTCCACCACCCACCTGCCCAGCACTCCCCTCAATCCGACTCCCAATATACGCAGACTCGCCCCCAACGCCCCTAATCCGCTCTCCCATCCCCGTCATCCCGCCCACCTGCTCATGTGCGCGCAACTCTCCTGATCGCAATCCCCTGTGGCTCGAGCGGGGGAAGTTGGTCGTGGCTAGTGGGGTTTGTGCAAATGATGGCCCTGGTGCTGGATTTCTGTGGCTTGGGGGAGGGAAGCTACCTGTTGACATTGAAGCCTGATTTTGGAATTGCTGCTGCTGTTGGTGCGAACGTTGCGATTGCTGTTGTGACTGCAACCACCGCTGCGATTGCGACCGTGGATTTTGAGCCAGATCCTGGCCTTGAGCGAACATGTTCGGTGTCGTAGCGCCAGCGCCAGGAGGAGCGAAACCCAGCCCTGCACCGGCAGAGCCGTGCGCCGATGCACCGCCAGCGGGGCCAGCGTAGACATTATCATTTTGATTGTTAACTATGTCCAAGTCAGCTTCCACTCCCTTCCCACTCATTCAATCAACACGGTAGTATACATTGCATAGCAAAATCTTGTGGAGGCGGAGGAGGAGGAGGCCCAGCTATTTTCATATCACCATCCTTCTTCTTGTCACGGCCTACCAACTTATTCCAGCCCGACTCCCAATACGTCGGTTTATGCGGGCGCACGAACGCTTTTCTTGAGTGTTTCTCCGGCATGACTTATTGTGATACACATCTATACCAGAAAAGGAAAAAGGCGGCATGATATACAAACTTCTTCCTTTGAAGCCCGAGGAAGTGACGGCGCGCACCACCCACGCCCACTCATATTTGCATACGCATATGAAGGAATGTACCTTCACTCACCACTTTGTCCTGAGCTTCCGCGGGGAAAATCTCAATCATTAGTGAGCGATACTCAGCGTTGCGGGGTATTGACATACAGATGGGGGGTGGCGTGGAACTTCGACCGAAGCACATGGTGATTTGGGACTGTGATGGGTAGAAGAGTCGAGAAGAGGGTATGTTGACGTCTCTGGCGGGAATGCGGCGCTGGGGTATATAACGTCGACGTTTGGGGTGATGGGCATGACGTGAAGATGCCGCGCTGTTTGGTAATGAGTTTATCATTATTCACGCTGGTTATCACGTTGAGCTTCACGCCTCTGTACTTGCTATTGATGTAGGCGCCTTATAACTTACACCAAAACAACGTCTTTTATTGTCAATATATGAGTTAGAGAATACACGCTGTAAACAGCAACTTAATCCCGATCCCACATTTTACAGCACGGCATTCTATGCCAAAACTTCACCACTCGCTTATCCAGCGCGGGAAACTTTACAACAGCCAAGCAGGTGATGAGAACTCTGGCGACTTTCCACACGACTGCCAAGGGAACAAACAATGTGTTCTGAAAATGAGAAAAGAACGGTAACGCAGGATATCTATAATGTAAACAGAGAGAACTAGCACAAGCATGGTGGTGATTGCGGGTATGTTGATTATGATTTACGGCAATTATAGATGCAGACCTTGAATGTAAATGTAAGTGCGAGCGATCCTCCTATCGCTCGTCAATAGATTTTCATTACTCTCCCAACAACCCCCCTACATACTCTCCACACTAACCGTCGTATGCACATTCCCCTGCGTCGCCCTCGAATACGGACAAACCCCCTTCGTCTTCTCCACCAACTCCTCCAACTTCCCCTGCTCAATCCCCCTAACCCTAACCTTCAATTCCACCCTAAGTCCCATATCCAAATCCTTCATACTACCCACAAGATGCACCGTGCTCTCGACCACACTATCCTCAGTCTTAGTCGGCATCTTGACCCCCAGCGTCGGCGCAACGGCGTTCATGGCGGATTGGAAACACGCGCCGTAGCCCGCGGCGAAGAGCTCCTCGGGGTTGGTTTTCCCTTCGTCGCCGGGGCCGCCCAGCGCTTTCGCCATGGTTAGGTCGATTTTTAGGTTCTCGCCGTCTACGTGGCTGAGGGATGGGTTAGCTGAGGGGGTTGTTTTTTTGGGGGGGAGGGGTGTACCCGGTTCGGGCGCCGACGACGGTTGCGTGTGCGGCGTATATGCTGGGTGCTGTTTCGGTGTTGAGGAAACGACGAGGTGTTGTGAAGGTGATTGGGCGCGATGCGCGGAGGGCCTGGCGTGCGAGGATTCTAGTAGCCATGATTGTGTGTTCGATTTTGGTCAATTAGGAATTTGGGTGTTTTGGCGCGTGGTTTACAAAAAGACAATGAAGATTTGGTTTTGGTTTATGTACAGTTACAGTGGCACCACACCGTCTTTAATATTTTTCGTGCACGCGATGAATTATGACGTGACGTTCCGTGTTGCGAAGTCGATGACGCCTGTACGACCCGTCGATGTGTTTAGCGCAAGGGACTCCCGCCGCTAGTGTGGAGATCAGATTTGGATCTGTGGGGAAGATGCATCATCGGACATGGTGATGACCAGGTTTGTGGGGTGGTTGGAATTAGTGGCTGACATGCCTGCTGACATGCGTACTGACACAATTGAGTCTTTGATACTACAGGTAGCTCTATCCGTACTCAATATGGCGCTCTGGTATTTGTGTCACCTGACATGAACAAGCCTGACAACTTTTACACGGATGGATGCACTTTCATTCATCTTACTGTTTAACTCATCAGTTTAGCCCATCTCCATCAAAGCCGGGCCTCCTTCTCGCTCTCTACAATAGCAGCCAGAATCCCCTCCGCGACATCCTCGCCATCCTGCACCTCCGTAACCCACTTCACGCGCCCACTCCTCGGACTCCTGACCTCAAGCTCCATCTTCATCTGCTGCACCACGCAAACCACATCGCCCTCCTTCACCACATCACCCTCATCAACCAGCACCTCGACCAGCTTACCCGGGAACGGTATGCTGATGTGTGACGGGTCGGAGGGGTTGCCACGCCGGTGATGCGAAGTCGCTGCCGAACCGCTGGCGGATGTCGATGTGAGGGTTAGTGTGTATGGGGTTGTTTGGGATGGCGTGGACGATGATGTTGAGGGTGTGGTGAAGAGGATGTCTGCGGAGAGGGAGGAGGGGAAGTCGTTGCGCAGGACGCGGGTTAGCTCGAGGTGGTGTGGGAGTGGTTGTTGGGTTTCGGGGGATGAGAGGGTGAGGGACCATGCGTCTCCTTTGCGGAAGAGCGTGTTGGCTGTGGATATGCTTGCGCTTGATGATGGAACTGCTGTTTCTGGTCCTAATATGTTGTTGGGGGAGAGGGACAGGTGCTGACTCGACTGGAGAAGCTCGTGCTGCTTGCTTTCGAGCCATCGGGTGTCACAGGTGCCGTCCATGAAATCTGAGTGCGCCACTATGGCTCTGAGGATCCCAATGTTCGTCTTTACGCCTGAGATCTGTGTATCGTCCAATGCACGTCGAGCTTTACAAACCGCATCTTTCCACGAAGATGCAGTGATGATGAGCTTAGCGATGAGGCTGTCGAAATCTGCAGACACAATCGCGGGATGTCCGCTGACGAGATGGGTGTCTACGCGAACACCGTTGCCACTGGGAAACTGAAATGACGTGATTTTGCCAATTGACAATGACCAGTCGCTCTCCACATTCTCAGCTGTGATTCGAAGCTGGATTGAGTGTACTGGAGGTGGAACCTCTGGATCTCGTTCAACGGAGGGCAATCCGCAGGCAGAAAGATCGGCGCCTTGGGCCAGCAGCAGCTGGGCTTTGACTATGTCAGTCATTGAGATCGATTCTGTGATGGTGTGCTCGACCTGCAACCGTGGGTTTACTTCCAAGAAGTAGTACTTTTTCGACGCTGGGTTCACGAGAAATTCGAACGTTCCCAGGGAGAAGTATTGGATCTGTTTTTATATTAGCACGCTCACACGGCACACCAATTCAAGAGCACTTACATGCTCTGCCATCCTGAGCGCATCGTTGATCACTTTTGCGATCAGCTTACGATCAGGAACGACACTCGGTGCCAGTTCGACGATTTTCTGGTATCGCCGCTGAATACTGCATTCTCGTTCCCACAGATGTGTGACGTTCCCGCGCCCATCTCCAATGATCTGAACCTCGACGTGGCGGAACCCGTCAATCGCTGCCTTCTCCGCGAACACTTGCTTAGAAGGGCTTTCTTGGACTGCTCGTTCGACTAAAGCTCCCAACTGCTCCTCACTTCGAATGAGCCGGATACCCCGACCTCCGCCGCCGTCAACAGCCTTGACCATGATGGGATACCCGATCTGTGAAGCAAATCGCCTTACATCTTCGACGCTGCTGGTAGGTTTTTGTAATGCCGGGGAAACTGGCACGTTGCCTGTGTAACGTATAAGCTAAAAACCTAAACTTCAAACTCTTACACTCACAGTCCTCAGCAAGCATCCTCGCTCTCAATTTATCCCCCGTATTGCTCAAGATGCCCCACCCCGGACCGACAACAACAACACCAGCTTCCTCCCACATCCTCCTTGAAAAGTCTTCAGACTCTGAAAGAAAGCCATAGCCGGGATGCACAGCATCGATGTGGTGTTTCTTGACGAGGTTAATCAAGGCATCGATATCCATGAATGTGGCTGCTGATGAGACTTCAATAGCGTGTGCTGCTTTTGTAGCGTGTGATGCATCTCCGGAGATGTAGATGGCGTATACTTCAATCTCGAGTTCCCGGGCTGAGGAGATGATTCGGGTTGCTATTTCGCCTCTGGGAGGTTAGCTTGGTGGGGAGGTATGAGGATGCTACGCACCTGTTTGCAACGAGGAGGCGTTTGATCGGTCTTGGGGGTGCTCGTAACATGGTGGGGAGTTTCTTGAATAACTTTGGGCGGAACTCTTCCTGGCGATTTCAAGGCTGGTAGTACCCCGGGTATAAGCGACTCGAGAGAGAGAGTCGCAAGATCAACTACTCACGAAGAGTCAATTGGCAAACTTTAGGTGTAGTCAAGAAGTATAATTATTCTCGAAACTAGGATCGACTTGAAATCACACGTAGAAAGAACATTGAAGTAAAACCCAGCAGTCATGATCGCGAATAAAGCGTCTCCATGAAACGTGGGGAAGAGCAGGGATAGACGCGGGGAGCCCCATCTAAGCCTCGGTTCCCCGACCGACCTCACCCTCCACCACCACACCACACAACAACAATGTGAGAAACCACGCCCTGCTCCATCACGGAGCTCCAAAACAACCCACCACCATGGCCGACGACTCCTCGCCCCCCTCCGCACCCAAAGACGCGCCCCCACCCTCCTCCACCGCGCAAGACCGCCTCGCGCAAGTAACCTCGCACATCACGCCCAACACGCCCAAACGCCGCCGCCGAAAAGCGCCCTCCCCCTCCGACCTGCCCGCCGACTACTCCGACATCCTCGGCCAGCTCGCCACGCTGCGCAAAATTGCCGCGACGCCAGACCCGTCGAACAGGGGCTATGTGCGGCAGAAGCAGGCGGGGAAGCTGTGGGTGCGGGAGCGCGTCGAGCAGCTACTTGACGCGGGGAGTTTTCAGGAGGTGGGCAGTGTGAGCGGGACGGTGACGTGGCGGCAGACGGGGCCTGGGCGCGAGGAACCCGTCGAGTATGTGCCGTCGAATAATGTGCAGGGGTTTGGGCGGCTGCGTGGAAGGAAGATTGTGTTTACGGCGGATGACTTTTCGATTCGTGCTGGGCATGCGGATGGGGCGCTTATGGAGAAGACTGTGCGTGAGATTGTATCTGGGAAGTGGGTGGTTTTTACTGATTTTACGGCAGATATATATGGAGAAACTCGCCATAGCACTCCAGCTCCCCATTGTCAAGCTGGTCGATGGCTCGTCCGGCGGCGGATCTGTGACAACCATCCGCTCAGCAGGCTTCTCCTACATCCCCCCGCTCCCATCCTTCACCCAAGTCATCCAGCAGCTGAACATGGGGATCCCGAACCTGGGCGCCGTGCTGGGCCCCGCCATCGGCCTCGGCGCCGCCCGCGTAGTAGCATGCCACTTCTCGGTAATGGCGGCAGACATCGGCTCGCTCTTCAACGCAGGACCCAACGTAGTAAAAGGCGCGACCTTCGAAGAAGGCCTCTCCCTGACGGACCTCGGCGGCCCAGCCGTGCACTGCACAAACGGCACAATCGACAACCTCGCCCCCGACGAAGCAGCCTGCTTCGACCAAATCCGCACAGTCCTCAGCTACCTCCCCGACAGCGGCACCCAACTACCCCCTACCATCGAATGCACAGATCCGCCAGACCGTACATGCGAAGCCCTCCGCAGCATCATCCCCCGCGCCAGAAACCGCACATACAACCCCCGCCTCATAATCACCACCGTCGTCGACGTTGACAGCTTCTTCGAAATCGGCCCCTTATGGGGGACCACCGCAATCGTCGGCCTCGCGCGCCTATCCGGAAAACCCACCGGCATCGTCTCACTAAACTGCGAGCAAAACGCGGGTGCCCTCGACGCCCCCGGTTCCCAGAAAATAACCCGCATGCTAAAATTCCTCGACATCTTCAACATCCCCCTCCTCCAATTCGTCGACGTGCCCGGCTACGCCATCGGCACAGCCGCAGAGCGCAGCGCGACAATGCGGCATGGCGTTGCGCTGGCGGGCGCGTATTACAGCACGACGATCCCCGTGTTCAGCGTGGTGGTGCGGCGCGTGTACGGCGTCGCTGGGGGGGTGATGTTGGATTGTCGGGATCCGCGGATGCGGGTTGCGTGGCCGTCTGGGGAGTGGGGGTCGTTGCCGCTTGAAGGCGGGATTGAGGTTGGGCACGCGTTTGAACTTAAAGAAATCGAACGGAAGGAGGGGAGGGAGAGGCGCGATGAGCGGTATAGGGAGTTGGAGGAAGAGTATAGACGGTTGATGAATCCTGTGCGCACGGCGAATGCGTTTGGGGTGGAGGAGATTGTTGATCCGGCGGTTACGAGGGGGGTGTGCTGTGAGTGGGTTGAGCGGGTTTATGAGAGGGTGTTGCCGGGGAGGGTGGTGGAGAGGGGGGCGGGGAGACTGCAGCCTAGGTTTACGTGAGTCTTGGGTTGGAGGGGGGGAGATTGGGGAGACTGGGGCTGGTGTGTTGGAACTGTGTGGTGGCGGTTTGTCGTCTTGTTTTGGTACACATGGACGATTAATCAATCACTCAATCAATCAATCACTCAGACACGCAGAGTGAACTTCCAACGCGCACGCCTCACTGCCATGGCGCTGCGGTAGTTCCACCAACTCCTGCTGGTCATGTGAGATTAAAATAGGTGTTACATTTACGAGGTTTTTACGAGCATACTCTGCTCTGTTATGTCCTGTCCTGTTCTGTTATGTCCTGTTCCATTCCATTCGAGTCTTCACACCAGATATACCCTAGTCTTGCTACAGTGTGGAAATATGCGGGGGGTAGTGTGAGGGTATGTATCCAGACACGAAAGGGGCCAGTGGATTTATATCACGGTGTCAACACAGACAGACTCACACTCATACTCACACTCACAGACACATAACCAGCTAATTTTGTCCCATCGTTGCAAGAACTCAGTAATCTATCGTCTGCTTGATCGCATCGTACACACCTGCCATAAAAGTCAGCACTCACACGCACACGCCCAACCACGCACACACCAACCCCCAAAAAACAGAAAAAGACTCACGAGCAACATCCGGAATAACAAACTGCTCAAACATAAGCCCCGTATGCGTCGCCCACCCCGCCACCCTCTTAACCGGGGCCTCCAGTCTCAAAAACGCCTTCTCCTGAATCGACGCCGCGACCTCCGCCCCAACCCCCGCATTCATCATACTCTCATGCACCACGACCGCGCGCCCCGTCTTCCTCACACTACCCAGCACCGTCTCGCGATCCCACGGATAAATAGTACGCAGATCAATAAGCTCAACACTACACCCAAAGTCCTGCTCTGCTTTTGCGATGGCGGCGGCGCACGTGTACAGCGGCGTGCCGTAGGATATGATGGTTAGATCGGTGCCGGGTTTTAGGATCTCGGCGCGGTCGAGCGGGAGCGTGAAGGGCTCGATGGGGACTTGTTCTACGGCTGCGCGGTAGAGGATCTTGGGTTCCATGAAGATTACGGGGTCCGGGGAGGCGATTGAGGCGAGGAGGAGGCCTTTTGCTTGGGTGGGGGAGCGTGGGATTACGACGCGGAGGCCGGGTGTGTGCGTGAAGAGGGATTCGGGGGATTGCGTGTGGTACCTACACTAATGTTGAGTAGCTGTTGTGGGAGAAGATATGAATGGAGGAAGGAAGGCAAACTCACAGCGCGCCATGCCCCACACTACCAGACGGCATACGCACCACCAACCCCCCACAATGCACCCCCGTCGCCCCAGACCGAAACCGATACTTCGCCGCCTCATTATGTATCTGATCGAACGCAGGGAACACATAATCCGCAAACTGTATCTCAGCAACAGGCTTCATGCCCTCAGCCGCCGCGCCAATCGCAAACCCCACCAGCCCCTGCTCGCTCAACGGCGTGTTGAACACGCGCTCTGTGCCGAAGTCGGCGGCGAGGTTCATCGTGCACCGGAATACGCCGCCGAATTGTATGTCCTCGCCGAAGACGAGGACGCGCTCGTCGGATTGGAGGGCGTGGCGGAGAGCTTCGTTGACGGCGGTGTAGAGGTTTATGCGCTTGGTTTGCCCGGTGCGGATGTGTGGGGGTAGTTCGGGGTTGGAGAGCGCGGACTTGGATGTGTGGTGGAGGATGGGGGTTGTGGCGTATTCTACGGTGCCGTTTAGACGGGCGTTGGGGGCTGTGGTGGAGTAGTGTTTTGTGGAGGGTTGAGGGCGGAGAAGACGCGATAGTATGCGCATTGGGGGCGTTTTTGAAGTCATGGTTGCGAGAGGAATACACGGGGTGGGGAGGTTATGGGGGAGAAGGGAATTTTGGAATCGCTTTAATCATATTGGGCAGGTGATGGGTGGGAGTGAAGAGTTACCGACGATGGCGGGTATCGTCGGCTCCACGGTCGCGGTTTAGATACAGAGGTACAGTCGATTGTGATGCCTTCTCCACTCCAAAGGGAATTCAGTATTGGAGCTGATATGCCAAGCAATCTTCTGTCGTTTTGGAGGTGATGTGAATAAACAGTTCTTTATCTACATCAAGATTATCTGGAACAAAGTCATCTCTTCATGTACAGCTGCTGTCTCGTTGTTGCAGGACTAGTCGCTCAGCTGGTTCTGAGTCTACGCAGTCAGTCTGAACCATATACACACACCTTACTACTTCTGGGATGGGGTGGTATTTCTCCACACTTTGAGGCGCGGAGAGGCGACGAGGGTAGAGTTTGCCAAGCGCCAGTAGTTCGAGACATGTGATCAGGGCATCGAGTGGAGCTCAGAGAATTGATACATGCACGATGACGCTGCAGCCGTTCGCCGCAAACGGTTTGTCGTGAGTGGGGCCCGCGAAGGCTCAGTTTTTTTTGGTTGAGAAAGGGGGTGGTGATATTTGGAGAATTGTTACGAGCAGCAGGTGGATGTTGACTGGCCTGCACGACAATCTCCATTGACGCTTGATCGGCCGTGATTTTGTTGTTTTTGATTGCACACTTCCTTCTCGAGCTTGCAGCAGCAGCTTGGACCACCGCTGCACGGGCATCACTTCCGCGTTGCTATTCGCGCAGCTCAACACACTTCCACCTCTGCAACCTCGACCACTTTCATCTCGCCGTCGCTCGTTGCGCCTTTATCCATTTCCCCCCGCACTGCGGTGCTGCACACTACCATGGCCCTCGCCGCGAGCTCCGTTCGCTCTCCCAATGGCGCCTCGTCGCTGCGCTCAGGACGCGTCAACGTGGTGCTGCTCGCCCTCGCCCACGCCTTCGTGCCGCTGGTCAAGGCGCTGCCCACGAGCTTTGGCGACACAATACACGCCCTCCACGGCGAGCCCGATCCCAAGTCCCCTGAAGATGCATCGCTCTGGATCTACCTGAGCATTGCCCTGCTGCTCGTGCTGGGCGGAGGCATCTTCGCTGGATTGACTATCGCGTAAGTGCCATATCGAGATGCTGCCATTGTCAAACGTCGCACTAACACGCGACTGCGCAGGTTGATGGGCCAGGATGAAATCTACCTCCAGGTGCTCGCAAACTCGGGCGAAGGCAACGAGCGCAAGAACGCAAAGAAGGTGCTCGACCTGCTCAACAAGGGCAAGCACTGGGTCCTGGTCACGCTTCTCCTGAGCAACGTCATCACAAACGAAACACTGCCCATTGTCCTCGACAGGTCGCTGGGCGGCGGATGGCCTGCCGTCGTCGGCTCCACTGTTCTCATTGGTATGCCGTCTGATCCGTACATGACCCACCACCATCGCTAACCGCCTTAGTCATCTTCGGTGAGGTCGTCCCCCAGTCGATATGCGTCCGCTACGGCCTGCCCATCGGTGCCTGGATGGCGCCCGTGGTCCAGTTCCTCATGTACCTCATGGCCCCCGCTGCATGGCCCACCGCCAAGCTGCTCGACTACCTCCTCGGCGAAGACCACGGCACCGTGTACAAGAAGACTGGCCTCAAGACGCTAGTCGAACTGCACCAGACGTTGGGCGTCGCAGAAGAGCGCCTGAATGAGGATGAGGTTGCCATCATTTCTGGCGTCCTGGACCTCAAGGCTAAGCCCGTCGGCAACATCATGACGCCCATGAAGGACGTCTTCACCATGTCATCTGACACCTGCCTGGATGAGCCTATGATGGACGTCATTCTTTCTGCTGGTTACTCGCGTATCCCTATCCACACACCTGACAACAAGTATGACTTTGTTGGCATGCTGCTTGTCAAGATGCTCATCACCTACGACCCCGAGGATGCCCTGCACGTACGCGACTTTGCCCTGGCCACTCTTCCTGAGACCCGCCCCGAGACCAGCTGCCTGGACATTATCAACTTCTTCCAGGAGGGCAAGTCTCACATGGTGCTTGTGTCCGAGTTTCCCTCAGAGTCTCACGGCGCTGTTGGCGTAGTCACTTTGGAAGACGTTATCGAAGAGCTCATCGGAGAGTGAGTACTCAAAAATTGTGCATGTTTGTTCAGCTGCTAACAACCACAGGGAAATCATTGACGAGTCGGATGTCTTTGTCGACGTCCACAAAGCGATTCGTCGCATGGCCCCAGCCCCACGCACACGCCTTGCCAAAAATAAAGCTGCCGATATCTCTCGAAAGCCGTCCGAGCAGCCACTGCTGGAGGTGACGGACCTGGAGCAGAAAGACGCTCAACGCAAGCTATCGGTACCAGACTATGGAAGCAGCCCCTCCAGGCCTGCGAACTTGATGCTGCGACGCCGTAGCTCTGGAGCCAAGGACATAGTATCTCCATTCCGTACCGACGACACCGATATCCTCCAACACCTGAAGCACCTCGGTCCCTCGAACGCCGCCAACCGACCCAAGACAACCCGTAGCAAAACGGTCAAGATCAAGCCTGGTCATGTCGTGACACCCGCGCCCGCCATTCCCGCGACCATTCTTGAAAACAACCAGCCGCCCGTCGTATCCCAGGACTCGCATGCTCCTGAGGGAGGCGTTGGCGAGGGTTTATTGGCATCAGCCGGTCGCGAGGCCAGTGATGGTGTTCATGCTATCGGTTACGGTACCATGGCCCAAAATGATGATCGCGTCTCTTGGAAATCTGGCAAATCCGGGCTAAAGATTCTAGAAGAGCCAGCTTCTCCCAAATCCGCCCCGCAAGCAAACGGCTCCAATGCACACGACGATGACGATGAAGGCTCGAAGCAGCGGTCGCGCTCCGTCAGCACAATCGGATCCCTCCACTCCCGTAATTCCCGCTCCAAGACGCCGCCCAGGAAACGCCACACAGCGCGCAGCGGCAGCATCACGGAGAACATTGTCGACGTGAACGGCGTGAAGAAGATTGTCCTGGAGACTACCAGTTCAAGTGACTCCGACGACAAGATGCAAGGCAGCCAAGCTGACGGTTCTGAAGATCAGACGCCTTCGGACGCCGAGTCGACGAATGCAGGAACAAAGGCTGACGGAAAGAAGAAGAGGAAGAAGCGAGGTAAGAAGAAGAGGGGCAATGCTGGCGGCGACAGCAGCGAAACGCAGCCCCTGCTCGGAAACTGATCCAGGACTTTTTGTTGTTGCGATTGCTTTTTTCCTTTTTTTGTTAATGCATGAAACACAGTCGCCTTCAGCGAGGCCCATGCCGTTGCGAATCCGCCGCGCGCAGACGAGATGGAGATGGAATATGAGAATGTGCATCCGAGGTTTCGCCGCTTTATCGTCGGCGGCAGCGGAGGACAGGCTGCGTCTGCGTCTTTGCCCTCGTCGTCGTCTTGGGCGACCTTTTTTCGTAAAAGGAAGGAAGATACATAATTGGGATTCGTGACAACTTGTTTTGCGGGCGTTTTACTTTGCATTGTATTATATATGTTTTTTCCTGCGCGTTCAAAAAGCACTGCGTTGAGTACATGTATATGAGATGAGATGAGTTGTGCTACATGAAGGGAATTAGCGGAGATTGTTGGGGGTTGCTGGTGTAATATGCGGAAATGGCAACTTTTTTGATCTCCTGGTTTTGAAATCGTAGTGTATGGCCATGTGTGCACATGGTAGCCGTTGTGATTATACGAAAGCGAATCTCTCCCAACGAGCTGGTCTGGTGGTGGACCCGTTCGATTCGATTTTGATTCGTTCACGATGGACTACCGCTATACTAAGGAAAAAGAACATCTTGTTTTGTTGGTTATCTGCGGAATTCGAAAAGTGAGATGAAGTGCAGGAGAGAGAGCAGGGTGGAATAGTATAAAAAAAGGTCGCGCCCGGACTCGAACCGGGGTTACCAGAATCAGAATCTGGAGTGATAACCGCTACACTACGCAACCCTACTCAACCGATTTCCAACGGTTTGGATGGGCAATTTTCGAGTTTTACAATACAAGTGCTACTACGAATAGAACACTGAGATGGGGAGGAAGGAAGTGTCATGATATGTTGTAGGGTGGGTTGGGGTGGGTTCGGCGTGCGGGGTATGGCTCTGTGTTTATCTATTCTGTTTTGTTGAAGGGGTGAAGCGGGAAAGCGCTTTATCACGCATCAACGCGTTTGTGTGAACTAGTACGTACGTATATATGTATATTTCATCGTCCCTCGAGACGAGGGCGGACGCAATAACCTGATCTGCTGATGCCGATGTGCACGGCGTGAAATGCGCACTGCAACCAGACCATGAACATGAAGAAACGAAGAAACAGTGGGGAAAAAAGAAGAGAACGCCCCAAAGCACCAGAAAAACAGATGAAGATACAGATACCTCCGCGAGCCCCCATCCCAGAGCGACGTGTGTGGCGGGAGAAGCTCAAGTCCAAGTTTAATCCAAACCACATGTATACCCATCTCCGCCCGACGAACGCCGTAAAAAGACCCGCCTCCCACAGCTGCTCCCCAACAGCCATATGCCATTAGTAAGACATACCCCCAGCGAGCGAGAACTACTGCAGTCCCTTATCCAGCACAGGCATAACCTATCCAAAAATTAGCATCGCATCTCTACCCCACACAACCCCCATTCAAGCAACATACCGACATGCACACCAACATAGGAATATCAAAAGTATCCCTCTTAATATGCCACCAAATCATACAATCCACCAGCCCACTCCTCCCGCCCAACCTCTGCATCGCACTCTCCCCCTGATGCACCGTCGCGCCCCCCTCAACCTTAACAATCGGCTCCGCAAGCGCCACGGACCTAAGTTCCGCCGAGCGCTCAACATCGCCTTTCGTCTGGTAGCGCAGCATATTAACGCGCTGTTGCGCAAAGCCACGGGAATCCTGGTAGCACAGTTCGGAGAAGTGCTCTAGGTACTCTAGGGCGGATTTTCCGTCCATGAGTTCGAGGATGTTGACGGGTTGGAGGCCGGAGTCTGTGTCTTGCGGGGCCATGGTGGGGGTGGTGTTTGTTTGTGTTGACATTTCGCTGTCGTCTGCGTCGCGGTTTGTACTGTTGCTGCCGAGGTTGATGTTCATGTTTGGTTCCTGGCCGATGAGGACTTCGCGTTTCCAGCCGGTGAGGATTTGTAATTCTTTGTTCATGCCGACGACTTCGCCTGAGCGGCGGCAGATGAGGAAGGGGGTGCCGACTTCGGCGAAGTGCTCTTGCAGGGTTAGGAGGTTGCGCTGCAGACTCTTTTCTTGGTGGATGAGGTCGTCTCTGTCGAGCTCTTCGCGCACGTTGAGGAGGACGGGCCGGAAGCTTTGGAAGTATACTTGTGCTTTGGCTACCCAGGCTTTTGAGTACCTCTTGGAGATGACGTGGAAGATGTTGTGCCAGCCCTTGACGTAGTCGTAGGGCTTGGTGATGCCTTGGTAGATGGCCTTGGTGTCTCGCTGCCGTTTCCGCATGCCGTTGGAGTGGAGGGGTTGTAAGGCCACGTTCGATCGTCGGTTTTCTTGTTGCTGCCGGCTGACTGTTGGTGATCGCTGAGCGTGGGGCTGAGTGGGGTGAGCGAAGAACCTAGCAGATGCCATTGGGTTGTCATTCTCCAGCCCCGAATTGGCGTCTGTTGATGCTGGACTTGCTGTCGAGTGACTCGCAGGGCCTTGACCTATCGCAAAAGCGTGTGGGCCGTGTATACTGTCACGGTGATGACCGAAGTGATCTATGGTTGCAGTAGCCGGGGTGTTGTTCGGCGTCTGCACGTGCATACTACCATGCCGGGACTGCGTGTCTTGCCATTCGCTCGTTGGAAGCCCATTTGCGTAGGACATGTCCGTCTGGTGGTCGCCATAGCTTGCCGACACTGGCGGGTTGTACATGTTCGCAGCCTGGTTCATAGGATTCAACATGCCGTTTTCATGGGGTGGCGTCTCGGCTGCGCCTGACGACATGTGGTTGAGCATGCCAAACTCCAGAGCACCGTAGTGGTTCCCAAAGTTCAAGTTGGAGATGTCGAAATTGAACAGGGCTGGATCGCTTGGGTCGAACAGGGCTCCTCCAAACTGCTGCATCGCTCCTGGCTGGCCTTGGGCCATGGTGCTCGGGACATTGGACACCGAGACTTGATGAGATTGGGTGAATGGAGGCGATATTGGAGATTGCTGGCTGTTGTACATCTGAACGTCTTGCGTTGCTGGCATCGAGGCTGGTATGGAGCTTGGCGAGTAGAAGGTCGTGGGTGGTGGCTGGACGTAATGGTTGCTTTGCTGAGCCAAGGCAACGGGTTGGGTGTCCTGGTTTGGGATGGGTGTAGGGCGGTTCCCGTTCATGTAGGGATAGTGTCCGCCCACACCGGGCATGAGAGCGCCATCCGGCGCATCGTGGAGGTACTTTGCCTTTTTGCGCACGCCGTCCATGCAGTGGTCCTGGAGTCCGCGCTTGATGCAGCGGTTGCATGGTCGTTCGTCGCCTGGTTGTCATTAGACTCTGATTACATAAACCTCTCAGACAGAGAAGTTGAAAAAGATATAGACGTAAAAAAAGTCAATCACTCACCACACGTCAGGTGGGCGCGTTGGCAGGCAAAACACGCCCTGCGCGCCTTCTTCCTTCGCGGCCGCAACGGGTCCTTTGCATTCGAGGCGGGCTTTGCGCCGTTGGTCGTCTTCGGGGCAGGCGATGCGCCGCCCGAGGAGTGTTCGAGTCGCTGTTCAGCAGCCATGTCGGTGTCGTCCAGGTCCCCGCTGTAATCCGGCGAGGGAGATGCATCGTCGGCGTCGGAGGAGGTCATAATATCCCCCAGCAACCCCCGGTGCGCTCGGCCCCAGCACGGATGCTGTCGTGGAGGGTGTCGAGGCAGGCTCGGTGCGGCGGGCAGCCGTCAATGGTGCGCTCGGCGCGGTCCCAGCCAAACGGCTCGGCCAATGTTTTCTCGCGCGCTCGGCTGGCGGCGTTCCAGGTGCGTGTCTGGGGGGCGGCGGTCACGCGTGCGCTGGCTGCTTGGACTGACGCTGCCGTGGCACGTTGGCAGCTCCAATGGACGCAGAGGGTCGGTGGGCGCTCAGTCCGGCGGGCAGGTATGAAGCAGTGCGGTGGTGATACAGAGCCGGGGTCCACGCAATCGGGGGAGCATTCCAGTTGCGCGCAGAACCATGTTTGACAGCGACTGCTACCGGGACGCGCTTGCCATGCTGCTGCGCGGTGGGCGACGGGGGCCGGGGCAGCGCAGCCCGCGGGGTGAGGGAGCGTGGATGCGAAGCGAAGCGAGGCCAGGCGACGGCGAGGGCGACGGCGATGACGGGTGGGGCGTCGATGCAGCGAGGACGGACCGCTCTGGGACGCTGCTGTGGCACCGCACCGGCTGGGCTGTGTGTGGGTGTCTGTGTCTGTCGCGATTACGGCCGAGCGACGAGATGCGGCCGCCGGTCTAGGAAAGCGCTGCGGAGGCTCTGGGGTGGTGATGGGCTCCAGGGCTAAGCGGCAGCAATACGGGCACAGTGTTCCTAGCCTGGGCGACTCGAGGCGGTGTCGGGCGGTCGTGGTGCATCCAGAAACTAGTCGACGAGGTTGCGCCCAACTTCGAAACCCCACAGCTGCCCGTTGACTCGTCGGCCTCTGCTGGGAGACGTCGACGCATGCAGCTGCAGACGCAGCCTGTCGCACCCAGCTACTACCTCGGTCCCTGTTGGCCGCTGCGCCGGTGCCCTTGGCTGTCCCAACCACCGTTCAGACATACGCAATCCGCACGCTGACGGGCATTGCGACGGCGGAAGACGCATCCGACGCGTCTCTACTGGAGACCGTCCGTCGCCGTCACCGTACGCTGCATACGAACTGCTGGTGCATGTCGCTGCTTGGGCCGAACATGACTTCAGCCCCTCGCGACGCGGCTCACATGCAAGTACCCGTCGCGCATGTCCATCTGCTGTATGCAAAAATCAGAGTGCTCCAACTCTCGCTTGCTACACGACTCGTGCATTGGATGGCCTATTGGCGCTTGGCGAACCTCTGCAAGTGGCTCGTCGAACGCCTTTGCACGCCTTGTACCACCGTTCACCACCACCCATCTCTACACCTCGCCAATTCTGTGCCCCCTTGACCATCTCATCGTCTGTATCGTTGGCTTGCCGGCCACGTTCTATCACGTACAACCCTCCCTCCGCCGCGGTTCTATCCGCAACCGCTGCCATCTCTGTGCAACGCCCGTCCCTCGAGCTGGCGTGGCCGCCCTCGTGGCGCCCAAGGTGCGTCGCACAAGGGCCAGCGTGCTTCAGGTGGCGTCACGTCTGTGTGCAAGATCCTTGAGCTTCGATAAACATGATGGCATGCCAATGTTGTCGTACTTCCTCTATTCTTAGCCCATCCCACTCTACCCCACCACACGCTCCCTCTACACTCCCATGTCCGCCTACGCTGATGCGTACCGACTATTGCCCCTGAGCCGCTTGCCATATCGAAAGAACAGGATTGGGAATCTGTCATGCTGTGCGTTAGCGAGTACCGCTACCACTCCTCTGGGAATACACGTACGGGGCCATCGCCAGGGCAAGGAACGCGAGCAGTGTCGTTGCCCATTGGTAGCCGAGATCTATTCCTAATCAGTGACCGCCTGTCCAATGTATGCATTTGTAATAACCTACTTTCGTACATCTGAACCCCGAATAGCGGGAACGCCGCTGCAAAGTACGACCGTGCGAAGCTGTTGGCTGCAAGTGCTGATGCAGCATACAGAGGGTACTGATCGGCAGGATCAGCGATCGTGTTCAGGAACCGGGTCCACTATTGTTTTACTCACAGCCTCAACAAGGAAGGTAAATACTCCTGAGTACACCCAGATCACCCTACATTGGACATGTCAGTGAGCTGTTTGTCAAGCAATGGCATCTAGCGGTAGGAAAGAGTGATCATACCCCATGCCAAAGAAGCCGGAAAAGATTATTGGGACTGCAGTGCCACGATTAGCTATTATTACGATTGCACAATATGCGGGAAGCTGTCGTACCTATCCAATGCACCTACAAAGACCAACATATTAGCCATCGATTGATTCAGGTAACCAAGAACATTAACTCACAGACGAATACGTGGTCCACCCAAACCCTGTAAATAACGCGGTTAGAAGCATTCTATACACAAATAGCATGCACCAACATACCGAAAAGTGCAATGGGGACAACCCAAGCGCCAAGTATCGTTGACGGGAGGCGGTACTCTGGTTCTGAGCCACCAGCTTCGCCACCTGCTGCTTCACGTTGGCGTACGAGCCTGCCGTAGATCTTTCTCCAGATTGGGTCGGTCGATATACCCATGAGCATGCCAATCAATAGTCCCAGGAACGCAAGACCCGTTTGGGCTATGCTGAACCCATGGTTGTTCTGGAAGACCAGGGGAAATGCACCAAAGAAGAGATACAAGATACCCAGTAGGATTGCAGATAAGATGCAGAGGTTGAGGCACTGAGACGCAGGGGTTAGTTCATCAGTTATCGCACAATTGGAACTGGTAACGCACCATAGGCTCGAGGCAAAGGAGCTCGAATGGCCTAATGCAGGACAGCATCACCGTCTTAGCAATACTCCTGTCCAGCTTCTCGATAGGCGCAATCCATTCCTGGTTGCCAGTCTCCTTTCGCAGTCGAATTGCCTTGTTGCGCAGAAGCACTGGATGATACGTCTCGGGCACGAAAAAGATGATCAGTGCGAGCTACACGATAACGTCAGTCTACAACGTGCAAGGGCACGGATCGCTGCCTTACCTGAACTCCAGTCCAAATGATGAGGACGTAGAAACACCTATCAACGTCAGTATGTCGATTCTCCTTCAAACCTGGCTGGATCAAACTAGTGATGAACACGACAAGGGAGGGTAGAATAAATGGGTAAGTATGCCGGCTTGTGCAACATCGATATATGGACTTCTGCAATGCACGATCTGTGGGGCTTGTAGTGTACACTTACCATCTCCAAGAGGTGTTCTCGATAATGAAGCCACCTATGAGAGGTCCAACCTCGGGTCCTACGAACGGAGCCGCAGTGTAGATCATCATGGGGGCTGAGAGTTCCTGATTCTGCATCAGTAGGGGGTTCGTGCTAGGAATAGACATCACTAACATGCTTCCCAAACATGTCGCCTACTGTGCCTCCAGCCACACTGAGGAAAGCAGAGCCTGCGAGCCCATCGAGAAACCTGGCCACCAGCATAGTCTGGATGTTTCGTGCGACGGCGCATGGAATCAACCAGATTAGAAAGAACGTGAACGAGCAGATGTAAATAGGTCGCCGCCCATAGAACTGCATCATGTTAGACAACAACGCCGCAAAACCCTGCAGTGACAACGCCGTGTACGCACCTCAGAGAGAGGACTGAGAATCATTGGACCCGTGCCCAGACCCGCGACATAAAGGGACAGCCCAAGTGTGCATATAAGCTGTGACACCCCGAAATCAGGCTCCAGCTGACTATACGTAGACGTATATAGCGACGACGTGCAGGTCCTGCATTTGAAACGTTAGTTTGTGCGTCTTGCTCGCTGGATAAGTTATATTGGCAACGTACACGCAGAGACTACTGGCAGCACAAATCAAAACGATGATCCAGCGCCTCAGGCTTGACATGCTTCGAGGGTTCTCTGGGTCGGCGTCGCCGTCCCAAGTAACCAGAAAGGGTTGCTCGGTTACAACTCCAGGTTTCAGTCGATTCGGTCGGTCGGAATTTGCTTCGGCGTCAAAACAGGTATATCCGTCTCCCCCAGCTCTTGAATGATGCGATTGTACTCTCTTCAAACTGCCACGCTCTTGCGATAACCTGTTCCCACTGGTGCTTCTGCCAGATGGCTCGATTTCCTCCTCTTTCGAGGCATGCGCTTCGTTTCCATCTAATCGTATCGCTTTCTCGCCCCCAATATCCATAGCGTGCTCTCCGTTTTTTTCGTAGGAGCTCGATCCACTCTCCATGTCATACCGAGATGAGCTGGTACTTCTTCTTAGTGGTCCCGTCATTGGGTCTTTAATCTAGAGTACTTTCAAGTGCCTTGGATACGACTTCTAGTTTGCTTTGGTGGTTGAACGACCGTTCGCCGTTAGGTATACCAACGTTTCTAGAAAGTTTGATTAATCCCGGGCCGCACCCACTCGGAGATAACTCGTTAAATCCCTCCTTACGGGTCACTATGACGAGCACGCTTGCAAGACAGAACTCGTGTCGTCAGTTGGATAGCCGTTCAAGGATAATTACACGCGACGGGGGGGTGATTCGTCCTATCTCTCCAGCTCCGGAGGTGCGAAGAACTCGCGTTATATCGCGACAAACATAGCTCGAGCGTTCGCCGCACGGCAAACGCTAAAGGAATGGCTGCCGTCGCCTCACCTCAACGGAGGCCCCACTCTAGGATTCTGGGGTGCGTCTTCCGGTTTGATTATGGATCAGAGGAGCTCTGGTTGGGCGATTGGACATGCTTCCTGCCCTAAGGCCATCCTTTAAGGCGTTGCCATCCCCCAACCCAGGAGCTGTCGTTAAAGCTGTGTCGTTATCGAAACTCTATACCCGTTGCGGCGCAGAGTGGGTCCGGATAAGTATTGAAGCGGGTGCTTTCGGCTCGTCGGTGATGGGAGCTTGGTCGAACCTCATCTCGTTGTCATTCTGAAAGACGACACTTTGGTGATGCGAGACGACAAACAGCGATGCGTGTCAACAGTCAGGTGTAATTTGGTGAGGGCGAAGGGCGCGCCTGCCAAGATCAGCGCAGAGACGACCCCAACCGTCTAATATTCGGTACAAACGGTCAAACGGATGTTGATTGTTCGATACTCCAAGTCACGGACTAGAATCGTAATTTGTTGTTGCAGCTGGAAGTCACCCCAAGAACGTCCAGACGCTTTGTAGTTGCAACACACGAGTTCGAAGCTAGCATGAAAGCGTGCACCCTCCAGTTTAGATACATACGATGCAAAGTCGCGGACCAAAGCTCTAACAAACCCAAATAAGTAATGCTTTCAGTTCAGATTGAACCTTTAAACTCTCTTTACATGCAAAGTACGCGACTGTCCAATAGCTTCACATGACGTCATACATCGTCGTTCACTTCTCTCAGCATCGTCAAATTCCTCCAACACTTTCATGTTTCCAAATGTTCAATCTCTCTACAGTGACAACTAACATGTCGCCTCTCGAGATATTCTCTCAATACGCAAACCCGCCAACAAACTACATCGGCACAACAATCTTCCTCTCCTACATCGCTGCAGCACTCTATCTTACATTTACAATCACATTCTCTCTATACCGCCAGTACAACAACACTTCCACTTCGTCTTCCAAGACTAAAGGGAAAGGCATCGGTATCAAATCACAACCCCAAAACATCAAGATCTTCGCCTTCCTCGCAGGAATCAGTTTCGCCACACTATCATGGCACATGCTCAATTTCCTAATCACATCATATCTCCAATGGGACGGCAGCAAACAGCTCTCCCAAGCAGGTATATCAGGGAACAAGCTGAAGAGATGGATGTTAGAATCGACACTCTTCCAAGACTTTGCTCAAGAGCTAGTCAGCAGTGAAGCTAGTGTAGTGTGGACACAAGCCGCAATCCTTGGGACGTGGTTCTGGGGCGTTTGGACTGCTCGGGAGGGTGAGTGGTTCTCATGTGTACTAGCAAACGGGGAAATATGACTGACGAGGTATAGCACGGAAAAGCAATCTCGATGCGAGCGCGATGTGGAAGTTCATTGCCCTGGGCCAGATCTTGCCGATTAGCTTTACTTCTGCCCTGGGCATCGTGCAGTTGTATCTCTCGTCCTTGTCGAGAAGCACAAATACTGCGGAAAAGTCGCAGAGAAAATCGGTATCGCTCGTACTTCCTACAGTCGTTCTCAACACCTGTCTTCTCGCTCAACCATTTCTGAGAGACCATCCGCTTTTCGTCACGACTATATTGTTTGAGCGGTTGATCTTATTGCTTCCATACTCTAGTCACATCAGTCTTGAGGATACGGAAGTGACGCAAAGTATCATCATTTCTGCTGCGTGTGCGGCTGGGAATGTTGCGCTGATGGTCAAAGGTGTAAAGATAGGAGAGGTCCTTAGCGGTGTGTGGCATGGCGGGTCAGCGGTCAAGGCGTTAGGATGGGACGCGGTATTGGGAGGTTTAATCTCGGTAGTATTGTGGATGAGAGGAGGCGTGTAGACTGCATATCTCGTAGCGGTAAAACAACTGCTCGAACGCAATCTGATCAGGAATACAGAGTTTCTCAGACTTTATGCGCCAGATTCTGTTTCAACATCGTCCCTCACGTCCTTCAAGAATGTTGACCATCTCATGGGTCCATTTGACACATCCCCACTTCATCCTTCTGCCCCGCACCCTCGTGTCTCCTTCCTGCCCTCCCATCGTTTTCCGCGTCTCCAGCTAACCAGTCATCCGACTTCCACCCCAGATACGCCTCTCGATCTAGACTCCGTTGCGAGATCCGTATGTCCTCCCGTATATCCTCCACCAACGCGTCCTTGCTCACGTAATCGTATTCGGGCCGTATAAATCCCAGTATTATCAATGACAGCGTTGCGCCGTAGAAGTCTGAGTCGAAGTTGTGCAGAATGTGGATTTCTATGCTACGTTGCGTGTTTTTGTAGTACGGGTTGTAGCCGACTGAGAGGACGGTGGGGTACACAGTCGAGGATGTTGTGTTTGAGGAGGAGTATTCGAGGTCGGCGACGGCGTGGTTTGAGGAGCGTTCTGGTGGGGAGGTGTCGTCTGTGGCGCTGGGCACGCTGGAAGATGTGGTTGTTTGAGCGATTGTGCGATGATCGAGAGTACACCAGCCGTAGTAGATGCCCGAGTCTAGGGCGTCGTTGCCACCGACTGATAGCCCTGAAAGGGGGATGTTCGCGGTTGGAATTCCGAGCTGAAATGGTCAGTACGTGTTGAAATAGAGAAGAATAAGGGGAGGAGGTTGTAACCGTACATCTTTACTTCCGCGTCCAAAGCCTTTAATGACGGGTCCTCGTAACTTGAGTGGAAAAGGTGGTTGTAGCGCGTCAGGACCGGCAATGGGGTCGCGGGGACCATTTGGGCGTACCATGGTAGAGCGGTGGAGTATACAAGATATCGAAGGAGTTTAGGAGAATTAAAGAAATTGTCGTGAAAGACTTATCTTTGGCGATGTCAAGATGGAGGGGAGTGGTGGGGCAAGTCGCGCCTGGAGCTTTGGGCAGCTGTTTGATATGGTAATCATCAAACGTCACTACTTCGCGCATCAGTCGCGTTCAGTCGCGGTCATTTAATACAGAACATGCATCGCCATGCTTTTGATACTAACCAGATATCATTCTTTAATCCGTGGTCTGTCTAAAACGCGAATAGAAACACATCTTGGTTACCCTTCATCAGCTCGCAATATGACGTCCGCATCCTCGATTGCACGCGTCTCACGCTTGCAGGATGACAGACCAGCTTTCATCTACGGGACAGCGTGGAAGAAGGACCAGACCAAGAGGCTGGTAAAAGAAGCGCTTGTGCAAGGTTTCAGACGCGTTGATACGGCGGCTCAGCCTAGGCATTATCAGGAGGCACTGGTTGGCGAGGCGCTTCGCGAGGCATACAAAGAGGGTATTGTCGCAAGGCAAGATGTCTATGTGAGTATTTGGTGTTATTGTAACAAGCCTGCTGAGCTTACGCGCAGAAGGTTCAGACGAAATACACCACTCCAGCTGGCCAAGACATCAATAACATGCCATATGATCCAGCAGCTCCTCTGGCAGCTCAATTGCATACCTCTGTAGCTTCCTCACTGAAGAACTTGCGACCTCAAGCTGAACAAGAGGGCGACTCCTACATTGACTGCCTACTACTTCACTCACCGCTACCTACTATAGAGCAGACCTTGCAAGCCTGGGACGTCCTGGAAACGTATGTACCTGACAAAATCCGCACTCTCGGAATCTCAAATGTCACCTTACCCGTCCTTCAAGCCATCTATGAGGATTCTGCCATCAAGCCTTCTGTTGTACAGAACCGTTTCTATCCTCAAACTAGATACGATGTGCCACTTCGAGCGTTTTGTACGGAACATGGCATTACATACCAGTCTTTCTGGACTTTGACGGGCAATCCTGCGTTGCTGAAGTCGCAACCTGTACAAGTCCTTGCTCAAGCAACAGAAGTCAGCCCTGCGATAGCGCTCTATGCCCTGATCATGGATCTTGGGGTCATGGTATTAAATGGTACCACATCAGATAACCATATGCAAGAAGACCTAGATGGTATTCGGCAGGTGCGCAACTGGGTGACGTCCAATTCCCATGATTGGACTAAAATTAGTTCCGAGTTTGACTCGTTGGTCAAATCTTTGCACACATAAATTCCTACATCGTCAATCCAACAGTAGACATTTGCTTTGTATAACCATTCGAACTACGATTTCTGATTCGTCAGATATTGGGCGGGGTGCCTTGACGCCACGAGGTTGTATTGGCTCATGCAGGTGTGAATGATGGCGCTAGACACTGCTGCGCAGCTGAGGCTGGGCAGCCTTATGACATCGCCTGTCGCCAGTCTTCAGGTTCACAGCCTTCCCACTCTTCTATGGCATTCCTTCGAGGTCGCCGTTGAGGTAACAACATCTTTCGATGCCAGCAAACAACCGCCATGTCGAATATCCGGACGAGCTTACCCATTCCCACACAGCCTTGGGATGCTGCCAAGGCCAAGTTCCTAGACGGGTTGTCGCCGCAAGAGATACAGCGATTCAAAGATGCGACACTCGAAAACCTGTTTTACGATGCCAGTTCGGTTCAGAAGAGACATGCACACGATAGCAGGGTCTGGCTGCTCCAAGAGCGGCTTTCCTCGCTTACCGACGCCATTGAGGATTATGGAAAGGCTCTCGACGTTTACGCAAACACATATGGGCCTGTCATGAGTCCGCTGTGGGGAAGTCTTAGAGTAGTCTTACACGTAGGTCTTCTGTTTTCAATCTGTGCAAAAGCTTTTTCATACATCTATACGCTAGACTACTCGATTCCTGACTTTTTCCGCAGATCGTGAGCGAAGCTGGTAGGTTCCAGGAAAGCGTAGTGGAAATGTTGGCACAGATTGGTGATGTGCTCCCACGCTTTCGCATATACGAGACGCTGTTCAAAAACCACGAACGGCTGCTTGTAGCATTGTCAACCGCCTTCCTAGACATACTACAGTTTTGCGTAATTACGAAGGACTTCTTTGCAAGAGCGAAGAGATCTATGAGTATGCTCCCTAGCCCAAACATATATGTGATACTAACACTGCTCTCTAGTACCCCTTTCAATCGTGCTAAAAGGCGCTTGGAAATCCTATCGTCGTGACTTCGAAACCTGCATGATTGGCTTTCGTACGCATACCAAGCGAGTTGAGAAGGAAGCCGGTCTGGCACACATGATAGAATCTGCGAGAAGTCGTGAAATTGAGTTGGCAAATCGCGCTCTCCACATCCGAAACGGGAAACTTCAACGGCGACACAGGGTACTGGCCACACTGCCTTCTGTGGACTACTCAACCAAGCACCTGAAGTTGTCTAATCTTCGACACCCTGGTACCAATAACTGGCTCTGTACAACACCACAATACTTGTCCTGGTTTGCCAAAGCGACGTCGGATTGTTTATGCTGCTATGGAATTCCTGGATCTGGAAAATCGGTGCTTTCAGCGAGTCTGGTAGATCATATTCAAGACGTCACGGCAAACGATACGAAATCCATCATCTGTTACTACTATTGCGACTACCTGGACAACGCGTCACTAGAGCCTTATCGTTTGCTCGCTTCGATAATCAAACAGATCCTTGAGCGATTGCCACTGGATCATTTCGACGACACTTTCAAGAGCCCTTTCCAAGAAGGCCAAACTGCGCCGACCCTGTCAAGAAGCTTGGCATACTTTCTCAAGCTCCTTCAGTATTTCAGGACAGTTTACCTTGTCATCGATGGGATTGACGAGCTTGCCCCCAATGACCAAGTTACTGTCTTGGATTCGATTGGCAGCATTCTTCGCCATCCCTTCGTAATTGCAAGAGTTTATGTTGCCAGCCGCTTGGAAGAAGACCTAATTAGGAGAACCTTGAAACCTTATCCGACTTTGCGACTGACGAAAGATTGCGTTCGTGGAGACATTGCTTTAGTCATTGACGAGCAGATCCGGTCCACTGTCACAAGACAGAATCCATTGCTGGCAGATGAAAATTTGAGACAAGAAGTTGTCAATGCTCTTGTGTCTCGCGCTGATGATATGTGAGTATTCCTATCAAATCCGACATCATGTATTACAATCGTTTGTGTTTGTATCCACCATTCCAATGTGTACGCTAATGACGACTGACTGGGTCTTCAAAGGTTCCTTTGGGTGAAATTTCAACTGTACGACATCGGACAGGCTTTGACCGAAGATGCGGTCCGAACTGTCATACGAAATCTTCCTAAAGACATCAGTGAGACGTACGCGAGAATTATCGAAAAAGTTTACCATGCTCCAGGTGGTGAGACCACCTTCGTAACCATGAAAAGTATTTTCCAATGGGTTGCAGGCGCACGTCGTCCATTACAAGTTGAGGAACTCGAAGAAGCAGTAGGTCTCGAAAACACCGATACGCATCTGCACACAGAGCGCCTAGCGACCAATGCGGGTGGAAGGCTTATTTCTTGTTGTGGGAACCTAGTGGTATTCCACGAGGAAGATTCCACCGTCACTTTTGCACACCACACAGTCAAACAGTTTCTGTATGCTCCATCCAGGGCTCATGGTTTCACCTTTCCTGATATACAATTCAGTTCACAATCAGCTGACAATCGCATCGGGGAGATATGTCTCGCCTATCTGTCGTTCGCAGACTTTGAAACACAGATAGCCAGAACACCGGATATCATCAAACTTGAGCAGGAAGATGCTGAGCATATAATTTGGGCTAATGTAGCACTGGCAACGCCTGTTCGGACCCTCGTGTCCTGGTCGCGAGGATGGCGTGGAACTCATAGTTCCAAGTCAGATACCCGTCTCAAGCTCGCAGTTCCTGTATTCACCGCGCCTTCGGAAACCTTGTCACGAAAATACGCCATGCTCGACTATATTACAACGTTTTGGGCAATCCATACGATGTATCTCACACCAGAATCGTCCTGTTGGGCGAGATTCAAGCAGATCGCGTTATACCGGCAACTTGCTTTTGAGTTCCGGCCATGGAACGAGTCAGATCATCAAAAAAGAGTTGAAATCGCTCTTCACAATCTCCGTCAGGATTGGGAGAAAAGACAACCCCGTTCGTTGAAAAGTCCGAACATAGAGAAGGCTAAACCCCGGAAATCCACAGTTGAGTTAACTCCGCTTTCCAAAGACTTGCTGGTATTTTCGTGGGCTTTACGACACGGGGTTGGCTCGTTGTTGAATCTAATCAGTTATCAACATATGATTGATTATTTTCGCGAGGTAGGACTGAGTACTGGCCAGGTCACCTTCCCATTCAAAACACTCAAGTCGAATTTATACCAGGAAGAGTTCCAGCGGTTTGTCACCGCGACAGCTAATATTGACCCATCGGCCGACCGCACACTTGGCTCAACATCTATCAGCTCATGGTCTGATCCCTGTTCACACGGGTTCTTAGACGGAAAGTCGATCAACCGTCTTGTACGCGTTGACCCAAATGCTCAAGGACTTCTCGATTTCGTCAAAATGGAGTTCTTGCGCTGGGTGGATACGGGCGGTATGCTCTGGGACAACATTCTTCGCGAAGCCATGATACTTGCCATACAGTCGGCGGAAATTTACTCGTTTAAGGTTCTAGTTGATTACCATGTTCGAACATACAGACAATTCGTGGCTATCTTGGTTATCATCCTCCAAGAAGATCTTGTCAATAAGTCCATACTCAAATTTTTGCTCTCCCGGAAGATCGACGAAGATTGCTCTGCAGCGGACGAATGGCAGCTGCTATTTGCGCTCCATCACTGTTTCCCCTTAGTAAACGTCGTTTTGGGATCTCAATTAAAATTGTCGCAGATGTCCACCCTCGTCCAGCAAGCCTGTTTGGTACTGCTTCTGGCGGTATCGAAGCGGCCTAATCCCCTCCAACGCTTTGTTGGTCTGGACTTCGACTCTATACCGAGGCGTTCGATACCATCCGAGTCTGACCGAGATTATTTTCTTCCGAATGCGGACTGGACATGCGCGGCTTTTGGAACAGCAGATGTAGTCAACCAACTGCAACGTGTGGTGGGCACAGATATTTATCAAGGGGCACGGAAAGTTACTCAGCTTGCACATAACTTCCAGGCCCTCGATAGTTTGGATCTTCTCGATGATATTGGACTTTCTGAACTCAGTAGCAAAATCACCTTCTTCATAACGAAATTGGGAGACCTCTTCGACGTCACCGCATTCGAGCTTGACGGGATTCACTGTCTTCAATGGGCCATGGAGAAGGATGTTGTAGAAGTTACAGAGGCTCTCGTTCCCGCCTACAGGGAGTTAGTATGCGATCGAAGATGGAAACATTGTGTGCTGGGTATCATCGCAGCCGGTCGGAACTCCAGATATGGGAGGACTGCATTGACTGAGCTTGTGCCAGATTCTGTTCTCCGATCCATTGTAGACGAATTCGAACAGCGGGACTCACCAAGCATCTATTTCTCCCTGGTTGACAAAGACGCGTGGCTGAGGCGCATCCGGATGGCCCCGGAAACACGCAGTTTAGGGGACCTGGACGCGAAATGGCAAATGCAGCCACCACTGGAGGAAGGAGACTGGGATACAATCCAAGACATGGCATTCGAGCTTTGGAAAGAAATGGTACATGCATGGCGGAATGTAGTGGGGCAGGGGCGGTTTATTTCTGTCAAGAGAAATGGGTAATTTCACATACACATCTATACGCATTGCGTTGTTATCGACTGTACTTTCTAGCCTTACGCATTGCTTGCATATGAACATTTTGACTCTTGTTCTTTTATTGACATATCCTCTATCCTTGGAGAACAGTTCTTTGTTGTTCAGGCCGAATAATTTTACTACGACATGCAGATTGTACTTAAGTGAGGAGCTGGCCATACTTTCTAGTCCGGTATTGAGAATCCCTTAATAATCGCACAGCGCCCATTTTCTTTCTACTTGTCTCTTGCTATCCAGGCTGCTTTCCTACCAACTATCACTATCCTCACTCAGCTCTGGCTTATCAGGCACGATTCTCTGATACCAGCCTCCTTTGTACATAGAGAAGTACTATTCATATCAGCATTGCAAGCACATCTCGTAAGTCATGCGACGTACCTCCTGCAGCTTCTCCTCAAAACCCTCAGGTGTGAACTTAGCATTGTCTGGGGTGAACAGATAACGGAACTTCTGGGTTGGAACAATAGAGAAGGCGGTTCCCGACCCGTTCTTGACTGCTGAGGGTACGTATCCGGGATTCAGAACGATATTGAGCTTGTACTCTGCATCACGCAGTTCATTGAGGAATGGGAAGATGACTCGCAGGATTTGGCGGAAACTGCGGGTGACCTGTATCTTATTGCTGCCGCCGCTCTCAATGAAGATGGTTACCACAGTGCCTTTCCTGAGATTGAACAACGCCTTCAGGTACAGGAACATGTCCTCACGTTCCTTCATGTTGGCTGAGTTGACCATGACACCAATGCTCCTGATGATAGAAGTCAGGTCGAAACCGAAGTGGTGGGTGTACTGAAAAAAGGTCTCGCCGACCATCTTATGGCGACCGCGAAAGTCGAAGCGCGAATCCTTACGACCAAGTCCCTCTATCATGTCTTGATGCATACCGTATCCAGTGTACGCCGGATCAAAGCAGTGTTGCAACGCAGACCGTCCATTCGCGTAGAGAGTTGTTCCATCCCCACTGTGATAGAATGTAGCGTTGTGCTCCTCGATGAAGCCTTCGTATATCATATCGCGAAGCTCCCTTGGCAGTGCTGCATGCATAGCTTCGCAAAACGGGCGACAGGTGGATTTCCCGTGCTGCTCAATTTGGTACTTGAATTTCAAGGTCGCTACGCGTATCTGCCTTTGAGTTTGCCGAAGTTTGTTCCTTTGGATCTTGAGGTTGACGTTGATGCCTGTTCTGAGTGTTTCAGCAAGCTCCTCGTTCTGCATGGTAAACTTCTTCTGAAGGCGAGTCATGAGCGCGATGGTGCTGCGTTTTGGTCAGTTGTTGTGGCAAATCTCAGCGTACTGCAGTCAGAAGTCTCACTCAGTCGCATCGTTGTGCCATACTTCACCAATATCAAAGACAACATCTGAGTCGCGGGAAGCCATTGCAACGATGCTGTTCACTGACGTGGGAGGAGATACGGATCTGTGAAGCTCAGCGGAGATGCGAGAATTGGAAAATACGCAGCAAACGGTGACTGGCAAATTAAGACGGTAGAAGGACGACAGATAAGTGGGGAAAGAGCGAACGGGCAAGCGCGTGCGCACGTGAGGGTAACGCCTTCTCAACGCCGCCTGTCGACGGGTATCCCCTTCTGTCACGCATGAGTCTCTGGATATATTATATACGCGATTTTCCTTGCACCCTAGTCTATTATACCCATAGTAACAACCGACCTTTGAGTCTGCCTCGGAGCGCGTAGCTCAACATCCCCCCGTCGAACTTCCACCAACACACACTGGCCCGGTACAGTTGAATCCATGATTCCCCACAACGTTTCCGCAAAGGTAGTTTGCTACACTCGTCCCGTTGGTGTATCTCAAATTTACGTCACTCACCGCAATATCGGTACACGGCGCCACAGCACTGCACTGCAAACTGATCGTCCGGCGATCCTTTGTAGTGCCCTTCATACCCTGAATATCAACATCTCTGACCTGGAACTGGCTGTTTGTGCAATTTCCCGCTCCTGGTGCACCGCTGAATCGTGTGCACTGACTGATCGAGAACGCTGCTCCGCGCATGCCCTTGATCGTCAGGTTCTTCATTGACATGTTCTCTGCGAAACCTAAGCCTCCTCCTCCGCCATTTGGTGGATATCCGTTCTGATCATCTGTCCATGTTTTGACGTAGAATGCGTGTAGTGTATCCTCGAAGTAAACGTTCTCGGCGCGAATATTCTCGATGGTCTCGAATTGGTCGTTGTACTGCCCGATGGAACCGATAGCGATACCAAGACCGTGGTAGAATTTTGAGTCGATGAGGGTGATGTTGGTGCTGTTCGCTTTGCAGGAGAAGGAGTCATCGCCATTGTAGACAGTCAGGTTGCGGAAGAGGAGGTTGGACGAGAAGAAAGTGTCGACGCCGTCAGTGTTTGCTTTGATCTTGGTCAGTAAGACTGTGTGAGGCTAAGTTGGAAAGAACTATATTACTCACAACTAGAGACTTTGTTCCCGGTGTTATTGACAAAGATGTCTTCCCATACGTTATCATGACTATGAATAATCGACATGGTCCACATTTGGCTCCGCAGAAATTTGAGACCCTTTACCACAGAGTTGGTAAGCCCATTGAAGGTGATTGCGTGTGGCCGACCAGGGTAGTTCGAAGTATTCGGTTGTTGCCGGATCCATTCATACCAGTAATCACCATTGCCATTAAGTGTTCCCACCCCATGTCCATTGATGCGAACATTGTCGCCTCCGAGTATGAAGGCAGTGCTCTGATTCTGGTATCCAACTGGCAGGGAGGCGTTGAGCCAATACCGAATATCTGTGCTCCACTGCGTGTTGTGCTCAGCAAGAGGTACAAAAATAGGTCTGCATAACATACCAAGAGTTCTCCTTGAATGTCAATGTCAACGTCGTTCAAACCGCTGACTCTCATTACGGAGTTCACATAGTATGTCGTAGGGTTGAAAACGACTTTGCCATGCTGCCCGCATTCCTCGAAGGCTGCACGTATCGCAGGGGCATCATCGGTCTGGTATGTGCCGCTTGCTTTTACTGTACAGATCTTACGTTCTACTGTCGCACTGGCCTTCGCTAGAAAGGCACACAGTGTCAGTGCAACCGATGTAGTGTGTCTCATACTGAAAACAAATTACCTGCCGAAAAAGTGGTATTGACCGACACTAAAATATTTCTCAAGTCTCAATGCTTGCCATACTCGCACTCATATATAATCAATATCCCTGCCTGATCACCAAGAACTCGGACAACTATAGAACTTCTTTGCTCACATTCCAAGGCGATCATAGTACGTGTTGGTGAGTTGTATATATTCCACAGATCCAAGCGATGCGGGGAACAACATCCTCCAAGGTACAATCTCGTCAAATGTTGCACGAATCGGTGTTTTCGCAAGGGCAAGGATAAAATCGAGCGGCGATCGCGCGGCTGGCGGAAGGATTGTCGGCTCGCGCTGCGCCGAATTGCCAGGGGCCTTGACCGAGGTTGAAAATATTTATTATATCGCTCATGTCCGTACGCGAAGGTCTATATTGAAGGCTTTTATGAAGACATGGTGTTTATACTCATACTACGCTTGCAGGGTACGTGATGTTGAGCGTAAGCAGCTGCTTCTCTTTGCCTAGGAAATACCAAATACTTTGCCAAATTCAGCTATGAGCCGATGCTGTTTAGCCATGCTAACAATATATTCATCAATCTGCTTGTGCTGGAAGAATACTCATTGCGCCCTTTTGGTATGGAGAAGCGGTTTTGTAGGTTTGCGTAGACAATAGTATCAACAGTTTATGTTTTTTGTGAGATACTCAGTACTTTCCAACGTGAAGTTTTTGGGCCAAAGTAGTAAAGGATCACAAGGACTAGACTAACACGAGGCGTAACTACACAAACCGCTACGTCGTTCTCTTTGAACGAGCTTCAAAATGTGTGTGTGGGAAATACCAGATTTGTTCCTTCCCCTAAGCGCGCATATTGTCAAGTCTTGTCCTTCATATCTACAACCCAGCTCAGCTTCTCAACGGATGCCTGTTCACCTCTATTCACCTCTACACCTGAAAGCTAGTCTACAGCCAATCAGATTACCATAGTATCTTCCCGTCAATTCTTGCAATTCCAAACAGCAAATCCCCCTCCCGTTCTAACCCATTACATTAAAACAACTAGCTATTCCCATACGCCACTACCTCCCTCAATAGTCTTTAACTGCCCGTCTCGCCAACGACCTATCACTCTAAGCTCCCTTCCCGTATACCCATGCTTACCGCAATAGCAGATAAACACATTCGCAGAAGCAGCCACAACATCCACAACACACCCAGCCCATGCATGTGGCCACAACTACGCACACCCCATCACACGAACAGCGATAACCACCACAGGAGCCCGCCGCCTCCACGATAGCAACCGCGAAACACAATACGCCACCCGCCAGCCTCACCTCCGATAACAATTCTCGTTCGGACCCCGCCGACAACAAGAAGGAAACAGCAAGCAGACGCAATCCGCAACACGCCGACACATCACGTATCTCTCTTCCTTGCAGGCAAACGCATTTCCACGTCGAGATACCTAGTCGCTGATCGATCGCACACAGCGCTACTAACTATGCGCATACTGTAGCGCGAACATGTTCTTCCAACAGCCACACTGAGAACCAAGGCTCTCGCACACACGTACCTGACCCCCCACACCCCCCGCAACGCTCACAAGCCATGTCACATCGCCATCGCATCACCGCGCATACCATCACGTCCCCTCACGTCATGCTACATTACCTTCCACCTAGCCTAATTCCTCGTTCCTAGCTCCCAGCCTAATACCCAGCCCCCAAAAACGAGGCTGAGAGTGTAGTGTAGTGTTTGTTGAGAAGGCGGTCCTAGCGGAAACGTGGTGGCTTGGCGCCACCACCCAACGCACACGTACGTACACACAGACAACATACACACATGGTATTGCGTAAGCTGTGGGTCCCCCTGCTCCCCCTATCGAGCGCTACCTACGCACATACCTGTGGATATGATGGTATTGCGCGAAAGTATTAGTTTGGAAGAGGGATTTATTTGGCTGGGTGGTGAGTGAGTGCTATTTTGGGGCTTGCATGTGGAGAATATGATGTGGTTTTGTAGGTTAGGTGTGTGGGTATATTGGATATTGAATGTTGAACCGAATCGACCCGGAATCTGTCCTGATTCCAAGTCGTCCATGCGTACGTGCGTGCTAGCTGAAGCCATGCTACCAACAAAAAAAAGAAGTGGACAAGGCCCAAATGGAAATCTATGGGGTACATACAATCAAAAACGTAGGGTAACGTAGCGTAACATGTCAGGAAGCGAATTCACGTTCGCATTCGCTGAGCTAGATATAAAAAAACACCAAAAATCAGGCTTAAGCATTCGGCTAGAAAAGACAAAAAAGAAAAGATTCTAAATGTAGTTCTCGCCCGGTGCTGGAGCCGTTGGTTTTTGTGCACACGCGATTGTGAGCACCATTTTCGTCTGGTACCGTTCGCACTCCTCTTTGATGTCCTTGTGCGCCCAGAACCACTCCTCGCCGTGTGAGTCGCGCACCAGCTTGCCGTACAGGTCCTGGTAGAAATGGCGGCCTAGGTTGGCCATCATGCGGCTGGCCTCGAGCATATCTTGGGGTGAGGATGAAGGGGGTGATCCTGCGAAAGCGGCAGGGTTGCTCAGGGCTTTTGGCGAGCCGGTGTGTGCGGGGAGCGCGACGCGGGCGCGGCGGATGTTTTCTAGCCCGACAATCTCCATTGTGTCGAGGACTGTGTCTGAGGGTTGCATGCTCATGCCGTGGGCTTCTAGTCTGCAGGTGATGTGCTCGTCGACCCAGGAGGATAGCTTTTGCCTTTCGCAGCTCATGTGGGGGTCTACGGAGAGGATTTCGATTTGGCCTCCTGGCTTGAGAACGCGCATGCAGTCGAAGAAGGACTGGGCCCACTCGTTGTTGCGAAGGAATGTTGATACAGAGCGCGAGACTATTGCATCAAAGTAGCCATCCGGGAAGGGCATTGTCGAGGAGATGGAAGGGACGTAGAGGGAGTGGTGGTTTAGCGGGGCGGGGTATGATGTCGGAGGATTTAATGTTTTCATCGAAGACATAGTGTAGACAGTCGCCGCAGGGTAGCGAGTTGCAAGCATCCATCCATCGGCTGTGCCAACGTTAGTACATGGGATGACAATGAGCATAGCAGAGAGTACATACCCAACGAGCCATGGAGATGCAGTATCCTCCTTTGGTCAGCCAAACGGCTGCCGCTCAGTATTTCATGTGCAGGGGACTGTAGATGCTTGTTTTGAGTCAGGCGCTGGTAGGCTGTCAACGCCCAGAGACGCTTCTCAAAGGCGATTTCCTGGTGGCTCTCGTCGTCATCGTCGAGGCCTTCCCACTCTTCGTTCAGGCGCGCGGAAATGATTCGAGGACCCGCGCTCTCCATCTTTGCCAAAGCTCGAGCGAAGGGTCCCTGTGGGGGTTTCGCACCACGCTCCGCCATGCTGCTCCCAGATCGCGATCGCGACTCGCGCTCAACGGGCTCGAGCATCACATTGCTGGAATAGCGGGGGTCGGCATGGGCATTGGCATTGGGTCGAGCTGGCGGCGGCCTTGGAGCGCCGGGCGAGACGGATCTCGCAGGCGGGGAGGGCTTGTCATGCCAGGAGCCCTGTTCGGAGATAACGTCATCATAGCGTCCGGCGTTGGAGAAGACGCTCTTGTTGGAGAAAGTGGTGCGATCGGACGACGTGGTCGAAGGGCTATAGCTGGTGGAGGTCGAGGGGCTGTAGGAAGAATGTGTAAAGTTGGAGTGCTGTGAGCGTGTGCGATCGTCGATCCTTCCTGCATGTTGTGTTAGCACTGACTGCTTGGTCAAGGTCGCAGAGCCAAGATGATGTTGATCGCTAATCGCTGATCGCTGATCGCCCGCCGATCCGGGAAAACTCGCGCCATGACCGTGCTCTGGGTGGGCTGCCACGTTGTGCAACATATGCAAAGGCTGAAGATGAGGGTGAAGGTGAGGGACAACACGTACCTCGTGATCCAAGAGAAGGTGGCCCAGGAGATAACCCAGGGGACACCATAGGGGACAGCAGCTGGGGTGTGCCAGACGGCGGAAGTGGAAATGGAAGCGAAGGCAGCGACCTCAAGGGCGGCGGGAAGCGTTGCTGGTGGACACTGTTTGTTTCTGGCGGTACATTCTGGCTCGTGGTCTTGTTGGGCGCTGGCACGTCTCGCGAGGTCGTCCTGGCCAAGGTTGCGGGTGGACTCTGCGAGCGAGCATTTGATGGCTGCTCTGCAACAGCCAAAGACGGAGGGGGAGACTTCTTGAGCGTGGTAGGCCCTGAGATCTCCTGGACGCCTTTATTTTCTCTCTTGGAAAACCACCCAAAGCCACTCCTGCCTGCAGGCTTGGCCGACGACGCGGAAGACGACGTCGAGGGCTGTCTTTCGCTGCCTCTTACGCTGTTGGAGCTCCCTGAAGACTGTGTCGTCGACGAGGAATTCCGCCTCGCACTCTCCTCCTCCTTTGCTTTCCTATGCTTGCGGGCTCCCACGGTCTCTGCATGCTGAGCGGGGATTTCGAAGGTGGGAAACATTGTGGAGATCGGCAACAATTGAATTATGGTATACACGTGGGCCGAGCCATGGACTTTGAATATATAAAACGTCGTGTTTGCATCACTCCCTCCCTTGTGAATGGGTCAGCGAAACACGGGCCTTATCACAGCCCAAGGCACCGACTTTCTGTATTGGCCATCTAGCTCTGGTAGAGCCGAATGCGACACTTCACGAGCCCGACCCACGCTCTTCGCGTCGCACGGCCCTGCATCGTCTTACCCGAGACCCCCGTGCTTAGCCCGTCTAGCCCGCCCAGGACTCGCCGCACAGCCATACAGACGCCTGCAGCAATAATTCACACTCACTTTGCACAGGGGTCAGCGAACCGGTGGAGCGTCCGAGTATGCTCTCTTGGGTGATCTTCAGCCGCGACGGCACGTTCTCACTCACCCACGCACGTCCTTGATTATCCAGGCAACGGTGCGTCTCGAACAAAGGGCCATGTCGCATTCGTCAACAGCCCCGACACCACGGAACCTCAGCCCTTCCCGCCAAAAGAAGATTCAACGCGGGAATTTGCCCGCCCAATCTTTCCGTTGCTGCAGAGTCGTGCATTACTCGCCGCCATCCTGGCCGTGGCTTGTTCTTCCACTCGTCTTCTGGCGCTGCTTCCTGTCATGGCTTACTCTCTGTTGCGCGGCCCAGCCAAGGCAAACTACTGTACATGCATGCATCTACTCGATACACATTGGCTAATCTCCGCTGCAGTCTACGCGCAAGTTTTCCACCAATGCGCGATCCGTGCAGGGACAGCTGCCGTTGTGTACCTGATTGGCGACCTCGACGGGCTGTTTTCTAGTCGAGGGCCAGCGCGTCTGCAATTCGGCTCATCCGTCTACCTGGATTTCCTCCTACCCAGACTATCACGCATACTACTTATCATCTCCGAACAAGTACGGGGTAGATTAGCCTCCAATTGCTGACTTTCTCGTATGTCTTGGGAGTTCTGAGTCTCACAGAGGGCGACACCTACATGCGGCAGGTACAACGGGTGCAGTAGAACCGGTTGCCTGCGGCTCTCGAATCGTTCAAGTTGACCACGACTTCGCAGATCATGAAGAAAGACCTGTGCCTCGTGGAGAAGATCGTCGATTGCGGTTAATCCGCCGCAATCACTCGCGTCCTGGAGTGGCGCCATGTCGGCTAGGAGGGACCGAATTCTCACTGCTAATGGAAGCGATAAGGGTCTGGTACCTTTGCCGTGCGCTACTGAAACGACCCATCCTTGCGCTTACATGACCTAGCCCTCGACTGCAGGGATGTGCGTGACATAGTGTGTGGAAGCTCGTAAAGAACTGTCACTTGCGTTAACTCTGCAATAGGAGATGCTACCACATTACTCGCAAATCCTTTGTCTTGTTAGTCGAGCGGGATGGTTTAGTTTTCTTAAGTATCGCCGCTCTCTGCTTAAATCGTTGGCTTTGAAGTCGTGCTATCTTCAGTGATTGATGCTTGTACCTGTATAATCTTGCCTCTACTACTTTCCGTTTGCAGTCATGGGTTTCTCTGAGCGTTGGAGGGCTCGCCTCAATGATATCGTTTCCCAATCTCCCGTTGGGCGATACTTCCATCTCGAGGGATCTGGTCACGTAGGCGAAGCAAGTCTTCCTCGACGAGCAATGCTAACAGTCACAGCCCAATGAAATTCGAGGTGCCAGGTTTACCACCGAGATGCGTGCAGGTCTGACGACCTTCTTCACCATGGCATACATCATCGCTGTGAATGTGAGTACATCCAGATCTGACACTGTGATAGCCACTGACTGAACACGCCCAGGCCTCTGTGCTCACTGACTCCGGAGCCACTTGTGTCTGCGACGACCCTGTCGACCCTACCTGCAGCACAAACGAGGCATATTCTCTTTGTCTTATCGAGGTCAACCGTGATCTCGTAACTGCTACCGCCGCCATCTCTGCCATCGGGTCCTTTCTCATGGGCCTCCTTGCCAACCTCCCCGTTGCTGTCGCCCCTGCTATGGGTCTGAATGCCTACCTCGCCTACCAGATTGTTGGATATCACGGAACTGGTCCGATCAACTTCCGCCTCGCTATGATGGCAGTATTCGTCGAAGGTTTCATCTTTGTCGCTCTCTCCCTCTTCGGCATCCGCCAGTGGCTCGCCCGTATCATCCCTGCCTCCATCAAGATAGCCTGTGGTGCTGGCATTGGTCTCTTCCTCACCTTGATCGGTCTCTCGTACTCTGCGGGTATCGGTGCCATCACCGGATCCAAAGCCACTCCCCTTGAGCTTGGAGGTTGCCCCGTGGAGTACCTTGACCCAGACACTGGGTCATGTGTCTCTCACAAGGCGACCTCTCCCACGATGTGGCTCGGATTCCTCATCGGTGGGGTTTTCACCTCCATACTCATGACCTACAAGATCCGTGGCTCCATGATTGTAGGAATTGCTCTAGTGTCCATCTTCTCCTGGCCTCGCGACACCCACGTCACTTACTTCCCCCGCACTACACTTGGAGACAACCGTTTTGAGTTCTTCAAGAATGTAGTCGCCTTCCATCCAATCAAGAACGTTCTCGCCGTCCAAGACTGGAACCTCTCTACCGTCGACGGGAATATTGGCCAGTTCGTGCTCGCCGTCTTCACTATGTTGTACGTCGATCTTCTCGATGCTACTGGTACTCTATACTCCATGGCTCGCTTCTCCGGTGTCGTCGACCCAGACACAGGCGACTTCCCACGCAGCACCATTGCCTACTGTGCTGATGCGGTTGCCATCTCGATTGGCTCGCTATTTGGATCCTCGCCCGTCACCGCGTTCGTCGAGTCTGGCGCCGGTATCCAAGAAGGCGGTCGCACCGGTCTCACTGCAATGACCACTGGCATCTGCTTCTTCATCTCCCTCTTCTTCGCGCCCGTCTTCGCTTCCATCCCCCCTTGGGCCACTGGCGGTGCCCTAGTTCTCGTGGGCTGCATGATGATGCGTGGTATCACAGCCATCAACTGGAACTACCCCGGCGACGCCATCCCCGCCTTCGTAACCGTCATGTTCATGCCGTTCTCATACTCCATCGCGTACGGCCTTGTCGCCGGTATCATGTGCTACGCCATCATCAACACATCTACATGGGTTCTCGGCGCCATCTCCGGCGGCCGTTGGCTTCCTCCTGATTATGAAAACAAGGAGTACTGGAGCTGTAAGTTTTCACTCCTACCTTTATGCCTATCGATGAACGAAACTAACATATCTGTCTTAGTCCGCTCTGATTCTCCCGGCGCCCAGCCGTGGTTCATCCGCGCTCTCAAGGGCGACAAGCGGTTCTGGAAACCCGAGAGCCTCTCGTTTGAGCTGCAGTCCCAAGAGGCAATTCCTAAGAGCTAGATGTTTACTTTTTGTGCTGCGATCATGACATGAATTCACGTTGTATATATTTTTAATGTGGCTAGTCGTAATGTGAAGAATGGAGAGAATACCAACCCCATTGCATACCCCATCCGTTATGCCCTATCAAGAATCGTCTGCCTCGTGAATCTCATAGCAGCCAACTCCCGCAATTCATTATGAACACACTTCACACCCACCGCGCCTCTCCAGCCTACCTCTACCCAGATCCACAGATCGCAACACCCTACACCCAACCAACACCTCCAACCCAAACATCACATCCAACCCCAGCAACACAGCCCTCCACCATCAACCCCAAACGCAAACAAAACACTCCCAACACCCCCCATACCTTTCCCCTCTCCTCACACTGCCGCGCACCACCCCAAAAAGCCTAGCCTCCGCACCTCCCTCCATCCTCGGAACAGTAACACCGACTCCCCGGCCCCGACCCAGCCAAGGCGGAGACGATGCGAAGACGGAGCCTCGCCGCATAGTCGCTAGACGTACGCACCCGAGTAGGTATAGGCGCGGTGCTTGCTCCGCGCTGTGGTTAGCAGGGGAGATATACGAGTGCGACCCGTTGCGCGGGTCTAGATGGGGGAGTGCTTGGCGTGGGTGGTTTGGAGTTAGGCGGAGAATTTGCAATGTGAGCGAGCGAGCGGAGGTGGGCGCATGGCGTGGTGTAGCGTGGTGTAGCATTTGAGTTTTGGGGCGGATTGGGGGAAGTGTTCGGGGCATGTGTGGGTGATGGGGGGTTCGGAAATAGATGTCGCATCTGTAGAGTACAGGTAGGTACAGTATGCTATGCTATGCTGTGCTATGGGCGGACCTTTCGAAACAACGCAGATGCTACCTACCTATGGCGGCGTGGTGTATGTTGCAGAGGTGACTACTTGCTTACTCCAGCTGACTACCCACACACCCCTGCAAAACGCGAATGCAACCAGGTACCAAGTGGGAGAACGCTAGGAGCAGTGTGCCTTGAGCTATAGGTGCGAGTAGCTTGTGGCTTCGCTAGAGCAGAGCTACGGCTATATAGCGGAAAGCGTGGCGTGCGGGCTTTCTGGTAAAGTTGTAGTCGGGTGCGCTTACCGCATCCAGGGCCAACTGGAACCAGAACTTCAGCTTCGTGTGCCGCTGGAGGTCCAATGTGCTGTGAGTTTCCATTCGGCGTTATTTATCTCAATACATTAGATGTGTTCATCGGGCACTTCGTTATGAGCCTATATCCCGCATTGCTGGAGGTAGAGTAATGTGCTCTCTCGGTTCGCAATGGCCTGTTTCATCACATGTGCCGTTGTTTTTGGCGTGCTGCTAGACTAGCCTCTTGCTACTGCTACTCGGTCCTTGCAGTAGCTTACCAAACTTTTTCTCAAGGAACTTGCCGCTTTCCCTGTATACGTATGTACATGTGGGACTAGGTTTGTATATCTGAGAATTGCGTGACGTGTGCGACGTGGGCGTGTTCTTTAAGTTCATTGGACGCGTACTGCGCCTAGCGTGTCCCAGACTGGCGGGTTTGAGGCTGATGGATGAAAGACTGTGGACGAGGCTTGGGAGATTATGTCTTTCTGTGGGGTTTTTCTTTCTTGGGTCGGGTGGGTTTAGGGTGAATCTCTTGTTGTTGTTTTTCTGGGCCTGGGAGATTGTACGTCGGGACTTGCTTCTCCGATTGTCTGGTTTGCAGGGTAGTCAGGAACTTGGACAAGCTCCCCGGAATAGACGTGTCGTGTTATTGTTTCTTACTATGAAACCAATACATTGGTATTTGGGACTGCTAAGCTAGTGTAGGAATTTGGATTATCGTAGGCCCAATGTGGTGGGCAGCTGTATCTACTCCTCCCCCGCGTCAATGTTCCCAGCACCGTGGTCGTTATCATACACAACAAGCTTGGCTTGGATCACTGCGTTCAGTTGCATACTAGTTCCGACTGCAAGCCTCGTCTTTGTAATCTTCACATAGAGGATTCTGCTAGTACAGCTCATACATACACCGGAAGTAGGGTCAGTATTTTACGCCTAGACGGACCCCTTTGTTGGCGAAAGGAATAAGAAACACGTCGGAGCGGGGAAGCACCGTACGCTGAGGATTTCGGTGGCGGCCATTTGATAGGTAGTCTGCCCAATCCTACACTTGAAGGGTTTGCAATATTCTATAACGTAGGGCCATGACGGAATGAGACCATATATCGCCTGCTCACTCATCTGACTGCCGTAAGTGAGGTCAAGATTCCCTATCTCTTCATCTGGTTGAAGATCCCATGAACATGTGAGTCGATGCTTCATTCTTCCAACAGTGTAGCATGGTAACGCACTCTATCTTGTACATTAGCGGTACATTGCATGAGTTCAGAATGATATACAGAGCTCCTACCAGGAAGCATGACCTACTCCAAGTCAAGAACGATGTCCTTACCGTTGAACATGACATGCAGATAGTTTGGCATGTTCTAACTGAAGAGCGCATCGTACGCGGCCAACACTAGATCAATTCAAGGCGTTAACGCGCTCAGAATGTCTGACGACAATGCGTTCAGCCAGCCTTTTTTCAGCCGAACAGGGCTTTCGATATATTGGTAAATCCAGCGATCAGAGATACTATAACTCTCGAAATGAACACGCCCGGGCTCAATTCTTTGGTGTCTTGGTTATGTTGGCCAAGAGAACAATATTTCAAGATGGCTTCGCATGGTCTGGCTAGTTGCTGCTTCATCAAGCGCTAACGATGCAACTGTGTGCATATGTCACAGATTGATTCTATGCCAGATAGCCTATTGCTTCGTTTCCTGGCCAAGGTAGGATCGCCATCTAGCTCGAGCTTGATCTTCGCTTGCGACATTGGCACTAAGCATGTCGATCAAATCTTCAAATTCCAGCTCAGTGACATTCCAACGTGTGGTAGGACCCGGGTGATTGGTATTATCTTCGTCGCTGTAGTTTTCGACACTTAGCTTGCAAGCTAGAAGCTTCTTGTTGCGCTTATTTGGTGTGGAGAGATACAATATCCGATGCAAGCGAGATGCAGTTTTTGGTATGACTATCACATTGGGACATGCTGGCTGAATGTCGTAACTGTAAGCTATAATGACTCTCTACGGACTACTACTGCCCACAGTCCTTGCGAGTGTATCTGGCGTGCTTCCTCAAGAGTGCAAGGTTCGATTCCGGGAGTATAGGGCTAGTGTTCTCCACAACTGCAGCACGAGTCTTTCACCTCTCATGAAGATATAACACGACGGTCAAGACGAAAAGGGGGTTGTTGTATAAGTTAAGATGGACGTGATTAATGTTGAGAACTGCAGGCGAGAGTATGTTACTTCTTGTTTGAATATTAAATTTGGTGTGTGACAACAGTAACCAGAATCGCGTCAGGACGATTGGACAAGTTGTAGTAGAGCCAACGGTCATAGCCAGTAATTTTACGGAGGCAGGAGGGATACCTCGGACAATGTGAAGGCTGACAGAGAGAAGACATCTTTAGGTTCGAATGATGAGATCATGGGATATATAGATGTTGCAGTTTTTCGTGTCAGCCTTGAGAATGTGCGAAATACCGAGTGTCATTATACGGATCCCAGCTGTCCGGAAATGAACAAAAGCTTTCTCATAACCAGATGGCAATGAGACTTCAGAGTTTCTCTTGAGTTACTTTTTGAGCGGCTTGCATAATGTACTGTTGTTCTGAAATATGCGGATTCTTCAGATCCGTACTGAAAAGGCTGAGAGGCGAGTTGTGACCTATACCATCGAGATGGTGTCAAATCGGCGAGTCTTCCTATGACATTTGTGAAACATCCAAGTGGGGTATAGAGACAATCCCTGAGTAGACTCCTACCTCTTGTCACCCGAAACTCTTCCCGTTCATGATACAGGCTGATAGCAATCAAGCACTCGTTATATCATCTCCTCAATATTCACCTCTTCCTCCGCTCAGGTCTTTTCTGATATCCATTTGCATTGCCCCGAGTACGTATCCCTACACCCCGTACGTTCCACTTATCCCAGGTGCCATAACTGTCAAACTTATGGTTCGAGTGAAAGTTTCTAGCCATCCAATCTTACCAGCGCTCGTTCATTGGGTATTTTGTCTTCTCTTCTTGGTCTGACAATAAGAAATTCAGTATCGTTGCAATGTGGGATGCTGGTGCGCCGGGCGGAGACCTCGAGTTCGCTGTTGGAGGAGGGGTTGAGGATGCGGGAGTTGAGACTTTTGTTGTAGCGGAGTGGTTGGCTGGAGGGGTCGGAGTCGTAGCATACTGGAGGGTTGCCGGAGATGATGGTCGTAGAGGGAGTACTAAGCTTGGTATCTTCCATTTTGTGTGATCCCATTGCTCGATTGTATGTTTTAGCTCTACAGAGAATACGTGTGGTGAGAAACAAACAATAGGTCGTTGGTGTCCGGAGAATATCCAAAAGAGCTTTGAATGATGGTACTTAGGCGGTATTTATGAACGTTCCAAGTTGAGTTCAAATTCAAAATAACACCTAAACACAGCCACAGCTAGGAGAGTTGTTCTACACTTGTAGCTTGGGCCAAGATCACATTACTAGCCATCCAATCTTGATTCGCAGGATCCGTATTTTCTTGTAGAGATTGGCGAATTGTTTGGCGATGCCTCAAAGTTGGATCAGAAAACTTCAAGGCAAGAATGCCTTGGTGCACTGCCAAGCGTTTTGTTGGTCGTGCCAGATTCTGAGAGTCTGACGTCGGTGGGCTGTGGCACACAGTAGTACTGTATCGATCAACCTTCTCTTGTGTGTAGAGGTTCCGAAGGCACTACTTGACATGCCGGAGACTGCGTTACATAACCAGTAACACGCCAGCCCATTTTCTCAGGGCAATGTAGATCTTTAGCCCAGTAGGCAGAAGTCCCGTTTACGCCAAAGAAGGACATGCACACAGACTAATTCCCAGCTCGAGAAATGTTGTGAAGCTCTACATGACAGTGATTGGTATAGGGGCTGGTGTGGAAACATTCCGGTGCTTGTAACGTAGGCGTGCGCAAGTAGATACTTCGATTGTCGAACGTGGAATCAAGAATCAATGGATGACGAGGTAAACATAAGTAAATTAGCTGCTCGTCCGATGATGCATTTCCTTCTCGTCAGCATTCATGTTCGGGTCCAATTTCAAAATCGAGTACAGTTGTTGAGCCATTTGAACTGAGTGGCGAATTCGGCGCGAAATATTGTAGGATCAGCGAGAACGCTAGATGACTAAGTCATCGTGACCAATCGGTGAACAAAGCTTCTTCACGCACAAACACTCATCCGTCCAACACTCAGACCAAAGATAGGTTTTCCCGCAGCGATCTCGTGCCCAGAACGTGGGGCTAGGCTCGAAGCATCGTGTGGGGGATGGTCGTCTTCTCCAGAAAGTGTCACACCACTCTCACATCACCGACTTGCTTACTCGTGCCGTCGGCAAGCGCCGCAACAGTCAAGGGGGTTCGAGAACATCACACCATTCTCTCACGATCACGGTAACATTTTCTCCAAAACCAACCAAATGATCCGGAAATGCGCGAAAGTTTTCAACGGCACTCTGAAAACTTGCCAGGAGGGGAAACTTCGTTTAGGCGTACCGGATTCCAGGCTATGGAACTGTCGTGATCCGTAGCAGACGCTGCCAGCTCGTAGGGCTGGAAATCCATCGCGGCAATGCGTCGGAAAGGTAAGATCTCAGCTGATACAGTGATGGTGTGACACCGTATTCTATCTCCTGCCGATTGATACTCAAAACGACATTTGTATGCATTTTATAAGTCTTCGTTCTGCACTTCAGTCGTACACACTCCACTCAACATCACACTCGATAGACATTCAGCATACATACCAGTCTACTCTCCAATCAACCGCTTCAAAACTACATTGCGACTCGACTCGACTCAGACTTCACATCATTACAGACAAACCCCGCTCCAGCACAGTCTCAGCTCCAACTCAAACTACAACATCAAAATGCCTTCCCCAACACAAGCCCGCACCATGTTCCGCAGTGCTGCTCGCTACCTCACTGAGCAGCACCCGTTTGCGCGTAACCCTACCACTATGCCATCGCATTCTATTCGCTACCTCGACCTGAACAAAAGAGTCGTAAAGGCAAGCGCTTTGTAAGTCACCACTCCACATCCTACCCAGCATGCTTCCATCCAAAGCCTCCTTTCTCCATCTTGGTAGGAGCTAATGAACACCCAACAGATACTTCCCCTTCGCAGTTGGCGTCCTCGGCTGGCCAGTCGCCGCTGCCTGGTGGTTCAATGGCTCCATGTGACTCTTTGAAGGAGAAAGAGAGCGGATGGTAGAGAGACATTTCGTACGGAATTTGGATTCCAAAGAGGTTGCAGACCTGATTCTCAATATGCGGTGGGATGATTGAAGATTTGTTTGGCATTCATATGGCACTGGCGTTGGGCGTTCAAACTTGTGCAGAGGCCCTTTGAGTTGGCACTGTAAGATACCACACAATTTACCACATTACATTCAAGTGCAGTCTTTGCACGCTCGTGAAATACAGTAAGATAAATGTAGAGAGGCACAGTGTCCAATGATGCGGTTTCTTGCAAGACATCTCGAGGAAGTTCAAGGAGTGATATCAGGCTTTCGACAGCTTGCGCCACGGAACTCTCAACGAAATTCTCTTGAATGGGGGGAGATGAAGAATTCGACATTATCATAAGCAGGCGTAATATTCAGAGCAGCTCCGATGATCTGAAGGCGGATGCTGGTTGTGAGGCTGTGTCAATGACAGAAACAAACCAATCCCTCTACTTTTGGCGTATCTGTCAGTGGAACTTGCCTGATCATCCGACTGCGGGGAGGGGAACACCGAGAAAATCTATTTAGCCGTCTGCTGACATCTGGGGTTTTGCGTCCCGGAATTGATCTACGTGCCGCTGCGCCGCATCCTTACTGTGGTCCTTGTGGTCCCCCCCCCTTAAGTGTTGACCATTCGCCACTTGTGGGTACCTCCAACAACGCTCACGGATTGGTCAGAATTGTCTTGATCGACGTTCCTGACGAGGCGTATACTTCGGGCGGGGATCACCCCATCAGCAGCTGGATATCAGGGGCTGTTCTAGTCCCACCTATTATGACTCGTCTTCGTAACATACACCCATCCTTTAGAACTCCTTACTTACGCTTTCATGCTATGTCTCTACTGTTTTGTCCACACAGGACAGCTCCGAACTTCCCGTTTACTACCAAACCCAAGCTGATATATTCCGACAACTTGTGAATGACGTTGCAGATGTATTTGAAATTTCGATCCAGGTCACTTTCAGTGCGGAGGGTATCTAATTTGCGAGACTGCTGCAAATACAGCCTTTCTTCAAGTCATGACGGCTGGAACTACATACCTATAGACTTTGATCTTGGTATGGCCATATCCGGGAGAACAACACCCTCTGCGACTCAGACTCAGCCATGTTTACAAACATCTCCTTGACAGTATTGTTGATGTGCAAAGCCTGCTCATAATTCTCTGGAAGCACCATGCCACCCAGCGGGATCAGGTTGTCGTCTTGAAGCTGGTGCAATACTTCCCCAAGGCCCTCTACAACCTCCAATTCGTCGTTGTGAAGCTCCAGTTCCTTTGGATCGAATTGTATAGGACAAGGTGCATTCACAGGTGTAATCTCTTCCCAATGAGCGACTATGTTTATCAAAGCATGACGAAATGAAAACACATCGTTTCTGCTCCATGCACCACAGAGCAACGAGTTGGGCTTGATCCGAAGAGAGCGATTTGGCGAAGTCACTGCGACCCACTGTTGCTCATTCTTAAGCCTCGTGAGGTGTTGGTAGTGTCTGAGGAGATCTGAGGTCCCATCTGCGTCATGTGTTGCCTTGGACCCATCTGATGCGGTTTTCAAGCAATTTCTCGTGGTATATGATCTGATCGGAAGAAGTAGACGCGGAATCTTGTGTTGAAAGAAAAGCCCAGACACCGAGACTGACTGCCAGTCAATGATGCAAGTTATTTGCTTCGTGTCTGGATCCACGAATATATTGTCGAGGTGAAGGTCTGGGTGAGACAGTGATGTCCGGGACGGACCCGGTGACAGATGAGGAACGAGTTGGAGATATCGTTCTAAGAGTGAGATGTACTCACCAGGAGTTTCTAACGCCTCAAGGGATTGGTATGGATTCGTGCGGGGTTTTGCGTGCGTCTTCGCCCACTGTAGCTCGTTGACTCCTAACGCTGTCAAGTAGGAGATTGGAGTAATCCCTTGATAGGTCAGCAGAACGCTCTTGTCGAGACGGTAGTGCATGTAGCTTACATGGACCTCGATCTAACTTCATCATAGCTCTATCGCCTTCCCATAGCCTCGCTTCAGTCAATGGCCCAACCACAAACTCCTCTGCTGGAGACCCTTTTACCAAGTCGCCAGATGAGTAAGACCTTGCGTCCAGGTCGTAGACCTGGATAGCCTTCTTTTCCAAATCCTTCTTGTAGTAGATGCAGCCATGACCCCCGAATGAAACCGAGGTCAGCTTCGTCTCAAAATCTACAAGCCGAGTCACCAGACCAAGTTGTGTTTCTTTTTGCCACATATACCAAAGACTCCCTAGTGGCTTGCCTTTGGCCTTCTCTTCAATAATGTACTCCGCACCGACTGGATTGAATGGATCCGAACAATATGTATAAATGGGCGGAACGGGCAGTTTCAAAATTGTGCGGAGCTGAAGTATATTGTTAGAACTTCACAATACTAGTGGTAGGTCACATAAAAAGTCTCGTGTAGCTACCTCAGAGGCAGTTGTGTAAAACGCCGGGCCAGCGTTGGGATTAGGAATTTTTGCGAAGACCTCAGCTCCGTTGTCCATGATTATTGTGAAAGCTTTGTTGTACTGACCTTCTACGCATTTCACTACTTTGACACCTGATTGTAGGAGTTAGGCTCATCCATATACGAACTCGAGATGGGATTTGGCTAAGTGTCTTACACGATTTAGCTCCATTACCAACGGCATGAACGGCAGCGTCAAGGAGGGCAGAGATATTGAACTTCCGATACCGCATCGCAAGGTTCTCAGGTTCGTTGCATCTGGGCATTATGAGATTGCTTCACTAAGTAGCAGGGTCTGCACATACGACCACCGGTATCGAGTATACCTGTACAACTCTTCTTCTGTAGTGTCTTCCTCTATAATACGAGCTGAATGAGATCATCCTTAGATCCCGAGTCATAAATGCTTGTCTTACCCGAACCATCTTCTCTCTGCTTTCGAAGGATGGGTCTTGCCATAGTACTCATCGTCCAGTGAAGGCCTGTTTGCTGACAGTGCCAGAACCTGTTTTCGCGCAAAGTCTTGAGCGTGGAGCTCAATCTAAATAGACTGAAACCGTAATGGAAAGGTTTCATTGCATTGTAATCTTTATAGCATTGATGACTTATGAGTAAAGTCCATTCAAGACGATGCAAAAAGGCGACCCTCGGAAAGACAGATTTCCGTTCCCCAACGCTAGACCGGGTTTGTCCGAGTATGCGGTATTTCTTTCCTTTCACCACTACCAAATGGGGCAGGTTATGAAGCAGACTCTGACTTTGGCTGAGAGTTTGATAATACAGTGCAGCAATACAGCATGTGGGGAACTGTCCACTTGTAATTACAATATAGGTTGGACGATAACGTCGCTGGAAACACCTGATATCGAGGATTTGATTATAGTCTCAAACCAGTTGCCCCTTCTGACTAACGAACGATCAGCAAGCAGCTTCCAGAGAAAGTGATGTAGCTTTCTTATGTTTTGTGTTTGAGGCCAGGACGAGGAGAACTTACTTCGCTCAAGTTTGGTCTTGGTGTGTGCTTCGCCTGTGACTTTCATCGTATTATTCAGTCTCGTCGTCGTTTTCATCTTCATCATCTTCTGCCGTGACGTCTTCCTCCTTGTTGTCTTCATTGTCTGTCTCCTCATTACTCTCTTCTATATTCTCATCATCCGTGTCATGCCACTCGTCCTCACTACGGTCTCGCATACTCTGTTCATCCTCAGATTGCTCGTCGTCAGATTCCGCAGGAAAAGCTCCAGGAAGACGGGGCGTGTTCTTCTTTTCGGACGCAGAATTGGAAGGTATGATGCTATCGAGCAGGGCTTTGAAAGCAGCCTTTTCTTCCTCGATGGGCGCTCGATCTCCGAAAACAGTTTCGTCGCGCCAACTAAAGCAGCCCCAATATCCTTTAACTGCTTCGTCGTCTATCGGCAGGCCTTCGATTTGTGCTTCTTCCAGTATACGCATTGTTTCCAGATCTCCGAACCAGGCTGCATAATGAATCATTGAATCTCCATCCCGATCTTTTCGATTCAATATGGCTTTGCGATCACAGAGGAGCTTGAGAACGTCATGGTTGTTATTTTGGACAGCACCGAGGACAGCCGTTACGCCATATTCGTTTTGGATTTCCATGTCTGCTCCATATTGTAACAGCTTCTCGCAACTAATCTGGGTTCCAAACTGAGCTGCGAACATCAGACTCGTCCTTCCATCTCGATCTTGATGATTCACATCAGTACCAGCGCGCACAAGTAGATGAACTATTTCCTCGTTGACAGGAAACATCAGCAAAGCTCGTAACATAACATTTTGCTGTTCTCTATCCAGGATGTTAACGTGGGCGCCAGCATCAAGAAGCTTCTGACAACACATAACTGAACCTGACTCTACTGCCCAGCTTATGACTGATCTGCCTTGTCTGCATACTGCATTGACATCAGCCCCAGCACTCAACAGCGCATCAACGATGTCCAAATGAGCGAATCGCACTGCCCAGTGAAGTGGCGTGAAACCATAGTAGTCTCTCGATAAAACAGACGAGGCATCGAGCCTCACTTGATGCGTGAGGTCCTCTATCTGGTTGCCTATTGCTGAGTCGTGGACAGAGCTAAGGTTCAAATTGTCACGCACATCTTCGAGGTCCGGACGAGCTCGTACAATTGCAAACTTATCACTGTTCATGCGTTTCAACCAGAGGTATTCTGCGAGGGTACTGGATCGTATGAGTAGTTTCTATCGAAAGCTTACAGGGCGACTCACAATCCGATTCGACTCCGATGATTCAACTCTGTGCCAGTGTCAAGAAGTAGGTTGCATACATCGGCGCGATTATGAATCACAGCCATCTGTCAAGTTAGGGTCGTTTGTGTACGAAGTAAAATGAGAATCTTACAGCAAAAATTGTTTCGTAGCCGCCATCATAGTCAAAGCAATCAAAAGCCCTTAGACCATATGAGGACATAAATTTTTGAAGGTCTTCCACAGTAAATCTATCTTCGAATAGGTAAAATAGTTTGTTATAGATAACACTATCAAAACAGATTCGTGGTATCCTCAAGGTCCAAGTACCGCCAAGGCCACCGAGAGAGCGCCAGGACGACGTAAGCTCGATGCCCAAAGGAAGTAACCAAGACGGAAAGAAGTACTGGAAGCGTGCTGATCCCGATCCTGGGTCTTGGTTGCCACATTTCTTGAAATTGCAAGACCGGTGGTTGAGCAAGGGTGTACCAGTAAAGTTGACGAAAGCAGAACCGATCAGGCCCTTGAGCCATTTTGGTGTGCTACCTTGGAGTGGGATATGGCATTGGCACGGACATCGCCGTGGACAGCGTCGACTCACGAGCTTCGTCTCGATTTTGACGTAGGTTGTCGGTTGCTGTACCGTGAGTGTCAATCTTGTTTCGTTGTTGCTGCCTGTAGTCGTCGATGACTCTGGGAAAGAAATCTCCCGAACATTTCCTTGGGCTTCGGACGTGCTGGCTGATATGATATTCTCGAGTATCATAGCTGTATCTGCATTGGGACTGCCTTTTAAGCAAGTCATCTCCGTATCGTTTGGTCGTACCAGAGTGATCTGCTGAATGCTTGTGAAAAGCTTTGGAATCGTCCGCCTGAAGAGGGGTTAGGGGACGTACGACGCGTTGGGATGCACTTACAGTTGTGAAGCACTTAATGTCAACCCGAGGCTCACTTTGATAGAGACAAGCTCTTGTTGTAGAGCATCGAATTGAGATTGACCTTCGCCAATAAGTTCTCTCCATTTTGCTCGCCTTCTTAACTTCGGATCGCGGTTGTCGACTAGGTTCTCTCCTTCACGTAACACATCTTCTTTCAAAAACTTGTTGAAAGCGTCTAACCGTGCCTTCGCTCGGAGAAGCAACCGTTCTATCTCAGCCTTCGTATCTCCTTGAACCTCGTCTCCTAAATCATCCAAAACCCGATGCACGAAACTCAGAGTTGCCTTGAAATCGTTCACCTCATTCAAAGCCGTAAGAATATAGAGAGGAGCTCCGCGGAGTCCGTATAGCCTTGTTAGAGTGGAACCAGTCAGAGAGGCCGCGCCAATGAGAGTGATGATACTCGCAACAAGGCCGACAACCTCCATCGCATCGAAGAGGGCACAAGAAGCACCGCAAAGGAGGTTGTGTTAGATAGATGGCGGGACCAAAGTCGCTTTAGATAGGAAGTCGAGGGTCGCCAAGCGAGAAGGCTGAGTTTAGAAGCAGGCGCAGTCATCAGCCTCGTTGCCATAATGTAAGTCCAATAGCATCCCAAATTGACAGAATAAAGTTTTACATGAGGCGGCAGCTTGAACCAATTATATTATGAGGTCACATATCAAGTATGCGTTGTCTGACGCTGCGCCAGCTCGAAGCGCTCAGCCTTGTGTGACCATAAGACGCGTTTTGAGCTCATGATCAACCAGAACGCAATATTTACGTATGGAAACGAGTAATTGGTGGTGGTCTTGGTAAGACTTGATACACATGTCGGGGGCAAAAAGGCTGCGAGGAGAGGCTGCGCCTTCGGACAACGTACTGGAGGAGACAGAATTGAAAATACCGACGCTACGCGCTGCGCCAGAGACGGCAAGAGCAGACACACCTTGCCATCTACATTCATCTGTTAGACAGTCTTAGAGGATCCCTCCAGAGACTATGTATATATCTCCATCTGATTAGGTTTGTTGATTCTCTACGCTACCGAGGCTTCATTTTGTGAGGCCTTCTCTGTGGGAGCCACCGCTTACGAACATGTCGACATGGTGAAAACTCCTCTACCAAGATAGCAAGAATGGGAATATCCTAAATCCAGAAGTATGACGAACAAGCTGCGGCTTTGATAACGTGCATGGGTCCGAGGGATTGTTGGACTGGAAAGCAAGAGCCAATCGTTCGAGCTAAATGTTATCACCATGTGACGTTGGGCGGTCCAAACAACTCCACGAAACTATTATAGGGATTGATACCAACCTGAAGAAAGGTACAAGAGAAAATACGAAGGACAACGCCGAAGAATTATACATTTTCAGATACCAATAGTCGATTTGCTACTAGCTACATCATGTGATACCAAGGAATCCACAAACGATTTTTATCACGTCGTCGTCGGATCACGCAATTCGCGCTAACATCGTTTTTTGGTCGCGTCAACGCGACAATCCGCAATTCGCCCTCTCTCGCCCGAACAAAGTGTAGAGGCCTCCAATCATGGAACAAGGAATTGATTGCGTATTCCTAATCCGCCTCGGCTGGACTTGCGCCGATGTCGCTATGTCTTTGCGTAGTTTCTCGTTGAAGGCGCAACTGCAATTCACTCACATTTCCCCGCGGTGAGACCTCAAGAGAGTTTTCGCCTGCTCTCAGTCTCTCGTATATTGAAGAGGGATTTATAGTAGATCTGTAGAGAGATCTTTACACATACTGTCTTTCAAGATGCACAACCAGCAGACCGAGTCCGCTGGGCCGGGCGCCACCGAGCCGAACACACCCAAGAACTTCGTCAAGAAGTCCTCGAGCCTACCATTCGGCCAGGATCTCGCCCTCGAATCGATCAGCGGCCCCACGTACCTCACAGCCCAGACGCTCGTACAGCAGGTCGCATACACGCTCTCGGACAAGATCTTTGCGTACTCTGCCGAGTCGTTCGACTTGGATGTGGCAGTCAAGTACTGGCAAGAGCAGGGCGAGAAGAATGCTTTTGGATACCAGACGGGTGTCTCGTCTCTGGAGACAAGAACGGGCGCTGGTGCCATTGCGCTAGGGTACATGTTCTCCAAAGACTTCGACCTGAAGAAGCGCCACATCCCGCAGTCGATTGTCGCCTCTTCGTCGACATTGGACTACCTCCGCTCGACACTCGATCAGCTATCCGCTCTGTACTCAGTGGCCAACCCGCTCACTGCACACATCGCCGCCGTCGATTACTCGGCCAACTCGAATGCGGGACTTGTGACCGACTATGTCTCCTCTCTTACACTCGCCGAGGACCTTGGACTGGGTCTCGTCTGCAGCCCGTCTGTCTTCGAGACGCAGCACATGTCGCTGTTCGCCACCCTGCTCTCGAGCATCCTCCCCACCATCCACACCTACGACGGCATCAGCGTTGGACGCGAAACAGCTAGGCTGGTCGATACACTAGACCAGACCAGACTATACAATAGCTACCAGGCTGTCCTGAAGGCTGTCTCGGACGTGGACAAGAAGCACTCGGACAATGCTGGCCGTGTCGTTCGTCTGCTCCAAGCTTTCAACGACGAGTTCGGCGAGGACTACAAGCTCTTCGACTACTATGGCCACGAGGAGCCTGAGAGCGTCCTTGTTGTCTTTGGTACTGTCGAGGCATCGCTGACCGCCCAGGTCGCCAACGCCTTGTCCAAGGATGGCGACAAGGTTGGTGTCATCAACGTGCGCGTCTACCGCCCATTCGTCGAGGAGGCTTTCCTCGAGGTGCTTCCCAAGAGCACTCAGCGCATCGCTGTTCTTGGTCAGGTCAAGGACGAGACCGCCGTGTTGGACACTGCCGAGTACTCCAAGCTCTACTCGGATGTCTTGGCGGCCATCCAATTCGCGTTCGAGAGAAACATTGAGGTATCCGACGTTAAGTACTCTCGCGAGCAAGTCTGGACCCCAAGCAACATCTTGGACGTCTTCCGTCAGATCTACAGCGAAAAGACACAGTCTGAGGTGCGCTCTTATGTCGACATCCTGAACACTGCGGATGTCAAGCAGTACACTTTCTGGAATCTTGATGAGTCGCCGGCTGCCAATGCCCCAGTTGTTGTTGGCAAGCTTCTTTCATCCGACTCCTCGAAGAACGTCTTTGTCCGAAATGGCCATGACAACCTTGTTGGTGGAGGTGTCACTCGTACTGATATTCGTAACGCCGATTACACCATTGAGGCCCCCTACTCCGTTGAGCAGGCTGACATCGCCTTCATTGGCGATCTGACAATTCTGCAGCACTTCGACGTCCTCAACGGTGTCAAGTCCGACAGCTCTATCATCGTCAAACTTCCTGGAGTTAAGAATGAGGACGTCGAGAACAAGCTGTCACCTGCTTTCCGCAAGGCTCTTGTCGAAAAGGACGTTCAACTTTTCGTGCTTGACCCTACCCTCTCGGAGGCTGTCGCTGAGGACTCTTCCCTCGAGACCTATCTCACACAGTTGGCTTTCCTGAAGGTCGCTCGCGACGACCTCTTGGCCTCTGGCCTGTCCAAGCTGGCTGCTATCAATGGTAGCTCTGAGGTCTTCGAGAAGCTTACCCAGCAGCTGGAGTCCGCCCTTCGTGAGGTCGAGGTTCCTGCTGCTTGGAGCACTGTCGAGGATGATGTCGAGCCCATTCAACTCCCGGCTGACATCAACGTCAACAGCTTCGCGCCCTTTGACCGTATTGAGCCTGAACCCCCGACACTCCTCAAGGACTGGACTATCGCAGCCAAGGGTCTCGCCTTCAAGGAGGCCTTTGGTACGGAGACTCGTCTCCGCCCTGACTTGGGAATTAAGACTGCTGTTGTTACTGTCAAGGAACACCGCCGTCTTACGCCGCTCACATACGACCGCAACATCTTCCACATCGAGTTCGACCTTGGCAATTCTGGTGTTACGTACGCCATCGGCGAAGCCCTTGGTATCCACGCCGAAAACGACAAGGAGCAAGTCGAAACCTTCATCAAATGGTACGGCCTCAACCCCGATGAAGTTGTTGAAGTGCCATCCCGCGAGGACCCCAACGTTTTGGTGAACCGCACTGTCTACCAATCACTGCTTCAGAACGTCGACATTTTCGGCCGCCCACCCAAGCGCTTTTACGAAGCCCTTGCCGAGTTCGCCGATGAAGAGAAGGAAAGGCTGGAGCTTTTGCAGCTCCTTAGCGGTGAGGGTGCAACGGAATTCAAGCGCCGCGCCGAGGTCGACACTATCACCTACGCTGATATTCTCCTCGAGTTCCCGTCTGCACACCCTTCTTTCCACGACATCGTCCGGATCGTCAACCCTATGAAGCGCCGCGAGTACTCCATCGCCTCCTCCCAGAATGTCACCCCCACTGCTGTCTCCCTGCTCATCGTCACGGTGAACTGGGTCGACCCCAAGGGTCGTGACCGCTTCGGACAGGCTACACGTTACATGGACGGCTTGAAGATTGGCGAAACAGTCACCGTCTCAGTCAAACCATCCGTTATGAAACTTCCACCGAAGACCACCGCGCCTATTATCATGGCCGGTCTCGGAACCGGTCTTGCACCCTTCCGTGCGTTTGTCCAGGAACGTGCCTACCAAAAGCAGCAAGGCCACGAGATTGGCGAGGTGTTGCTGTACATGGGCTCACGCCACCAGCGCGAAGAGTACCTCTTCGGTGAGGAGTGGGAAGCGTACCAAGACGCTGGCATCATCACGCTCTTGGGCCGCGCCTTCTCGCGTGACCAGCCGCAGAAGATCTACATCCAAGATCGCATGCGGGAGAGCTTGAGCGATATCCGCAAGGCGTACCTCGAAAAGGAAGGCAGCTTCTACCTATGTGGCCCTACGTGGCCTGTTCCTGACGTCACGGAAGTTCTCCAGGAGGCTGTTGAAATTGACCACAAGATCAAGACCTTTGGCGACGAGAAGGCGAAGAAGGTTGATTCCAGGAGGGCTATTGAGACGCTGAAGGATGAGGGGAGATATGTGCTTGAAGTCTATTAGACGGATATGGGAAAATGTCGAGGTAGTAGATGGCTGGATGGGAAAAATAGATCGTTCAAGGTTCAGTTTAGATCATGTCAGAATTTTCACTCAGAGATGGAGTCTCAACGCGTTCGTGATGTTGGATATGCTGTTGCTCAGAGATGCAAGATATGAGGTAGAGGAGTTGGTGAGGTAGGACTGTGATGAGTAGGTAAACAGACCACGCTAGCGAGACGTCACACTTTGACCTCAGACTGCCCTTCACTCCACTCTCCACATCACCTTGAATATCATTTCCACGCCGTCCTTCCCGATTTTGCAACCCTTTTTATTCAAACTGTGGGAATTTGCTGAGGCTATGTAATATGATCCAATTCTACCGTAGATGCCGCCTCGCGAGAGAGACACGTTGTGTGAACGCGACGCGCACGCTACATGACTATCGAACGAGTGGGAGTACCAGATCGTTCGTCGAGGACTGCAACAGACCGACGTCACTGTCATCGAAGGATGGGTTCATTGATTGTCGTAAGCACAAATCAATTTCGTTCACACTCGGTCGCGTAACATCATCACGCCAACAAATCACAAAGTACAAGAACGCATGTTGTCATTGGTCATTATGAGGGATCTATCATCTTCCTAATCTTGGACACCCAACCTCGTCTGAGATCCCGACCAACCACCAGCGACGTGTAGAAGCTTGGAAGGATTAGAACATTTCAGAATACACTAACCATGCTGCCCAGATAGAAATTCTTCATTTCTGTCTCATTACTACTCATATGCCGCGCAGGAAGACGAACCGAGAAAAGCAAATTTTAGGAAAGGGTAGGTTCGTCAGGATATGGATAGCGAGCAAGATCTGGTCACCACTCAAGTCTTGCACCAGAGTAGCTCGATCCTAGTCATGAATGGTATAGAGCACTATGTTTACGTTTTTGATTAGCAGCAAGCTCACAAAATCAGACAGTGGAAGGGTATCACGTACCTAGTTGGCATCCTGTTGCTGCTTCCGCATGGCAGCTTTCTTGGCTCGAAGTTGAGCCACTTTGAGCTGGAGCTCGACGGCCGCCAACTCCGCATCAATCGCCTCCTCGTCAGCATCGTTCACAGAACCATCCATATCGTCGGGCGAGTTGATGCGTTCCTCAAGTTCAGAAGTTTCCCGCTTGATCGAGTCCTGCCTGTCCCTCTGAAAGGCATTCTGATACTCCCGCGCGTCCGCATCGAGAGGACTCATACCGACCATGGGAGTTTGTTCGTAACCTTCGCGGCCACGCCTATTCGTTCCAAACGGAGAGAAACGCTCTCGCTCGTTGGGGTTGCGGTCAGAAGATTCGTATCCACGATGGCCAGCGGGAGGCCCCATGGGATAAGGCGGAAACTGATGCATGCCACGGGTTGGTGGCTGTTGTGAACCTTGACGGCGTCGAGGATCTCCGCCTGGGTACTCGGGAGGGCCGAGGGCATAGCCACCGTAATGTTCATATCGACCGTACCCACCGTATCGACCGTAATCTTGAGGACCGCCATAGCCAGGCAAAGGACGGCCCCAGGGATCCATCGGCGGACCATACCCATGCGCCTGGCCGCCATAGCCATACATGCCCTGTGACGGATTTGGTAATTCCTGCTTGAGCTGCTTTTGCTTTTGCTTCGGCAACTTCTGCTGTTTCTGTTGTTGGGGAGGGGCGGGCATAAGGTACTGAAGGGGTTGGGTGTAGCCGCTCGCCTGCATGTACTGGCCTGTGAGACCACTCTGGCCGGTATCCTCGTCGTCGCTGCCGTCTTCGTCTACCTCTGCTTGAGCTTCTATATCCTCATCTGCGTTGTCCTCGTCGTCCTCGCTTCCATCTGCATGGTCGGATCCTACTCCAAGGATGTGGTCGATATCCTCATCCGTCTCCAGCTGGTCCTTGCGGTTCACCATGAGATGCTTATAACGGATATCGAAGCTGTAATCAACCGTCCACTCTTTCACGAGCATGTCTTCAATGACGTCGAAGTCCGTAGTGACCAACTGAGGCTTGCGGTTGCCGGTGTTCTTGATACGGTAGCGGACGACTTCATTCATAGCCTTCTTCAACCAGGTCTTGTTCTTGGTGAGCTTGGCAATCATGAGGATAGCCTTCAAGACAGACGGCAGCCAGTTCTTGGGGTTTGTCTCGTGTTCTCGGTGGAAAGACCGCTTGCCTTTCTTGCCTCGCTTGACCAGCGGACGGTGACACTGGGGGATATACGACTTGATGAAGTTCTTACCCCAAAAGCCCTCGATTTCGCGGATCACTTCCATCTTGGCAACCATATCGTTCTTCATGATAGGTTTGGCCGCCCATGGGCGGGGTCCAGGCTTCTTGTGTCCCTTCGCGGCGCTCTTGAGCGCTGGCTTGGGTGGCTGGCGCTGGGGAGTGTGATCGCGGCTCGCATAATCTTTCGGCTCGCGGGCATTCTCGCGACGAGGACGACGTTCGCGGACTTCTATGGTACCCTCGCCCTTATTCACAGCTTCGCGGATCTTAGGAAGACGAGTACGCAGCGGTAGATCGTCATCGTCACTCGACGAGCAAGCATCTTGATCGTCGTTGGTCATAGTCTTGGGGTCGAGCTTTTCGTCATCGACCGTAGCAATGGGGTAGTCTTGTGACGGGGACGAAAGCGTATTGAAGTTCATGTCGACCTGGATCCAACAATTAGCACGCGCAAGTGGCGAAGGTAAGAAAGCCATGGTTTCACCTCTTGGGAGTAGTCCTTCAGGTTTGTTCTCAGGGTAGAGAGAGAGTACGAGTGGGTGTCGAATCGATCCTGGTATGAAGAGGCACCGCGATCCAGTGTGTTGGTATTGATGGACGGCTCGGGCGTGGGTGAGGGGCTGTTAGTAGAAAGGTCAGGGCTGGAGAGGCGCTCTAAACGCTCTGGGGAATACACCTTGCCGTGGTTCAGCGCTCCCGAAAAGTCGATAGCAGGAAGCTGATTCAACCCCACTAAGTCAGCGGGCTGAATGCTTTCTACAATCGCTTCTTGGAGGGAACTAGAAGGTGGTGTGCTTATTCCGGCACGGACAATAGGGCAGAGGTTACTGTAGGCTCGCGATGAGGGACGTGTGTAAGTGAGGTGAGAGAGAGGGAAGAGGGGCTGAAGAGGGTTCTGAACGTCTGTCTATAAGTACTAGCGAGGCACAGACATCATGACTGGTTGAAATCAAGGCAGAGAACCTAGACAAGAGGCTCAAAATGGAAAAGTAAGCAAGGGAAAGGCGCGGGAGACAGCCCCGCATGACACTCTGTCCTCGTCTAGGCAACGGAGAACAGCTTCCAGGTAAAGGTCGAGCAGAGGGAACTGAATGTAGAGAGGGCGTGGTAAGGAGCGAGAAGCGATCGATCACGCACGACTACTATGACAGAGTAGTACTCCTTGCAGGCGTCTGCACCCATGCTGGATTGAGATGGGCGGGAGCGGTTCGTGGTCTCACAGCATCTAGAATTGATAGAGAAGTCAACAGATACGAGTGCTTGGTTTAGGGAGTACGGGCATACGATGTAATCTTCGGGTCGATACCATGACGGGCGGTGCCTTCTAGGTCTTTCCCTGGATGAAATCCCACTGGCGAGAGGAATGGCTATCCACAACTGTATGCCCAGCTTGATTTGATCCTGGCCGAGCTGCAGGAAAACACGTATTTGTGCTACTCAGTTGTTTGCGATCCGCAGTCGCAAGAACTTGCTGATCGACCAGACGATCAACAACAGCAAGTCGAGCCAATGAGATACATCTTCCGCTCGTCGAGATCTTCCGCTCCATCAAGACAAGCTTCAGTGACGTGCTAGGATGCTATATCCAGGGGCTGGCATTCACAACACTAGGATCTGGTATGGCAAGATATGGGTACAGAGGTGTGTTGACGCGAAAGAAGATCACCATTTGACGTCTGAAGGGCTACGTAGATCAGAGAAATAGAGGGTTGCTTCTACCTACATATCTACTCGTCTGCGTCCTGCACTAGAAGCTCACTGAGCGCTCTCCTGGTCGCATCACCCATGAAGTTACCACATCTTGGCTACTTGCCAGAGCTTTGGGTACTGCATATTCGATCTATCCTGAAAAGGTGCTATCGAGTGGCAGGGTTGTTACGATGCTAAAATTTACTCGCTGCGGAGCCTGTGTATGAGCATGCACACTTCTGGACAACCGTGAAGGCTGCGTTTGAACATGATAAATTAAGCAAAATATCTTCCAAAAATACCAAATCTGCTGGTGTAGCTGTGAGGTACTTTCTAGTCTCACAGACCGACTAGATTCCCGAAGGTACAATTCAGCATTAGTTAATTGCAAGAACCTGAAGAAGGGCGGGTAGGTCATTCTGACAAATTCTTGCACTTTGTGTTCTATAGAGTCATGTTGGCATTCAGCATGAACGGCTCTTCATTCGATCCTAATCAACTGTCCAAGAGTTCCATACCAACGAGTGAACGCAACCTTCCACCAACAATCTCAAGTCAGCGAATGATTGTTTGTGCCCAAACACATCCCTTGAGCTTGCAAAAGGTTTTGTCGACCGAAACTAGAATGATAGTGATGAATATGATAAAGTATACAATATGGAACATGTAAGTATCATTTCAGATTGGCAGGAGGTTGACCGTTGGTGATGTCACGAAGAGGCTGGATCAGTCCGTATCATCAAATTACTGTGCTCAATCCTACCAATCAATACGCTTTGTCCCTTTTGTTCAAATGTTTGTCCCTGCTATTGTTGAGAATGTATCAAGTGTATAGTTTCGAATACCAAACTCTCCCTGAGCCCTCTGCGTTGCGTTGTTGCTATTAACGTATCAACGGTCCATAACTCAAAATGCGCTACTGCTCCATGATGGGTGAAAGGTACAAGGTGCGTTCTTATCCAAGTTTGCGGATGTTATTAGAAAGACATGCACATAAAAAGTCTCATAGCTAGTCACGACCAGCGCTTTCGGGAAGTGGGACGTCCGAACCTAAGGCCTTGGACCTGGCAACGCGGCATGGACAAAGAGTGATGGGAGGTTGGAGAGAGTTGATACGGTGATTGGAGACCCACTTTCTATGGGCCAGTGGCACGCGGCCTTGCCCCGCAAGACCGTGCACTCCCGCCACCGGACTGTATCTCCCATAAGAACATCCCAAACACTTGCAGTGCCGTCTTATTCTTTATCTTGTCCCCATTCTTCGGCAATACTGTGCATCATACCATCATGTCTCGATTCATCAAACGTATATTCAACGAGAACCTATTCCGGAAAGACGCCCCCAGAACCACAGATGATCTCCAGCGATCACGGCGTGTATTGAGAAAAGCTTCGACAGACAGACTGGGCGAATATTCAAATGGAAGGGCTTCTTTGCTTGATCTTTCACAGCATGTGGAGGAAAACAGGGCATTAAGAGATGGGGCAAGTCTAGCCGATAGCGAGATGCGTGCTGCAGAGCCCATCCTAGCGTCGAACCAGGTCGATTATGAGCAACCTACAACGATATCGAAAACAAAATCCACGCGCCGCCGACTTAGTAAAAGGCATGGAAGACCGACATAAATGATTTTATCGGTGTTTGAGTCAGCGTCTTACCTATGTTGTGCTTTCAGAAGATATAGGTCGGTTTCACTCACTGATGAAGATTAGCTGGAAACTCACTGACCGCCTGCAGAATGGCTCTACGCAAGGAATTTCAAACGAGCTTGAATTCCACGATACAAAGAACGTGCTACATACTGGAACTATAGAAAGAGTAGTTAGTTGCACCTATAGACCAGAGCACGCCAACTGCATGCATGATCCGGCGTGATCACCGGCGTTTGGCCCTCGACTTATACGAACCCATTTCAAATCACCAACCTATTGTCTTAAACTCGTGCATCCAAACCGATCTCGTGGAATATAAAGGTTGCTGCAACTGATTGGATGACTAAAGTCAAGTTGTATAGACCCAGCCATTCAGCTACTCCAGTTTTCGTCATATTCTCAAGCCACAAAAAACAAGTTTGCACACACCCACCTCCAAGATACTCAACGGATACGGAGGACAGACCAGGAGCTATATGGCACAACATTCCTAGTCTGACAGGTTATACGAGCTGGCCTCCCGCCACTGCATTTTACACTTACTACGACATCAGTCCTTCTAGAGTGAAAAGACGTGGTATCAGCTCCGTTACCATGCCAACCACGTTGTATCTATTCTGTACAGTTCAGTGCAACAAGAGCTTACGATACCAGAGCTCACAACGTCAGAGCTTACAACGCCTACACTAACCTCGTAGAGATAGCTTTCCCCTTCGAATCCTAACACAACCCAAATTTTGATCTCTCCGTCACAACTACCCCACTCAACCCACAACTCATATTCAAACAACCCACCTCATCACCATGTCCCCCTCCAACACCAACACAGACACCGACACCGAAATGCCCGACATCCCCTCCCCCACAACACAAGCACACAACGCCAAACCAAGCCCCAACCTCATCAACCACCTCACTCAAAAACTCGCTCAAGCAGATCTAAACAGCGGCAAACACGCTCAGTGGATCTGCTTCCCGCTCGGCACAACCCTCGACGAGCAACTTCTGATTCTTGCCGGCGCTAAGGATTGGAAGTTAGCTGGTGGCAATGCAGAGGTCGGTGGGGAGGAGAAGGTGTGTGTAGGTGATGGTGAGCGGGGAAGCTTGGAAGGAGGTGAAGGGGGTGGAGAGATGAGGGGGGTGGAGAAATGAGGGGGACGTGAATATGATGATTGACGAAGATAGCGTCTATGAGAAAGGGGATTCTGTTCTCATTTCGACGTAGATGCAGCCTACATCTTCCGCGCGAATACCAGAGGCAGCACTCGCAAAGTCCAAAACCGCAGAGGATATCCAAACCCGGAACGCGATCTCAACGACCCCACCCACCGCCTTCTCCACGCACCAGCCATACGCGCAAACAAAATACCAACCACGACTTCAGCGCATCTACACAGAGATTTAGACCACGCTATCCAAAGAGAAGTCTAGTCATTTTCCAAAGTTCAGAGCAGACTTACTATCAACTTTTACCGGCTGGACATTCGCGGAAGCTGTACTCACATATGACCGCACATGTCATACCGGCGCAAACTACTTACTACCTTGTAACACTCCGTACGTAAGTAAAGCTTGTTCCTCGCCTTACGCGGGAGAATGTTTCCAAAGGAGGTGGCAGAGTGTGTGCTGCGCTGTTTTACTAGTGAAGCGGTGCAGAGATGAAGGAGGAGATGCAAATGTGATTTCTCCGTGGAGTCTTTGTACATTGGTGACAGGGACGAAGAGCTTAGGAGGGGAGGGGAGAGGTATTGAGTGTATCCCAGGCATTGCTGAGGTGAAGATGTTGAATGAGAGGATAGATGTCGGTGGAAAATCAAGAGTCGATATGTTTTCAAGTAGTCCATTCAAGTTCACCGAAAGAACCTAGAAGCAAGAAACTTTTCATCAAGGGTATATATATCCACCATCTTCGAACTTCGTTTTAGATAGAGACTACGAACCCCCATCCATCCATCCATCCATCCATCCATCCATCCATACAAGATAACCATGCCGGCCGTCATCGCGTGCAGAACTTTTGTCCAGTCATGTGGATTACAATACATACGTACTTTGACAAGTCACCATATCTCATAAAGCGATCCAATCCAAGCCCCCCCCTCCCAAAGAAAAGGAAAGACCATCTATCGCTTCCGTGGCGGTAAATGCTAAGAACAAAGGACACGGACCGAAACCCACATCGCCCCTTCGCCGAGACCCCGACCGACCCCCAACCTCACCCACCCAACCACCCACTCCAGTAGAAACCATGTCGAAACGAAGAAAAGCATACGCAATCAGCGCCTCGCTATGGCGAGAACGAGAAGGCGCCGTCAGAAACAAAAAGGTGAGAAGAGCTAACGCAGATGAGCGTCGAGGCGGATCGGCGACGAGGTCGCGTAGCGCAACGAACGGGACTCTGCAAAGCTTACATTAGCCAGATCGTAGATAGGGGTATCAAAGCGGACGAGGGTGTAGGATGCTGTCATGGTTTTTATGACTCGCCTCCCGTCGATGCTGGTGCACCTTCACCCGCGCCACCTCGGAACGCTCCCCTTCCACGGCCTCGGCCACCGCGCTCGCCACGCTCGCCGCCACGGCTGCCACGGAATGCGCCACCACGACCTCCGCGTCCGCCGCGGCCACCTTCGCTGTCTGAGGCGCCTCCGCTCCTGTAGCCGCCAGCCGGAGCACCACCTCGGTTGCTGGCTTGCCAGCTCCCAGCACCGTATCTAGGGGCGTTGGGACGCTCGTTGTACACCTTGACGCTTGGCTTATCTGGTCCTCGGGCGTTCTTGACGTCAGGCGCAACGCGGTTGAGGGCGGCCTGCATCTCAGCAGGGGAGGCGAAGTGAGCGACGAAGAAGTGCTTCACCTTCTCCAGGTTCTCGATCTTTGACCTGTCCTCCTCGGCCAACAGGTTCTTGGCTTCCTCCTCATCTTTAACACCTGAGATGAACAGCCCCTTGCTCTCTTTGCGCTCAACTTGCTCCCTGGGCTCCCTGGGCTCCCTGGGCTCCCGGGACTCCCTGTGGGCAGGCGAGGTAGGGCCCTTCTCTGGCGCTGACGTGCCGTTCGGCTTCGCATCGCTTGGAGCAGCCTTGGCAGCGGTGGTGTTGGCGGAAGCGTTGTTGGCAGTTGTGCTGGGCTGTGGCGTTGCAGCCTTGAGAGGCTCCTTGGGGATGGCAGCAGGTGCGGGGGATGGACCCGTCCGTGCAGGCTGCGCAGGCTTGATTTGCTGCTGGGGAACCGGGGGAGTCGCGACAGCTGGGCGGGGCTGTTGAGGGGCGTTAGATGGAGGACCAGTCTGGCGGCCTTGGGCAGGTGACGGTTGCTGAGGAGCAGGGCTCGGGACTACGGCTGGAGGACCTGAGGTAGTAGCAGCGGGCACAGGCTGGCCACCTTGACCTGGTGGGACCTTGCCACCGCGGTGGGCGAAGTTGAAGCCCTGGGCTCTCATTTCTGTACCAATCCTACCGTTGTCAATGTCCAGCACGAGCCAACCGTATGCAGCATCTGCCAGGTTGAAGTTCCACATGTTCTTGAATGCGCTCTCGTCAATGACGCCGCTCTGAGGACCGGGAGCAGGGCCACCAAAGGGGTTGCCGCCATTTGCAACCGTGGGCATCTTGTTGACAATCTCGAGGGCCAAGTTGAGTAGTCGCTGCTGCGAGTCACTGTCGGCAACGGCGGGCTCCACCTCGGTCTTGACTGTTTCCCACACGTCGTTGAAGGAGGCCTTGGAAGCAGCGAGCTTGCCGCGGTAGTGGTCCAGAGTGGGGTTGACGCTGAACTCGTTGTAGGAGCTACCGTAGCGGAAGTGGAGACCAGCCGAGACGGAGAAATCGGCCTTGAGCGTGACAGACAGCTGGTTGAGCAGACCTTCGCGGGCGGGGGAGGCGTGCGTGACGAAGATACGCGTCTCGGTGGGGTCGTATACGCGGTTCGCTGTGTCGACAAGCTCGCCCATTTGCAGCAGCGTCGTCCACATGGTGCCTTGCCCACCCGCGATTGTAGTCCTGCCCTCGCCGTTGTCGAACAGCTTGTGCATGACGACGGCGCCGCCGAGGCCGAGCAGTCGCAGTTTGACACCGCCCACGTCGAGCAGTCGCGCGTGCGCCTCGTCTATGATGTGCAGGTTGTCGACCTTGTACTCGCCGGACCGCAGCTTCTCCAGAACCTGGACGTCCTCACAGGCACCCCATACTGTGTAGACTGGCACGTTGAGTGTGTATGTCTTGTTGAGAAAGAGGGGCAGCTCCGAGAGGGGCAGGTGCTCTCTTGAGAAGCGCTCCTTGATTGGCGGTTGCGGGCCTGCTTGGGCGATGGAGCGCTTGACGCCGTCGGACAGCAGAGGTGAGTATTGTGCGACGTGCTTGAGGGTCCTGGCCAAGTCAGCGTCGTGCACGTGCACACGGCAGATGTTCCACCTACTTCTCGGCGATGCGATCGAGCGAGCGGTCATCGTAGAAGCCAAAGTCACCAGTGTGGATGATGTAGTTTGCCCGCGCGTCTGCGGCGAGCTGGTTGAGCGATTGCAGGTTTCCTGGCCACGGTCAGTCCGGCTCCGTGTCTTGCACGTGGTGCCGCTGCTCACCTCGGACATCAGCAATGCAGAGCACTCTGATGCTGCCCTGCTGAATCACACGACCCTGGTTGGGGAGCAGTGGGACGGCCCCAGGCGCAGGACCTGATGGAGTGGGGGTACCGCCGTTGGGGAGGTAGTTGCCGGGGTAGGGCCGCGGCTGGTTGGGAGCTTGCTGTGGTGAGTCAGTATCAGGCTCGCCAGATGTGAGGCACTGAGGCACGCGGGTTGTTCAGCATACCGAAGCCATGGAGACGGGAGGCGGAGGCGTTGGGAAAGTTGCCAGATATGCTACTACTGTGACGCGGTTGTGCGGTGTAGTAGTGTGAGGGATATATTAAGTCGGTCGTAAGAGAGGGGAATAGAGAGTAGCCTCTTCGTGTTGGTGATGGCGGTGAATGTGATTCAGCTTGTTGCGAGGCACAAAGGTTCCAGGCGCTAAGCTCGACATGCCAAGTCTTTTTACATCTCCAAGACTAGGGAAGAAACCCGTTCCGTCTCGACGTCAACCCATCACCTGTTATCCTTTCCATCTCTGTCCCGCTTTTCGAATCTCTTCTCGCTCGCCTTTCATTTAGGGCATGGGATTGACCTCGTTTCTTCCTCCGATGTAGCTTCTATTCCTCAACTCTGCCATGTAGCACTTTCTCGTTCGCACTTTCGTCGACAGTTCATCTCTCCGCGTTCCATCACGGACAACATCTCCGCCTTAGTCTGAAGATATGGAATTTAACAGCTCATGGACCAAGAATACGCGTGCAACGTGTAGTTGGATTGCTTCGCGTTGCTTCAACAAGACCCATACTCGTCTACCTTCCCCATAATGGTCTCGGTAATGCCTCCAATATATTGTTTTCATGGCCTTGGAGTATTCATAGTTGGTCATAGACATGGAAAGATATGGTCGTTTGAGCTTATGTTTCTCCACCAATCCTAGGATAGGCCTGCCCAACACTGATATTCTAGGTGGAATATGGTGCCAGATTCGGAACTCAGACGACAGCTCGATCTATCAGGTCGCCAGTACATATAGACTGGACTATATGTACCTTCAACTGGAAGTGTAAAGGGTGATCATGCTGTCTATCGGTAGCTTGGGTTCCACTGGTCGTTCTTCATTCCCCAGAATCACTACAGGAGCATATGGATCGGCACTCTAAGACCTGTCCCGTATCACGATACCACCGCTGGCGATTCGAATGTTATGGCTTGCTTGAATAGCAAACCAAACAATGACATAACAGACGCAGTCGGGCGATCGGCGCGGCGTTTCTCTCTCCGAATGATACTAACCTCATTCGACTGGACCCTGACCCCACCTCAAGAAAAAAAGTGTCCAGTGCAGCCCTCCTCTTCTGCAACTGCCAAAATTTCTGATCTTTCGTGGTTCTGCGACTGATCACCTCACGGCCTGCTTTTTACACTCAAAACCACTGTAAAGGCATCGCCATGGACGAGCAACAGTTCGTGCAGCTGCTTGAGAGCCTGTTGCAGCGTAAGTCTACCCGAGTCGCCTCAAGTTTATAACCAAATTCTGACGTCGACTAGCCGACACGGAGCGTGTCAAGAATGCAACGGCTACTCTCAACAAGAACTATTACAGCTCTCCTGCGTCCCTGAATGCCCTCCTCCAAATTCTGTGCGGCCACCCCAAGACCGACCTCCGCCAGTTGGCTGCGGTTGAGGCCAGAAAGCTTGTGACCAAGCACTGGGCAAGTCTGCCTGCGGACCAGAAGGCTGCGCTGCGAAACCAGCTCTTCCAGGCCACGCTGAACGACGAAGTCACTTTGACACGACACTCGGCTGCCCGCGTCATTGCTCAGATCGCCGCTCAGGATTTCGAGGATGGAGAGTGGGCTGACCTCCCTGGCTACTTGCACCAGGCCGCCACCAGCCCAACCGCACGACACAGGGAAGTGGGCACATACATCATCTGGACGACGCTTGAGTCTACCGGGGACGCGTTCCCAGGCAAATCTGCGGATCTGTACAAGCTGTTCAGCACCACCATCCAGGACAGCGAGAGCGCAGAGGTCAGGATCAACACGATGCTTGGTCTGAGCCGCATGGCTATGCTCATGGATGCTGAGGAAGACCCCAAGGGCCTTGCCATGTTCCAGGAGGCCATCCCTGCTATGGTAGTTGTGTTGAAGGGTACTGTCGACGAGGGTGACGAGGAGCGTGCGATGCAGGCCTTCGAGGTCTTCCAGACCCTCCTAAGCTGTGACTCAGCTCTCCTACAAAAGCACTTTGGCGATCTTGTCAGGTTTATGCTTGAACTCGCCTCCTCCACCACCGTCGAGGATGACTACCGGTCCCAGGCACTTGCATTCCTCATGCACTGCGTCCGATACAGGAAACTTAAGATCCAGTCTTTGAGGATCGGTGAAGAGCTGACTCTCAAGGCCTTGCACATCGTCACCGAGTTGGGCGACCTCTCCAGCGACGACGAGGATGTCACACCTGCCCGCTCCGCCCTTGGCTTGCTCGACGTCCTTGCGTCAAGCTTGCCCCCGAGCCAGGTCGTCATCCCATTGTTGAAGAACCTCGGCAACTACTTCACCTCCCAGAATCCCGACTACCGACAAGCTGGTATCTTGGCCCTGGGCATGTGTGTCGAGGGTGCGCCGGATTTCATTGCAACACAACTGCACGAGATCTTGCCCATGGTCCTGCATTTGCTCGAAGATCCTGAGCTCAAGGTTCGAGCCGCAGCACTCAACGGTGTTGCTCGCTTGGCCGATGACCTAGCTGAGGACGTCGGCAAGGAGCACGCCCGACTCATTCCAGCTATGATCGTAAACTTCGATTTGGCCGCCAACAACGCGCAGAATGCGGAGGATGAGCACAATCTCTCCATCATCCGTGGAAGCTGCATGGCCATTGACTCGCTCATCGAAGGGCTCGACCCCGAGGACGCCGGCAAGTATGTTCCCGAACTGATCCCCCGATTCAGCAAGCTCTTCGACCATGAGGATCTCCGGGTCAAGGAGGTGGCTATCAGTGCAGTTGGCTCAATTGCTTGCGCTGCCGAGCAAGCTTTCCTTCCGTTCTTCGAGCAGACTATGCATGCTCTCTCTCCGTATGTGAGGGTCAAGGACAGCCAAGACGAGTTGGACCTCCGTGGCGTCACTTGTGATACCATGGGCAAAATTGCTTCGGCCGTTGGCGCCCAGCCGTTTGAGCCTTATGTCCTTCCTCTCATGGAAGCGTCCGAGGAGGCACTCCACCTTGATCACCCTCGCCTGCGCGAAACTAGCTACATTCTCTGGAGCACCATGGCGAAGGTTTACGAAGAACAGTTTGCCAAGTATCTTCCTGGTACAGTCAAGGGTCTGCAAGAGTGTCTCGAGCAAGAGGAGACAGGTGAACTTATCGGCGAGGAAGCCTTGGAGCAGCTCAACGGTTCAGAGGTCGTCATCGGCGGCACCAAGTTCCAGGTGGCTCCTGACGATGATGATGATGACAGCGACTTGAACGAGGCTGCTATGGGAGACGAAGATGAAGACGACTGGGATGACCTTGAGGGTGTCTCCGCCGTTGCCATGGAGAAGGAGATTGCAGCGGAGGTTTTTGGCGACATCATCACACATACTCGTCGTGAATACATCCCCTACCTTGAGGCCACCGTCACGAAGCTTCTCGAGCTTGTCAACCACTCGTACGAGGGTATCCGCAAGGCCGCAATCGGAACGCTCTGGCGCACATTCGCTTGCCTCTTCAGCTTGGCTGAGGGTGACGGTATGGCAAAGTGGCAGCCTGGTCTTCCCCCTAGCAATGAGCCACCGGCGGAGCTGAAGAAGCTCGGCAACCTCGTCATGTTGGCTACCATGTCCGTCTGGCAAGACGAGATGGATCGGTATGTATCTCTCTCTTTTCGTCAACAACCCACCTGCAAAGATGACTTTACTTCGTTAATCCCAGCTCACTCCGATGCCAAGTGCAATTGAGGTGAAAGCGAATCTGTTTCTGAGCTTTCTTCGCTACATTCTGTCATTTGATTTGGTTTCTAAGGTCACGACTGACGTTTATTAGGGGAACTGTCACCGACATCAACCGCGATGTTGCTGCCACACTCAAGCTTTGCGGACCCGCGATTCTCATGACCGAAAACGGTACCGTTGTTCCTGAGATCTGCCAAACATTGCTCGCCATCATCACCAAGCATCACATCTGTCAGCAAGACGATGGCGAGGAAATGGACGAGGACATGCTTGAGGAGTCTTCCGAGTACGACTGGCTGGTCATCGAGACTGCGATGGAGACTATCACATGTTTGTCGGTCGCCCTGGGTCCCCAGTTCTCTGAGCTCTGGAAGATGTTCGAGAAGCCCCTCATGAAGTATGCCAGCAGCCAAGAATCGACAGAACGCAGCGCGGCCGTTGGAACTATCGCCGAGTGTGTCGGGAATATGGGTGCGGGTTGCACGCCCTACACGACCGGGCTCTTGAAGCTTCTCCTCCACCGCCTGTCTGACGAGGACCCGGAGACAAAGTCCAACGCTGTATACGGCATTGGTCTTTTATGCGAGGCAACAACCAACGACGAAGAGATTCTCAAGTCGTTGTCAACTATCTTCTCCAAGCTTGAGCCCCTCCTCGATGCTCAGGATCAGGCTCGTTTGTTGGACAACACCGCTGGGTGCGTCAGCAGGTTCATCACCAAGCACACCGATAGGCTCCCCATTGCGGAGGTTCTGCCCCGTCTGGTCAACCTACTGCCACTTCGTGAAGACTACGAGGAGAACAAGCCTGTATTTGGCATGATTGTGAAGCTTTGTAAGTTTTGTCTATTACCTACTCGTCAACAAAGGCTAACAAGATGCAGACCAAAAGAACGACGCGACCGTGCAGCAAATGACACCAAGACTCATGCCTGTATTTGAGAAGGTGCTCGGCGAGCCTCAGGATCAGCTCGAAGATGAGACACGGTCTCAGCTTGTTGAGCTTGTGCAGTATTTGCGCAAGTAAGAGGTTCATTGGATTGCATAGGAGCGGAGGATACCCGTCGAAAGACACTATAGACGGCAAGAATGACCCTGGAGGGTATGATGGCACGTCGACACCACGGATTTACGACAATAGATAGCATGTTTGAAGGATCTAGCAATAGACAAATGATATGATGACGAGATATTCAGTGCTTCTTCCCAATGTTGGCAAGATTGTCATGACTGGAACGGGTGGCCTGTGCATGGTGCGAAACCGCGCGTGACGTCGATGCTTCGTGTTCTCCATGTTCTCGGGTGGATGCCAAGGGCGCGTGTGACGTGACGATTGTGTAGACTATCTAGTGCATCGCTCGTTCTTCATAACAGCGCTGCAGCTATCATCGCTGCGCGTATCCTGTTTACCATCACTCACGTGCCCTGGTTGTGTTGTGGCAGCCTTCCCTGTTGTTGCCTCCGCCTCATTAGTGCAAGCTCTAGCTGTAGCTCTCCACAACAGCTGCGCGCCACCTCGGCTTCCATCGCTATCAACACTCGCCCATCGCCGCGTCACCAGCCTCAACAACCCAACATAGACGCACCCAGAAGACGTATTTATCACGTCGCTTTCCGGGGGGCACTCATCCAACACTCGCTTCCGGCGCCCAGGCGCAGTCGAGTAACATGGTGCAGCAACACCCGCGAGGATGGCGAGCGATGACGGTGCTCTCCATCCTGGCCGGATCCGCTCTGGCAGCGCCAGACCTGACGGCTGTGCACGAAAAGGGACGATGCGCAATGAGGGGACACTGTGGGAAGCAGGGCTTCTTCGGGTCGGACCTGCCTTGCCCAGACAACGGCCTGGCGACGACGCCCGAAGACGATGTTAGGCAGAAGTTGGTGGACATTTGCGGTGACCAGTGGTCAGACACGGACATTTGCTGCGCCGAGGAACAGCTCGACGCGCTGAAGAGCAACCTCAACCGCGCGACGCCCATCATCAACGCCTGTCCTGCCTGCAAGGAGAACTTCTACAACCTCTTCTGCACCTTCACATGCTCGCCAGACCAGTCGCTGTTCATAAACATCACAGACACCGTGCCAAAGGGGGACAAGTTCCTAGTCACAGAGCTGGACAACTTGGTGGCGGACGAGTATGCGTCGACATTCTACGACAGCTGCAAGGACGTCAAGTTCGGAGCTACAAATGGCAAGGCCATGGACTTCATCGGAGGCGGCGCGAAGAACTACACTCAGTTCCTCAAATTTCTTGGCGACAAGAAGTTTTTGGGCTCGCCCTTCCAGATCAACTTCCCGCGACCAGCAGAGGGAGATTATCCCGATATGGTAGCCATGAACAAACACGCGTATCCATGTGACACGGAAGACGAGAAGTATCGGTGCGCCTGCCTAGACTGTGGTGGTTCTTGCGCCGAGCTGTCTGAGGTGACAGAGGACAAACAGTGCTATGTCGGTCTGCTACCCTGTCTCTCGTTTGCCGTCATCGTCGTCTACTCTGTATTCATTGCCCTTCTATGCTCTGCCGTCGCTGGACATGTCGCATACCAGAAGCACTCGAACCACAAGAACGAACGACTGCGACTGCTGCAAGACCTGGAGCCGAGCGATGATGAAGACGAAGGCGACATTGTGCACAATGTTGGCATGCTTGACCGGCCCACGAAGCACTATGCCATCAACACCTGGTGTGACCGCATGTTCAGTCGTCTTGGTTACTTCTGTGCAAAATTTCCGGCCATCACCATCAGTACCAGCATTGTATTTGTGGGGTTGTTGAGCTTGGGGTGGATGAGGTTTGAGGTCGAAACAGACCCCGTCCGCCTATGGGTTTCACCTGACTCCGCCGCCGCACAAGAAAAGACCTTCTTTGATGAGAAGTTTGGTCCTTTCTTCCGCGCAGAACAAGTATTTTTGGTAAACGAGACATCGGCAAACTCCACTGTTCTCAGCTATGAGACTCTCGACTGGTGGTTTGGCGTTGAGAGCCAAATTCAGCGCCTAAAGTCTTTCGACAACGGCATCACCCTTGATCAGGTTTGCTTCAAGCCTGTAGGAGATGACTGCGTTGTACAGTCCGTGTCTGGATATTTCCAAGGCGATTTTGCCAACGTCTCGCCTGATAGCTGGCAAGAGGACTTGCAGGCTTGCGTTGAGAATCCTGCGCAATGTCTGCCTACCTTCCAGCAACCTCTCGATCATCACCTCCTCTTCGGTGGTGTCAACGAGAGCATTCTCGACGCGAAGGCACTCGTTATCACATGGGTCGTGCAAAATCACCAGGAAGGGACGCCTGAACTGGAACGTGCGATGGAGTTCGAGAATGAGATGAAGAACTTCCTGAAGCTGGTACAGGACGATGCCAACAACAGGGGCCTCCGATTAAGCTTCAATACGGAAGTCAGTCTTGAGCAGGAACTGAACAAGAGCACCAACACAGACGCTAAGATCGTGGTCATAAGCTACATCATTATGTTCTTGTACGCATCTCTGGCTCTTGGCTCCACCACCCTCACAGTCAAGTCGGTTCTTCGCAATCCAGCAAATGCTCTTGTTCAATCGAAGTTCATGTTGGGCATAGTAGGTATCCTCATCGTCCTCATGTCAGTCTCTGCTTCGGTCGGTTTGTTCTCCGCTGCCGGCATCAAGGTTACTTTGATCATCGCTGAGGTTATTCCTTTCCTCGTGTTGGCCGTCGGTGTTGACAACATCTTCCTGATCGTACACGAATTCGAGCGTATCAACATCAGCCATCCCGAGGGCGAAATTCCGGAACGTATTTCGCGTGCTCTTGGTCGAATGGGTCCATCCATTCTCCTATCTGCACTCACCGAGACTACAGCGTTTGCTCTCGGATGTGCGGTGGGTATGCCTGCGGTTCGTAACTTCGCTGCGTACGCTGCTGGCGCTGTCTTCATCAACGCTATTCTCCAAGTCACGATGTTCATCGCTGTTCTTGCTCTCAATCAGCGCCGTGTTGAGTCCAACCGCGCCGACTGTTTCCCCTGCGTCCGTGTTTCTCGCGCGGACTCTGGCTATCTCAATGGCGGCATGGGCTACGGCGCTGGTGAAGAAAGCACTCTGCAGCGATTCATCCGTAAGACATATGCCCCTGCTCTTCTAGGTAAGAAGACCAAGGTCGGCGTCCTCGCCCTGTTTTTCGGTATCTTCACTGCGGGTGTGGCTCTCTTCCCAATGGTTGAGCTTGGTCTTGATCAGCGTATTGCTATTCCCAGCGACTCGTATCTCATCCCGTACTTCAACGACCTCTACGACTACCTCGATGTCGGCCCACCCGTCTACTTCGTCACTAAAGAGCTCGACGTCACCAAGAGGAAGCCCCAGAAAGAACTTTGCGGCCGCTTCTCGACCTGCGACCAGGACAGTCTGGCAAACGTTATCGAAGCCGAGCGGAAGCGACCTGAAGTCTCCTTCCTTGCGGCTTCTGCTGCCAACTGGCTTGACGACTTCTTCCTCTGGCTCAACCCTGAGAACGAGAAGTGTTGTGTTGATGACAAGGGTAAGCCTTGTTTCCAGGACCGAACACCAGCCTGGAACATGACGCTCTCTGGCATGCCCGAGGGCGAGGAGTTCATCCACTACCTCGAGCGCTGGATCGACGCCCCAACTACGGAAGAGTGCCCCATCGGCGGGAAAGCAGCGTACTCCGATGCTCTCGTGATTGACTCAAAGCATCTGACCATCCCAGCGAGCCATTTCCGCACCTCGCACACCCCGCTTCGCTCCCAGGAAGACTTCATCGCCGCATACACAGCCGCACGTCGCATTTCCCGCGAAATCTCCCAAGACGTCGACACAGAAGTCTTCCCCTACTCCAAATTCTACATCTTCTTCGACCAATACACAACCATCGTGCGTCTAGCCGGCGCGCTCATCGGCTCCGCCCTCGCCGCCGTCCTAGTCATCACCACCATCCTCCTCGGCTCCATCGCAACCGGGCTCATCGTCACCCTCGTCGTCGCCATGACGGTCTCCGCGATCATCGGCTCCATGGCCGTCATGGGCGTCTCGCTCAATGCCGTCTCCCTCGTCAACCTCATCATCTGCGTCGGCATCAGCGTCGAGTTCACCGCTCATATCGCCCGCGCTTTCACCTTCCCCAGCCGCGCGACTATGGAAAAAGCACCGCGTCACCGCTTCCGCGGCCGCGATGCCCGCGCCTGGACCGCTATGGTGAACGTCGCTAGTAGCGTCGTTAGCGGGATCACTATCACTAAGATCCTCGGCGTCGGCGTGTTGGCGTTTACGAGGAGTAAGGTACGTCACCTCCCTATCCCTTATATATCTCTACGCGCATTATACTAACCCCACCAACACAGATCTTCGAAATCTACTACTTCCGCGTCTGGGTCGCACTCGTTCTGTGGGCGTCGACACACGCGCTTATCCTCCTCCCTGTTCTGCTCTCCCTTGTCGGTGGGAAGGGATATGTTGATCCCGAGAGTGAGGGGGGGCTGGAGCAGGATCTTAGGAGGAGACAGTATCCTGCGCTTTTGGGGGATGATGATGAGGAGTATGATAGTGATGCTTAGGTTGTGGGGGTGTTGTTTGATGTGAGTTGGTGTTGGATGGAGGGATGGGGAGAGGTGGGATGGGATGGAATGTAATATTACTATCGGCTATTGAATTTGTCAAGTGAATGGAGAGTTTTCATCAAGATGCTTTTTGGTGGTTTGTTCTTGTGGTGATGTTCTACTCTGTGTAAGATTCGAGAGGTGTGAGGCTTTACTCGCAGAACGGGATACCTTCCTATGTCCATTTCTACCTCCGTTTGCCTTTACAATACACTACAGTTCAGTGAATTCCCCGCTCTCCATTCCTACATCTAAACACACGAGACAGGCCTCACTCACGCCTGCCCTCCACCCTCTTCATCCTTCCCCTCCTTCCTCCCGTCCTCCTTCGACGGCAGTGGCAGCGGCTGCTGCACCCGTCCACCCCCCAGCAGCGAAGCGCGTAAATGCGCCGGTCCATCAACGTCCCACTCCTCCCTGAAATGCGACTGTCCAGGCGCCACTTTACGCTTGGCGGGTTTAGGGTAGACGCGCTGGACTTTCGAGTTGTCGTAAGGGGTTGAGACATCGGCCGTGAGGGTAGGAGCTGGCGAGACGATGCGGCGCGGTGGCGAGGGGGTACGGGGTTGTGTGGTTTCGGTGTGCGGATGCAAGGTTGACTTGTTGACTGGTGTGTTTTCCGCGGGGGTGTCGGGTCGGGGTGGGGGGTTGTTGGTGTGTGTTTCTTCGGGGGTGGGGGAGTGTCCTCCGCCCCGGAGGTGGACGTGTGGGTGCTTTTTTGCGAGGGGGATTTTCCGTGGGCGCATCGTTTTGGCATCCTGTTCTGGCTGTGGAGATGTATGGGGTTTGTAGACTCTGGATGTTGAGATATGGTCGTGAACAGCGCGGCGTGGCTGAGACAGCATCGTGCTTGTGGGTTGGTTTGGAGACTGTGTTTCTTGAGGTGTGCGAGCAAACGAAGATGGTTTTATGATCGGCCGAGGAATGCGACTGGGCGAGACGGACGCCATGTCTCTCAATGGAGAGATAGGTTGGACTGGTTCGTTGGCTAAAGCCAAGGCGATGTGGTCCCAAATTCTGGTTATCATGTCTTGAACGCTGACTGGCTTGAACTCGCTCTCCTCAAAATTGCTTTCAGTAGACGCTGACGAGTTGTGATAGTCAACTTCAAAACCATCTCCATCATGATCGAATTGATTCCTGGCTGTTCCGTCGAGGCTTGTTTCATCGGACCAGGACGATGCATCCGAAACAGCATTCGAATCATCTGCATCGTATGCGCCCTCGTCGCCCTCGCTTATAGTTCCCTCAGACAGACAGACATAGCCTTGGATAGAACCACTAGGCTGTGGGATGAGGCCAGTCTACGGCTCTTGAACGTTCGTCTTACTTTGCTCAGGTGTCTCCACCTCATCCATCACCTTCTCCAACTGCATCAACTCAATCTATGACTCGACCTCGTCAGCCCAACTGCGACCCTTGTCCATAGGCGACGGTATGCCGAACGAATCCTGCTTCTGAATGGCAGGACGTTCCGGCTCGCTGTCCTTGGTCTCTGCGGCCTTGCCCTTGACGGGGAAGTCGAGATTCTTGGGTGCATCAGACTCCTTGGGGGCTGCAGTGGTGGTAGAAGGTAGTTCGGGGAAGTCAGCTGACGACGGTGGTTGCTGCTCGCGTCTCTTGTGCTCGGATGCAGCGTGATCACCACGTCCGCCACGGCCTCCCCTACCACCCCGACCTCTGCCTCGTCCACGTTGCGACTGCGGTGTATGATATTCTTCAGGCTGCTCGTTCTCAGGAGCTTGACCAGACGGCCGAGAAGGTGCAACACCTCCATGAGCTCCTCTTGTAGCGCCGCGCCTTCTCTCCTCTCCGGTTCCATCGAAGCCGTCCTCTTTCTCAAAGTCCCATTCTCTACCCTGCTGGGCGTTTAGCTTCCTAAGCCTGTTCTTTTCTCGTTCGCCCATCATTTGTTGACGGTTCTGGCGATCGGCCTTTTGCTTCTCGGCTTGCACCTTCTTACGCTCGACATCTTGTTTCTTGAGGGCGGCTTCACGTGCCTCATATTTGGCGACATCAGCTTCTGCGCGTGCGTGGGCAGTCTGCAATGCTTCGTTCTTAGATCGCATAGAGTTAACTTTGGCGTTCAGTTGTTCTTCGGTGAGACGGGTACGTGCATTGCCGCCTGTCAAGGTCCTGTCGCCACGGACAGAGTGGGCAGGCTTGTCTTTCGACCCAGTAGGGTCGACGCTGTCAGTAGTGGGAGCAGTGGCAGCGGCGGGTGCTGGTTCCGCTTCTTGTGTGGCTTCCTTGTCAGGCTTGGTCTCCCTGATATCTCTGCTTTCCCGAATGTCTCTGGTCTCCCTCACATCTCTGCTCTCAGCAGCGTGGCCGCCTCGTCCACGTCCACGGCCCTTGCCCCTTCCACGGCCACGACCTCCCCTCTCGCCATTGCTCGGACCTCTTGGCGTATGCGGCGCGAGGTGCTGCTGGGGTGCAGTCGGTGGTGTTGCCTCATCAGGCGCAGAAACGGGCTTGGGGGCTTCGACCTGAGGAGGGCCTCGTTCCACGACTGGCGCAGAAATGGGAATGATGTCATCGTCGAAAAATAGATCGTCTGTGCTGGCCGTCTGAGCAAAAGGGTCGATTGACGGGTCATTGTAGGCGGGGTCATATGATGTGTCCTGGTATTGGTGTTAGTCATGGTTATATATCTGTGATGTGTGTAGTAGTGTGGAACTATGCGTGAGGCAGTGCAAATGAGGCGTGGGGCAGATGTGTGGATGGGCAACATACCGTCGGTGCATACGAAGACGCTTCAGGTGCTGCTGCTGGCTGCGTCTCGGCCGGTCCGGCGGTTTCTTTAGCGATTGTTGCAGGCGTCGTGGCTTTCTCCTCCGTCTTCTCGGGCTGCGTCGCCCATCGTGATTGAAGCATACTGTGAGTGACTGTGAGGCTGATATGCAGTTATGAATAGCAAGAGTGTAAAAATACAAAAAGTGTGGTGGTGTGCAAGTTCAGTCGAGAAATGTGCTTCACCATTCCTACATGAAGCCTGCTGCTGTTGGCTCGTGGGCAGCCACTACGCTGCTTGCGGAAGGCGGGGGCTTTCTCCACATTGCAAGACCAACTTGGAACGCGCTTTCCTCCGTCGCTCAGTTTCGTTCGTTTCAGGTGCCTTCCTTCTCTTTATTTTCTTCTCTTTCCGTGTCGTCTTTGGGCGGTCGTGATAGGTGTAGTTATGAATAGTTTGCATACTCTCGATCTGACGTCATATGCTCTCCATCCGTTCATGTTCAAAACATCATGTTTGAAGCAGGTGTTCTTACTCTTCAAAGTAACCGAAAAAAGAGGTGTAGCATGTATTAACAACGATTCTTCTCTTCATCTTCCTGAATTATCAGTAAACGGATAGTCATCTCGTCTGATATCCCACTTTCCAAGGCATTGTATCTCACGATGCGGGGAATGTTCTATGCAGATGCCCCTCCCAAATCCTACACTACCGAGCCTGGTGTTGTTCCACGACCACACAGAGCCGAGCAACCTCTGACAAGAAGAATCAGACTCGAACAACCGCCATTAAAAACAAACAAACACCAATCTATTCAACCATCCATCAACCCACAACTAACCCCATCACCATGAAAGCCGCCCAATTCTTCGCCCAACGCGACCTGCGCGTAATCTCCACCCCCTCCCCAACACCAAAGTCCCACGAAGCCCTCATCGCCATAGAATGGTGTGGAATCTGCGGATCCGACACATCCGAGTACCTCCACGGTACCAATCCCCCCGACACCGCTGCAAGCCCCCAATCTAACCACCCCCAGGCCCCCTAACCATCCCCCGAGAATCCCGCCCCCACCCCTCAACAGGCGAGCACCTCCCCGTGACAATGGGCCATGAATTCTGTGGCCGCATCATCAGCGCACCGGCATCCTCCCACCTCGTATCCGGCCAACCTGTCATCGTCGACCCGCGCATCTACTGCAGCACGTGCGCCCACTGCAACGCGGGGAGCACGCACGCCTGTTCCACGCTGGGCTTCAAAGGGCTTTCCGGCTCCGGAGGCGGGTTCGCAGAGCGCGTGGCCGTCGATGCAAAACTATGCTATGCGCTTCCTGAGACTGTGGATCTGCGGCTCGCGGCGCTGATCGAGCCGCTTGCTGTGGCGTGGCATGCGGTGAAGCTGTGCGGGGTGGCGGAGTGGGCGGGGAACAGTGTGTTGATTCTGGGCGGCGGGCCTGTGGGGATTGCGTGTGTGTTTGTGCTGCGCGCGTTGGGGTGTAAGCACGTTTATGTGTCTGAACCGGCTGCTGCGCGGGCGGTGCATAATCGGACGATTGCTGATGCGGTGCTGGATCCGATGAATGAGCATGTCGGGGATAGGTGCCGTGAACTGACGGGCGGTGGGGGCGTCGATGTGGTCTTTGATTGTGCGGGGATGCAGAAGGGTATGGATGCTGGTATGGATGCGCTCAAGTTCAGAGGCACGTATATGAATGTAGCGAGTTGGATTGGTATGCCTGTACGTTTATCTCACGTTTTTTACCAGTGTGGAACTGATCTGAGTAGATGGTTATCCCGTTCATCGCGTTTATTAAGAAGGAAATCGCCATCAAGTGCAGTCTTGCCTACGACGATGAGGATTTCAAGGAGACGGTGGATGCGTTTGTAGCCGGTGAGTTCTTTCTGCAGAGAGAAGCATGGGAGCTAATCAAGTGGGTAGGCAGGTTCAAGGGCGTCGAAACCATGGTAACAAGTCGAATTCATCTCGATGACATCTCAGAGAAGGGTTTTGACGAGCTGGTCACGAATAAGGACGACCATGTTAAGATTTTGGTCACGCCTATCAAGAGTATGGTGTGAAGGATAAGTTGGGGCGCAATCAGCAACAACTCCACAACTACATCTAAATTAATCATAGGAGTATAAATACTGGATTCCAAGCAGTATCCGCCTAGCAGGCAGCTTTTGTACACTCTATCAGGGTGGTTCTTGCGGCTTGCAGGAGCTTGGAAAGAACGCAGCATTTTCTTGCTTTTCGCACTTGACTGAGAGAACGGCTCCTCTAGTTCCTTCTTAGTGTTTTCAAGACCTTCCTATCCGCGGCATCTTGCGTTGTTCAGTATTAGGCGGGCACGAGTGGGTTCGGAATGCAGTTCCTGGTAGTAAGTGGATCGGTCCATCATACCTCAGCACCATATCTCTCGGCTACTCTTCTTCCGTCAAGGCCTATTCCCGGGACCTAAAAAATGTAAGCCGCGATAACTGTCTGAGACCTGTCTTAAAGAGTATCTGTTCGTGAGAGGTTCTAATCGTCTCGGAAAGATTTCTATCGTATTGTTTTGATCGACATCTTATTCTACTTACCTTACATTTTTGAACAACGTTCTCTAACAAAAGTCTCGACTTTCTTTCGTATCGAAGATCACAAGCAAAAGCCCACCTACTGCGATAAACCCGCACATGTGCAGCACTAGGGCAGCCATTAACCTGCATTCCCTCGTCACTCCAGAACGCCTTACCTGCAGACTAGCATCGCCATTACCATCACCATTGCCATCGCCATCCATCTAGACCTCCAATGTCGTACACGCTCCATCATATCGCAACGCGTCCAATGCACCCGCCACTTTCCAAACAATAATTGAGGGTCGATCGCAGCCACACCAGACGTACTACGCGTAGGGGCGTCCACTAATCGCGTTAGGAGCGCCATCCGGCCGATCCTCGAATTTCCCCACGTGCAGCACCGTCGTGAGGAACCTATAGAGCTGCAAGGCAGCCTTGGGGGCCGGAATATTGAGGCCCCCAGCCTAGATAGGTACTTGACCGCAAGGCAGAAAGTTTATCAAGAGCTTTGCCCCTGGTCCCAATTTTCCTTGGATTTTCTGTACCTTTCGGAATTCGCAAATCTCAAGTCTCTTTTTCTTTTCTGTTCTGGAAAATATATCCTGGTCGTCGCAAAATACTCGCTGCGCGTGGTTCTTTAAACATGTCGGCTCAGTGCTATGCCATTAATGGCACCGCGTACCCGGACTCCCGTTACGTGCCCTGCAACAAAACGGCTGCGGCAAGCGGCCAACATACAGCTTGCTGCGCGCCGACCGACGTGTGTTTGACGAACGGACTGTGCCAGGAGGCTGGCGGTAATAAAGCCAGTACAAACCTATTCTGGCGCAACGGGTGTACAGATCCGACGTGGAACGACGCAGCATGCGCGAAGCATTGTGATGGCATGGGTACGTCCAGTCCACCGACCATCCCACTCCTTCAAATGGGGATACAAACTGCAAGAAAGCGAAAACATACTAATCTCACATTTCAGGCGACCCCATGAGCCACGCCATCCACTACTGTCTCACATCAGACGCATGGTGTTGCCCGACCGGCGCATTAAGAGACATCGGCACCCCCCTCAACACAACATGCTGCACAATCACAGACCTCGAGTTCACCGCCCCAGACCCCGTCGTATACACCACCGCCAACCTCGCCGTAGCCATCTCGACAATCGCGGGGTCCGCGTCGTCTAGCAGCGCGACAAGGGTCAGCATAGGCACCCTGTCGAGTTCCGCTCTAAGCACAGGCGCATCGACATCCCAGCCCTCATCATCGTCGCAGAACTCCCAGGCCTCCCAGACCGCTGCGGCGGGGTCCGGATCGTCGTCCAAAACCGGCATTTATGTTGGCGTACCGCTGGGCATTGCGCTGCTGGCTGCGATTGGCGTCATTGCGTGGTTTTTGCGCAAGAGGAAGGCGAGGGCTGCTGCTGTAAATTCGCGTACAATTCCGGAGCTGTATGAGGACGAGACGAAACGCCCGCATTATGCTGAGGCGGATGTAGGTCCCGTGCGGTCGGAACTGCCGCATGGGCAGCCGATTGCTGAGTTGCCCAGTAGTAGGCACTTGTGAGGTTGGTTGGGGGCTTTTTTGTGATTTTTCTTGTCATGGAAACCTGCGATTGCGGGGTTGTGGGCGGTTTTGTGGTTTGTATATTGGCTTTTTGATTGTTTTGGTTTTATACCAGCCTGCGAATTGAGCAGGCCAGCAGATGGTGGGGATGGTCGGTTTGGTAGAGAGGGGACTTTCATGTCGAAATGGGTGGTATAGTTGAAGTTGGAATGAAAATGACTACAGCATGACGATGCGTCTGCGCATACAAATTCTGCGCGTCTTCGAGTATTTGTCTCGCTCTACATACAACTGATGCTTGTAATTTATTATTAATGGATAGGTACTTTACCAGGCTCTGAAAGACAAGGGAACTTACAGCCTTGGTTTTGATCTAAGAATGGGCAGTCGACAACCTCATCTAGCAACACACACCCGCGGGTAGATTCTGACAACTCTCTACACACCCAGAATAATACACAAGAAGCAGGGTCATATTGAACGTGAGTAAAATTCATCATGGGTATCAAACGTAAAAACTACCACTCCAGCCGGTCATCGCTAATCAAACGGACATCCCACCTCTCCTCGCCCTTCCAGACCTCTCCACCCCTGTTGCTGCTCGCTACTATACTCCTCAGATCGCTGATCATGCCACCAGGGCCAGAAGCAAACACATCTGTCCTGCCCCGCACGGTCCCCGCAACAAATTCTGTCACCATCGTCGCGAGATCCGGCCGCGCTTGGTAGTGGTTTAGACCAACTTCTGCCTTGGACACACCGTGCATGGATATTACAGAGGAGGCGGAGGCACTCGAGGATGTGGAGGAGGATACCGGCTCGATCTCCTTGTCGTTACTACAGCACCCGCCCTTGTTACCCTTCTCGGATTTAGATGGTACGGACGGATCCTCCTCTTCTGCAGCGCGGGTAACGTAGATATGAATGCGGGTCCGTAGGTTCCTGCACTTGGCCTTCAAGACCGCGAGTTCGGGTGCGATCCAATCAATATCGCTTCTTCGTCGTACTGACCATACGAGGGACATGTGGCGGTCAGGGTTTTGGGGTCGGGAGGCCATGTCGAGGAGAACTGGGAGGACGTATGTAATTCCTGTGCCACCGGCTATGCAGAGGATGTTCGAATCGCTTGGGAGACCTTGAAGCGTGCGTTCCCCGTAGGGACCGGTGAGTACGACTGAGAGTCTGGCGTCTCCCATTAGATTTTCGTTAGACTTTTCGTGATCGCCCATGCGAGCGACGCGCTTGGCAGATAGCTCGGCGATCTTGCGTGTCTCCCCCTTCTTTGCGCGGAAGATGTACGAGTGACGTTGAGAGTCGGCGCCAAAAACTGGGAGGCTGAGTGGGGTGAAGGGGTGCGACTGCCAGATGCTGCTTTCCGGGAACATGAGGTAGAAGTGCTGACCAACGTCCCAGGCATCATGTGGATGATCAAAATCCAGACGTACAACATCGCCGTTTGTCTCATCCTCGAAGAACATGATGTCTGCCGGTGCGGCGCGGAATCCCATGTGGCCTGAGGGTAGGAAGTTGTAGTGCAGTAATGCAGTCCTAACGCCTCGAGCCGCACGGTCAAGGAACCAGACGATCAGCCCTGGGAGTAGGAAGACCTTCAACTGCGCCCAGTGACCCCAGCAAGCTCCAATGTAGATCATGGCTACCAGGTAGTGGAACTTTCGGAAGAACTCGTAACCGGTGAGTCGGATGCCCCATGGCGTGGACAAGACGACCATCAATAGGAGAAGTATCATGGCAACGATGCCCCAGATCATGTAAAGCTGAGTGATCCATGCGATAGCAACCGTGGGCTGGGGCTGATACAAGCGAACCTCAATGACAGTCCAGCCGATGGTATGAAGGACTGATTGCGCAAAGATGATGTAACCGAGCCAGCGGTGGAGAAAGTTAAAGCTTTGGTAGGGCAGTCCAGTCACAAGCGACAAAATCGATTCGCGGCTGGCCAACATGATGGATAGTGGTGTCAAAGCATAGGCCAAAACGCCCACGCGATCGGCCCAAGGTCCAAGACTGGTTCTGGTGTTGTAAACACCGGGGGATTTCTTGACGGGAGTGATCCATGTGTCATAGACAATGCCGACAAAAGAGAAGATGGCGAGATAACCGGTGAGGACGACCAGAGTGAGAACCTGTGTACGGTTTACGCGGCCAAAGACTGATCTTGCAGCATCTGGGAGCAGATATCGTCGTAGGTATGACGGAATGGCCTGTTGCAGTCGCGCAAGTGTGCTTTTGCTCTGGTTGACTTGCTCTCCTGCCTCAACTGGTAATTGCACCCCAGACGGCTCCGAGCGGAAGAAGTGTCGTCCAATGGCCCATGAGAGAAGAATCCCGCCGATAGTCGCCCAGAGGATGCCAGAGTAGAGCATTCCAAGCTCATGGCTGTGGTACACAACATCGAGATAGGCGCAAGAGCCCGGATCGTTGGTGCAGGGAACGGCGCGCTCCACGTAGCCCCAGTAGTCCTTGATACCAGCGGCCTCGCTGAGGTTCTGGATGTGACGGGGGGTCAGCGACATCGTTGCTCAGCCGTCAAGAGAACGACAAACAACGGAAAAAGATCGGATGAGGCTGCATTGTCCCTGACCCGGTCCATGGTTCCTATATAGACATGACATTCGTATCTCTCGGGAGCGGTTGACACAATGCTCAGTGCCAAGCTTCTAGATGAAGACCAAGTGGCGTGGGCGCGTCGAACAGGACAAGCGCGCGAGGATTTGAGCACATTCCCCCACAATTCCCGGATATTTGCCGGCACAGACGGTCGCGGATCTGAGTGCGCAACAGTAGTGAAACGGTTGATCTACACGTGTGGATGACCCTATGAATAACGGCTCGTCCGCTGGTTACATTGCGGTGTCGACGGCTTTTTGAAAGTTTTCTAAAGGCTCTGTTTCCACGGTTCAACTTTTGTCGGTGAAAGCTTTTTTCACGTACACAGCGTGCGAGGATATACACCCTACGCATATTTCAGCATGAACCACGGTAGTTCCAATGTCACGAGTATGGCGAGTAGTTGTGTGATGGAGGTATGTTCACCCCTCTACATCCTGTATTATATGTTCTAATCATTTTTTGTAGATGACATGGAACTGGAGGATAGTTGATTCATGCTTCCTTGCCGACTCATGGCACATCACCAACAATGGCATGTTTGCTGCCAGCTGCATCGGCGTCGCGCTCCTGGTAGTCTGTCTGGAATTTCTACGTCGAGTCGGCCACGAGTACGATGCTCTTCTCACCCGCCAATTTCAACGACGTGTTCGCGCCCAACAGGCCGCTCTTGCTGCTGCCACCTCTTCGAATTGCTGTGATGGCCCCGCCTCTACGCTTGGAACTCAATTTGTAACTTTCCGTGCTACTGGATTGCAGCAACTGGTTCGCGCCATTCTTCACGGAGTTACGCTTGGTCTCGCCTACATCATCATGCTGATCGTCATGTCCTTCAACGGTTACATGTTTATCTCGATTGTTCTGGGTGGCATCTTGGGCAAGTTTTTGTGCGACTGGTTGGTGGTCAGGATAGAAACAGGAGTCATGGAAGAGAAGGATGAGAGACGTTTTTCGGTTGAGGCTGCAGGGCCAACAGGGTGCTGTGCATGAGAAGGAACAAAGTGTGGATAGAAGCTGAAGAGATATACCCCAAACACTGGCACCGACTGGCCAAGAATGAAATTATGATCCTGTTTATTGCAACAAAGTGCTTGCTTTTCCGTGTCTCGATATGCATCTTACGTTCGAATGTGCCTACCAACTCATGTATACTTAGAAGAACGAACGGACAGGAACATACCAACGTCGAAAAGGTCTCTTTCAACTCATACATGCGAATTTTTAACCACTCTCGGAAACAGGTGTTGTATAGACTCATTGAGCCGCCTCGACTCTGTATAACTATCCACCTACTTTCTCAACTCAACACACGTGCCATAACCTCAGGCCGTCACGTGCGATCCTGCTCAAACTTTCCTCCAGAGAATCCCAACCGCACAGCTTGCTCACAAGGGCAAAGTCTAGAGAACGCACAACCTTCACCGCCAGAGTACCGCCACCAACCCCGCAGTCTTCGATTCCAAATCCTACACTGTGTAAAACTAACACGCACTCTTGCTCCTTCGCATCGTGAGCAGATTTCCAAAGAGACGAGGCAGTTTGTCAACGTGTCAGATGCCAAGTCACTCAGTGAGTGCATTTGCGCAGTTAACGACCCACTGCCGAGATGCCGCGCTTCTTCGCCTAAGGTGGCGTGTTTCTACTTCGAGGCTGTAGGCCGTGGCGATGCCTTATCGAGACATTCTGGTGGGTTGGCGGTCTGGTTGAATCCATAACTTTACTTTTACCTTCGGAGTTGGGTGGGGAATAGGAGTTATTGCCGGCAGCTCTGGGTTGGTCCCGTGTTCCATCTGTGTTGAGGTCGTTTACGTACGAAGCTGTCGATGAATGTGCTCAAACGATCTCTATTGGAAGTAATTTGCTGTTGTTATATGGGCCTGCAGTATATGTCTATCCTAAACTTTGTCGCCTTCACTTATTACGTCTTGTCATGGCAGTGAGGCAATTGCTTTCCAGTCCGTCTGCACGATGGCCGCGAGGCTCTGATGCGTCATCATGGTATGGAGAGAACATGAGATGTGCTGAGACCGGGAGCTAGATTGGACATGGAGAAAAAGACCAAAGATAGACGGGGGAAGTAGTCATGCTGGAATGTTTGTGTTAATTGGAGTAGGGAGTAGTTGAGATCAATTCAAAGGCGCCAGCCTACCTCGTCCTTATACATACTGATAGCGATACTGTCGATTCAACGGTACGAGTGAAATTGATGGTACCGTAAAGTGCCGCTTGATCACTTATAAACTACTGATATCTTAAAAACATACCGCTCTCTTCGCATTGTCTCTGTCGAAGATGTGAAATTCGCTGCTGGTACTATTCGACTATTCTAATTATGCGATCTTCTTTCTATAGTGCCTCTACTGCACTCTGATGAGACGTTGCTATTTAACATTATAATTTCGTGTTCTTCCGAGTGATCCAGAGTGGCTTTCATCCGGGGCAATTCTACCCAGGAAGGACAGAGGGTCTGAATGACCAGAGTGTAATGTAGATTGCTCCACGCCATGCTTCTCAAGCATAACAATCAACATCAAACGCAATGACTTACTATTGGTCTTTAGTCACTAAACTTAGGGTTGGAATCGGATAGCGTGTTAAATTCTTATCGGAAGGACAGTCTCTGTGGTCATTTCAACGAAGGTATCAAACGGCTAGGTAATCGAATGGCCGGATGTCTATGAGGAACAGCTCGCTCAGCGTTCAGCTTCTGGCGCTTAGCGTAACGCTTCTTCATCTGAGCCTCTTCTTTGGCGTGCATACGTGCCCAGTCTGAGCAATGTAATCGCAAAATGCGTCCCTGGTTGTCAGTGCGACGGCGGCGTACAGAATGGACGTTGTCCACCTGTGGGGCTCTGGCGGTATTTGGGACTATTAGGATCTGGTAGATTTTGTAGAACTTGTTAGCTACAGCAGTAATGCTAAAAACAATGGAGTTCTTTACGGAGCTCTATGGGTAGGGTCAGTGAAATTAGTCGGTACGGGGAGGTGATGCGCACCGTAGTAGTAGCCGTTTGGTTGAGACAGGTCTCGAGCCTCATGCATAGTGTTTGGTATTCCGACTTGGTTCGTGTGCGAAAGTGTTGTGCGGCACTGTAAACCATCTTAGCGTTGGTTCGCTAGAAAAGGGAATGGAGGGTTGAATATGGTTGGGATTTGCTGTAATGGAATTGTATCTGGTCAGTTCATGTAAAACGAGCTATGTTTTTCAATTTCAGTATGCCGCGAGAAGAGCCCCTACACAGCGTTTATATTCTGGAATTTATCTGTATACGTATGAAGCCTTCTGCGAACATTGTGCGGAGACTACAAAGGTATGATCTGGCCATGCTGAAGAGAATATTGCGTAAGCGACTGGGGAGCAAACAACGTAGAAGACAATGAAGTTCAATAGACCAAACGTAAGTCATTATGGCAGGACTTGAAGTCTAACAGAGATTGCCGTAGACCTCACAATGCTGGCGGTCAAGTATTGCTTAGTTGTTGAGACAATGAATGTGTTCAATGTTCTGGCAATGTGTTAGGTGGCGATTCCGTTCGTGCTGCTTGTCTTTTTTAATCGATTGATCAGAATCTGACTGCCTATAGTCCTCAAGGTAAGTTGCGAGACAAGGATGTAACCATTGAAAGCAAAGCAAGACACGAGGAGGCTACAGGCGGCTGAATGAGCGAAAACAGCGCCGACGATGGACAGGGTTGGATGGAAGAACCGGTCGAAGATCAAAAGGTACAACAGCATCGTCTATTGCATCAGCGTGTACCAGGTGTTCTTTCCCCACAGTCGACCAAGTCATCAAAGAGGCGATAGGAAATCTCATTGTGCTCGTCTATGTCGCCGAAACCCATGACGTCACACGAACGCCTCTTCCGTCTTGGGCCGTCACAGCCTCAACGTCCCCTTATGCATCTTGGCGCACACAATTTAAATGTATATGATGGTGGCAACGGCAAGTGGCTGAGGCGGCTGCGATGAGTCGTGTCCCGCCGCGGACGTACCGTAGACAAGCCGTGTAGCCGATATCTCATACTTAAACGCCGAGGTGGGTTTGGATTCTATACAGAACACAGGAACCTGACCAAGCGCAGCAAAGAACAGAGTACTAGGTTGTGAAGGAGGCGAGCAGAGCAACCAACGAGTAAACATGATGTTCTAGGTCCCAGGATTACCTGCACATCCCCCAGTCATCTTGGCAGGATGCCGGGTACCCGCACACAGCCTGAATCGCGGGTTTGCGATAAAACAAGGACGAATGCAGATTCACAGGGGAATCTACTTGTCGTCGTCGTCGTTACTTTCTCCACATTCTCTCGTTCCCTTTTTTCTTTCGTCCGAAGCAATCTTTGTAATAAACAACTCTCGCTTGTTCTTCCTTCTCTTCTACCTCACTCGCTCACGTGCGACGATTCTCAACCATGAAGCTCGCGATTCTGACGCTCGTCTCACTTTCCTCAATCGTCCTCGCACAAGAACGCTGTGACGCACCATACCCAACGGTGTACTGTAATACGACTGAGATTCTCGCATACGAGTCCTCCGACTGCCGCCCCTACCACGTTTTCATAGCACGCGGCTCAGACGAGCCGTACCCCGGACGCCAGGGAAACATCACCAAGGAGATTTGCGCGGCGATTGGAAGCGACGATTGCGGTTTTGAAAACATCCAGTATCCGGCCAAGAGCACGGCGTGGGGGGTGGACGAGTGGTGCAAGTCTGCTGCGCAAGGAGCAAAGAACGGACAGGCGCAGATGACAGCGTACGCAGCGAAGTGCCCAGACAGCAAGTTGATACTATTGGGGTACTCGCAGGGTGCGAGTGTTGCGCAGGATATCTTGGGTGGTGGGGGTGGTGCTATATTCTCGTGTGAACAGGCTGTAAATCCAGCGTTGGATCGTTCCACCGCACCGGGCTCCAACAGTATGTTACATCTGCTACAGAGGCCTAAGCAGGTATGCTGACTATATGCAGTCGTCGCAGCTGTTACGTTTGGCGCAGTAGCCCGCGCTCGTAACCAGAACTTCACCATTGGCGATGGAAAACCATACGATGGCAGGCGCGCCCGTACAACCGAGCAAATCGCGGCCCTTAGAAAATTTGCCGGCGTTTTTGTAGAGTACTGCCACTACAGTGATCCTATGTGCGCCCCTGCGAGCTTGCCTCAGGACGTCATGGTGCATCTGAACTACTTTGTTGAGCACAACGAGGAGGCTGTGAAATGGGTTGTCGACATGGCCAAGCGTGGAGTAAACGATGCAGTTGCATCTAGTACTTCAACGAAGTCGGCGAAGTCCACCAGCTCTGCAAAATCATCGGCGTCCACGTCAGCATCAGCATCAGCATCAGCGTCAACGACAGGAAGCTCCAAGGCACAGACTGCACAGAGTGGCACTGCAACCACAACTGGTACGACCGATGCAACTGGTTCGGCTAGCATTCTGATGGCGAGCAGCCTCTCAGGCTCATTGTTCGTCGTATGTGTGGCATTGCTGCACTTGGCCCTTTGATTTCAAATACACGATCGAGCTATTTCATCACAACCAACTGCGGTTGATGGGGGAGAAGATGAAATTTAATCATAATATTTTAATGACTTTCAAACACTACTGAAACTAGCTACACATTCATTATCCAGATTCTACTCTATCAAAATACCCAGCACCATAATAGGGGTGAGAGCTTTTTCTTAATAGTTGGGCTGATAACCATTCGCAGGTAGACTACAACATTCCAACGGTCCTCTGCTTCATCTTCTTGACATCGACGTTCTGCCACATAGCAATGCTGAATAGCAGAGTGGCATAGACGCATGTACCGCCAATAAGCATGTACCTTTGTGTCTCAGCGTAGCTCCTGTTGATAGCATCACGAGTCGGGCTGCCGACAGCGTAGCTAGACTGAACGGTGACATCACCATAGATCAAGGCGAGGTCTGCCTGCGATTCCGCAGGAAGGTACATGGCAAGTCTGACAGGGAAAACACCAGTCCAAATGGCGCCTGCAATGGTAGATCCAACGGCACTTCCGATTGAAATGATCATGGACTCAACAGCAAGCAGGGCTGGGAAGTCCTGCTGCTTGGAGACCGCCATAAGCGTAGTCTGCTCACAAACAACTAGGACACCGCCACCGAACGCGATGAAGACCAGGCACATAACGATGTACCCGATGTTGACGTCAGGTTGGCGGAAGGCGATCTGGAGGCCACATCCAAGGATCAGGAGTGGTGCGCCAAAGAAGAGTGCGTACATCTTCAGCTTTCCGTAGTACCGCAGGCAAATACCGAATACAAGGCTGATGAAACAGCTACCCATGGTATAGGTACTATTGATGTATGTCGCGGGTGTAACTGGTTGGTTGAACAGTACAACCAAGCACGAGTAGAGGTACGAGTCCCAGATGTACCATCCGACGTACATCATGAACGCTAGTGTGTACGTGAAGATGACGGTACGATTCTTGATGAGCCTCCATGGAATGAACGTGATTGGAGCAAGATACTTTTCCCAGACACCGAAGAGAACGATGAGGATGGCGCCCAAGACGAGGAAGCAGATGATCATGGGCGACCTCCATTGATGCTTCTGGAATGAGTACAAATTGAAGCCGAGGAGAAACAGAGCTAGACCAGTGGCAAGGATGAGAATGCCGACAACATCGAACTCCTTGAGGTAGTAGAACAAAGTCTGGACGAAGTTGCCTCTGTTTGGGCAGGACGTAAGTAGACCTTGTTTGCGTGCCTTTGCTTGGTTGACGAAGAATATGATGACAAGAGGTGCACAGACAAAGGGAGCGAGGATGGCGAAGATTCCAAAACCCCACGCGAGTCCGATACCACCTGGGGCGACAATACGGTCCACAGCAGGGCCATAAATCCAAGTTGTGATGAGCCAGGGTGAGGCAGCATAACCGATGAAGAAGCCTCGGTTCTTGAGCTTAGAAGTATCGGCGATGAAAACTGTCATGGAGAAGTCGATACTGTTGTATCCAAGGTAGAAGAAGGTTGAGGCAGCGCAGTATGTTTCGACATTCTTGCAAGCCGCCATCATAATGAGGCCGATGACATATGCCATGACACCGAACAGGAGTGCCCATGGGCGACCCCATATGTTCATGATTTTGGCGTAGGGCAACTTCCAGAGACCAGCGATGATGGAGGAGATAACACCCACCAGAGCAGTAAGGGAGTGGTGTTGGAAGGAACTGGTAACGTAGACGGTCAGGGTCGATACGGCGCCAGATGCAAAGGCCATGAAGAAATTGATGAGCCACATGCTGGAGACGGTCAGTTCTATCCAGTAAATGAGTGGTATCACCACTTACAAGATGTATGCTAAAATCAGTTCCTTCTTGGTCCACACCATTGTAGCGGCTTGCATAGCCTGCACACCATGCTCGGCATTGGTGTCAACCTTGTTCAACTCCTCATCAGATCGGTCAGACAAGGGGCTGTGGGTTCTGGCCGTGCCAAGCTTCTCGTCAGGACGACCAACGTCCATGCTGGTGTGGCCCTGGACAGAGGCGGGGACATCGGCAACATCTCTTTGATTAGTTTGGGGAGAAGAGGCAGACAACAACGCATTGGTTGCCAGGCCTTTGAAGGTGAAGCCCATTTTGAATCCCAATGGTGTAGGGCAGCGCCTAGCGAGCAGTGCAGAGGTTGGATGAGGGGAGAGATTGATAAGATCAAAATAGCGGGAGGGCACGAGGGTTCAAATAGCTGGGTGGAACCGCACACGCACTTCTGCAGGGCTCCCCAGAAGTGCTCGGCTCTGCTGTTGTGTGCATTGATCATCTTGCCGTGGTCGGTAACGCGTGTTCCCTTTGCTGGGGCCGCGTACAGAATTGGGCAACAATGGTGAAGGTCGCGAGGCCAAAGGCCCTTGGCCTGCAGGTGCCGGTTAAACGAAGCTCATTTGGCTCGGAGTGGCACCATGCTAGGTGTTTAAGCTCTCCGAAACTCGGCCTAGATGCCCCAAGGAACGAGAAAAATCTTATCTCGATCATCAGCGGCGTCTCGCTGGCGAATCACAGCTTGAGATGGAGCGGCCCCACTTCTTATCAGATGAATTTTTCGATCTAATCATTATCTGATGGAAACTCCGGCTGTCGTATGGACGTGCGACATCCCGCGTACATGGTCATCTTGGTCATATGTCGGGCTGTCGTCCATTCACATTACGCGGCTCGGCCGTCGAGTGCAAAAGCCCTGCATGGAATGTCCCTCACGCTCACGGAGCTTCCGATCTCTCCCAGCATATCGTTCGATGTAATCCAGCGCTACGGTTTATCAGGTGGAGCTCTCGCCTTGTCTGGGTGGTCTGCCAAGTGTTCCTGCTGCTGCTTTGGTGGGAAACTCGCATGAGATTAGACAAGATTAGGTAGGTTACTCAAAGGGAATGCTTGAAAAGATGTTGGGAAAAAAGCTTTCGGATCCTGTGTGCATCTGCCAGCCACCAACAATCATCGACGCCCGATCCCTACATTTTCAGGGTCTGGCTACCGGTTCGTCGGCAATTCTTTACGGTCACCAGATCCGACAACCAATAAAACAACATCGTCTTTTGACAATTGATGGGGTCACATAGTAAGACCTCCAAGCCGAAGTACATATCTACAACTGAACAATCGTGTAAAAACTGCAACTCGTAGAATGTTGGTTCTTGATTATGAGACGTTTTGTATTAAAGTGTGTGAGTTTTAATGTAGCAAGCTCGCAACTCGAACTCGGACTTGAGCTCGGACTTGAGCTTTCAATTGATCTTCTGATTCTAGCTTCGGATTTGAGGTTCACCAATAGCTCGTTGCGTGGGCTTAAGTGCGAGCTAAACCATGAGCCTAAATCCGAGCTCGTATCCAATCTTGACCGCAAGCTCATTTGAGTGGGCTCAACTGTGAGCTCACAACAAGCTTACGGTTGAAGCTTGTAATCACCACCCTAAAATCCCATGACCCCCATTTACTAAGGCCTCGTTGGTAGGACCTGAGACACGTCGCTCTGGGCCGAGAACCATACCTCCAAACTTCAGACCAGTCTAAGAAAAATGGTATCGTCCAATACCAGAAGGGAACCGCAAGTATATCAACCCCGTCGCAATAAGATCAACATGATCCGAGCAACCGATTAGCCTATCCAGATTGACTATGAAAAGTCCCTCCATCCCAACGATGAAGACGATGTTTTGTATGGACTCCGAGACATCCACGTGACCAAGCTTTACGCCCAGAGAGATAAGGGATTCCGTAAACTTGACGCAAAGGCGATCTCGACGTGGAGCAGTCGGGGCTCCTGCAGAGCTTCTGCAGTCTTGGTCTGAAAGGGAAGCTATGCTTAGTTGGATCCGAGGTTGACAAAGGTGGCAACGTTTCTTCGGTTTGCACGAAGAGCGTATGGAGACACTGAATGGTTACAGAATACTGTATTACTCGTCGTCACACTTTGTCTCCGACTTTGGATGCCGCCTCGTACATCAGCTAGCTTGAATCATTCCCTTCATTAACATGGCACCAGGGTGCGAAACAACGAAACATGAATGATTCGATAAGTTGGTACAACTTTTTGCGGCAATGGCTAAGATCAAGGTGCGGTATTTTCTAGTCGCCAATTGTATGCACTTCGACCAAATACAGTGGTCAGCAACCATACACGAATGTTTGCAACGAGCCGTAAATACGTACATATAAATGGTTCAGTCTCGGTAGAGACTTGTCATCCAACAATCCTACACGCATTGAGTTACACTCACTCAGTCCAGGCTTTACGTACCTAGCATTAACAACGCTACGCCGCGAAGTTCTCGGGCCTTGCCATTAAATGCCTTGTCTACTCCACGCCCAGATCGAGTTCGGCATGTCATATTGTTAATCCAGCCGATAATACTCTCGAGGCAGGCATCATGAAATTCGCCTATGTAAGACTTGTTTTGGATGAAAGCTATCCAGGTCAATCCTCCACAAGACTGACTCGTCATTAATCGAGAACAACAACCTGTGAACACACACGAGTAAGATACTACGCAGTATGTTCTCGTCTCTCGACACGGGTCTTGTGGAAATAGCTGTCGCTTTGCATACCCTAAGAGTGAGTAGAAACAGTAACATTAATTCTGTGATGACATCCGAAGATTCGATCCATAACCCGGTATCCATTCTGTTATGCAACTACAGTGCCCATACAGAAAATCCTTAGAAGTCTCCTTGAGCTGTCGGATTCTGGATATCATTGATAGATTTATAACCGTTACATATGCACTCCCATGGTTATTTGGGAAAGAGTAAAATAGTGGTTACCACTCGAGTGGAACGATTCGAAATACAGAGCTACCACGCCAGAAGTCTAGGAGCGATACACAGTACAGTCTTTCTTCTATGTGTAGTTGATGAGTTCTTTGTACGTATTGCTGATGGGCCATTGAACACGTACGTATCACCGGCATTTTCACTGGCGTCCATTAGGCTGTGGCGGATGTTACGTTCTTCATGAGTGCTTTACCAAGTTAATGATCGTTCTTGATATACTTGTTTTCGTCTGATCAAACTTTCGTCGTGCAAGGTCGTACCTTCTTGGGGAAAAGCAAGTCTTCTGTACCTGTCAAATACATCCTGTCTTTTCTCTTCTCTCGGTGGGTACCCAGTCACACACTGTCAGGATATTCAACGCTTAACGGATCTCCTGGTGGGGATACAAGATTTACAATGAGTGGCCTCCAAACGCAATGATACATGAGCAACTGCTCATCCTCTCTCAAATATAACCAAACATCCATAATTTAGTACACAATACTCACAATTTGATTGGACACATTGTATCTCAGAACGTTGCGACAGTCCCTGTCGAATTCTACGACTCCAGGACTCGGTTTTCTGGATAAAATTTAAAGCTCACATGGGAACAAAGTGTATAGCATTGACTACAGTATTGTTCCAGACAGTGACGTCTCTTCGACGACGCAATCCCAAGGTTTTTGCCATCATCGATAATCAAGCAGGAGGGTATAGAGGCTCGAGATGCTACCGCAGCTGTGTCCACTCTCGTTCGCTCAGAAATCGGCCACACTTCGCGCCAGATTCTCGTATTCTGTATTGATCACTATTGACACTTCGCTGATCATCACCCCTCTTTACGTGTTCACGTTCGTGTTGCGCTTGTAATTTTCGTATGCATATGCGTCTCAAAACTTCGTCTTCTACAACTCCATTATTTCCGATGGAGAAGAGTCAGTTGACGGCCTCTCCCCTCAGTTTAGTCCTTCTCACGAGGAATATTGGCGGACATACCTGCTCTTCTCTATGCTCGCAATAGGCTGCAAAATTATCGGTGTAGATGTATAGCTCAAGGATGATGGGGAGACATTACTTATGGGTCACGATGGTGCGATTTAGAGACAGGACAAACGCTTTGAAACATGCATCTTCTTTCACTATTCGAAATTATGGAGTGACATAACCCTGCGGAGGAGTGTCACAACCACACTTTGTACGAGCATGCCAAGGGTGCGTTCCAAACGTAGCCACTTATTTTCATCACTGACCTCAATATCGAGTCCCTGGAAATATGGAAAGCGGTGCTTAAGAAGTTGGAGCGTTTCCAGACAGCACAGAGATATTATTTCACATAATGAATAGGTGTTTTGTTATCGAGATGGGTCAAGCGGTGGGAAGTATGACCTTCTGCTGTCGCTGCTATGGCATATGAAGACATGAACCCAGAAACAATCCGGAGATTGCCATCTTGTGCCTCAAAACCAACCCTTAACGTATTGGTCGTACCATGGCACATCTCTCGATACGCCCCTCAATACACCACCTGATCAATCATTGACCAACATGCAATGTATCCTTGAAACTCTTATCGTGTCTTGGTTTCGTTCCATCAGTTTATCGGACGTGTTTGTACCGGTTTCAGCGAAAAATAGATGGCAAAGACGCGGCAGCAGATCTTCGCGGCGCAAGAGAGTAGCTTGTTGACTAGGTAGGGGGCCTGCCATCATGACCGATGGATTATTGTGATTCTGTGTGGCAGACGCAGACGGACAGAGGCGCAGGGATGTGAGTGTGGATGATCTCAAGTCCGTAGCACGGAGAAGTTGGACGAAGGGATATGTTTGGGGTGTTATTTGAATAATCTTCATATTTGTCTGCATACTTTTCTGTTCATTGACTGCTCTGTGATTCTGTTGCGCTGTCATTCAGAGATGAAGAGCAAAGACAAGATAATATATTTATCTGGACTAGTCAGCACAGAAAATCATCTAGAGGCACCATGTTAAAGCAGCTACCATTTCGAATTGAATGACAACTGGGCTCACATTGCAGTCTCACTTCATACTTCATGCTCCAACGCGCCCCGCTTCTCGCTTTTGTTATGTCTTATTCGTGTTTCGTCTTCGATTGTCTCTTCTGCGTATTATGTTCAAAATATCCAAGTCATCAATCCGACCTGCGATTTCAAAAATACAAAGAAGGTTAGGTAGACGAGATATAGAGCAATAATTCTTGAACAGGTAACCAAGGTAAAGGTGCCTAAGACATGATAGCAAACACTGAGCAAGCCGTGACAAGATACCATCCGACATACAAACAAAACAATTGCGAACGAAGAAAAAGATGGGTTGAACACATACTATAACTACAGCTAATCAAGTTATCTCACAACCCTGGCCTGGACTTTGTATCTGAACAAATTAGACACCTCTAAACACTTACACTGGATGTATATCGACTTTGATGCGCCGACACTGCAACAACAGTATCTCAAACCCCCTCAGAAAGAGAGAGGATTTCTCGCAGAATCGAAACGTGAGGTAAGAAGCTAAACCTGCGGGAGAGGCGAAGGGTGAGAAAATAGTAGTCACGACGATGGCATTGTTGGACAAAGGTATCAGAAAAACAAGATGACTGCAGGCGATCACTAGTTCTCCCGAGTGTCTTAGTGCACTAAGGATGTAACTTAAAGGTATAATGGCCTACAAGCATTGGAGTTAGTAAGGTGGTAGGACTTAGTTTTTAGTGATGAGTGGGTGATGAAGTAGGTTGACAGATGGCGTTGTATCAGTATCATGAGATCTTAGTGCAGACTGTGTTGGCTTGGGAATAATTAGGTGTTCTGCTCCTAGGAGCGTAGGTTGATCAGAGTGGGTTGCATATTTCAGGAACACTGCGGGTGTGTGTTGTTTTTAGGATATCACTGGTGCAATAACAGGAAAGTGGATTACTGTTGGCTTTATAGCATAACAATATTGGTGTGCGTATGTCCTACAGCAGATAGCCTATATGCTGTGCTATATACTCTGTACTCCATCAGTTTGAGACAGGTTCGAAGTAAGCATTCTTCATGTACATCGAAGGTAGAGAGAATACTGAGATTATTGAGATATTGAAAGAGTCAAACATGGAGAGTTCAAAGTTCAAGATAGTGAGTTGTTCAGATATATTGGAAGTCAAATTGTTTGTGCGATAAATCATGCAAACGCAATATCCAACAAGAAACGCCATTCTCAAAACAGCCAGCATGCAGAAGATTGAAGTTCCTAAATGTGCGAGTATGCCTTCCTAAATACTTAGGACATGATCTTCAACAAATGGTGAGTGGTTTAGATTGTACTAGATAGCCTCCTCATGCTCAGACACAATTCGTGGCAGAAGGGTTAGCCATGTCCAGTTCGCTTGTGAGTTGAGGTTTGTTTGTTCGCCATCGAGCCTACCACAGGACTTCCCCCCACCTGGAATTTAGACATCAAGATAACTTCGAAGAAAACACTCTTAGCTCGAATCGTTTGTCGAGATGTCCACCGTGTAACAAAACGCCGTAATGTTACCGTGTCCACACGCGACAATAAATCTTCGTTTCGCAACTCACCCAAGCTCACCCTACACTCAAACTTACAGACCCACAACCCGGCTTCCATCCCAGTCCTGCACGTTGGAACAACACCGACTTACCTGCAGAACGTACGCACAGAACATTCTCCCGTTCCACTTCCGAGTCATAAGCGACAGACTCTGAGAATCGTCTTAGACTGCACGAAACACCAGGATCTTGCTGGCGCATGCTGAGCCTAGAAGCATCTTATAATGGCCCACCTGCTCGATGCAACCAAAAGAGCAATTTCGGATGACTCCAATTTCATGTGGACTGTGGTCGTAGAGCTTCCTTCCCGGAACGGTAACCCACTAGTACCGCCTGCAGCAGAGCCTCATCACATGTGACACCGCGAGTAGTTGGCCGGTGAGCGGGTAGAGTCGCTTCCTGGAGATCGGGTATCGGACGGTTACGGGTGAGGTGAAAATCAAGTAAAAAAAGTGGTTCTGTTCCCTTCACGTGTACTCTCCGCGCGCGAGAAATGAAGGGCTGGTGGGGGGTTGTGTGGTTGAGGAGTGGGTTTGTGGGTTGACGCGCATTGGGCACCATTTGGCAGCGTTTTGTTGTTGAGTTCCCGCTGTCAGCTGAAAGAACCTGCAGTAAGACGGTACCAAACCGAATAATTTTTAACGCTATGAGACTGTAGCATCCTTTCCGATGATTGGACCGCAGCACATACCTGTGTGGTTTCGCCAAAGGACATGAAGATGATACATCGGGGAGAGCTCGGCGAGTATCAGGAACAGACCCGGAGGCCTGAACACCAACCCCACGGCTTTGAACTGCGAGTAGAACGTTGTGGAGATGTAGTTACTCCACTGTAGGATTCTGTTCTCAACGAAATCTAGACTGCCACGTCGTTGACAATACCGACAACGTCTATGTTTGTATCGCAAGCGTGAGGTAGTCGTTGTATGATGGGTGTAACGACTGGTCGAGGACTAAACAGAACCCACAGTCTGAAAGAGAACTCGCACTACCATTATAGGTTCCACATCCAGTATGCAAGCCCAGGGTGACGAGTACAATTGAGACCTTTAGATCGTCGTCGTCGTCGTCGAGTTTCAAGGTGGGTCCGTTGAAGTTAGTGATGCCGGAATATAGATGTTAATATCGAGCTTGTATTCTCGAGCACGCTGGAAATATGTTGAGATGCAAGGCAGCGTCTACCAAAAGTGACAGGTCTGTTTTGCGTCAATATGTTTACTTACCGATATTTCCCCCGATAGGATTTGATATCGTATTCCCTGTAAGACAGAAAGTTTCCACGGGTGTCCTGAAAGCCATTGATCGTATTCTTTCATAGGCTGGAGAGATTGTGCAAATAATGGAACCCCATCTTACAACGAGTGCGACTCTTGCATGAGGATGCGCGTATCATTTGTAACTAATAGAGCTGCCTCCATCAGGGAAGTAACCAAGTAGCAGAGCACGCTCGGTATCTCCGTATCCTGTATTTTATAATGCCAATAGCCGCACCCTTTGCGTTTTGAATGATTGTGCATCTTAGAATACCAAATGCAATATCATGCGATATACACTCTACTGTACCTGCATATGGAGCAGGGAGCAGACGTCATAGTTCGCACTTGACTTATTAGCAGCAACCTCACGGGGATCGTTACTTTTTCACGAAGCCCCGTCACCTAATCTTCCGGTGCCTAGTGTGAACAAAGGCCGTGTTCCCGACGCCACTATTGCGTTGGATCTCGTTTCGACTGATGAGGAATCTCGAGACGATGATGCTTTTCTTGTCGCAGCTTGAGCAATAAGCATAGGTAGTGAGCCGGTTCACCTGCAGTGTTGATCTGGAAAGATTGAAAAGAGGACCATCCTTCTGACACAAAGGAGATGATTTTCAAACCTTGGTTATTGCTTGAGTCATGGCCAACCCCTTGTTGAAGGTTTGAACGAAGAATAACGTTCAGTTGCCGACGGGGAATCTGCAAAACATTCCGCGCCCGCCTCCCATCGAGGTGCTGTTGTCGTCCATTATACAGTCGTACAAGGAACCTCGATGCAATTCTCCAAGACAAAGCAAGCCAAGCCTGCAACATCGTGTGCCTTGCGCAGAGAGAGGATGTCTACCAAGAGAAGGATGATGTCACGAAAGTCATCTCCGCACCCAGCAGATTTCACGAGCCACGTGGAACCGTCCAGATGCGGCAGGATGGGATACCGCTGTTAGTGTAGCGTGATGCGGGGAAGTTTTGCCACGATCCAGTACAGCAGCTGACCTTCAAACATGTTCCCTTCAACCAAACATGGGCACCGTTCATGGATCCACAGTTAAGCCCAGTCATCCGTTACAAAACACAACTGGACAGCGCCAGAGCGTTGCTCGTCTTGGAAGCGGCAGCCGAGTTGGTAGGTTAAACGTTGGAACAATCTCGGATGAGGTACGAAGGGTTCATCTAGTAATAAGAACAAGCGTTGTTAGCAAGAGTTCCTTCCATCGCTAGTCGACCTATCAGTACAGGCCCTAGTTCAGTTGCCTCTTTGTGCGTTATTTTTCAAAAGCCATTTCGCTCATTGAACCACTGCACATATCATCCTACGCAATAAACCTCAATGCAAATACCTTACTGTCGTGTCTTCCGCCCGTGCTCATCCTTAATGGCAGCGTGTTCGATAGGCGTGTCACTTGTGTGAAGAGATTTTTCTGACTCCTAGAGAGAAGCATATCGGAGGTTTCTCCGGATATGCGAAAGTGTTGACCGTTATTGACGCATGAGGTTCTCGCGGTGGCAAGATAAGCTGTGATAGGAACAGTACCTCGGCGTTTGAGACCGAGTACTCCAGGAATTAGGCCATGCTTTTGCACATAAATCGTGAACTTAGCTTTGCCGATAGACTTTCCTAACGAGTACAGCCAAGCTCCCTCGTATTGTGAGAAGTGTCAGCCTTTGAACATGTCAGAAATGCGGGGAAGCCTAAGGCCGCGTACTACTTTTGGCGTATATGAGCATCGGTTCTTAGCCGTATGTACTTACGTGCAAGATGAAGTTGGGCAGAATAACTTCTCTAGAACACACGCAAGGTATGTATGTCCCACGTCCGAAGACCATGGTGTTGGAGCGAGATCAGCAACGTTATGTCAGTTGGATCGGGTCAAACTATCGATATCCCAGATATTCTTCGATCCTTTTAATTGTCAAGCGACCGTATCTCTTGACCGAGGCTGGAACCTAAGACAAGCCAACGAGATCTGGGGTAACGACTACGTATGGCACGCTGATCCAGAGAGGTGGGTTTGGCGTGGGCAGGTGGGAGGAGGCTGATCTTCGATCTCTTCCCGACAAACATGCCGTCCTTTGTCGTAGTGTCGATGCCTACGCTGTGTAAGTCAGAAGGGCATCATACTCATATGATGACTGCTGAAACAATGGCTTGATAGCTTGAAGTATCAATGAACGTTGTGCTGCAACAAGAGAGATCTGTTGGACTGCAGGGGTCGCCCTAAAGATAGATGCATGCAAAACGTCCATGTTGATGGAAATTAGCTCCACCAAATAAGCACTCCGGGATAGTAGTTGCTGTGATGGTGACACAAGTACCCCCGTTGCGTTCGTCCTATAGACATTTGATACGACGGATATGCCAGCTGGACGCGAATTGTGGTGATGCAGGAAATATTGATGGTAAGCAGGCATCCTTACGCCAGGCAATGGGATGGCATGCCGCGCCCACGCTATTAGAGCACGACATCCTTGGGTCGGTCTGAGATCTGCATACTGCATGTTACCTCGAAACCTCAAACCCCAATACCAGAGCACATGATTAGGGACCCCCACACGTGCGACCTCATCCGTGAGGCCGGTGTACATGGACCGTAATATACAGTGTCGATCGCGTCAAGTCGCGCTTGGTTAGTAGGCCCGATGTTTGACCAAAGCATCGCCTGAGAGCCTTCCCCAGTGTGTCAAGGGTTCACAGCTCCTAAGAGAGCGAGGCAGGCTTCAGATGACCTTCTCGCTGCATGCGCTAATCTGCCAGCGCATCGACCGCCAGACCGCGCGGGTGCCTGATGATGAGCCGTTTCTGGAGAACCTGTTGTTTACATGTGGCCAAATGATCACTGATACTGCGAATCGCAAGGAGATGCGACGGGTCAGCGGGAAAAAGCGCTGTGCCGAGCCCGTGCAATCCAAGGCATGGTGCTGAAAGGCAAGGCGGCGTGGGGAAAGATAGATGATGCTGTGTCTTCTCGTGGGCTAAAGCAGACTTGCGTGGAATTGAATGACACTGAAGCAGGAGTAAGGGCAGGCTTGCCATTGAGTCCGCGTTTGACTCATAGGGCTGAATGGACATCTGCAATCTTCGAGTCTCGACGCCGATCCCACGACGCACACGCATCTGGGCGCAAGAACGCGGGCGCAAAGACGGTTCACTCCGCCCTTGCGCTGTTCTCCTGTGATGCTGTGACGACGTGACGACGCTGACGGCGGACATGAGATGCCAGGCACACTCACGCATCACAGGCACACAACCGACAAAGATCCGGCCCGAGGGAAGGCGGCAACGAACCTACAAGGTAACCGAAAGCCACGGACTGCTCACGCGTCGTCACACCCGTGCAACAAGGTTCTCCATCGATGATGATGAGTATCACAAACTTCGAATGCCATCGTGACACGGCCGACACGTCCTCCTTGAACTATACACTCGTTGCGACGCCCGCGCCTTGTGCATCCGCTATTGGTGTCTACCCTGCAGTGCATAAGTACTAGTAAGCCGTACAGCAAAGCGTGCATAAGCGCCTGCGGAATGTCCAGCCTCGAGGCAAGTCACAGAAGAGCGGTAAAGAAGACCACCATACAGAACGCATGGTTGCGCCAGACTTGTGTTGTTGAGAACGGGCACTTGACAAGGAGACAAGAGTCCATCGAGGCTAGACGGCCACATCTGCTCACTTACCCGAAGTGGGGCCAATCATCACCACCATGTTCACGGTGCAAATGAGAATTCCATGTGAAGACAATACGCTTTTTTTGGAATTAGGTACCTGCTATCTCGTAAACTGACAACTTTGTCGTCAAGCAGCTTCGCGAAGCCATCTCTCTCCAGGGTATAATCACCGTCTCAGGCAGATCGCCTGGTAAAAGTACAACGCAGGTAAAAGTACAGACCAGCAGAGTCGATACTGCTCGACGAACGTATCCGCCCATCCGGGCGTGAGCCATGACCTGTCTTCAAAACCGAATGAATGTGCCCGTGTACGGACCTGCATGAATGAAATTCGTAGCCTCGTAGGGCATACACAAAGGCCCGTGTGGTATTGACCAGGAAATTTTGAAAAAAAAGACATTACCATCGACCGACCGTGCAGTATGAAGATGAAAACTGGTGATGCCTGAAAATATTGAACACAAAAACGCCGCAGACCCATCCATAAATGCCGCTAGAAGTGCAAACGTTGGAAAAATTGATGTGGAGCTCTACCAACCCTTCGCGTGGTACTCCTCGGAAATACCACCGCCAAAATAATCCTCCTGGTACGAGTTGGTGGTTTTAGTGTTGCTCGGCCTTGGTTGAGGCGCTGCATCCAGACCTCTAAGGTCGGTTGTGGTCATAGCCCGACGGATCACGGCGTTGGTAGTTGCATTTTTTTGCTGTCGCTCCCATAGGAGGTTCTGCCTTAAACTCCCGCTCAACTCCGTCTGGAGCATGTTCCTACGCGTGGTGCGTGGAGACAATGCAGGCGGATGCACATTCGAGGTGGTCATAATGATAGGCTTTGCCCGTGTGACTTGTTGACGCATCATAAGACCACTGTCTTCTTGGGGAGAATTGCCAATAGAAGGGCCGTTGGGGGTTGAAGTTCGGGATCGGCGAATGGCGGGTGTAGACCGGGAGGCAGCATTTTGCAAGGCCTGTGCGCGATCGCCTTCATGCATCATGGTAGTGAGAAGGGACCGGCGAGAAACAAGGTTGGGCTTCGAGTCGACTCGTTTGAACATGGACTGTTCGGTTACACTGGAAGGGCCACTATCATCGTTGTCGTCTTCCCAGTCACCATCAGAGTCTTCTTCTTCTATGGCACTCTCATCGGGCTCATCTTCACTGTCAGTCTCGATAGCTCCATCGCTGTCGGACGTGGCATCGTGGTAAGTGCGGGTGTTGACCTCGTTCTTGAACGAGAGCGTCTTTCGCATAGGGGGAGCGCCTCTTCTGAGATGCTCAGACAACGAGCTGCGTTGCGCGAGCGAATATGCCTCGAGGGAGCTACTGTTGTCCTCGTCGGATGAGCCACCAAGAGTGAACATGGGCTGTTTCTTCTTCGTCATTGGCTCTGCTTTGGAGGGCAAAGGCTTCACGAGGAAGCTTGATGTCTTTTTCAGGATAGGTGTCGGGGCCAGGTTGGTGCTTGAGCGTATCGATGTCGAGATGTGGCCCGGCTCAAAGCCGCGCACAACACTGTGGTTGCTAGCCTCCAACGATGAGCTCACCTCGGAGTGGGCAAGAGGGCTCAGTGCCATAGCGTCGCTGCCACGGATAGCGGCGAGCGGCGATGTCGCTGGTTGAGGAATGCGGCGTGCAGTCACTGGTGGCGAGGCTGGCCGGAAAGTCGATGCTGCAGGGCGCGTCGATGGCTCGGCTACTGGCGGGGCCAGCTGCGGGGGCAGTGGCGATAATGGCTCAATCGCCTTCTTCTCTTGGATCGAGTTGACGACCTTCTCCAGATCAATGGGCGTCAGGTGCTTGCCGCGAGCCTGGCTAGCCGTGGAATCGTGGCGGCGCAAGTCCGGGCGCGAAGTGGACGAGGTTGAGCGGGAAGTTGTGGTGATGGCGCTGTCCATGGTTGAGTCGTCCGACCCCACGCTGGTTGACAGGTCGGGAACCTCGGCATTATTGGCTGCGAGCTGTCGCTCGAACGCCCACTGCGGCGACATCATGACGGGCGGACAGCAGAGCGTTTCACGGCCCCAGACTCTCCACGCCATGTTCTCGTAGCGTCGACCGTCTTCCATAGCAGGCGAGCATTTGGAGAATACTGTTTGGTGTGTTAGAGGCCGCGGTCCATTCGATATGGCCTGTGCCTTGGCCTATGCCTTCACTTACAAGACCAGAGGCCGAACAGATTCTCTGCGTTGCCTGTTTCGATGGTGTGCATGGAACCGTGCTCAACACGCACAATGGGGAGTTCTGAATGGAGAGGCATCGTGGACGGAGGGACTATATGGTTGGGTGCCGACGTAATGGAGGATATCCGTATGTGGACTTCCGGGTGCAACGGCGACGGCGACGGGGAGGGTACGATTGCGTCAGTGGGTTTGGCGGCGGCGAGACAGTGCGGATGCCGTCGTGATCAAAGGCGTGACGACTGCATGAAGGATACTGTATATGATGTGTGTGGTGAGGGCACGTTGGTATGGGGGGGATATCGCAGGTCGACTATGCAACCAGAATGGCCGAGGTGGGAGTGGATCTATGTATGAAAGCCAGTGTGGGAAGGTAGGCAAGGGTGTTCCGCCGACAAGGAAGGCGCGACCTGGCCGACGACAAGGAAGGAGCGATGGACACCCACACGCACTAAGCACCCCTGTCACCCTAAACAGGCTCTTCCGGAGACTCCCCGGCACTTTGCGTCCACGCTCTACCGCTCTTTCAGTCTTCTTGACAACCATGGCTCACACTGGCTCGCCATGCAGACCCGATCTAAATTCCTCGTACTGACATGCATTGCTTGTCACCCTCGTCTGCGTCTGTATCCTCCAGGCCGCAGCGCGGTTATCGATGCTCCCTCGTTCAGCTCTGACCGAAGCAAAGCTTCGGCACCCACGCGTGGCGTCTGGACTGCTCCCCACGAAGGCGTTTGCAGGGTTGTGTCTGCACGCAGGGCACATGATTCCGACCCGAACAGTGCTACGCAAGGTTCATCTTCTAGAAGCCCCGCCAAAAGAGGCTGACTCGCTGTTTTGCGAGGCGCTGCCCTCTGTGAACACGACTCTCCATTTCAATCACGGCGAGTCGCTGGGCGCAGCATTGCGGAGCTGACCAGCTGTTGCCGCTGGCTATTCGCTGTCTGTCTGACTGGTTGCGCTGGCCGACTGCTTCTGGTGGTCACGTCGCCCGCTTCCGCGTCACCTGAGCATCCCACCGTAAATAACCCTTTTCGATACAGTACTGTGCAGTCAGCGGTTTTGAAAACCAGTCCACGCCCATGTGACTGTTTGTGCACCGAGGGTGATCCCCTGGTCGCGGAACCTGGGCAGCCTTTCCGCGCGTTTCTTTTCTCCTTTGCTTCATACACTGTAATTGCCTCTAGCCTTGTTGTGCCTAGCCCCCCGGTACTTCTCGAGACTACGAGTCCCGAATCCGGCTGACCTTCACCCTCTGACATCAGAGCAGGACACAGCTCCCAAGGCTCCCCTGAGCAGCGTCATATCAGTCTTGGACAGTTTCAAATAGCCTCACTTCCATGCGACAGCCTGCCGCTCCCGTCTACGGGGATCACACTGGGGAAGACATCACGAGGTACTCGACTTTTTCCGCTGGCGGTCAAGAGCAGCCCGATGACATGCTGTTTTGGGAATACCCTCTCCGCTATTGTACTCTCAAGTGGAAGTTTCTCCGCCTACCAAACAGTCGTGATCCGCTCGATACTCTGACAGGACACTGGGCAACGCATGTAACCTCTGTGAACCATGCTTCTCCAGGATTTTCATTGCGCAGGACAACGCACGGGAAAGGTGCTACGAGGAAGCCTGACAGAGACCAGCTAGGGGGTGAACTCCGAATCTTATCCATCTCTGATACAATAATTCCCCAGCCGTTCAGCTCGGAAGTTGGGGTAGGGTAATGTACCCCGCTGAGGACGCGCACAGTGCTTCTATCGTCATACTCGAGCAACAGACGCGATATGTCGATCGACTACAAAGCAATCTCGAGAGGTCATCCGGATCGAATCAACGAGCCGCGCAAGAATCATGTGCGACTAATGCATTCCGCTATACGCAGCGTGATTACCTGTCTCATGCGTTGTGCAGCGATAATCATCTGTTTGCCAGGACATGCTGGATATTTCGCGAGCACCGAGAGCCTGTCTTTCTTCAAGCTCGAGTCCCAGCGATCATTACCAAGGCCCAGGTTCAGTCTTCGCTAGATACTGTTGCCCACGCACCGTGTTATTGTGCTCAATATGGTAGTCTTTGTTGTCCAGTCATCATCAGTTTACAAGCTGCTGACAGGATGCGCTGGTCGTGAATCGGCTCGTGACTTTACGTAGACTGCAGATCCTGCCTCTTATGTTCAACGGCAACAGAAGAAACGTGTGTCATGCATCCACCGTCCCAATTACGTTTGCCCTGAGAATGATCATGTTGCTTGGAACTGCCACGTCGCTTTCAACTCAATCAATCATTCTTCATGCTTATCGAAAATGGCTGCAGACGAATCTCATATGTAAGTCGATGGGACTTGGAATCTCTCACTAGGTGTGGATGAAGGTTGCATCCTTAGCCTGGGGTGTTGATCAGGTTCTCGTTTACGGCTGTTGAGCTGAACAAATCGTTGAGAAGACATCATTCTTAAGCAGAGGAGAATCGCATTTATATAACAGTAATAGCGCATTAACTTCCTAACTCTCACATCTGCTTGAGTACATCAATTTGCGATCAAAGAATCAAGATCAAAGCAAATTGGTACATCAATAATACGAACCTACAATTGTCTTTTCTTTTTCACGGACCATGACGCTGCGGCTTCGATGGCTTGCCTTGCGACACGAGAACGTGCACTCCCATCTCATCGCACCGAAGGATTTAGGTACATAGAACAACAGTCGTCGCATGGAATATGCAAGATCCGAACTCGATGCAAGCTCTGAGAGAATGGACCTTCCGTTCCCCGCAAGCTGTGCAACACAACCGAGCTGGGACACTCACGATGGTGGCGTGACAGTGCCGCAGATTCGGAGACTGTGGCTAAAGGCCCGACAGCCTGGATATGGCGTTGAGCGAATCCTCCTTGGGACCGGGACATGTTCCCGCTGCACGAATCGCGTGGCTGTCACCTCGTCAACCTTGGTCGAGCACCCATGCATAGCTGTTCGCGGCGGCAATTGTGTGTGTATACAAACAATGACGATGTACTTGATCCTTGATTTCTCACAACTGCGTCCAACCCCTTGGCGACAATCTTACCCATTGTGAATCTGTGCTTAGTTGGGTGGTGCGATACGATGTTTTGCTCGAGCTAAGTCATTGTTCAACTGAGAAAAGGTAGGCCCATCTCATAGCGCGCCAGTTCATTCACCTCGGTACGAATTACGGTCGCACATTGTTGTGGCGTTCGACTCGATCATTTCCGGGCACCGTTACGGCGCTCCGGAGTTGCCCTCCACCCTCGCGGCGTATCTTGGGCGGGCTTATCAATTGTAGCGCACGGGGGGGACTTGATGCTGGTCTCCGCATGGGCGAGTGACTGGCTGTACATTACAAGATTCCACAGCTCATCGGTTGTGGAGCCGCTTCCGCTGGTAAGTTGCTACCAACGGCTCGGTACCTCATTTCGTCGAGCATGGTCGCTAAGCGAACGAAAGCAACGTGTGAATTTCTGGAGCAGTGTTTGGTTCCCAGGCCCGGGATCTTAGACCTGGGGTTGTACATCGTAATTTGTTGCACCAGGAAGCCTTCAAAGTCAGTCAGCTATGCGCTCTCGAATGGACGAAGAAATATTTGGAAGAATTGTCGCTTACTGAGGCATCAGACGTTGTATCAGGTTGGGCACTAGCCTTCAATTCTGAGAAAAGGACGACGAGTCACACGCAACAATTTGAAATTTCGCCGCAATGTCGTGCTGTAACGCGGGACTCGAGATGGGCCAACTGCTAACTTCGAGACCTATCGCCCCTGTCCGACCAGAGTTCACATGGACACGCCCTTGCTTGGCAGGACCGCGTTGTGGTGTCGTTCCCCCCACGTGCTTATCGACAACCCGCATGTGGGGTTGTCCTCTCGCAGGGGAAACTCTGAATCTCGAACAACCTCTCGTCGCAACCCACCGAATGAATGTCATCGCAGCAGATAATTGTGGTCCTTTGATGTCTCTCCACCAGTGAGCGTAGCCCGCAAGGAAATACCGCGAGAAATATGTCGCGCCGTTGGGCTGCTGAGGTTTATCCGCCAACTAAGATACATGTTCGACCTTCTCCTTCGGGATCATCATGCACGATTTTCACGTCCTGGGGCCTGTTCGTGAAAATCTTTTCACGGCGAAGCTTGTCTCAGGACCCTCAATTGGATGATTTCTTCGTCTGGTAACCCTACCTTCTCAGGCCTCCAAGCAACTCTGAGCAGCTGGTGGAGTGTTCAACCCAACATGTTCTAGGATTGTTCCACTCGGAGCCTTCTTCCGACAATGACACTAGATATGAGGGTAGTATCGCATCCTTGAAACTTGACACGGTAATCTAACTTTGGGTCTGGCAGTTGGTAACACTGCGTGCTGATCTGTCAGCTGCGCGTCTCTTTCTGACTTTTGTCCTCCCGCCATACCGAACGAACACATCCCACCCCAGCATCTTCTAGGATGCTGTCGTTCTTGTAGTACATGCTACTCGTCTTGCTCAAAGACCCATGTTTAGAATTTCTTGCGGAATATCTGGGTAGGCTCTTTCTCTCGTGTCATTCACGCGAACATAGTCCTTTCGACTGTCCGCGTATGCAATCATTGCACGAGTAGCGGAGTCGCGGAATGATCATTGTTGATTGTTCCTTGAATCATAGCGACGTGCCACCATCAGGTTCGTGACCGTCTACGCCTTGACACAACGGAGCGTCACGGATTGGGAAGTAGCCGTTCACCCGTTGCATCACATTCTCGAGCCGCACCGAGCATTCGTAATCTTCTGTACCGTGTCACACGGCCCGAGATGCTCAGCAGCGTCGTGAATCATACCCGAGCGGAGGGTTCTTCGCGCGAATGTCGGCGAATTGGATAAATGCACGATGTAACGAGCCGCGTAGGATTCGGCAGCACTCTGCAAATCTCCAATCAACCCCGTTTTGGACGCGTTCGAGTCAACCCTACGAAGGATTTCAAGTTACGCTGTCGGTTCCAAGACTCCTGTGACATAGATTTTGGTGAAGAATGGGCATGGTCTACTGCGCCGTACGTCTGCGGGTTTTGCAAAACCTTATCTCTCGTTAAACCAACACCCAACTTTGACAATCTTATCTCAGGTAGCGCTTTTGCTCACCGACTCCATGATCAAGGAATAATCCGAAGTCGCCGTTCTCGGTTCTGCAACTATCCTGGACGGTCGCGTGGATGTCACCTTGGACCGGGTCTATCACATGCCAGACTATATCTGGCGAGATTAGAGATGGCGGAGATGCTTTTCCGGACGGAGCGACTATTCCTGTGAGATATCATATAACATCAGAATTATTGTAAATAACAGCCAACCGCGATGTCTAGGCACGGATCGCCCCGAGTCTTAGTGTCAGCTGAGCGTCTATGGTGCTAAGACCGCGGGTATCATATCTACCATGCGTTATACCTATGGGTAGATTTACATGTGCTTTTTTATGACTTCGCTGACCTAGATCTTACAGATTCACATGTATCGCATATGATTGTGAATCATTCGCACTCCTGCTTCGTTCATCCAATCCTCAAGGATTGTCAGATTTCGCCCTAGACACATGAGTAACCTCGATAGGCAACCACATCAGGGGCCTGCATGTTCCGTTACTCATGTCGTGAGACTGAGGTACTGCGCGTTATACATGTCCTACACTCCATCTATTCTAAGCCGCAAACTTGAAAACGACCCTATTCCTGAGCGTTCCCAGAGTTGAACAGACAATTATAGAAGAGGTTACGCATTGAAGAATGCTTCGCTCGGTCTTTCTCAAAGCAAGCTTGATATGCGTGGTTTGCGAGACACCGTGAACTCACAAGCTGAGGTAAGAACGGCACCACTTTTAGCACGACCATGTGTGGCTTCATGATTTGTTCTCTTGAGAACTAACTCATCGTTCTTTACTTCATGATTCCGGTCAACGTGTTGGTTCTACTTTTACAACCTCTATCTTGATTTCCGTCGATCCTCTACACCGCCCAAGTTTACTTCCTGAACAAGCAAGGGCAATATCTTGGTGCTCATACGGTGAGATCTCTCCTCCACGGGCCAACCACAAGTCTTTCACAGCATATAAGCTCATTCTCTCGTCGAGTCATTCTCCCTGTTTGAGTACAAAGGTTCTGCTCATTTCACCATGCGAGATTAGCCACAGGATAGAATCTGAAAACGGAGTCGAGCCGAGAATCATGACTACTGAAGTATCTGTGGACTATTTCCCTTAACATCCAGCAACCTTACCGTTCAAAACATGTTTACACTAGTCCTGAGAAACCAAGCACGTAAAATCTACCCGCAAACGTATATTGCCATCTTCTCGTCTTCCACATGCATCAATGCGCCGCAAATTTGACATCCTCAATATACCAGGCGCAGTCACGCGAGAACACTTGTTGACGCCTCACCAAGGGATAGCCCATGTCAAGAGCTGTAGTCACACGAATCACACGAATCACACCTAGAGAACAATAAAAGGAGATGTCGTGAGACATTCTATTGTTTTTTCATTCCGTCATGTATCTGGTATCCTTGGGCTTCCTTTGCGCCGCTAACGCGCCCTGCCCTGATTCCGTCAAACGATAGCGTTTACATCACGCTCCTGTGCCAGGCCATGTCGTCTAGAAATCATTCTCGTCGTTTCCAGCGATAATCACGTTGTTGACCTACAGATCCGTTAGCATTGCGCGCATGAAGTTCAGGTACGCAGACGAGATGCAAGATGGGCTATTGAGCCATTCTTGGCGATGGGACTCATAGGGACCACATATGAAATGGTGTATGTCGCGTATGACGCGAGTAAACACCCGTGCGCGTATAGTCCCGCACCCCCGCGTTTTTATCCTACAATCTGCGAGATCTCACGCGCAAGGGTTTTTTGGGGGTGGCACGGCAAAGGGATTTCGGAATGAGGAATTCGTTGGAAAGAGGAGTTGTGAAATATAAAACAGTATTGAAACTTACCTTGAGCACCATCCTGCAGAGCTGTGTCGCGAGAAGGAGCTGTTGCCTCTTTGAGATCAAGGGGTCGATCACGAAGGCTTTCTTCATATCTACGATAACGCCACGTTAGCACGACTGTGTACTAGATGAAACCACCAACGCGGGTTGTGATGTGATTGAAGCGGTGACAACTCATCATCTGGTGATTGCTCGAGGTTACGGTATTGCATGACGGGATGTGTGGATGATGCGTGGGGGTTGCGCTGTACATCCCACAGAGGCGTTGGAAGCGGAAGGTTACCATGCACCACGGGACCACGCATTACTGCAGGAGTACCACGACGCCCAATATGCGGGATATGCCCATTGGCGCCGAAGGCGTGCGGACGTGCATAACCGTGCAATGCAGGATTGGTTTGGAAATGAAAGCAACATGAACGAAAAGTGGAACTCACCATTGCTTCCTGTCTGCATGCAGTCAACACCTAGTCTCGTGTTCTTCTCCTTTGCTTGTCGGGACTTGATGTTGGCCAGAGTTTCAATGGGACTGAGACCCGAGTTCTCCGCCAGTGCCATGGGGACACAGTCTAGGGCATCGGCAAAGGCGCGCATCGCGTACTGCTCAAGACCAGGACTCTGTGGAAGGTCAGATATCACAGAAGTTGTCATCAAGTACCAAAGTGCTTACCTTAACGGCTGCATCCTCAACTGCCAATGAGCATGCAATCTCGGCAGCACCACCACCATAGACGATGCGGCTGTCTCGTACAAGGTTCCGGACGACGCAAAGAGCATCGTGCAATGATCGTTTCGCCTCATCAATGATCTGTATTATGTTAGCAACATGGACGTGGCTATGTTCTTGAGACATGGCGCTCGCTCAAAGGTGGGCCATATTTTGGCTTTACGTACCATCTTATTGCTACCTCGGACAAAGACGGTTACGGCTCTGGTGTTTGCGCACTCCTCAATGACCAACATCTTGTCCCTTGTCGTTCCAAAGGTGAGCTCGCGGACAATGCCTGCCTTGCCCAACTTCTCTGCGCTAAGGTCCTCGAAGCGCGGCACTATACGACCGTTTGTGGCAATTGCGATGAGTTCGATCTCTGGACCTCCGACCCACCGCACGGCGGGCAATTTGTTTGTAAGGAGGAGATGGTTGGCCTCGTCGTCGAAACCCCATTGACATATGACAACGTTTGCGCCTGTGTTCTTGATCTGATCAATCATCTCGGTGAACTTGTTGGACTCGTAATTTTGCAGCTTCTTGAACTCCTCGACTGAAGTGATGTCCAACTTGTGCTTGGTCTTGGGCTTAGGCGGCTCGAAAGCGCAAGTCAAAATGGCAAGTTTGGCATCCTTGACTTCAGACGGCATCTGGGGATGAGAGAAGTCTTTGTCTATTATGACGCCCTTGACCAGTAATGTGTCTTCCAGCGCACCACCGACCTTGCCATCGACCTTGATGAGCTCGAAATCGACGTCTTTGCGATCCAGGTCTGCCACCGATAGCACGGCGTCGACGGCAATCTTGGCGAACTGGTCGTGTGCTTTAGACACAATCTTGCTGCCCAGACTAGTTTTGGCGACCTTGAACAGCTCCTCAATGTTGTCTTTGGAGAAGTGGATCTCGTCGCTGATCTCGTCCAGCCTCGCCACAGCAACCTCACAGGCCTGGTCGTATCCGTCCGCTATCCTGATGGGATGGATGCCCTTGTCGATCAGGTCCGCTGCCTGTTCGAGCAACGCACCGGCCAGAACCACCACACCTGTTGTACCGTCGCCGATCTCATCATCTTGAGACTTTGATAGCTCGACTAGAAGCTTCGCGACGTGGTTGGATATTTCCATTTGAGAGAGAATGGTGGCGCCGTCGTTCGTTACGGTGATGTCGCCATCCGGTGAGATGAGGATCTTGTCCAGCCCCCGTGGTCCCTACAAGTCCATAAGCGCTTGCTTTCCTGCTCGAAATATGCATGCATACCAGAGAAGTCTTGACGATGTTCGCAACCGTCTTGGCGGCCAGGATATGTGACTTGACAGCGTCGTTGCCATGCTGCCTCTTCTTCTTGCCCTGACTGCCCCGTGTGTCAGCCTTGTCTCCTTGGTTCAGCTTCTCGGGCTGTTCCGCAGCGGTCCACATACTCTCTGACAATGATGAACGGCCTGCCCGCCTCGTCCTTCATCACCTGCGCTGTATCCCCTCCTGTTAGTGTCTGTCGTGCAGATTCGCGGGGTAGTCTCGTTTCGCAGAGGGCTCGGAAGCATACCGTTCGACATGTCCAGTTCTACAGGCGCATATAATCAGCATTCGAGTCTCGTGTATGGGTTGACGTCCGTGAATTGCAACGTATTGGAGCTGTTGCATGCTGCAGACTTACGCATCGCCATGGTGAGAGGTGTTCCGCTCCGCAAATGTGACGAGTAGAATCCGAATCCCAGGAAGGGGCTCAACACAACAGCCGGTATTGCCGTGTGTATTCGTGTGTATGGGCGGTGAGGGGTGGTGGGGTAGGCGAGGAGACAGTCGCATCCGCATTCTTCAAACTTTCAAGCTGAGTTCCCCAGAATTCGGCGCTAGTATAGCACGCTAAGCTCTTCTGACGCGCTCGCCGGCCTCACCAAACTTGACCACCACCACGGCCACTGCCCTCCCACTCGCTCAACGTCGTGTCGCGTGCAATTGAGCTTTCCTCGCCCACCCGTAGCTCCAGCGAGCTCCATTAATACCCAACTTCTCCATTTTCCACCCATAGCGACAGCATTGCGAACATGCCTCGTAAGCCATACAAATGTCGCGTCTCGTTCACTCTTCCTAACGCGTAAGCAGCCGCTCTCAGCGACGTCGAGTCCTCCGGCGACGAACAGGTCCCTGCTCAGAAGAAGACGAAACAAGCAAAGGCCCAGCCCGACCCTGTCGAAGAGGAAGAAGAGGACGAAGAAGAGGACGATGGCTCAGTCGCAGAAGACGAGTGCGCACGCCCATTGTCTGCATTTGGATCGCATCGTGCTGACAATGCGACAGATATGTTGTGGAAGAAATCTTGAAGCATCGATTCACAAAAGTGAGATCACCTCCTTAGACGCGACGCGCCACGCGCCATGAACTAACCATGTCAGGATGGCGAGCTCGAGCTCGACGTGAAGTGGGTAGGTTATGACGACCCCAAGGACCGCACATGGGAACCTGAGTCAAATTTGTATGTTGCTCGCGAGATACACTTCGAAAGCTGGTGCTAAAAGCAAGCAGGAGTGGTGCCATCGACATCCTCGAAGCCTACTTTACAAAGATAAAGGGCAGACCAGAGCCCAAGGCCGGTGGCGCAAAGCGCAAGGGACGACCATCTGCCGTCAAATCTGAGCCGGCGGAAACGCCTACAGCCAGTGCTAAGCGCGCGAAGAAGGAATGGAGCCCACCACCAGGCTCATGGGAGCACGACGTCAGCCACATCGACACTGTCGAAGAGAGCTTCGACAATAAAGCCGGAACGATGGGGAGGTTTGCCTATCTGGTTTGGAACAACCAACGCAAGACCTACCACCCGCTCAAGCATGTATACCAGAAGTGCCCTCAGAAGGTATGTTGCTCTCCATGGCGCATTGTTGTCTATTTGCGCCTTGCAAGCGGATGTCTGACGCGCCACAGATGCTTCTCTATTACGAGAGCCACCTTGTCTTCACACAAAATGACGGTATGGACGGCAAAGACGACTCGTCGATGAAGGATATCTGATCACATCCGACGTGATCAAAAAGCCCATACCACTATAACTGTTATGGGAGTACAATCGTCATGCTGAAAGCTCGACAAATAAACTCCCCAGCGTTGCCATATATGTCCTTTTTTCATACGGGCAAGTGTGCCTTGTCCCAGCATGACATGTAGGATACTCTACACGTTATGCGTGCCTTGAATAGCATTGAGGGCATTTATAAATAGCTGGTAGCTATGGAGTTGGATTCCGGACTTTTTGCAAGGGCTGGTCTTGTACTTTACTAGGACATTTTCCATACGTCCCACCTGTATCATCACTGGTTTTGCGCATCGCGATGTCGAGCGAGAGATGGGAAATGACCGAACGATCATCGAAAGAGGGGAGGTTTTGCTGTACTTCTATAGGGCGGAAATGCGACTTTTGAAAGCACGTGGGAGATCGAGAAATTGAGATGATTATGCTGGATAATCTGAAGAAATGACGTCTCAAAGCGGCAGCGCATTGTGGCGAACTCACATGTCGGAGGGAATCGCATGACTGGACGGAGCCAGGTGTTGTTAAACGCTGTTTAGTATTTAGACGAGAGATGGCTAATCCCCCCGTTTTGAGGCAGAGTAAACGCGCCAAGACCTACCACGTGATTTCGTGTCATCAATCACCAACTATCAAACTAACATATCCAATACTTCCTATCTAAGATACATACAATCTATCGTCATCTATCTAGATCACATCCGCTCCCCAATGCCGCCTTTCCCACCAAACATCCTGTTTCGCGTTTCAAATTTCAAATCCAACCTCGTCCGCCCCCAGCCCGCCCCAGCCTCCACCAACCACCCCCGCACGCACCCGCTATGTTTCTACAAAAGTACCACATTCCGAGTTGCTTGTTTCTGGCTTCACACCGCACACCACACTCAATAGCTCCACAACTCTATTCTTATTCTCCATCCATCTACACCGCTCAACAAATTTCTTGAAAGTCGAACTTGAACTTGAGCTTGGACCTGCTTCGTTGTCAAGGACTAGGTTGTTCGCTGTTAGGGTTACTACGACTACGCTGTTGATTGGTATTTGAAGAAGAACTAAAGCAAGGTATGTACAAGCCATGCTCCTACCGTCTACTATATATTATCATCGACTAACTCCTGCCAGTTTTCTCAACAACTCACAACTCGACTTCACGACGCGCACCGCTTCTCCACCACTCTCCACCGCTCTTCTCAACAAACTCACCACCACCACAAACCGAGCACCCCTCACACTACCGCAATCATGCAGCGCAACATCGTCATCTTCCTCATCATCCTCATCCTCTTCATCGTTATCGGTCTGATCGGATACCTCATCTACCACCTGCAAACGCGCATGGCCGTCGGCGGCACATCGTCAGCATCGACATCAGACATGACAGAAGTGTAAAGCACTTTTGCGACTCCACACCGAGTGGTTATTCGTTATATTTCGCCTCGCGCGTACTTTTTTGCCCTGCGCAAAATCCGGAGAAGAAGATATTTTTTGACGATATACAACGCATGATGGCTGAGACTAGATGCGATGGTTGGGATGGGACTATATATGGGATAACATGCATTGCAACGGCGTTTGGGATGTGAGTGGCGTTTAGGAAGTCTTGAAAAGAATTATTGTTATACGATGTATGCGCTGAAGAATTGGAGAGCTTGGATACGCCTCTGGATGGATGGATGGATACCCGCAATGTTGCGCTCTTGTTGATAGTTTGAGTGGACGGTTAATGCCTGGCCATTGGTGCCTAAATGAAAGAACATATGAATATCCTGTCGGTGGTCTGTTTTTTGTGAGGTCAGAGTTCTACCTGATAGTTGCGCAAGATGAAAAGTGGTGTAATGCGCTTGAGCAACAAGACAAGGAAACGAACCTGCCTGTATCTAAGAACAATGGAGAAGGTAATACAGCTGGAAAGCCAGGTCCGGATCAGCAAACATTCAAGGAGTGATCATCATTCATACCAAAACCCAAACTCCTCTACACAACTGTATACTTGCTACTTTCCAACATGCGCAAAAGATCCCGAGCAAGAACAACGCAGGCAAAACCTAAGAACCAATCCCCCAACTTGCACCATCACACCAAACACCTAAACCCTCAAATCCTTTCCCCACATCCGTCCTTCGCTCACCATCCCTCATCACTCTCGTCCTCATCCTCGTCCTCGCCCAACCCCCTATCACACGTCTTCCAAAACGCAGTCGGACCCGCCGGCCCATGCGGATCAAAGTCCTTGTCGAACCACGTCCCTATAACACCACGCTTAGATCGTACGCCGCCAACTTGAATGCCTTCACTGCGCCAGCGCTCTTCACCGCTAGAGAAAAGTCAGTAACACCCAGTCCATATTTAAAAAGTTGAGAAGGGATGAGTACTTACCCGTAAAAGACGGATATGGTCTGCCAGCGCACGTCACCGGAAGGGGTGAGACGTACGGAGCCTTATGGACGTTAGTGAGCGTAGATGAGACGAGTGAGGGGGGCGGCTGACCTCGGATTTTCGAGTTGGCACTCGGATCCCAGGCTGCATCTACGGCTCGCGATTTCCCGTTGAAGTGCACGACGGGTAAGGTTGGGTTATCGAATTCACCGGCTGGTTCGATAGATGTGACTTGGAGGTCCATCAGGATATGTCGGATCGCTTCTTCGGTGTTGAGGGGCTCTCGCGGTTCATCGGAAGGGACTTTCATGGCTTGGGAGCTAAAGTTGAACTGGTAAAGATCTGTTAAAGTCTCAGCATGATATTGTAGTGTGAGGGGGCAAGAAGCCTACCGTTGTAGTCCATGAAGCACACAATCTGTGACAGCTTCAGCATCATGCCAAGACGTACTCATGAACGGGTTACTTACACGTGACCAGAGACCAGAGACATTATACGGATCTCTGAGCTGCAACGGGACGTCGAGTTCCCTCGTTAGCGCATTCGACACCCCATCCGCTTGTCGTGGCACCACACCCTCTAACGGCTCGGACCACGGCGGGCGAAAGTTCTGTAGAAACCTCCTACAGCAGAGTCCTGAGTTATAGGCCAAAACAATCATAAGGCTCTCCACCATCTCCCAGTCCGTCCGCATACTCCCGTCATCCCGGAAAGGACCCCATTGCGTCTTATCCGTGTAAGTCCGCAAATCATACACTCTTGACCGAGCGTAGGAGTGCGTAGAAAGAACCCTTCGCCCAATGGTGCTCGAAGGAATGCCGAAGAGACAGAGTAGTTTGGCGCTTAGTTGCCGGCTCTCTTCGTCGTCTGCTGCCTTCTGGTATTCTGTTCCTGCGCGCGAGTACAGCGAGGATCGACACATGAATGCATCGTGGTTCTGGGATATAGAGAAAGACTGGGATACTAGGTTCTGATTTTGAGAGTGGTTGAATTGGTCTGTTGATGCGGTGGCGATTAGGCTTTCCACTGTCGATGCAACAAAGCCGAATTCATCTCGCTTTTTGGTAGTGTCAGTAGACGGCTTTCTTTGTTAACCTTACACTCATACCTTCAGGAAATTGTCGGCTGATTGTAGTATCCTGCGGCATTTGACGATCTTTTGGAGCTCTGGTACCCATTCTGGCTCCGGATCGCGTGGCTTGCGGCGAGGGTCATCCTGACCCGCTGTCAGAACAGCATGAGTCTAATGTTATAGCATACATACCAAGATTCTTAGATAATGTGCCTTGTATAAGCGTTTGTTCTTCTTGATGAATTCGTTGAAGCCTCGGGATGTTAGTGCACATGCTGCGAGGTCTTCTGGATTGATCTCCTCCAGGATCCGGATCAAGACATCATAGCATAAGTCAAGGAGTTCCGTCATTGCAGTTATTTGATCCCTGAGTGAGATCCGTACAAAGTAATGGTCCGAGGCTCGATGTTAATGTCGATGTCGTGATGTATCTCGGCACATGCAATGCAGTGGGGTTCCGGAGATAAGAAACCCGATAGGGCTGGATGCTGCTGAGGTGAACGAAGGCCGAGGAGCGGTTCTTCCGTTCTCGTAATCTTCTTCTAACCTTTCCTAGTTTTCGGGACTATGTATGTTACTTGTATTGTACACAAAACTCTCGAAATCAGATTGTATACTTTTTGATAAAGAGTGCATAACTGAATCATGATTGCCACCATTTTAGTAATCAAAATACCGAAACCTTCCAACTTGAGAACAAAACACTTGCATTTGACCTGATTCGCGACTAAAAGGAACTGAAACAAAGACAAGGCCTACGTATGCAACCTTCAAACGCCCCCTAGTAAGGTACTGTGCACTCGGGGTATCTATATAAACACACAACAAGATGAAGTCCTAGAAATCGGCTTGAAGTAGCAACCTATGGTTCGCCACACTCCAAATTACAACGAGTGAGGAAAAGGAGAAAACCCTGACGGACAGGCTTTTAACACGCCAACATAAGACTATTGGGATTTCGTCAGATCCAGAGGACTTGACTTCCGGAATTTCTGGCATTGAGTTCAAACTCCCAACTCTCCAAAGTCTGTGCAACTGGCAACATATTATCTTCGTTCCATGGGAGCCTCAGTGACGGATCGAGGTGAGTTGTCTGCGAAAACTGCTCAGGTTGAGAGCCATTGACTAGGTTTCGGTATGGCAAGCGCTCGGCGACGTTAGGTGGAACGGTGTTTCTGACTGCAAGTGCCCAACTCTCAGGCATCTGGGTAGCCTGACCGAAATTTTGCCACGTCTCAACTACTTGCGACACTATATCCACAATCTCATTAAAGGCTTGAAGAGCATGTCTTGCCTGTAGGAGACTTTGAGCAAGATCATACATCATGGCGACAGCATCTCGAAAGCCTTCTGTATAGGCTTGCAACTGTGCTTGTAGGTTCAAAGACGGCGCAGTGAGATCGCGAACGAGAAGCGTGCAGAGAACTAACAGAGCACTAGAGAGGCAAGTTGACATATAGTGTCGGAAGGGGGAGGGGCCTTTTGCTTCGGCGGCATAAACGCGAATGTGAGCGATAGTATCGAGAGCAACATCTCCACAGAGACGACCCATGGCGGCGTCGTACTGCAGCGACGTCATAATTCGTCGGTGTAAAAGAAGTCGAAGATTATTAAAACTGGTGTGAATAAAGGTTGCCTGTTGCACGTGACCGAATTTTGGTGCATGTTGGGGGAGGACATCGCGAAGATAACTCTCAATCTGAGCGTCAACTTGTGTCGTATCCTTGCGATTGAGCTCAGTTTTCAAGGCCTGTGGACTGAACACGAGGTCCCAGACTGAGTCAGCTAGGCGCGACCAGTGCACTGCACAGTTGACAAACTCATTGAGAGGACGCAGTAATTCAGAATTGGGCATGGGTCTCTTGTGATAGATCTCCTACAGCACTGTCAGACCGATCTTGTTGGTGACAACAAGATGCAATGAAAGTGTTGAAAATACTCACTCGATCGTATAAGTCGCCTGGTCGATCCTCAACATCAATCTCTGACTCGGGCATTGATTCAGGACGGCCGCATGACACTGCAATACGATGATCAGTGACGAATATAATCCAGAATATGCGAAGGCGCATGTAGTCTTGGAAGACGTTTGCGTCTGGGGGTGATGGCTGGCGATGCAGGCCAAACTGGAAGACAAGTCTGCTAGCAAGGCCGATACTATTGTAAGCAAGATCGGCCTTGTTTGCGAGAGTGAAGTAAAGAGTCTGCAACGGTCAGTGGGGCAGTAAAAGTGTACGCAACATGTGAGCCCACCTGAAAGAGCAGAAATTGTAGCAAACTCAAGTCGCCCCGCCCAGCTAGAGAGCGCTTCCCAGCCAGCTCATCAGCAATCTGAAACCACTGCCAACCAGGAACGCTGTTGCTGTTGGTAGTGGCAGGTGGTGCAACATGCAGTAGGATATCGCAGCAAGCAAAGATAATGTAGTGTAGGGCAAGAAAGCATGAGTCGGTGTGTTGGAGGTCGGAACTTGCTAGCATGTGCTCACTGCGTATGCGGAATTGTGCCTCGTCTATGCATGGATGGAACGGATGGAAGTCGGCAAAAAAGACTTGAAGATAGTTGTGGTAGTCTTGCGAAGGCGGGAAGGTCAGAGCGCGGCTGCCCATGCAGATGGTGGAGGGAGTGGCAGCAGATATCGACCGGCGCATCATGTCCGACGGCATGAGAGCAAGGCTTGACTGCAGGCCCATGGACGCGAGGGCGGGATGGATGGGGTCGAGGGCTGGCATGGAAAAGGCTGCATCGCTGCCATTCTCTTCTCTTTCAATACCACCACCAGGCGTCATGCTCATGCCTCGCTCGTGTATGAGGGCTTCCATCATCGTCTCAATGCGGGCCATGCGCGCCTCCATGGACATTGTGAGCACGCTGGCATCGCTGGCCCTGCGCTCGCTACTCTCATGACGCGGCAGTAAACTCCTCCTCGCAGAGCCATTGCCATTGAGGAGAGCTGCCGGCGAGGGCTGGACGGGAACTGGCCGACTGAGGTTTTGCAGAGCTTCGGCTGCCGTCTGGTCTTCCGAGTAGAAGCAGCGCCTCCCATTGTCGGTGCATCGCTGGCACGGATTCTCGCCCGAGCACTGTCTTGTCAGCCATGCCAGGAAAGGGATGCTGGAAGGAACACACCTTGAGCTTCGATCGCCTGCACGCAACACCTGCTTCGCTGTCAGTCACGCTCTCCAAATCGTCGTGGTCTGGCAGTTCGGAAACGGTCGGAATGGATCCCCAAACAAACTCATTCTTGAGACGGCATAATTTCCCAGCTTGTCGCGAATATCGTCGACGCAACTTACAGGCACGAGATGCATACTTCTGGCGAATCTTCTTGCGCTTCGGCGACGACGACGTATCGTCGTCAGCCCGGCTTAATGACGACGCCTGATCGTTCATCGCGACGAGATGGGTGGTTGGAAGGGATGTTGGGGATCGGAACAGTTGCCCCGGCCATGCGCTAGTCAGTCGCGCTTGCCCGACTGTCCGCCTTGCGTTTCACAGCGTCACGTCTCGTCTCGTCTCACCTCACCACAACACGCATCTGTTCAGTCCACACGTGATAAAATTACTCGTACACAGCTCCCTCACTTCCCTATGAGCCCACCAACATATTCCGCTACAGCCAACATCTTCTCCTCCTGCAATTTCCTCCCCACAATCTGTACGCTGACATGTGCTCCGTCATAAATCTCCGGATCATCTGTTCCTGTTAGCACGTTCAATAAATCTTCCCTTGTCCAGACTTACAATCGTCTTGTACCCCCTTGTCTGCTTCGTCAATCGGCGTGTACCCCTCTTCCTTCACATCAACACTTTTATCGACATTGGTAACAGGTACAACTACACTCGTGTAATCCAGCGCATTAACCCACGTCGAATACCCATAGTACTTGTACTTTCCTTCTCTAGCAGCAGGCCACGGTGCAAGAGGACAAATGACTGCATCAACAGGTCTCCCCGTGCCCGTCGCGTCAACAGTGCTGTTCCAAAAGTCCATATATTCCTTCTTCAATCGCCTTAGCTCGACATTTGTCGCTGCAATCTCGCTGCCCGTAGCTTCCTTGAGATCCGAAGAGTAAAACGATACTTGGTCCGCCATTGGCTCCCCAGATAGAGCGAAGGCACTGCATACGTCTTTGCCGCCGTCGAAGACCCAGGACTTGAAGCCAGTGTCGAGAATGGGCTTGTGAGACGGACTGTTCCAGGGAATCACCGTGTGGCCAGCTGAACGAAGAGCTTCGGCTACAAGATTGGTTGCACGGCGGACTGGGGGCGTGGGATTGACGATCCCGTCGGTTGCGATGAGTCCAAAACAGAGCTTTTCGTCGGATGTTGTGAGACGGAGCATCTCTTCGTGTTGGTCCTCGCGCCAGGGCACTTCATGCACCAGCGGATCATGAAGCCATGGCTTTTGCAATAGCAGGGCTTTAGTGGCCAGACGGAGAGACGCGGCGCTTTTCGCGAGTGGGCCTACGACGGAGAGGATGCTGTTTTGTCCATCCATGGAGTTTGCCATGCCTTCATAGGGGAGACGACCTGTCGAGGGGCGCAGACCATACAGTCCATTGAACGCAGCTGGGATTCGGATTGAGCCTCCGATATCAGTGCCAAAGCCGAGAGGTGCTGTGACGTGTTAGTGAACAACAACCTCTCACACATCCAAGAAAGAGGGAACATACAACCACGGATACCAATCAACGCGCCCTCGCCCCCTGAGCTCCCTCCACTGGTCAAGTGCCTGTTCTTAGGATTTAAAGTATACCCAATAATGTTGTTTACCGTCTCGCCTGTCATCAGTGTGTGCGGTACGCTCGTCTTGCAGTACAGCACCGCACCCGCATTTCTCAACTCCCTCACCATCTCACTTTCAAACACCTTTTCCTTCCCAGTACCCTTTTTTCCTTCAAACGTCCCGATCCAGCCCACATATCCCATCGACGTCTCCACACCTTTAACATGGAACTGGTCTTTGAGAGAAACAGGCACGCCGTGAAGGGGTCCAATCGGAGATTTGTGCTGAGCATAATGCGCATCAAGTCTTTTAGCATCCTCGATGGCAGCGTCGAAGAAGATCTCATGCAAACAATGCAACTGCACCCTTCAGTTTCAATATTACATCAAACATCATCTCAGGAAATACAACGTACCAGCTGATGCGCCAAACTTGCCCGATGACAAAAGGCCCTCGTAACCTTCTCCGCACTCCACTGCCCCGTTGTTGTCTTCACCGCGATCTGGTCTGCACTGCTCTCGGTAACCTCAAGCTCTTCTTGGGATAGGAATTGCTTGATGTATTCTGTGACATCGACTTGTTCCTCTACTGATGGAGGATGTGGGATGCGCCATTCTGATGGGATGGCGGCGAGTATAGCTTCGCGTTTCTGGGTAGCCAGGGATTGCCAGGATGCCGTCATGATGTGTGATGAAACTGAGGTGAGTACGAGGTGGTTAAGAGGTGTTTTGTGTGAATTGGTAGACGGATGATCTAATGCTTACACGGACCTTTGAACTTGACTTATGAGAATGCTGTCATAAAGCGATAGTGACGTGAATATGCGGGGCAATGCGGGGCGAGTGAGAGCGGAGATAAGTACGGCGATAGGTCAGTCTTATCGAGACTTTGATTGAAGAAGCCTTTGCATCTGGTGACAAAACAATCCGAGGATCGGCAAAGCTAGACATGATGTTTGGATTGATTCATCTGCTCCATTTTCCATGATCAAAACCAAGTCGCTCCATAGACAAACATGTTGAAAAGACATATGGAAACAGATGGTAACGCATACCCTCTTGAACTAGCTAGGTAGGTATCAATATGCCCAAAGCTTGAACCCAAAACCAAAAGATTGCAAAACGAAAAAAGGCTCCAGACGCCGTGCTACGTTCGTGATGAACGCTGTGGAGAGAGGATAGTTTTAGACGACGAACCGGAAGTGGCTGATGAAGCGTGTGTAGCAGTCTATAAAATATCTCGTGGTATCATTGTGTTCAAGGTCTCAGATCATCTCGACGTAGTTACTATGCACCATTAGCCATTGCGTTGTTGGGAATCGAGGGGTCGAAGCGTACCTTGGAAAGATGCCCTCCCTGTCGCCTACCCTACCTGTCCACCAATCCGTCTCGTTGTCTGTCTTCTTCAAAACTGTGATAATGTCTCCCTTCTTGAAACCCAGATCACCAGGCTGGTCAGGCTCAAAGGTGAATTTTGCAATTGCCTGGTCCGCTGCCAAGCTTGCTTTCTTCTGGCCGAAGACTGGCTTCGGGGCTGTGGGTCGTCCCGGCTTTGCGCGGTCGCTGTATGAGTAATCGTCCCCAAACGTCGACGCACGATCCCGTGCGGCGGTGCGATGGTCCAAGGATTCAAACGTTTCGTTCGGGTTTGCGCGGGTGGAGAAGGAGCGGTCGAGGCCCCCTCCGGTGTTGGGCTGGCGGTCGTACACGTCGTCTGCCCAGGTCGAGGAGCGCTGGGGACGGTCGCGGAACTGGTAGTCGTCGTCTGCGTGGCTCGTGGAGCCTCCTGTGCGGTCGCGTCGTACGCCCTCGCCGAGTGCGGGGCCTTGACGGCCCTGCCATACGACGTTGTCATGCGATTCGTCGTATACGGGGATGTCGTTGTACATTTGGTCGTTCTGGACGTTGGCGCCGGCAACGCCGGAGAAGACGCGCGAGTTGAGGATGCGGATGAGGGGTTCGGCGGCTGGTGGCGGGGGGACCTGGCCGCTGAGGAGCTCGCGCGCGGTCCAGCGGCGGCCGTACAGCTTCTCGTTTGCGTCTCGGCGCTCGATGATGCCGCTGCCCTCCAGACTGACGCCGGCAAACAGGCCCTTGGTCTTGCTGTAGCTGAAGATGCCCGCCACGCTCTTCAGACTTGCAGCTCCGGCGGCTTCCGCGTTGCGCCCGACGGGGCCCGCAGCAATCGACACATTGCCGCCCAGCGTGAGCGATCCTGCCTGCGCAAACGTCTTGACGGCCGAGGCGTCGTTGAGAATGAAGACGAAGTCGGTCAGTTCGAAGCCGATCTGGCCGCCGAAGCCGCCGCCAATGGTGCCAATGGCCGAGGGCGCCGACCACGAGCCGTCGGAGAGGCGGGCAACGACGATGCCGGACCCGAAGCGCGCGGTGCCGAGGAAGCCGGCCTTGAAGACGGTGAGGATGGCGAGGCCCTTTGCGTTGGCCAGCACCTGCGGCGGAATGATCTTGTCGGGCCCAAACGACTGTCGCGGGTCGACAAACGAGGCTAGGATCTTGCCCGTCTTTCTGCATTCGCCTGCGGGGCCGGCCTGTCAGCGACGTCACACCTGATGACGCAGAGAGCACACTTACTCCTCATCGACGAGGGCAGCGGGTTGTTGAGGTTGAAATTGATCGGCATCGTGGGCGCTGCTCGGGGGTGAGAGGATGGGAGTGGTGTGGTGCGCGGGAGAAAGTAACATGCATACACAAATGCCGTCGGCGGGGAGCTAAGATGCAGCTCCCATGACAAAGGTGGCTGTACGCGCCCAGGCTCGGGACGCGTCAACTCTCCGCAGCACATGGGCAGCTCCGAGCCATCGTCATAGGCACGCCACGCATTGTCACGAGACCTGTGGCTTCACTGCTGCTTGCTTCGAGGAGCTTCACGATGCTACTCGCGCCACGCATCAACCACCGCTGCCCGTCCCCTCCACTCACCCAACCGACCTGAACATGGAGGTGGACGTCATGTGATGTTCCCCACCAATCAACCCCAACAGCTCTGCTTACCATCTTCTCTACGTCAAGGAACATGGCTGACACCACTTCTCCCCGCGGGACAAAACGCGCCCGCCATGCTTGCCTGAACTGCCGTCGCAAGAAGACAAGATGCTCTGGCGAGCGTCCCATCTGCGCCTTCTGTTCTCGCATGCAGCAGGAATGTGTCTACGATGCCGGAACTAGCATCCATCCTCTTACAGTGCGTGAAGCCGTGTTTGCTGCATTCTCACTCTAGAGTGTACAACAGTCCTGACACTGCGTTGACTAGGGTCAGCCGTACGACGTGAACCTTGCTGCTCGTGTAGCATGGCTTGAATCCAAACTGGGAGCAATTGATTGGAACAGCTCAGAGTGAGACCACACATCTCCACCAAAACCTCATTCAAAGCCCTACCCATTCTCATGAAGCTAACCACTTACATGTTCTCAAACAATAGTAACTTGCCACCAGTATTGTCGGATCGACCATCGCCTGACGGGGCGAGTATAGAAGGGCGCCAACATGACTTTGACATGACTGCGTGAGTTTGCTTTGATCCGTGCTGTCATAACTCATGTCTACCCAATCGCTGACAAAAGACATGGCAGCGACTTTTCGTGCATACCTGACATGAACATACTCCAATCAGCCACAGACGTCTACTTTCGCCTTTGTCACAATCATCCTTACTCCTACTTCACAGAGTCTGACTTTCGCGAAAAGCTCCAAGAACGATGCTTCCCGTCTTATCTCCTGCTATCGTTCATGGCCGTTGTAGCCAGGTACTCTGACGATCCTTTCTTCAAAGGCCAAAACGCTTTGGCGGCAGAGCGCTTTGCCCGCACAGCATGGTCCCAAATCTCCGACTACATTTTCTCCAGTGATGGTGAAGCAGATATCCAGACAGTCCAGGCCACCAGCATGTTAGCCATAAACGATTTCCTTTGTAAGCTGTCTGGCTGACTCTTCTCCTTCGACGTAACTAACGTCGCATAGTTGGTCGACACCGGGCTGCTTCAGTCAAGACGGGACTTTGTGTGCGTTTAGCCCAGACTCTTCGACTCGGCGAGCAATCCGAGTATGATACGTGGTCTGAAGCAAGGAGACAAGAAAGTCGAATGACTTTCTGGTCTGTCTATCTCCTTGACAAACTGGTATCCTGTGGCCGGGATCGTCCGCCTACTATACTGGACGCGGACTGCACTGTTACGCTTCCTACGCTCCAGAAGTACTCCAAAGCTACTCAAACGACTCTCTCAGCACTCATCCAGCCATCTGAGAGCAGTCAGGTGCCCCAGCTTGATGATTTTGCGCTTGTAGTCTTCATGGCTTCTGTGTTGGGGCGAACAGTTAGGTTCAGCCTCCAGAGAGTATCAAATCCTTCCTATCCACCATGGGATTCTCGGAGCGAATTCGCAAGCATCTACGGTACTCTTTTGAGCTTCGAGGCCTTTTCCAATTCCCGTCCCCATGCGTTCGATGCTGATATTCCGTTTGGCTATTCATCGGCCAACAAGCCCGAGTTTGCCCAATCCAGCCACTTCATCTTTGCGCATGTTCTATATCACTACAATCAGTGCATCTTACACCACCCTTTCCTACTCAAGTTCCGGCTGAAATCTTCACATACGCGAGTACCACCTACCTTTCTCAGGGAGGCCATTCGCCGGAATAAGGAGCATGCAGATCGGCTTATCTCAATTCTCACATTTGTACAATGCGAACATCTCCCAATCTCCACCTTTTACGGATTTTGTGCCGTCATCTCCGGGGTCATACAGAGACTTCATAGTGCAACAACTACACAGAGTTGTTTGAGCCGAAAAGACGAGCTGTTTCAGTCATGTCTAGATTTCCTTGACCATGCGCCGCACCAATATGTACACTGCAAAAGGATGGTAAGAATTAGTCCGAACATCTCAGCTTCAATATTTTCTCTACTACATACTTCTAACTACAATCCCAGTCAACCGTGCTTCGTACATTGCAGCCTAATTCTGCGTACGCTGACGCCCTCATGTCTCCACTCCTATTCCCAGAACACCTCCACACACAAGACGACAACATAGATGAGCTTCTGTGGAATACTTTCGACTATGGCTGGCTTTGTGACCCCAACCGACCGCTTGAATTCGAACATCAAGTGCCGAAAACAAGTTCGAACTCCAATTACGGAGAAGTGCAACTACCAGAGTCAAGTGTGGGGTTTGACTATGAAGATTGGGATTGTTTGTTGCACATTGGGGCAGGCGGATCATTGCCAGCAGGTTCTACAGCTGCACTTGCAAACCATCTTTGATGACTCGAATGATGACATGATGAGAAACGCCTAGTCAGTATGGACACGGCTGCACTGTCCGTCACGGATCTCGTTTGGGACGGTGAACAGTCTATCAAAAGCTGGGTTGCCAGTGGAAACGATATCTACTACTACCGACGGAGATATTGGTGTGAGAATAACAGCATGAATTTAGTTGTAAAATTGGTCACAAACAAATTACCTTCTTCTGACTTTAGTTGTTCATGGTCTTCCTTCTCCTTACGCCTATCAAACTTCCAAGAGACTATTGTGATGCATGCAAGATCAATGCATACACAACATATCACTCTTCAAATCTTATTCGAATCGTCCGACACGAAGCAAACCGGTGCAATCTGCCTGCGCGGAAATCAACATGTCGATCAACTGAACTCGCACCACCCTTTGCAGGTAAGAAGGTAACAGAATCTGGCATTGACATGCTGAGCGCGTCTCGAGTCTTTCTGACGTGTAAGGACAGAGGAATGGTGCAATTGAGAAAGCGAATACAACACCAACATGTCACCCAGCATACCGGAGTGGAGTAGGTAACCGCTCGAACCAAGTCACACCACATATTTTAACAATCATTTCCAGCAAGACCTCCGCATATCATCTGCGGTATACAACCAAAGCGGAACAAGCATTACATGCAATTTCCAAACCTCAGTGTTGTCATCGTGGGAGCAAAAAGCGTAAATTCCGAGCCAATCCCGAAATGAACATTAATGCCCATCCATTCCCAATTCTGAAGCCCTGTCTTAACTACCCATATAATAAAGAATTCGGCTACACTCGACGTGTCATGGTATGTGTACACCGCTGGTTTCTGATCGTTTGGGGACGACACGCGACCCGTCGACGAGTGTTTGACTAGGTAGGATGGAGCGGCATGTCGAGGTCGATCTGGAAAGTGGTTGACGATCGTCATTTCAGGGCGACCGGATGCAGGTTGGAGGATGCAGATATCGCGGGTCATGACATGTATCGTGAGAATGGAGCGAGGGGGGTCAAGTGGTTGAATTGAGATGAGACACGGTATTAGTGAATGACATGATGCGGGGCAAAGTTTTTGTAATATCACAAGCATTGTTGCTTGGGAACTATCCTATCCTATCCTCACCGCGAATTAACTAATACATGCTGGTCCTTGGCTCTCGCCCTTCAAACTCTCGCACATCTCCAAATATCTCTTCCACTAAAAAGGGGGGTATAAAAACAAGGGGGGTATCACCAAACTCTAGCTCCATCAGAGAGAAAATAACGACGGCAATCATGTGCAAACATGCTTCCGGAGGGGATGTCCCAGGCAGATGTTTTCCATGGTGCCCTCCAACGCGCAGCGTCCCGTTGCGCGGTGTTCAGAAAAGACAAGGGGGGTATTCGACGTAAAAAAAAGTAAAACATTGGAGAATAATAAGATTATGACTCCCAGTGACTCAACAAAAGCTCTTCATAAAGGAAAGTAGATTATAGTTCCAGAAAGTAGATTTTCTTCGGTATCCCCACACACTTCGTCAATCGTGTCAAACAATAGAAGACAATGAGGATTACAAAAAGATAGTACTCGGAACTAAACGTGGGAGTAGAAAAGAGTTTTGAAGCGCAAAGGCTAGTTCAAAAGAGTGAATGTGAAAGTATATGGCAAAACATAGTAAAAAATAAAGATTAAATCGAACAAGGGCGAGCGGGGTATAGCAAGGCAAACGTGAATGGAAAGAATCCTCGTGAAGACGTGAGTGAGCACAAGTGCAGCCCTAGGCCGTGCGCTTCATGGTAAATGGGCGGTGTTGAATCAAAGACGGGCATCAGTCGATGATGCAAGAAGCTCCGGCTTCGGGGGAGGCAACTCAGAGCGCATCTCACAGGGCGAGGTAGCCGACGCCAGCAACGAGGGCTGCGACGAGAGCGTTGGCGTTGAGGGCCGATGCGGCGCCAGTGAACTGGGCTGGGCTGGGGTTGGACAGGGTGCCGCTGGGGGAGACGACGGTGCCATTGTGGCCGGCAGAGTAGGCGGGGGGAGAGTACGAGGGGACGGCGTACGGGGCGACAGACGTGGCGACAGACGTGGCGTGGATGGTCGAGGTTTGGTTGGCGACACTGCCGGTGGGCGAGGCGCCGGACGCAGTGACGACGTTGAGGTGGTAGATGGTGGACGTCATGTAGACGGTTGTCTCATAGGACCCAGCGCTCTGAGCCGAGGCGCACACGAGCAGCGCGAAGAGGGCGACGATGATCTGTTGGAAAGAGTGCATCTTGATGGTGGTGTTGTGTGTTGGTGAAGAAGCGGGATTGGATGTCTGATCAGGTGATTGTCCGGATTGCGATTGAGATGTGAGGTTCAAGACGCGTCTCGAGTGTTGTTTCGTGTTGATAAAAGAGTGTATGAGTTGGTATGCGACAGCAGTGTTGATATGTTATTGACCGAGTGAATGAATGAAGAAATGAGTGTATATCGGCTAACAGAGAATGATGCTTGAAAACGAGGCGAGGATAGAGTCTTATAAAAGAGTGACTGCGTCAGGAAGGACGTGCTTGAGTTGTTTGGAGGGGAATGGTGGCTAAACGGGGGTGCCCTGGGGGCGTTTCCTATCTTATGGCACGCAACCTCGTAATTTCCCGCGACCTTGGTGCAATTTCGGGACTTGACCACACTAACGCTGGTTCGCACCTGCCCAGCCTCTGTCCTGTGCGACACGAATAATGCGGGCACACGACGCGTCTGTGCACCACCTACTGCAGGGTGAAGAGTGGTCACGTTCAATGTCACGTCAATCTGTGGGACAGTCCAGGAATGCGTCTACCAAAACAACGTGTTCAACCACATCCTCTGGCTCTGCAATTGTGTCTGGGTACACTCGACACTCGTGCGAACTCGTTGCACCACAACAGCCAGCGCGTCGTCAATGAAACACGCGGCGAATCGCTATGCGCCTGGCCATCGGCGTGGTCTCCGGTAAGGCGCAACAGCCAACACCCCTCCCACGGTCGTGTGCATCGTGGGATTTTGATTGTTTTGTAAGACGGCTACGTGACTGTATGAGTCTCAAGCGGCATGGACTAGACTTTGCATAGAAGCTGCGCTGGCTGCTTGTGTGATGTTGGCGCAATAACATCTCGCCAAACATACTCCCTTGATTCCCTCCTTCTCTTCTGGTGGTGACAGACAGAGATCGCACGAATGGGTCACTCAGAAATGATGCAATTAGACTATGCCATTGGCTACTCGAGTCAAGTCTTTCTACTAAGCACACGCTATCATTATTGCACTATTGCTGCCACCGCAAGGCCAATGTTGGTCTTCATTTGTTGCAGCCGCCCGCACTGACCAATGCGTCTGGCAACAACCGCGGCTCCTCAGTCCAATCCAAGCCATCCCATCACCAGACCCCTAAATCGTACAAATCAATCATGCTCGCGAGCAAATGAGCAGCCTTGCGTGCTCGTACTATCTCGGCCAACTCTCTACCCAGACCTGAAAACACTCGCGTCCCAGGACAAAGGTCATAACGCCTGTGGTGCGCCATGTCAGTCACCTGAAGCACGTTTGACACGCGCCAAATTAAGGTAACCCGTCGGCCTTGTTCTTTTTCATCCAGGGCGAATTCAACCCACGACGCAAGCCTTGCACTCGTCCACTCTAGATGGACAAGGAAATGAACGCACGTACCTCGTGCCCGTGATCTTTCCTGTTTGCAGCGCGCGAAACACCACGTGTCGCCGTTGCTTCCCATCTCTGTTTCATCGCCTCCAACAGGGCTCTCAGTCCGCCTCGGCCGCCTCCGCACTCTCCCACATTCGGCGGCAGATCTCCTCGGCCTCTGTCGGAGGCCTGGCGTGTTCCTCGTCGAGGCTCTCCCTGTCAGGGTCCTCGTCGTCGCGACTAGTGCGGCCACCCGCGTCGAAGCTAAGTCGCGACCTTCGCGAGCTTGCGCCATCGGTTTCGCCATGGCCTCCAGCGTCGGTGAGGCTCGTGCTCAGGCTGGTGGTGCTGGCGGAGCCGTTCAGGCTGACTGACTTGGAGACACGCGTGTTCATCTTCTGCTTCACGCCGGGAATCTGCTGGATGCGCCAGATGGAGTCTGCGAGCGGGTTGCGGTAGCGTCGCACGACTCTGTACTCGACGGCGACGTGGTTGAACTGCTGCTGCAGGCGGGGGTCTACGCGTCCCTGGCCGTTTGCGTGGTAGTGCATGCCCGAGGGAAAGAAGGCCGAGCCGCCAGCACGCGCCATGACGGCGGGGACCAGCTTCTGGGGCTCAATGGCCGACGATGCGCGCTGGAGCAGTAGTTTCTGCTGGGTCCTGTTCAGCGTCGGGGTGGTGGTGCCCGAGCGTTGGACGTTGGACGTCGACTTGTTGCGTTTGCTCTCGTCGAGGTCGCCCTGGTCGGGTGTGGGGTCGTCGCGCGGCGGCATGTACTCGCCGTTGGCGGGGGTCCCCGCCGAGCCGTGGCCGTCCATGAAGCGCGACACCAGGTCCTTGCCCGGCGTGTCGACCAGCGTCGATGCCGCGCTGTGGGCTGGCAGGACGGAGCGGGGGGTTTCGCGGTCTGCAGCGGTCTTGTGCACGGTCAGGTTGGAGGTCGAGGTGGAGCTGCGCTGCAGCAGGCGCGAGGTGAGCATGTCGGCGTCGGGCGGGCGCGAGTGGTGGTGCGAGGTGCCCCCGTTGGCCTGCGTGTTGTTGCGCGTGCGGTCGGCCAGGGCGTTGGCGGCCTGGGCGTTGGCGGTGCTGGTGGTGCTGGCGGTGGGGGGCGTCTCGTCTGCGGCCTCTGCCTGGGCTACGCGGTCGCGCTGCTGCTCGAGGATGAGCGAGTTGGAGCGCGTGTTGGAGCGCGTCGTCGTGGGCGACTGCGAGGCGCTCTCCTCGGTCCAGCCGTCGTTGTCGGCGTGGTCGCTGTCCGGGTCCATGTCGACGGCGGGGTGGGCGTCGGGCGACGAGGGGCGCGAGCGGTTGGGCGTGGCCAGGGCGCGGCGGGCGGCGGCAATGTCGTTCTTGGAGACGCGGGCGGGCTGCTTGGCCTGACCCTGGCGCGCGAGGTGGCCGCTCGAGTGGTTCTTGCGCAGGTTGGCGTGGGCGTGGGCCTGCGAGGCGCGCACAATGGTATTCGTCGAGGCATTGCGCTTGAAGCCGGGGCGCGGGCTGCTGGGGGCCGAGACTGAGTTGCCCGACTGCGAGCGGCGGTGGTGTCGCGCCGTGTCGTCGGCGGCGGGCGGCGGCGGCTGGGCGGCTTTGGCCAGCTTGTTCAGGTGCTTGCCTGTCGAGGGGTTGCGCTGCACGCGCGAGCCGACGACGTGGTGGCGGGTGGCCTTGTGCTGGGGCCGCTGATGCGACTCGGACGGCGACTGCGACACCTGCGACTGCGACGAGTGCTGGCGGGACATGGCCGCCGGCCGCTTGGGCCGCGATTGGCCTTCGTCGCCGGAGGAGCCCATGCTGCTGCTGCTGCTGTTGCTGGGCGTGTGGGCTGCGCGCGTCGAGTGCGTCCGTCAGCTGCGAGCGGTGGGTGAGAGGGCGGATCAAGGGCCTGTGATTTGGTCGTGCACAGCCGGCGGAGGGAGTCTCTGAGCTGGCAGCGACATCAGCACGCGGCCATGGACGTCAATTGGGCCAAGGGGAGCGGTGTCTGGTTGCACGGCGTCGGCCACGTTCTGTCTTCCAACGCACAAGCCCAGACGTGCCGTCGCCAGAAAGCCCAAAGCAGCGAGCCACTGGCGGCGGGCGGCCCGTGCGCCTCTCCTTCGGTTCACCGCGCGCCGTTTGCAGACAAGCCCCAACGTCACAGTCCGGCCATTGGTCTCGTCTCTGTAAGATGCTGATTACGTGCTAATGCCTATGTCCTACTACCTACTCTTACACTCTAATTCCACATATCTCTACATCTGCCCCATAAACATGTCCCTCTCCTAGCTATGCTCGCCGTCCCATCTCAATGCCCATGTTCGTAATCGTCGTAAGCCTTGTCGACTGTCGTTCCGCTCCGTCTTTCTCAACACTCCTACACCTCTCTCTCCCGTGTGCATGTCGTAAAGTGAGCCCGCGCGAATTTCTTAAGCTTCCTCCGCACCCCGTGTCGGTGCGCGGCTTGCTGCTGGCTGATCTGCCGCTGCGCTGGGTTCATGCCATCGACGCACCCAAATGATGACGTGCTGAGCATCGACGCAGCGTGGGACCGGTACGAAGGCGGAGGCGGTCCTGAACTGTACGTGGGGGCATCTGAAAGGTCACACATCGAGTCTTCACCACTGGCGTGCGCCCCTGCTGTCGAGGGCCGCGTGCTGTTTCCACTCCTTGCAGCATGTCCAAGCACTGCGTTGATACGGCGCTCTGTGTTAGACTCTGTTTGCCCAAATCTCGCGCTTGCCCGACTTCCATGACGGACAGGCAGATGCTCGAGCGAGTTCTGACCAGCAGACAGCAGCTCTCGCATCTCCGTTGAGGCTTTGGATGTTGGTCGTCGTGCTGGAGGGCGAGACGATCTGGACCGCGTCAAGACCATGGGAGGGGCGGCCTGCTGTGTCTCCGTATAGGCGATGGCCAAGAGCGGCATCGAGCTTGATCGCCGCTTCATCTGCTTTCGAACGGCAGTGTGCTGAGATAGACTGCGTAAGAGCGAGGGCATTCGGACTTGCATCATCTTGGCGCCATGGCACAACGACTTCATCTGCTGGCTGGGCGATGTCGACAACTTCTCCGCATCTGGCTTGCGCACAATAGGGACAGCATATTGAAAGTCTACCGACTCTCCAGGACACACGGCTGTTCCCGCTCTCCAGTAAGGTAGCCCGCTCATGAGCGGTGGAGAAGGCATGCTCGTGCTAGTGTCCAGCCATGCATTGATGTCTCGCATGACGTCCGCGTCTGGTCTCGGCGGGCGAGGTGGAGGCTGACCTCGGAAGCAGGTCGATATGCGCTCAACATGGATTGAACTGGACGGCACTGTTGGTGCTGTGCTCGGGTTTGGTGCTGTTTGTGGGCGCTTGAGCGACATTCTCCTTCTCAACCACCCGTCTCCCTCACTGCTCTCAGCCTGCCGCACTGCTGGCCTCCGAAAAGCTCGCTGTAGCCACCTCCTTGCCCCTTCGTTCTTGTTGCGCGTTGGGGGAAAACTGTATTTGGTATGCATTGCTGTCATGTTGCCTCTGTCCGAAGAAGTTGTTTACGGGAAAAAGGTACGCTGAGTGATGTCCGAGGATAAGCGTGTTGATGAAGGCCCAGATGTCAGGATAGCGAGTGTCGTCAGCCCAGCCGGTGTTGTTATTGATGGCGGCAGGCAAACAGGCGCAGCGGCGTGCGGGAAGTGAAAGAAGGAAGTTGGGTGAAGGGAAAGGTCACTGCCGTCATGGGCTGCACATCTGACAGTCACCGCGAAATGGGAAGTTACGCCTAACACCTCCCACGTCACCTTCATTTTCTAGAAAAATGTTTGAAGCTCACCACATTCTCAACCCAGCTCTGATCCTTCTCGGTCAAAACATGAGATGGAATCTGACTCGATGAGCGAGTATGAGTATGGAACAGGACTGGATAAGAATGACCGAAAAGCAATGCACAATCGAACTCAAGAGATGTAATAGAAACATAGGCCCTCTTTGCTTGCCCATTGCAAACTCCGACAAGTTTAGGAGGATTAAAACATGTGATAACATCCTCTCCAAGACCGACGTCTAAGTTCGGCGCACACAAGCTCTCAAGCCCAACTAACAGCGTCAGCTCAATTCGACTCCTCATGAACACCAACTAGGCGTGGTACATCGAAGCTGTCACTTCTGTTTTGGGCCTATATCAAGTGCAGCCGCTCTTGCAGGTTTGCATATCACAAACTCGCAAGTCCAATCTGAAGACCTTGATTATTTCAACTCACTATACGCTACACCTGACAACTCTCCCAAGCATTGTGCAGTAAACCAGCAACGGTCCACAGAACCAAAAACACACTTCCCGAACACCAAGGCGGTGGCTACATCACCGTCACAAGCCAGCAATCGCGACATGCACTGGACGCCGTCGATGCACCTGCCCCTAAAGAAGTCAGACACTCCTCTGACCAATTCGGTGTTATTCTGATTCTGATCTGGCCAGATATTGATCAAGAACCTTTCCATGTCCGTCTCGAACAAAGAGCTACTGTCGCATGCGAAGCGATCGTGTGAGAGAACAGTATTTACAAGAAGCCAAACTGTTGGGTGAAGCCAGGGACGTCTCAAAGGACCTTATGGCGCTAGTACGAGCGTACAGGCGAGTATGTCATGCGAGACTGGCGTTGCAACTTAGAGAAGGTCATCCTTCGCGCCCAGAGCCTTGACTAGTTCCGCGACAATCTAAGTCGTTACCAGCGAGAGCGATGGAAGAAGGCGAAATGGCTGATGAGGATGAAGTATGCACAGGATAGGACTCGCGGGCCTCAACGGCTATGGGAAGACCACACTTGTTTCTATGGTTGTGGGTAGTGATGAAGAGGGAGGGGTGAGACCTACCTCTGGCACGATCGCGCGACATGCTCGAGCAAGAATTGGTCAGTTTTCATAACAGTCGGTCGAAGAGATTGCTGCCATGGCATCTTCTGATCCTCAGTTGACGGCGCTTGGCCATGTTATGTACGTTAGTGAAGAGATGCAAGACAAGGACGCGCGCCAGATAGTGGAAAGTCTAGGACACCAAGGGCAGACTGTTCCTGATGTGCCACTGGGGTTGCTGTCTGGGGGCCAGAAGGTCAGGGTGGCGCTGGCGAAGCTGTTCTGGCCACCGCCGCAGCTGCTTATTTTGGATGAGGTTACGATAGGTTCTTCATGAGGTTTGTTTGGCTGGCTACTTGCGACTCGTCCCGTCCCGAGCTAACGACGCGGTAGAAGTGTAGTCAAAAGGGAGTCCCCGTATAGGCTAGCGCCAGGGATGGGCGGGGGTGAAGACGAGGCTGAAGAGGCAAGCGATTCAGACGACCAGGCAGGGGCAGGTCCTGGGGCTGTTTACCGGCTGAGCAGAAGGCAGCTGAGGAAGCTCGAGGGCGGCATGACGCAGTACGAGGAGACGGCGGCCAGGAGTGCAGCCAGGTTGGGCACGGCAAGGCGGTCGACGTGATTGATAGCAGCCAGTGAACTGGGCGTTGTGACGAGGGGGAAGGGGGAAGCGGTGCTGGTCCCGGCGCACGTGCAAGGGCGCGGCACCTGCATGGAGCTCCATCGACAAACCTCGTCTCTAGGGGCATCGTGGTGCGCCAAGTATCGAACACATTCCCCAGCACGTCGCTCTTTATGCGTGCAGTCTCTCATTCTTTTTATTTCATATCATGGTATTCACTTTCTCGTCTGGACTTGCAGGAGCGGCTTTGCGGTAGGAGGTGGCATGCACGAACCGAGGGACCCCTGGACACGATAATTCACACCCGAACGCAACTGGCACCATGGGCGAAGCCGACACGGCCACGACGCCCTGTCCCCGCTCGACGGTCGAGGCAGCCCCGCTCAAGGCCGCCAAGGACAAGAGCTGCCCGTTCTGCGGCCAGGCCTTCACCTCGAGCTCGCTGGGCCGCCATCTCGACCTCTACCTGCGGCCCAAGAACCCCAAGGCGCCCGACGGCATACACATTGTGGACGAGATCCGCAAGATCCGGGGCGGCATCACGCGGCGGCAGGCCAAGGGCAGCGTGTCGCTGCCCAAGAAGGAAGACGGCGGGGAGCGCACACCCGCGGGCCCCCGGCCGAGTGAGGCGTCGTCGACGGCGGCACCGAGCCCCGGCGACGAGGGCGAGGCAGAGGGAGAGGGCGGCGATGAGGGCGGCGACGAGGGGCAGCTGGACGTGGGCCGCACGCGGGGCCAGTTCCGCAACGTGAGCTGGGGCGCGCAGTCGTCGCGGGCGGTGGCGGCCAGGACGCCCGAGGTGCGGCGGCAGGCGGCACGGCACACGCAACGGCGGGCAGAGCTGGAGCAGCGGCACAAGGCGAGCGTCGACGGCGACACGGCGCGGGCGACGGAGATGGCGCTGCGCGAGCTGCTCAAGAGCGTGCGCGAGGCCAACGCCAAGGCCTGCGGCGCCGGCCTGTTCGACTTCGACCCCTACGCGCTCAACTTCCCCGCGCTGTGCCTGCACATGCTGCACGCGCCCTCGACGCTCTTCTCGCCCACGCCCTTCCCCACGGCCGAGTCGTGGTCCATCAGCCCGCCCGGCCAGGCCCAGTTCGACGCCCTCAACCGCCAGGTCCGCGAGCGCCTGCTGGCCCACCAGCGCCAGCGCCACGTCAACCGCGCATACCCCGCCGGCGACGGCTCGGGCGCCTCGTCGGCCGCCACGTCGCCGCTGCCCTCGCCGCCGCTGCTCGAGCCCGATCCGCAGAAGCTCTTCTGCCACATGGCCGACGCCTACAACCACTGGACCCGCCAGACGGAGCACACGCGCCACGAGTGCTGGCAGCTCGAGATCCTGCGCGCCTACGCCCGCGCCCACGACCGCCGCCGCGACACGCAGGCCCAGCTCGAGAGCGCCCGCCGCGAGATCGACTTCCTCAAGGCCAACCGCTGGACCGCCGGCGGGCCCGACCTCTCGCCCGTCAGCATCAACCTGGGCTCCGACGTGGCCAAGGAGCTGGGCAAGCACGGCATGGACTACCGCAACTGGGACTACGACCGCCTCGTCGACAAGTGGAAGACGGCCATCCGCGAGAGCAAGGCGGCCACGTCGGGTATGGCCGTGCAGAAGCCCCTGCCCAGCGGCCCCACCAGCACCCGCAGCGGCTCCATGACCAGCTTGCCTGCCCAGTCGTTCGCTGCCACCACCCAGCAGGACCGCCCGCCGAGTCCCGTCAAGGCGGAGAGCGCACTTCCCTTTCCTGCGCCGCCAGCCACAGGCCGCGAGCCAGAAGGCGACCAGCTGGACGCAGAAGGCGACGATGACGACGACGACGACTCGATCAACTGCCAGCAGCGTCAGATTCAGCACCAGCACCAACACCAACCCCTCTCTCATTTCCACGGCATGCCCCTGCAGCCAACGCCCATACACCCCTCACAGCAACTCCAGCACATGCAAGCACAGATCCACGTCTCGCAGGCCCAGGCCCACGCACAGGTACAAGCCCATGCACACGCCCAAGCACACGCGTGGGCAGCAGCACGGCAACACATGAACCAGTCGCGCGCCCAGGACTTCAGGCCTCACCAGCACCAGCAGCTGTCGCCACACCCACAGCACATCTCCCCACATCCCCAACACATGTCGCCACATCCGCAGCACATGGGTTCGGCCAACACCAGCCGCAGACCCTCGCTCGCCATGATGGATCCACACGCCATGGACCCCAACGCCGTGGCCGCCCTCAACGGCGCCATGGTCATGTCGACTGGGATGGAGGGCATCGAGACACACCAAGACCAGTTCCTAAGAATGGACATGGGACTCGCAGCGGGGTTTGTCGGGTCGAATGAAGGCGGCATGCACGGGGATGTCAAATTTTCATCTTGAGTCTGTCACACACGACGTAAGACTTGCATCGCCACACGGCCAAGTGGCCATCTTTCTTTTCTTTTTGTTTCGTTTGTTATACCCTCGTCATCTGTTTCGTTGCTTGCATATCACACCATCTTGTGTCGAAGATACCCAAACTCGCATACTCCGAAAAGCATCTCATCTACTTTGCGTGCAGCGGAGCCGTACACACTAATTTTTATTTCTTGTGTCACCTAATCTGGGGAACTGGGGTTCAAGGCTTGGCTTCTCTAGAACCGGTGGAAATTTTGTTAGAACGGGGTGGCTGTCTCCTTATGTTCATCCTCATTTGTACTGCATATTAATTTCCTTTGTATATACCATCATCATCATCATCATCACCACCATCACCACAGCCGGGCGAAGGGAAAACTTGTTAGGTACCAAGTCCTGCATGATTCTCGTAGTAGCTACATAATTACCATCATATTGCATCATCTTCATCCTGCGCTGTGAATATCAATGCCGATGATTATACCAAGCAGGTATCTACACAATCAGGCACATGCATGAGCAGAATCAGCATAGCGGAAACCAACAAAATGCCTGCTTTGGACGGTCTAGTCGTGCTGAAGTCGTCGTCATGCGGCAAGCTTGCCTGTTTTGGGACATGTTTCATCATTTGCCCTGCACATGCGAACACGTGCGTCTTGATACTGCAGGGTCGCCGACGGCGTCTGTTTTCAACAAAGACTCGACGCATCGTAGACTGTAGGTTGGGCGTCTGAGCGCTGGACAAGGACCCCGTGATTAGCATCCCGCACCGCGACTCACGCCCGTGCAGTGTCATCTCATTTGCCTCTGGACTCGGCACAGTGACCACTCACACAGCTTGACGAAGCTTAACAACGGGGCCCGGTGGCAGCGTCGGCGCCGCGAGAGGTTATGCGTCCGCCAAGGACAATCTCGCCTGGTGTGGCCATGATTTCTACCCTGTGCTTGGCTACTGGGCTGACGGGTAATAAAATGTGCCGAGCCCCCAGGCTGGCGCTGACGGTTCAGTCCCCCTTTCGTCGCACACGTCGTCGCCGCCGTGTTCTGTCGCTCCTTTGCTTTTGAGCACCGCCCGGCACCCTACCACGCCACGATGATGCTGCCGTCGACTGGGGCGCGCAGCCCGCTGTTCGGCCTCGCCATCAGCGCGTGCTTTGTCCTGATCTTCCTTTTCGGCTTCATGGCCTGGCAGAGTCCGCCGAGCATGGCCTTTTCCCACGAGTCCACCCATGTGGAGATGTACGTCCCCCAACCCGCCTCGTCGCACACGGGATGGAAGCTGAACCCCGACTGACTAGCGACCCGCACAGGACCTACACCGACGGCCAGACGCCCCTCACCATCAACGCCATCATCCAGTTCCTCTACGCGCCCCTGAAGGCGTCGCCGACTGAGCCTTTTATCCGCGAACCCAACGGCACCAAGATCGAGCTGCCGCGAAACCCCCGTTACACCAAGAAGTTGGGGAGCGACATCTTGATCCTGGACCTGGAGACGAGGCCGCTGGCGTCGACGCAGGAGTACGTCCAGAATGGCACCTACGAATGGCGCAACATCGGTCACGTGCCTGCAGGCGTCTTCAACCACTACGCGTATGCCCAGGTCCACGGCTATGACTACAAGTTCGTGCACGCCAAAGACTTTGAAGACCGACACGCTACATGGATCAAGCCCTCGGCGCTGGCCAACCTCATCAACGACTACAAGTTTATCGTGTTCCTCGACGCCGACGCTACTTTCCGCTTCATGCACCTGCCCATTGAGTGGATGCTGAACTACTGGAAGATCGAGCCTCACCACTCCATCACAATGGCAAAGGACCCCTGGGACCCCAAATCGCCCCAGTACAACTCTGATCGCTTCAACCGCACCTACACCAACACCGGCTTTATGATTGTGCAGAACAACAAGCAGACTATGCCGATTCTCAAGGCGTGGCATGAATGCCCAGAAGACGTACGATATCCCAACTGCTCCGAATGGAAGCAGCCTAAATTCCACGAGCAATCTGCTTTTGGCGAGTTTATTCGCTACGACTACGAGAAGAGCATTATGGAGCTTGAATGCGGCCAGGCCAACGGATTCCCCGGGGTTGAGATTAGCAATTGCCAGGGCAAATTCATCCGCCATTACTGGTTCGAAAAGGATTTGGTCAAGATGGATTTCCGCGACAACATGATGAACGCGATCACGCTTCCTATACAACAAATCTTCGCAAACACCACAGGCGGCGGCGTCGTTGTTGAGCAAGAGGAAAACGTCATACGCACATAATCTGCTTCGCATCAAGATTGTAATGCCTGGATAGGAGCATGATAATGTCAAAAGAGAAGTTCCTTATCGCGTAGCATAGCGTTGCATTATCACGGCGCATTGGGTTTTAAATTGGTCTGGAGAGAGGTTGGATTCCGGCTTTTGGGACCTACTTCGACTTGGGTTTCTGGACGCGTTGATACCCCAATATGAGTCTTCAAACTTCATCAAATCATACGCTAATGTTTCGACGATTTCGTCTTCGTATCACGAGAGTGCTTTCATGCGATGCAGGAGTTCTAGGCGAGCTGGGCACAGCATTTTAGGTGTCACCCGTCCCGATACAATGCCGAACGATCCGACTTACCTTCCTCATACGGTTCAACAGTGGCATCCCATCAAGCGACAACACACTGCCGTTCTCCAGTATGCTGTCACAGCGCCAATTCAGGCTTATCGTCGATCTTATCAAGCGTTCAGCCCCAATTGCGCCAAGCCACTACCCCAGGCTGAATGCCGGCGATCCATGGATCTGCGCAATATACTAGCCACTCTCCACACGCTGCTCATCTAGGTTCATTAGCTCGCGTGGTTGGGACCAATATCTTTACGCCAACTTGGCCAAGTCGGTGTGAAGCAGTCACCGCCTAGCGCTACCTAGCCCCGGAAGTGTTGTTCGGCCTCTTCGAGATTGGGAAAGACAGATGCGTAGTTAGTGGTAGCGAGCGGCCCGAATGAGGATTCTGGTCAGGCTTGAGATTGTTGCAAGCCATGTTATGCTACAGAAGATGTGTTGGAGAAACGCAACAAGCACAGCGCTTGTTTGGCACAATTTAGAAGGTATCTCAAATCTAAAACGCAATAATGAAGCAGCATTTGTCACATGAGTAAAATCTCTTTCTGAAACTGTGAATCGCAATCACGTCGTTTTCTTGACAATTCAAGACTTGGAGTATATGTCTCATGGGCTTTTCTATCGTAGCTGTGCGCCGTAACCCTGATTTCAACTTCTGCCTTTATCACTCTCTCTTCATCCTCACAAGCCGCCTTATCTGCTGACCGTCATGCATGGCGGTCTCAATACGGATATCGCTACGACCCTTCGGTCGTCACAAATCTGGTCATTCTTTATATCAGCCCATTAACGTCTCGTTTGTTACTACATGGAATTTACTCTTCCCGTCCCTGCTGCATCGTCACATGCAATTGCAAATTCCTTATCACCACGCTGGACGACTTGTATAGGACGATTGACTGTAATATTTGATACAGGGTTTCATTCAGACTCATTGTAACTGCCAGGTAGAATGGTTCTGTGCCCAGTGTTCTTCAGAGTGACTATCACACTTTTTGCGCTCTACTGTCAGGACAGCCTGCCACTCCAAACTCATTACAAAATGAACTTGATGAGCAGCGCCGCCAGTCTCTCCGGCTGCTCGAGAGCAAGGCTGTGTCCACATTCATCGAAGACCTCAGAGATGGCCACTTCAACCGCAGCGCTCTTCATCTGCTCCTCCACAAGTGACCCGAAGAATCTGCATTTCATTAGCAACAGCGAAACCCAGGCGTGCATCTCGAACAACTAGGACGTAATACTTACTCTGGCGCTCCCACTGTCATGACTTTACACGCCAGTTTCTCATCCGATAATATCACAGCCTCAACATCAAGATTCACCCAATGGGACCTGTACGACTCCAAAATCCCCCTCAGCCCACCGGGAGCTTTAGAGCATCTGACCCATTCGTTCACTGCTCGTTGGTCAAGAGCACTCGGATTGTAACACTCGGCCTTCATGAAATGGGTCCAAAACTCCTCCTCCTTACCCTGAATCAACATCTCGGGCACATGCGGCAACCAAAAGAAGGGTATATGCCAGTTCCAAACTCCTTCCTGATTATACTGTGCAGAGATGTTCTCGCGCGTGAAAAACGATTGCTTGGTGAGTTGGTCCGAGAGAACCATCTCGCAAAAGCTCAGGTGCGTGACGCGATCTCGATATAAACCCGCGAGGCAAAACGCGTAGGTTGCGCCTCGATCCTCGCCATGGACGGAAAAAAGCTTGTAGCCGAGCTGGTCCATGAGTTCAATCATATCCTTCGCATTCGTTCGGCCATCGTAACCTTCGCTTGCAGGTGGCTTGTCGGTTGCGCCAAACCCGCGAAGATCCGGAGCGATGACACTGAAGTGCGATGTGAGATGGGGTAGTATAAGGTACCAGTAGTAATGATTTTTCGGCGTTCCATGGAGGAGTAACAAAGGAGGCCCTGATCCGGCGGTGATGTAGTGCAGGCGGATGCCATTGACGCGCGCCATGTGGTGTTGCACCGGCTTGCCATCGTGATCGTTCATTTCCGGCATTTTGGTAGCAAGGTTGAGAACTCAGGCTTTCTTGTGGACTTACCGATTCAAGAGGGGGACAATGGTAGATGAGTGGACTAGCACTACCCCTCATCGTTGCGCTCAAGACTCGACGTCATCGTTCCTGACTTATAAGGCTCGTTGAGCGCTACGAGAGTACATGGTTAATTGCTAGTGAACGGGTAGTCATTCGAGTGTACGAATTAGCTCAAAATTGGGGGTTGTGGTGAAGAGAACCAGAGCAAAAGGTTTATGCGCATGAAGGATAGGTGATGCATGTGAAACCTTACATACGCTACCTATACATCGTTCTACATATCGACCGTCGATAATTGCATGCCTAAAAACAATATGGAGTTTGTCGGGAGTTCATGGCTTTTTTTTTGCTCGTCAATAGCATTTGGCGCTAAGCAATTGCGCAATCGCGATATAGTCACATTCGTTATTCCATCTTGCCTCCTTCCACCTCAACATCTTCTAACACATTGCGAAAAGAAGAAACACGAACACATCTTGAGCAAAATCCGGAACCCAATGTCATTTGATTGTTATACATCCAGTCATCAACAAATTCACAGCGACGACGCGCCGAGGCTTTTCACACGTGAATCCACCTCCCCATCCAGGTCTCGACGATTTGCTTTGCCTCATCCACTAGTCCCATGTCCAACAACAATTGAGTTGTACCACGTACCGCTGAGTCGAGTGCGGAGAATATCCAGGCGTGTGTGTAGCTCGTGTGTTCGCCCATAAAGATGGTGTTGTACTCGGTTCGGTAGTAGGCAGGAAGATATAGCTCTTGCTGTCCAACAGTAGGCGACGCCCAGGCACCCGCCTGGTGCTCGTCCGTCTCCCAACACTGACGATAGTATTCACCGGTAAATTGCTGCGCCGCAACTTCGCCATGAACTTCAACCATCGCTCGCTGTATGAAGGCGACGTGGTCGGCTGTACTGAGAGCGGCAACTGAGCGAGCAAGCGTACCGGACAGGTATGATGCAAGGATTACGCCGGGACCAGTGGAGTTGATTTTGTATGCAGGATAGCAGACGGAGCCAACGCCGGGGATGTCGACTGCACCGCAGCCGCCAATGATGGGAGGCGTTAACTTCTCCCAGAAACGAGTTTTGTAGTGCAGAGCGACCTTACACGACTGCTCATAGTTCATGCTACTTATTGCACGTGACAAGAGCGACGAATAATTGGGAAGACTCCAAAGTCTGACCTTCGAAAACGGAACGGAAACGACGGCGTAATCATACTCTTCGCTTTCCGGCTCCATAGCAAAAGGATCTTCGCGCCATTGCAGAGCCACCCTGCCTGTATCATTGTCATACTTCAGGCCAGTAATCTTGCGGCCCAGTGTCAAACGATCCTGGACATGGGGCAAAAAGGCCCGAGGGAGGGACTCCAACCCTTTGTCGATAGTTCGCCATGTCGTAGCAGAAAAGTACACCGTGTCGTAGGCCCACATCGGGCTATCGTCGGATCCGACCATGTAATCAACCAGATCCGCGCTGACATTCAGTGCATACCTTAGGTACGCAGCTTCTGACCAATGGAACATGCCGTTCTCTACGGCTTCTTTGTGGGCTTTGTACATATTGGTCGATATGTTGCGCAGCAGTTGTGGTGTGACGCCCTCGAACTCCTCCAGAGCTGCCTCCGCTGTCGCCTCAGCCTCTTCATCAGGTGATGGAGCCGCTGGCAAAACCAAGGAAGCGTTTGCTCGGATCTGAGCGGCACTTGGAATACGACCGTTAGGCAAGCGGTAGCCGTTCGAGTCGGCAGGTACATTTGGGCTGCTCTGGATCCAAGGAATGAAATTGACCGCAAGCTTGGTATCATTGCCACCGTTCATCTGGTTCAAAACATCGCCTAGTTGGAATACCATCTTGTGATCCTGTATATCAAGCGTCTCATTCGTGTCGGCGTACTTGACCGAAACCGGAAAACGCATTGGTCCCATCTCCTGGTATTGGTATTGTTCTGGTGTACTTCCAGCGAGGTATTTGGTGCGAATGCGGCCGCCAATCCGTTGCGAGGACTCTGTAATGTGCCAGTCGTGGATACCTACCGAGTCAAGAAGATGGCTGGTCATCAGGCCTGACATTCCACCTCCAACGATGGCGATCTTCTTGCTCTTCGTAGCAGAAACAAACGAAGCATTGTTTTGCTTAGCTTGCATATAAGCAACGCCATCGAACCATGGTCCCATCACATCAGCAACTTTTGATATCTCTTCTCTCTTCCTCCTGTTCTGCCTTATAGTGATTGGAGCGCTACGTCCAATAAGCGTTGATCCAGAATAAGCATGCAGACAGCTCCCATGAACAGCGTTTTCCGGAACGATCCAAATCAAACGCCTTGGACGATTTGACCGCTCCATCCATGTAGAGGCAACCTCATGATGTGCTTCGCCATAGCTCCTCATATGGCAGTCGCCGTGCACCACTTGGACCTTGCCTTCGAATGTATCGTCGCCATAGCTGACGTGGACGTTGTGTACCGAGTCAGTGGTGACGTCCAAAGGCTTGAAAAAGAGAATATCAGAGCCAGTTACAAGTGGAGACGAGGAAGCTCCCCGAGTCAAAAAGAGTACAGCCAGGGAAGCTGTCGAGAAACCTCTCATGCTTGCTACTTGGAGCAGGGAGTTGTGCTGAAAGACAGCCTGGAAAAAGGGAAAAACAAATCTCTCATATACTGGACCTCAATCGAACGCATATGCCGATATCGTCCAACTGCTTTTTGATGAGCATAGGTCATGGGGCGTGCTATCTCAATGAGTCGGGATATCTGGAAAGCCTGTGAAGTTTCTGTACATCGGTATATCATCGCTTCAAGAGCGGCACAGACAATGCATGACATGGCGATAAGCAGAGTTCGGCTGTCGTAGGTGAGTTGGTGACAACACGGGCGTTCAAAGACTCATCGCCTTGCGACTCCCTGCCCTTTCTTGAGGCGACGTGCATTAGCGGCATGCTGTCACGAACAATTCTGTGGGGTAACTCGTAAGTAACACCAGGACCAAAGACGGCAACAGAGATAAGCTTGCTCAACGGCCGCTACAGTAGCCGATAGATGCGTATTATTAGGTTCAAGTATTGACCATAAATGCAGTCGACTTTCTACTACTCTACCACAGCGAGTTCTGGGTTGCTTGTTGATAGCTTCCCAGGGCACCCTCCAGAGAACTCTCGATGTCAGGTATCTCGTCGCGAGACACAACATCGAACGACGTAATTATTCAAGCAAGGGAGACGTAAGTCTTTGATCTTAGCTGTGGGAGCTGGAGATTTGATAATCTGACAATGCGTTCTTATCTTGGCCTGCATGTTCCGCTATCTACAGTATCATATCCTATTATGGAGTTCAGGATAGCAGGCTTGGCGGACGCCCCATCGCATGGTGTTCCCCGCTGTCTATTGTGACAGACCATTACCTCCTTCCCTATCTGGCGAATTTGGGGATCTCACCCCATGAAATGGACGTTGCATACGCAGCATGGACCCACTTCGATATGACTAGCGAGGGTGGAGATCAACTCGCGGGCCGACAGACAAACTCCGACGATATCGCTTAGATTGGTGGACAATGGCCGTCTCTGATGGCCGACATGATCTCACGGTATTATTCAACGTTTGGTAACACCAGGAAGACGGGCGTATATCACTTTGCAGACTTGGCACAGCGGCGAGAAGCCTCTATATCAAATGCGTCAGAACACGTTTATAGGTGGAGCTGTGATATTATAGAGAAACCACGTGGACGGTAACTTTCTTGGAAACCAACCCTGAATCTAATCGATAATCCTTTAGATCATCCCATAAACTCATTCCTCCTAGAATTGTTTCGGTCACTTCCCATTTAACAACCTTTCCTAACTGTTGGTGCCATAACTAACATTTTAACAACCAATCTTGTCAAATGACCTGTTATTGCAATAGCAAACGGCACATGAATTCTATGTGGCGTAGCTCATAACCGGAACGGTCTCGCTATGCAAGAAGTACAACCACAGGCAACATTGAAGCTCGAGTAGCACGTTGGTACTTACTAACATGTCCGACCTGTTTCCACAACCCAAGCCTGCGCGTACTGCCACTGAGGTGAACAAGCTTCCTGGCAATTTCCTAAAGGAGATCGGGGCGATCGCTATGACTCCAGATCTCTAAACTTGAGAACAGCGCAGGGGTGTGTTCCACGTGGGTGGATTTGAACATCCCACCGGGTTCCATGACGCCAGAGAGTGGAAAGACTCTTGATGGAGGATAGTGGTGAAATACAAGTTGAACCTTACATATCGGCGTTGGTATTTATTTGGTTTCGTCCATACTTTTGACCGTATTGAGCTAGACTAAACAGTCTCCAGTCTGGAAGGACTATGGCCATGTCTGCCCCGTAGATGATACTTCGACTACTTCTTTCCCATACCCATTGATCATGAATACACATAGAGCCAAAATATATCATAAAATTCAAGTCCGAATCTGTGCTGTAGTTAAATATGGGTGTCGCAAATTTTCTGAATACCTTATTCAGTCAAGCTTCGTCCTGATCCTAGTTCAAGGTAACAGCCGAAAAGATCTTTATCCAAGGTGATTACTGTAGTTATAGTGTACTTGAAAATTCGATCGTTGATTTTTCAATCTGGCACTGGACCTACTATGCGTATGGAAGGGAGTTTCGTTTGACTCATGGGAACATTTGATGCATGGCATGATTGAACTCTAACGCTGCGTAGTCTCTACAGTGTTAAACAGTCTTCAATAAGTGAATGATAAAAGACAAGCACATGACCCAAGTGATGTTTTCGTCTGTAAAGCGTTTATTTGGGTTAAGGCATATGTCATATTTTAACAACCTGTTGGGTGCAAGAGCGCTGCATCTCGAAACGTGCGAGGGGTGCCATACATGTGAAGATATTCTGTCACCTTTGCATAGTTTGCAGAAGATGATAGTATTCCTGCTTGCTCATACGCGGATGAGCTCTTGGGTTGAGTGACATTGCGGTGAAAGGTCCAGTTTTTCATACTGGGAAAAATCGCGAAGTTTAGATGAGGTAGAGCTTAAGAGCGGTGCCGCTAACAGATGACGGAGTCAGCAAGAGTGTACACTACAGTATCGTACAGGCCTCGGCACACTTTGAGACGGGGTCAAGCTACTAGATAGTGGATTCTTGCTATTGTCTTCTTCTCATTGTATGATCAAAGTAGTATTACCATTGACAACATTCAGCTTATACTATTTATAGTAGCCATTTTGGATGAGTTGACTGCTACTTGTCTGCTACCGCACGAACAGCTATCTATTTCTTCGCCAATGCTTCAGTTCTGGACTCGCTACTGGGATCAAGGTAAGGCACTTCCCCAATGCCAACTGCACGGTTGCCAAACCGTTCGCCAAGGCCATCATAATCGTGTGTGGCGCAGTGGAAAGCGCTTCGGTTGTCCCAGATGGCTGCAGTGCGGTATGATCAGCAAGATTGATAGCAGCTGGCAAAAAGAGGGATACACACCAAGATCGTTTTCGTTCCTCCACTTGAACCGTACTTGAAGATCGTGGTTCTCTGTGAGGATAGAGCGAAACTTCGCGAGGAGCTCGTTTGACTCCTCGTCGTTCAGCTCATTGATATATCTAGGAAAGGGACCAAGTGCATAAATACTCTTCCACCCGGTGACTGGGTTGGTTCGAACAACGGGGTGAACAGCAGTCAATTTTTTCCCCACGTTCTTTGGGCTCCCTCGCTCCTTCTCATACAACTTGACTCTGTCAGGATTGGCAGCGGCAGCCTTTATGAAACCTTCTCCAATGAAGGTAGCAGTGAGTCCTATACACAGGATGTGAGCTATACTGCTATTTGGTGACAACGTGAGAATCTACAGGGCAAGCACCGACCTTCGAAAAACTTTTGATACACTTTAGAAAAGCGATCATAGACTTCATACCCAGAGGCCCATAGTGTATCACCGCCAGTATCCGGCAGCTTTGTCAATCGAAGGGAAGTGTAGTCGGCAGGTACAGGTTCAAACTGGATATCAGAGTGCCATTGAGCCGCGCCGTAGCGGTTGTTGCCGGAAGTCCTGTTGTTGCCTGATTCATTCTTGAAGATGCTTTTTCGTTCGAGAGAGCTGATGGTACTGATCTCGGCATCATCCACACCAAATTCCGACGTATTGTTGTGTACAGGATGAATGTGAAGTGTGGAATCAGATGGTTTGCCGACTAGTCGTCCCAGACGTTGAACTAGTTGCTTTTGGAGTTCATCGCTGAGGTTATTCTGGGCGCGGAAGAAAACAACTCCACGTTCAGAAACTGTACGGGGCGCAAGCGATTAGTATGTAAAGAACTTAACTGAGGTGGGATACAGATGACTCACTGGTGATGGCCAAATCACGAACTAATTCGTCCACATTGGAGGCGGCAAGGATGTCATCGACGATGTTTACTTCAGGATACTCTCGTCCAATGACTGGGGTTGTCTCTTCAAACTTGAACTTTCCATCAAGCGCTCCGGACTTCTTCTGTGGCGATGGATAGCCTCGAGCTTGAACTGTGATAGTGTGCGTTGAGGACATATTTGACGTGATTTTCGGGTACTGCAACACTTCTGATCGTTCGACGGCGAAGTATGGAGTATTTCAGGCTTATATTTACGTGTTTGACATGTTGGGGATGGTTGGTTGGTTGGTTGGTTGGTATTTATTTTCGTCCGAAGGACAGTATCTAGGGTCTATCTACTGGCTTTCGAGCCTCCCAGGGGGCATGGGGACGTGTTGGGCAGGGGATTTACAGTGGTGACACACTACCTCTTCCAACAGTTCTTGCTCAAGTGCTGGCTGCCATAGGCAGCCCAATCTGATCCAGTCTCTGCCTCCGATTGCAGGTCTATGGACTTGTGTTTGGTGGCATTTGTGCCGTGTTCAGTCAGAGCTTGCTCTGTGTATTAAATAGGGGGGTTTTGAAGAAGTGAAGTAAAGAAAAGAGGGAGAGAGCGTGTAAAAACAGGGTAAAGAAAAACCCCACTAGGGGTTCCTAGCGGGAGTATTGCTGAGATGGGCGGCTTCGGCCGCCCGTTTCTGTGTCTTTTGGTGCCAAGACAAGGCGTGTTGTGAGTGGTCTACCGGGGGCAGATGGTGGCGTAAAAGTGGGTTCGCCGGATGAAGTCCTCGAAGTCCTGATGATTGGTTACCAGGCTGCGCAGGTACTCTAGTCCTTCCTGTCGGTCGCTCGGTGGAGCGTACGGTCGGTTGGGCCAGAGCCTGAACAGTCGTGTAGCCTTTCGACAGTGTACGAGGTGGTGAGGGGTCTTGTCCTGCCCACAGGAGCAGGTGAGGTTGGCGTCAGTGTGGTTGAACTTTCGGTGGTACCAGGCAAAGTCTCCGTGCATAGTGCGTGTTGCTAGGAGGCGCGCCAGGATGGGTCGTGGCAGGTTGAGTTCCTCTGGGGGTTTGTCGGGCGTGTATGTCAGGTCCCATTGTAGGTACCAGTGTGACAGTTTGGTTTGCGCCTTTGCCCACCAGTCCTGTTGGGCGTCTCGCGAGAGGCGCTTGGCTATCGACTTCATTCCTGAGACTGTGGGCAGGCCAGCTTCTCCAAGCGGGGTGGATCCTAGGCCCGCCTCTGTGTTGGCTAGGTCGTCTGCTCGTTCGTTGCCTATAATGCCGGTGTGCCCTGGAGCCCATTTGATCTTGATCTCATGTGTCTCCATCGCGCCCTGGCATTGTAGGAAGGCCCATTGGGATGAGGGGGGGGCGTTCCCTCGTAGGCACCAGATGACTGAGGTGCTGTCTATGCACAGCCATAGGCGCCTCGATTGTAGGGCGGGGTCCCGGAGTGTGCGCTGGAGGCCTCTCCATGCTCCGATTGCTTCGGCGTCGAAGACATGTGAGCTGGGGTGTAGCGAGCCCTGTCCTGCCTGTAATTCCTTTCCGTCTTGGAATATTGCAAAACCATAAGATACACACCTTATGCCGTTCAGCAGCTGCTCTGAGCCATCTGAGAAGATGGTTACGTCCGTGGGTGGAAGCATGCGCCACCAAAGCTTGAAGGCTTCTGCAGCGGCTTTCTTGTCTTGTCCTTGAGTCGGGTCTTCCCGGCACCCTGGGGAGTAGTGGGGAGGTGTCAGTGTGGGACGGGGAACTGCTGGGAGGATGAGCCCAGTTCTTTGGACCTTTGTACGGGGGCGTTGGGCACTGCCTGCTCCCCTTCCGCGTTGGATGATGTGTATGTTGGTGCGGCGTGCAAGCGGGTGTTCTTGGTCCACGGTTCGGAGGTGTGCTGCGAAACGGAGCCTTGCTCCTTCGAGGGCGACGTAGGCTGAGGGGAGGCCAGCGTCTCGGAAGAGGGTGGCGGTTGGGGTGGTGCGCCAGCCTGGGAGAACGCCTCTTGCCGCTATCGCTATAGCCTTGTCGATTGAGGCAATGTGCCATCCCATGCGTGTGCTAACGTCTGCCGGGCGGTCTGCCCGGCAGAGTCTTGCTGGTTTGGAGCGTCCGCCATACCAGGATTCTGTCCCGTAGAGTAGAGATGGGAGGACGCAGGTGGTGACGGCTTTTCGAAGGGCTGCGGCTGGGGGGCCGCATGTGGTTTTGGCCAGGCTGCGGATATGGTGTGCTACCTGCTTAGCTTTGGCTGTGCGGGTGGAGACGTGTTTTCGGAAGGTGAGCTTTCGATCAAACCATACTCCTAGCCATCGTAGCGCAGTCTGATCCCCATTTCCTGGCAGTATTGGGTGGATGGTGAGTTGTTCGTCAACCACACAAGGCGGGGCGTGGCTGCCTCGCTGTCTCGTGAGGTGTATCATTTCCAGCTTTTCGGGGGCAAAGACGATCCTGTTGTCCTGCCCCCAACGGTTGATTTCTTGCACATCAGTTGCAAGCAGCTGGACGTTCTGGTCGAGGGAGTGGGAGGCGCGGTAGATACACACGTCGTCAGCGTATCCGAAGCGGAGTGCCTTGTCTGCATTGAGCAGTTCGGATAGGTAGAGCGTGTATAGAACAGGGGACAGAGGGGAGCCTTGGGGGGTGCCGCAGGCAACTTGGTGCTGAGGAGTGATTTCCTTGCCTAGTCGTACCTGTATCTGCCTTTCTGTGAGGAAGGAGTCGATGAAGCGGAGCGTAGCGTCCGGCCAGCGCTGCTCTGCCATGCGTTTGAGCAAGCGGTTCTTGAGAAGGGCGTCGAAGGCGCCTTGGACATCCATGGTGACCATTGTGACATGCTGATTGAGGGCCCATGCTGCCTCAACGTCGTGGGTGAAAGCTGCGGTAAGGTCTGCAGCTGATCGTTTGGGGAGGGCGCCGCCGTGCTGCGGGCTGAGTATCTTGTGTGTCATGGCTGTCCATGCAATGCGTCTAGCCACGATCCGTTCCAGTCCCTTACCGAGGCATGAGAGCAGAGCGATTGGCCTCCAGGATCGGGGTGATGTCCTGTCCTTCTTGCCAACCTTCGGGATCATTGCAACTTCAGCCAGTTTCCAGCTGGGTGGGAAATGGCTAAGGCGGAGGCATTTCTCGTAGATGCCCCTGATGCACTCCCTCACCTGTGCCCAGCAGGCGTGGAGGAGGCGGACTGTGATCTTGTCAGAGCCCGGGGAGGTACTTGTTACCCCGATAGTGTTGCGTTCCACTTCTTCCATAGATATGGTGGTGTCCCATGGAAGGGGGCTGTCCTCATCAGTTCTTGTTTGCAGGATCTGCTGGAGGCCGCCTTCCAGGTCGTCATCTGAGCTGAATCGGCTGAGGATCTCCTGCCGGAGGGCCTCCGCCTTTTCTAGCGTGTCTGTGATTGTCCGGTTGCCTACTACGAGGGGCGAGTCCTGGTTCCCGGGCTCTAGTTTGTGCCATGCCACAATTTTGTACAGGTCCTTGTCCGTCTTAACTCCGTCGATGGTGTGTCGCCAGTAGTCCCTTTTGGCTTGTCTTACTGTGGCTTTGAAGGCGCGAGTTTCGTCAGTGTGTGGGGAGTTTGGGTCCCGGGTTCGGAGATGGGTTTTGTAGGCTTCTTGACAGGCAGCTGTCCACCAAGGCGCTGAGTGTCCCGTTCCTTTGTCTGGCCGGCCTGCTGTGACGGTGGCGCGTTTCAGCACTGCTGTAAGAAGCTCGACGCACTCGTCGATATCGTTAGTGGTGGTGGCGAGATGTGGGCTCGGGACCTGATTCATCCCGAGCTCTACTAGGCCTGCAAATTTTTCTAGGTTGTCCTCCGGGACTCGGTAGTGGAAGAGATCAAGGCTCTGCCTTCCTCGAGCGGGTATGATGGTGACTTGCGTTTCGTGGTCAGAGCCACAGTGTAGCTCTGCGTGCACCAAGGTGCGCGCAAACGGTATGTTGGAGAAGGTGAGATCTAGTACATGTCCAGCCCGGTGTGTTGATTGACCCGGGGTGCCTATGTAGTCAAGGCCGTTGGCAGCTGCCCAGTGCGCCAGGTCCGAGCCGCGTTGTGATGAGATGGCCCCTGGTTCGAAGGTGGGGTGGCGGGTGTTGAAGTCTCCCCCGATGAGGCACTGCGGAGGGGGAGAGAGTTGCATAAGGTAGTCGATGGTTTCGGGGGTTTGGGGTTGCCGGTAGGCGTTCAGGATGGCGTACCCGTTCACGTCAGTCCAGAGAAGGTCCCTGCAGTTCAGGCTGTGGCGGAGTTGGGTTTTTAAACCCTGTCCCTTTCGGATATATGTCATGACCCTTGGGCGGCCTGCTTCGTTGCGGTGCAGGTCATCCCATTGGTCTATTGGGGCATAGTGTTGGAAGCCGGGATGTGTAGAGGTTCTTGACCGCGAGCAGGTGAAGGGTTCCTGGATGCATAGGACGTCAATCTTCTCTTGGTAGGCAATTTGTAGAATCGATATGTGGCAGGGTGAGCTCCTGCCAACATTGGCCCAGCAGACCTTGAGGTCTTCTTGCTGTGGCCTTTTCCTGTGTCGATGTTGACTGTTTGAGGTAGGGTGGTGTCCTACCATACAGTAGTCTCGTCGCTAGCGTTCATGTCCACGTCTTCTGGTTCAGTGGAGGAGGGGTCGGTGTGTGGGTTCGCCTGGGGCTGCCGCTGCAGGCTGTTGGCAGACAGCTGGCGGACGTTGAGATTCTGGCGTGCAGCAGACGCTTTTCGTGGCAGCCTCCTCAGTTCGGTTGTCTGTGAGGATGAGGAGGTGGCGGTGCTCTTGGGGACAGAGATCCGTCGACTGCGCTTCGTTCGCTCTGGTGCAGTAGCGATCGTTGGGGCTTGGTTTGTGGGCGCGGGGGTGGAGCCGGCTGCATCCTCAGGTTCGGTGGGAGGGGCAGTCTGCTGAAGACCTCTCTCGAGTTCTTGGTGGAAGCGTGTGGAGGCCTGGCGACCCTCCCTTTGGATTGCAGCCAGTTCCTTCTTTGTGGGTCGGATGACCTTGCCGTGGGCCCTTCTCGGTGCAGCTGGGCATGTGGTGTGTGAAGCTGGGTGGGGTCCAGCGCAATTCGCACATCTGGCTCTATTAGGACACATATTTCCTATAGGGCCAGTGTGGTTTTCTTGTCTGTCCCCGCAGTTGCTGCATCGCACTGCCCGGCTGCATTTCGCGGGGTTGCAGTAGCCCTGGCACCCGTCAGAGTGTCTTTGTATGGCTGGGTTTTTGCGTATTTCCTTTGAGTAGTCGCTGGTGCCAAAGAGGCGGAACGTTCGAACTGGGTGCGTGTATGAGATGATCCAGGTCATGAGGTTGTTCTGAGGGTTCGGGCCGAGGCGGGAAGGCCGGCAGCTAGCTGCCTGCACTCCAGTCTGGGACAGGGCCTCCTGTTCGACTAATGCTGTGGTGATTGGGATAGATGTCCCAAGGATGTTTTGCAGGGAGCTGGCAACTCCCTGTATGGCGTAGTTTATCCAGGTCTCTGGTGTTCGGATACTATCTCCATGAAGGGCGCGCATGATGAGCTCCTTGTTTTCTTGTGTAAGCAGTGTAGTGCGTATCTGGTCGGTGGCTGGGGTGATTGCCCAGCCTGTGCGAATTGGGGCAGCTTTGGGTATGTCTTGGAGCGTGACTCCCTCCAAGACTTTGCAGATTTCCTGGCGAATTACAAAGGGCGAGGCTTTGCTGAGGCGTTCAGCTGCAGGCACCGTGACGAAGATGCGGGGATCTGCTTTAGGCATGGGCCTAGAGCTAGCGGGGGTGGCGAAAAATTTTCCGGGCTTGGCCGGATGGTTGTCTGTGCTGTTTCCCCCTTTTCCTCTGTTGAGATCTTGGGGGTCTCGGGCTACGTCCGCCCAGGAGCGGCGCGATGATAGGTGGCCTTCGCTCTCCTGGGTTGTAGTGGTGTAGGCAGTGCTGCTGCGTCGGGAGCTGGCAGTCTGGGGACTCGGGGGGTTTGTGAGGGCAAGGACAACGCGCTGTTGCAGTTCGGCTGCTACTTTTGCTCCTGCAGGGTCTGTGAATTCCCTTGCGCACCTGTCTATAGCCTCTGCCATTGCCTTAGTGACGTTGTTCCTTAGCAGAGTGTCTTGTTCGATTGTGTTGAGGTAGCGCGTGATTGCGTTCGTGACAAGGTTCGAGTTGGTTGCGCCTCCACCGAGGTTGAGGGAGCGTAGGGCAGGAGCTCTGGTTTGGGCTTCCTGTTGCTGTCGCTTTGAGGCGCGTAGGTTTCGTTGCTGCGGGGTTTCCACCTCCTGAGGTCGCGTGAAATGGACATGTGGTTCAGGAGGGGGCCTGTTGGGTGTCAACAACGCGTCAACCATACCTGCCATCGCCCCCTGACGCGTGAGCGTTGGGCGCGAGGGTGGGAAACGGCTTGAGGGGTGTAGGGGGGATCTAAGGATCAGTTTGGCATGAATTTCAGTGGTTTAGGGATCTTTTTGAAAATTCACAAAGTTGGTGTTCGGTG